TTTTACTATCTTAGATTTTTATTAATAATTTAAATATTAATAAGCTGATTAATAAAACTAAGTTTTTAGATATTAAATTAATTAAAGATCTGAAACAGACTTACTTAGAATTATTTAATTTTAATTTTAAAAGAGCTAGACTTACTCTTTAAATTATTTAAATAATAATTAATTATATTAATAAGAATAAAATTCTCTATATTAATTTTTTATTATTTTTATCTTTATTTATTAACTGGCAAGAAATAAGAAATTATATATTTTTAAACTAATTTACTCAGATTATTAAAACTGAAATTAATTAATTAAAAGCCCTAAATACTTAGAATATATATTTAATTTATAAAACTAATAAAGCTGAAGTATTACTATTAAAATAGATATTTTTATATAAATTTAATAAAACTGATCACCTGACTGATTTTAAAGCTTAAATTTATATTAGAAATAATTTACAGATATCTGATTAATTAAAAACACGCGCTAATATTTTTATAGTTAGATTTATATAAATTCTTTTAACTCTAATTACTATATTTAATCTGAAAATTAATCAACTGGATATAATTATTATCTTTTTTAATAATCTTATTAAAAAGAAAATCTATATAAATCCAATTTCTGAATTAAGAAATAAATAAACAGTTTTTTTATTATAAAAAGCTCTATATAGATTAAGATATTTATTATTTTTTTAGTAAAATATTCTAAAACAGAGGCTAATAGCTTTAAGACTTAAGTTTATTTAGAAAAATTAATATATTTTTATTAATAAATTTATAATTTTAATAATTTTTATAAATAATATAATTTATATATTTTATAAATTAAATTATTAAAAATTTAATAAATTCAAGTAAGAATTAATAATATTATTTAAATTTAAAGATCTTAAAAAGATTAATTTATTTTTTAATATTTAAATCTTATATAATCGCTTAAATAAAAAGTTATAGATTTAATAATTAAACTATATTAATAAGATTATTAATAAGTTTAATTTAGAATAAAGAAAAAGCTCTAAATCTTTATTTTTAAATAAGAAATTAATAAAGAATCTACTCTATCAGGCCACTACTAATTAAATTTATAAATTTTAGTAAAAAGTAGAGTCAGCTTTATATTTTATAGTTTAGACTAGATCTGATATTATTAAATTATATTAGTTAATTTTAGAATATTTAATTAATCCAAGCTCTAAATATCTTAGGGCTGTGAATTATTTAATCTTTTATTTAAAAAAAATAAAAAATTTGGCTATTAAATTTAGCTCTAGTCCTATTTTATTTTATATAGCCAGTAATACTAGTTTTACTGATAATTAAGATTATACTAGCTTAATAGAATATATTATTTATTTATTTAATAATTTTATTAATTAGCTAAGCAAGAAACAGTATTATATAACTCTTTTAATTATTAAAACTAAATTATTAGCTCTAACTACTGCAGCTAAGCAACTTCTTTAATAAAGAAGATTTTTTAAATAAATAGAGTTTAGTTCTAATTAATACTTCTTTATATTATATAATAATTATTAAACAGTTAAAATTCTTACTGATAAGAATTTTCTCTTTTAAACTAGTCTAAAATATATTAATATTACTAATTATTAATTAAGGCAAGAAGCTCTGAATAAAATAATTAATATTTAATAAATATCTATTAATAAAATATAAGCAGATAGTCTGACTAAGTAGTTTCTTAATTAAAGATATACTTAATTTATTAAACAGTTAAATATAATAATTTATTAAATTTTATTATTATTATTTTTTATTTTTAGTAATTTGTTTACTCTAGTTTTTCTGATATTTTATCTTATTAAAACTGCGGGGGTGTATTAATAATATAAACAGACTTATTAGTTTATTATCTAAGACTTATTAATTTACAGTCTCAGATTAATTAGCTGTCTTAGATTATTAGTTAATAGACTAATAATTTTAAGTTTTATCTATCCCGCAGTAAAGCAAGAGATCTTATTTTTATTAATTATTCTAGTCTTTATTTAATCACTGATTCTATTATTCTTAGCTCTATTCTATTTATATAATTTTTATATAATTTTTATATAATTTTATATATTTTTATATGCTTTTAATAGCCAATTAACTATAAATATAAATAAAAAGATTTCTTAATTTTTAATTAATTTTTTAATAAATTTTAATTAAATTAAATTAGCTTTTAATTTTTTTCTAATCTTTAATTTTTTTTATTACTTCTTTTATCTTTTTCTTATCTTTCTTTTATCTTTATCTTACTTTTATCTTACTTTTATACTTAATTTATATAAGAAAGTAAGAGTTCAGTAAAATCTTTTTAAAAAATCAAAGAAAAATTTTTACTTAATTATCTAATCTTTGATTTTTCTTATTCTTAACTTCTCTTATCTTTCTCTCACTTTCACCTCACTTTTGCATCTAATTTATATAAGAAAGTGAAAGTTTAATAAAGTCTTCTTAAGAAAAGTTCTTACTTCTTAAGAAAAGTTCTTAGATGAAAATAAAATAAAGATAAAAAAAAAATAAAAGAAAGATAAAAGAAGTAATAAAAAAAATTAAAGATTAAATAAATAAAAAAAAATTAAAAACTAATTTAATTTAATTAAAACTTATTAAAAAACTAATTAAAAATTAAGAGATCTTTTTATTTATATTTATAATTAATTAATTATCAAAAATATATAAAAATATATAAAATTATATAAAAATTATATAAAAATTATATAAATAGAATAGGGCTGAGAATAATAAAATTAATAATTAAATAAAGACTAGAATAATTAATAAAAGTAAGATCTCTTACTCTACTGCAGGATAGACAGAACTTAGAATTATTAATCTGTTAACTAATAGTCTAAGATAATTAACTAGCCTGAGGCCGCAAACTAATAAGCCTTAGGCAGCGAACTGGCGAGCCTTAGGCAGCCAACTGGCGAGCCTTAGGCAGCGAACTGGCCAGTCTGCCCATATTGTTGACACTCAGAAACCTCGAGAAATATACCCATGACAAAAAGCTCATATTGCAACAACTCTAACAAGCAAAAGTTCTCATCTCTAGTATCCGTCGCAATCTGCCACGGCCTGCAAGTCGTTCGCATCTCACCCACCTTATGTCACAATCCTCTCCCCTCTCACCCCTCCACGTGGACACCCGAAATCATCAGTATTTAGATCCAAGCCCAAGCCCCGGCCCGGTAGCGCCAAAAACGGACAATTAACCCTATCCGGAGTAGCGGTCGAGTAAACACCACTCAATTGGTCATCCACAGTTGCACATACGCTCACCGCTGAAAGTCCCAGCAGATAGCAAATAGCGTCACGCAACCGCGGATGCCGATGGGCCTCTTTTTTTCTTTGGTCCCTTATCGGGAGTGAGAGGGGGATGGCTGCTAGTGCTTACCTTCTACTTTCTGGTGGCCGTTGGCCCGCCCCGCCGCCTTGGGCATGTGGTCGCGTGAGCCTTTGATTATTTTCCTTGGTGCGGATTGAGCGGATCCTTTGATCCGTCACTCGGAATATACTCGAGTACCAATTGATTTGGGGATTCGTGCGAGATGGCAAGTTAGGGTTCGTGCGCTGACCTTTACTATTTCGTTCAGTAATTTGTTATTGGATGCAAGTCGAGTAAACGTGAGTGTCCAGAGTCCGCCAAGATGGGATGTTATTTCCTCTCCTCCGTCGGCGATGCGGTTGAACTCCGTTTGCTTGGCGGGCTGGTTGGCTTATTCATGGCAAGATATGGCTATTCTGACGCCATCTTGTCGTATCTGATACGACAGATGGATTTGGCTTTGGGAGGCCGAAGATCTCCGTTCCGTTGTGATGGAAGAGATCTTGGTAATTCTGGCTTCATCTCACGGTGTGTCCTCGGTTGTGAATGGCCTGGGTTGAACATGACGAGGTTAGCGGTGGAACTATCTTGTTGAAAAAGTTCATTTGATAAGGGGATAAAAGTTAGGGGAATGATTGTCGGACGTCCTAGAGTGTGTCAATTGGAATTTGTTAAAATCTGGATGTAAGACTTGATGAGATTGTGGCCATCACAACTCTAAGGTATGCATAATATTTTCATCGAGAGTATTTTGGTTACAGTGCCAATGAATCGAGGAATACCAACTGCAAAACTATGTTCAATCTGTTAGCTTGACCTCTGTTGGCTTCATGATGGAGAGACCTGGTGTTGCTAGTGATATAGTACTCAATATGCCCTTAGTCTCAATTGCTTTTGCAAAGTATGATCAGACCAAGTAAAAAGTGAGCCAGTCACTCCTTTCCTTATCCTGGTCCATATTTCGTATAGCTCATAGATATCCGTCAGCGACACCCAAACTCCCACTTCCATCATACATATCTCGGCTTCCCGGCCACCCCCTCTCCCCCACCCAACCATCACAATCCCATCAAAGTAAATCGAAGATTCCAGACCACCCCCACCCGTCACGCACAGCGATCATGTAAGAAATGCCGCACCGTCGCTGGTTGGCCGCCCTACTTTTAAAATAAGATTATGGTGTGCGGAGCACCAGCGCGTGGATGCACCTTCCCTCCACCCTCGACCCAATTAACCGCAGCAGAACCTACACTCCCAAACAATGAACCTACATCTAATTAAACTAAACAGATTAGCGTAGATAAGATGGTTACATTTCGATCACAAACAAATGAGGACCCCTTCAACGGCTATCCACACTTTCCCGGATCGGAGTCGCCGAAGTTAGGCTTCCCTGGAAAGCTTAGATTGCTTGCTTATCGGTGGGACTAATACTTGCACTGCCCCCCCCCGTCGTTGACTATTGCTGCGCGGATGGTGAGAATGACTTCTCACATGATGAGAAGGAGAGAAATGAGGCGAGCGAGGGTGAGGGGTAGATGGGATGGGATGCGCGATTTGGCTTCAGGTGGCGAGGTGAGGTGATTTGCTTTCTTGATGGGAGGGTAGGGACGCAGTATATATTGGTTGGGGTGGGATGAGGTTGGCATTCACTATCACCATCGCCATCACCACAATCACTACAACCAGGATCGAGTGAATCACAGCGAGAATAAACATCCCGCACCAGGATCCATCAACAGCGACAACATGTCTTTCAATACCGGTTCCGACAGTCCAAGCCTGGACTGGAAGTTCAAGTGCATGTCCGTCCTCGACGTCAAGCAGGCCACCGACAAGATCAAGACGAATGAAGCCAGCTACAAGTTGCAAACGGGGGAAATCGGTGCCGTGTCGCGTATCGACACCAACCAGGTCCCCAGCAACGACCCCATCGAGGATTACATGGCCTCGGGCAAGATCGACCTGGGCGAACACGGCGTGTGGCACGCTTGGGCAGTATACGACGGACACGGGTAACTCCCTCCCTCCCTACCTTGCCCTAATCCCCAGCGTCCAGCCAGTAACAAAGTCTCCAGAGGCCAACACACAGCCATCGTCCTTGCCCACGCCCTCATCCCCTACGTCGAACGGTCCCTGAAAGCGCACTTCTCCTCCTCCTCCCCCCCCGACTCCACCATCGAAAACGCCCTCATCTCCGCATTCACCACCCTCGCCGACGAGATCTCCGAAGACGGCCTCACGGCGCTCTACAGCGCCAAAAGCCACGCTGAAGTCCAGGCCCGCCTTGCAGCCAACTACGCCGGCTCCTGCGCGCTTCTAGCCCTCTACAACCCCAGCGAATCCATGCTCTACGTCGCCAACACCGGCGACTCGCGCGCCGTTCTCGGAACACCAGGGGAGTCAGGCTTCGAGACCGTCCCCCTCTCTCTCGACCACACCGCCGCCAGCGAGTCGGAGGTCGCACGCGTCAACGCCCTGCACCCCGACCAGGACAACCTGATCACCAAGCGCGACGGCGACTGCGCACGCTACGCCGGCATCGCCGTCACCCGTGCCTTTGGCGACGCGCGCTGGAACTGGCCCAAGGAGGCGATGATCAAATGGGAAAAACAGTTCTCGGGCAAACCTGCCCCTGGTGTCGTCACCAACCCGCCCTATCTGGTCGCGACGCCGGAGGTCAAGAGCCACAAACTTACGGGGGGAGAGTTCCTCGTTCTCGCGTCGGATGGACTGTGGAATCATCTTTCCAGCGAGGGCGCCGTCGAGGCTGTCAGCAAGTGGATTGGCGCCACGAAGGAAGGTACCCTCGCTGAGATTGGTAGCGGCACGGCAGTCGCATTTGGGGGTGGTAAGGTCTCTGCTGATCACGCTGAGGGGATTTCTTTCTGGGAGTACTGGAAAGTCAAGCCGGAGTGGTTTGTCTATGAGGATGATAATGCGGCGACGCATCTCGTGAAGAATGCTTTTGGGGGCCTGCAGAGACAGCTCTTTACAGGGGTGTTGACGGTTGATACGCCTGTTAGTAAGACGATGAGGGATGATGTTACGGTTCAGGTGGTGTTTTTTGATGGTGCTTAGGTTGGGGTGTCTTGTTTCTGTTTTTGGTTTTTGATTTGGGTTTGTGCGAGCCTGTTTCTCTGTTGGGGTTTGTATCCTTGTTGGATGTGGACTTACTTTCTTATCCCTTGATTTGTCGCTCTTTTTGATCCTGGCAGGGGATATACATTTTTCTGATCTTGGCTCGTGGGGTGGTCTTTCTTCGTGGATAGATGGACGCCGAGATGGTCGGTATCCATTGCCTGTCTACCATGCTGTGGGGTTCGAAAGCCTTGCGCAGTTACCTACCTATACTACCACACTCGAATGAACATATACACAGTCCCGCCCTTGTGCATTGCGATGCATGGGATGGATGATCCAATTTACCACAACATTCACAAAATATTTCGGTTGGTTGAAATAAGTGGCCCCGTAAGAAAAAGACACGAGGAGCTGTCCACACAGAGCTTTTCACTTTTTTGAAGAATGATTGACCATGTAATAGAAGAGGACATATAAAATCAACTCAAAAAGACATTTTTGCCAGTGGTGCCTGAGGCTAGAGCGTGGTCTCTTCCGCTCTCTTCATCTCTTCCTTCTCGGTTAGCTGCTAGCTCGTCAGCATAATTCATACCATGATCCTACACCGTTGTTTTCCTGCCATATACTGCGTGTATACTATTTTGGGAAGAGGTAATTCGAGGTAGCACATTCAAGCATGTCCTCTCTGACAGGTGCGGCATGGAAAGATTTAGTTACTGCTTACTATCAGCGCGATTGATGGACATGATCATTGTTTTGTCGATGCACAGAAATCCCGAAAATACGCAAGATACAGTTAGTAGCTACTGAATTGTCAAAATCTAGTACAAGAGCTCCAGACTAGAAATCAGTTGGGGGGGTTTTTTCCCCTAAATCTGGGACATATAGTAACACACCGTGGCGCCATCCGAAAGACCCCTAGCAAACCAGGACAGGAATCCCGGCCCTTAAGCCATCCCACCCATGTGAGCAAATATATCGCTTAGACAGCCTCTCTCCCCTGCTGACATCACAAACGTGACTAGTCCCTGGTCTCGGAGATTATCTTTGCAGGGAGTCAACGATGACAGATGATGCCATTGGATGCCGGATCACCCATGGGCTTATCCCCGGATTTTCAAGAGGATGCTCGGATTTACATTGAATCTGGTGGGGTGGCATGCACGCTCGCAATGACCCTGGCATGGAGGGGTGTGACATGATCTCGGACTCTTGCTGCATAATGGTGCTGGATAGGAGTGCTTGCCCCCTCAGACTGGTATCTAGAGACTGGATGAAGGTGGTGTCACTCGGATAATCGGTGTGCTTTGGCAAATCCCAGTTGCCGTGGTATTATTGTCTGAGAACCTGGTGAGAAATGGTTAAAACAATGGAGGTGTTCGTCGATGACGCACGTGGCGCAATGTGTGTAGGACAAGAGTGCTAAGGCGCCCTGGAAATCTCGGACGGTACGAGCATCAGCTTGTTAAGCATTTGTTTGGAAGCTTGGTCGGGTCTCGCAAACGATGCAGGCAAAACAGACTAGCTCGAGCTCAGTCTTAACCAATTGGCCCAGGAATCATCAACCAGAATAATTGAGGGGAAGCAGACACGGACGTAGCAGAGGTACATTGGCTGGAGCCCCAAGCCACAGGAATTTTTGAACTTGAAGTCCAAGCAAGCATGGTGAGATCCTGATCAGGGACCGAGTGGTGTGGTGGCCAATGGAGCCGGAGAGTGGCGGTCGGCGGAGAGTAAGCGGCGCGTCCAAACCAGACCAGACACCAGAACCAGAGAACCTTGGATGCCGTACTCCGTAAACCCTAACACTCTGAACCCGTGGACAGTTCTGATCGCGATGGATGACCTGACAGAAGTCCAACTCCAGACTGCATCGCTCGGACAGTGCCGTATGCCGTCCTGATTGGGCCAGCCGAGCCGGGAGATCCGGAGAGGCAGTGCTAACCTGTTTCCATTCACCGAAACCCCCGTGGGGAGGATCTGACCTGCCGTCTTCCCCATGGCACCACAACCACACACACACTTTTTCGACTGGACGAGCCTCAGTCATGAGAATCAACAGACCGATGTCGCTGTCCGCCTAATCCCCCCAAACCCGAACCTCTCACTCGTAGCCATGCCGACGACCACTCATGAGAAGCCTCTGCCCCCCTCCGCTGCCTCCTGACTCCGGAGTTGACTCACAAGTGGGTCCGGCCCCGGCACGAGCCCGAGGCCATCAGCAGCAGCCCTCGGACTGGAGAACTGGGCTTGTCGGCACAAAGCAACGCACTCCACCGGAATGGGAATGACCCCGAATGTCTGAGTGATGGCCCGAGCCCTCGCGCGAAGGAAGCCGTGTCCAGCAAGCAGCAGACCGGATGCAGCGCGCCAACCCCGCTTCGTGGCAAAAGCGGCATCCTCAATGCGACCGGGGGGTTCACCCTGGCGAGGGGACAGACAGGGACACCAGGGACTCAATCTTAAGACGCTTCAAGAGTGGGATCATTGGGGACGCGATGGGCAGTCAGTGACATCCTGCCAGTCCACGTGTCGAGGAGCCCAACCGGCGATCCTTTAATTGGCCGACGGCGGATAGTGCGCTGCGAGGACAAACAAGTAAGCAAGCGAAAGGGAGGTGGGCTGACTCGAGGGATCTGTTGTTGATCTGGAGTTGTTGTTGGGACGGCCAAGTTGGGGTTTGTGACGGGGCAAAGCCGGCTAAAAGATATTGCTGCCTGGGGTTGTCCCCCTGTCACTTCCCCAGCTTGACTCCAGCTGGACTCCAGCTGCTTGACTCCAGACTGTCCAGGGAGTGTCTAGACTGCTTCCAGCCTGTCCGCACATCTTCTCCTCTTTCCTGCTTCCCCTCCTTTTTATCTGTCATCCCCGCGAACCTAATCTTCCACCACCATCTCCTCCCCTCGACATCCCAACCTTCAACCTCCCACCTCCAACCTCTAACTTCCTTCCATCCAGCCCTTTGACCCTCTGCCGCAGCCATCCGTCGCGGCTCGCCAAGCCACGCGGCCGCATCCATCGCAAGCTCCCGCCACGAAGCTTGTGTGCGGCTGGCTGGCGGATGAAGTCCATCCCGGCCTCCATCATCCCGAGCCTGGCCCGATGACCATCCCTGCCTAATCCCGGCCCCCCAGGGCCTCCGACTGGCCCCGCGGGGGTTTGTAGCGCCTTGGGGTAAAGAGATTTCAGCAGCCCATGCCGGACTGAGCTAGCCCGATGCCCGTGGACGAAAGTCTGGATAAATGAAACGACCAATGATGCCCCCTGCGAGGGAAAAGCACCGAAATTGCATGACACCCATCACGATTCTTGCCCGGAGTGGTCTAGCTTCAGACCCCAATGTTCGAGCTGCATACGACGACAGGATCAAGATGAGCGAGCGAGTGTAAAGAAAAAAAAAAGGAAATGGGCCGAGAGGAAGCGGCAGGTGCATACGGCAGCCGTTGTATTGCGTCCTGGCCGTTTCTTTTTATGTCGCGTGGCCCCCGTGCGATCCGTTCGTCGGACTTTTTTTTTTTTTTTTTTTCTCTTGCACTCCTCCTCCCTCGTCATTGATCTGCCCTTTAACTGTCAGTCCTCTACATCATTTCTCATATCGGGTACTGTGAAGGGTAATTGCCCATACGACCGCTCAACATGGGTATGGGAGCTGGCGCTGAGGCTGTCTCCGGCAAGCGTGCTGAGCTTGCCGGTAACCGCGTGGGATGGCGCGGTCTGATCAGCAGCAAGAAGACCTTTGCGATTGCGCTGTTTGCGTCGCTGGGTGGCTTCGTCTACGGATGTAGGTGACCCGTCCTCGCGCATGGGGTGTCTGCTAACTGGCCCAGACAACCAGGGAATGTTCTCGGAGATTCTTACCATGACCTCTTTCATTAAGGCTGTATGTACTGTACCTCCTCTCGATGGACCCATGGATGCTGACGGCCCTAGACCGACGGATATGCAGCGCGGACCGGTCTCAAGCAGGGCATGCTTACGTCTATCCTGGAATTGGGTGCTTGGGTGGGTACACTGCTGAACGGATATCTGGCGGATTCTCTCGGTCGTCGTCGCACGGTTGTCTTGGCGGTGTTTATCTTCTGCATCGGTGTCATCGTCCAGGCCTGCACCAAGAACGCGGGATATATCTTTGCTGGTCGGTTTGTGACGGGTCTGGGTGTCGGTAACCTCAGTATGATTGTGCCGCTGTACAATGCGGAATTGGTATGTCGGACGTCCGGCGCTTCCCAGTCAGCTCATGTCTAACGGGTGCAGGCGCCTCCTGAGATTCGTGGTTCCTTGGTTGCCGTGCAGCAGCTGTCCATCACCTTCGGTATCATGGTCAGCTTCTGGGTGAGTCAACCCCTGCCTGTATAGCTTTGGGGGATCTAACCAGGCCAGATCGGTTACGGAACAAACTACATCGGAGGTACTGGAGCGGGTCAGTCCAACGCAGCATGGCTGATCCCGATTTGCATCCAAATCCTCCCCGCCCTCATTCTCGCCATCGGAATGGTCGGGTTCATGCCCCAATCGCCTCGCCACCTGATGAACCTCGGCCGGGAAGAAGAGTGTCTCCAGACCCTGGCACGTCTGCGCGGCGCCTCCACGGATGACATGCTTGTCCGCATCGAGTTCCTCGAGATCAAGGCGCTCTGGATGTTCGAGGCCGAAACCGCCAAGAGGAAGTACCCCCAGTACCAGGACGGATCCTTCAAGAGCCGCTTCATGACCGGCCTGAACGACTACAAATCTCTCGTGACCAACAAGTCCCTCTTCAAGCGGACCACCGTGGCCGTACGTGCAATCCCTCCTCACCACCAACATCAACCTTACTGACACCCCCCCCTCTCCCAGTGTCTCGTCATGATGTTCCAGCAGTGGAACGGAATCAACGCCATCAACTACTACGCGCCCCAGATCTTCGAGGGCCTCAACCTGGGCGGCAACACCACCTCCCTGCTGGCCACCGGTGTCGGCGGCATCTTCGAGTTCGTCTTTACCATTCCCGCCGTTCTCTGGGTCGACAACATCGGTCGTAAGAAGATCCTCATCACCGGTGCCATCGGCATGTCCATCTGCCATTTCATCTGCGCCGGTCTGATCGGCTCCTACGAGGGCACCTTCTCCACCCACAAGGGCGCCGGCTGGGCGACTGTCGTGTTCGTCTGGATCTTCATCATCAACTACGCTTACTCTTGGGGTGTGTACCAAGCCCCATCCCCTCAAACCCATCCCATACTAATGATAATAGGACCCTGTGCCTGGATCGTCGTCTCGGAAGTCTACCCGCTCAGCATGCGCGCCAAGGGCGTTAGTATCGGCGGTAGCAGCAACTGGGTACGTCCCATTCCCCCCCCCTCCCCCTTCTTCCCCACAACCCCCACCACAACAAACCACTAACATCATCCCCCCCCCCCACAGCTCAACAACTTCGGTGTCGGCCTCGCCACATCCCCCTTCCTGTCCGCCTCCGCCTACGGCACCTTCATCTTCTTCGGATGCATGACCATCCTCGGCGTCATCTACGTGTGGATCTTCGTCCCCGAAACCAAGGGCCGCACACTCGAGGAGATGGACGAATTGTTCGGCTCCGAGGGCATGGCTGCCGAAGACGAGGCCCTGCGTCAGCGCATCGATCGCGAGATTGGCCTGACTGCTCTCCTCAGCGGGGAGTATATTGAGCCGGGCGAGAAGGCGGACGAGAAGGCGGTGCATGCTGATAATGTTGTTTTGGATGATACGTCTGCTTAGGTAGTTGGGTTGCGTTTATATACCCGACTTGATGTGTAGTTGGATGATTTGATACCCGGGATGGGAGGGATATGGCAGGGCAAAGGGGAGAGGGGGTGGTGGTGTGAATGATCGGAGGAGTCGTTGTTTGCAGGAGGGAAGGCGGGATAGGATGGGATTGGATTGGATTGGATTGGATTATTCCACACTCTATCTAGTTCCCTCGCTTAGTTATAATTAATTACTTTCCCTCTCGCTGTTACCATTGCGGTGGCTGGCTATCGAGTACATCAATGCTTAATATTACTCTTGCCAGCTTGGCTGTTTATCCAGTTGGCCTAAATTGCATATATCCGTCTCCGGGGGAGGTATTCCGAGCTTACTACTCACGGTCTCGGCATTCTTCCACCATCCGCTCATTTATCTGTCTATCCATGCATTTCATTCTCTGCATGGATGAACACCGAAGTCCCCAATCAGGTCATGCCATGCTACACTCCCCCCACCAACTCATCTATCTAATCTATCAAGAGGTGATATTCTGTCTGGGTCAGTGGGTACGGTACAGGTTTTAACAGTGGTGGTGATAGTGATGGTAGTAGTAGTAATGGTTGTAGTAGCAGCACCAGCAGCAGCCGCAGCAGTAGAAGCAGCAAGAGTAGGATGAGGATGATGATGATGAGGAGGAGAAGGATAGCTCCACCTGACCTGCCGTGTGAAGAGAGAAAGCCAGAATATTCTCCCGGGTGTCCGCCCGGTGGAGCACGGACGAACCTCGGGGTGGACTCGGGGTTAGAGGTTCGGGGTTCGGTAGTGGGTGGTGGGTGTTGGATCTGGCTTTGGATGCTCGGGGAGTGGCAGGTGGAAGGTCCAGCCCGGATTGCTTAGGGGCTTGCATTGGCTTAGAGAATCGGCTGGGCTGGGCAGGGTTGGGGTCGTCAGCTGATGATGGGGTGGACTGGACTGGACTTGACTTGACTGGAGTGGACTGGAGTGGAGTTGATCTAGGGTGGAATAGTCGTGGCAGGTTCTGCTTGTCAGATGACGTGACGGGGTTGGTTCAGCTGGCAGTGTCTGGACTGGATTCCGGATTGGAATCTGGAATCTGGAATTTGGAATCTGGGTTCTGGGAGTAAAATTGGGAGGTATAGAGGGTGGAGTGATGTGCGGCTAGGTAGTTGTCGAATAGAGTTGTCTAGACGCACCAGTGTGGAGGGTGGGGGTATGCAGGTGGTTATGGTCGACCGTTGGGCGTTGGGCTGGGCTACACCTGCGACAGTCACCAACCCGGATGGTGACCTGCTTAGAGCCCTGAGTTATTGGTCTACGTAGACATCCAATCACCCTCTAGTTGCTAGTTGCCGAAGTCGGAAATGATCCCGGATGTCCATAGTATTACTAGAAAAATAAATCACCTATTTAATCCGGGAACCCCAGAGCCATGGCATGCTTGATGATTATGGAATTGTTTTCTAGATACAACAACTTCATGTAAACCCCAAACCTCACGAACCCGAGACAAAGGTACCCATGTCGACCTAAATATGACCAAAGATGATGACTATTTTTTGCCCCGAATTTGAGCACACTGCGCACGCCTTCGGCCAAGGTCCTGGAGAAGGCAAGATCCATATCACTCTGACTTCAACACCAATTCCTTCCCGTTCTGGTCATCCAAGCCGAGCTCGTCAGCCTCAGCATCTTCAACACCCTCACGAGCAAAAAACGGATGGTCCGCGCGAAGTCCTCGATTCTGACAGACATAACCCATGGGCGTGTACGTGAAGTCCTGGCCCTTCCTCGCGACCGCGAACCACTCCTCTAGGAAGCGTCTGGGGAGTCGTGTCGATATTTTTATCTTGTGGCGCCGAGATCGACCGGAAGACGTAGATTTAGCAGAGAAACTGGTAGTCGGTGGATCCAGATACCGCAGAATAGCCTTGTACTCGCCGAACTCAAAGTATAGTCTGCCGGCCAGGATACTCAGGTCCAGTTTCACCCCAGAAGGGATTTCACTGTCGAGCCTTGGGATAGTGTGGTAGCGGAAGGTGTTGAAGTGTAGCATCTGCTTTGAGATGGGGGGTGCATACAAAATCAGATAGGTTTGCGGCGAGTCGATGGTTCGGAGAACAGGAATCAGGGCTTCCGCTTCTTCCGGGATGATCACAATGGCCTTGCCAGCCCTGGGACTCCATAGAATCCAGTGGACAGGACGCTAGAAAACGGACGGTCAGTTTCGTGGTTCCACGGTTTAGTGTATGGTTGGAAGAGATACCAAAAAGTCCTCGCGCCAAGTATTCTCCTCCTCTCGAATCGTCTTCATAAATTCAGTTGATAACAGCACGTCCGATTCTCGCACTGGGACTTTGTTCCGCCGACAGATCTTTATCCGCTGTAGAGCACTGAACAGTCGTTCATACCACCCGTCGGCCCCGACCCACCCTGTCCTTGCAAAGTCAAGTAAGCCTTGGCCGAGGCCGGGGAAGCTGTATACGGGAAAGTGTCGAGGCTCTTGGGCTTGCCTCATCTCCTCAACTTGGAACGCCACCTCTCTTTCCTGTTCGACCTCTTCGAACGCTGAATTCGAGGTAAGGGCCGTGCTTGTCTGGTCTGCCTGCTGCATTTTAAGCTCACGCCAAAAGTCCTTGATCTGGTTGCCACTGCCACTGGGCGGGGTACAGCTGATAGGAGGAGACGTCCTCGGATGGTAGAGCTGTTCTAGCGTCTGCTGTTCACCGTGAAGCAATGAATTAACGTAGCAGGATCGAGCTTTGTCGTTGGAGAGAAATAGTGGGTGCGATGACTTCGCACTTTGTCGCTTGCAAAAGTCGAAGCCTTGAGCTATATACAAAGGCCGCAGTTGCTCGTTCCCTCGGCAAGTCTGCTCCAGCAGCCACCGCACCACATCACTGGAGTCTAGTCCATGCTCGGATGACTTGTCACGGTGATCGATGATGCTTTGATGGGCCTCCGGAGAAGCGACGAACATAACGGATTGCGACTTGCCCAGCTGGCGAAGTCTCATGGCAGCTGCGAAAGTCTTAGCCCCCTGATAAACCAGGGCATAATTCAAAAAAGCACAGTGAAAATACCTTGAACTGTGTGGTCCTTAGTTTGGCCCAGGCTTAATGTCAGTGCACCCCTCGCTGACGGTGGGAATTTCAAATCCGTTCCTCTCGTGTGTGCCTCATCGAAGTACACAAGGCACTTGGACAAATCCTCGGCAAAAGGAGACGCCAGAAGAGGGACTTCTTTGCCATTTCGGTATATTAGCGATGCCCTATCATCGGTGTTGAAGTAAACCGCTGCAGGGGCATCGGGATCTATGGCAAGCCACTGGCGGACAAGACCTTCGTTGTCAGACTCCAGGATATGAGCTCCTGCATCGATAAGGATTCGAATGCCGGCCGCCTTAAGCTTTTGAAGAAATTGGGTCTCGGACAGCCGTTTCCCATTCGGTCCTGCCGTGACGGTATATTTCCGATTTCTCCGCTCAAGCAAGTACGCGAGAACCTCGGCATTTGTATGGGATAGCGCAGGGAGGTCGTCTTGCCGTATGGTTAGAGGAAGAAGACGCTTGTTGTCGTTCGTGCCACTGAATCCAGTCGTCAAGGAAACTTGTCCAGAAGATTCCTGATTGAAAGCTGGGATATCCCAGCCAGAAGCCTGGAGTTTACTTTCAAATTGTCTGGCGTGAACCGGAAAAACGGACCTGTTAAGATAGTCGTTTATCACAACCTGCTCAAAGCGAAGATGTTTCCATATCTCCTGTACATGTGCGTCATCGTCGACATTTATCAGGTTCCACCGCCGGAGGCCCATCGGCAGAGAGGCAGAGCGATGTGTCCACCGTCCATACTCGCTTGATGGATCGTCGGATCGTAGCAGCCTACGCAGGGCATTGCGCAGCTGATCAACAGTCAGGCCATTGTAGTAGAATGCTAAGCATGTAAGAACAATGGCAACATCTGGATGTCCCCATTCTGCTTGCTCTGAGGGGATGCCCTTCGCATGAAAGGGGACTGCAACCGGGTCTCTGCCGGGGTGCAGCCCATACTGTACATTCCAACGCTTCTTCAAACACAGGACCAGGATACCGTGTACCAACAGCCCACGCAGTATCCGGAGGATGTGCAATGCGGGAGATTGACTTGGAAATGCTTGACATGCAGAAGATGCCACCTCTTCCGGGAGCTTGGCTTCTGAAAGATACCTTCGGATCCAGTCTCGAGCATCTTCGCTCACTGGCGGCAAGATTGCCAAGCTTCCACTACAGATTTCGTCGACGATCCGCTGGGACAGAGCATGTTCGATGTCTGGCCGGAGAATGTGGATGAACGGAAACCCACCGGAGTTTCGAAACACGAGATCCAAACTTAGGGGGTGGCTTTCTTGTAACTCCTGCAAGTATCCTTCTAATACGCCGAGCAATACCTGCGGGACTGTCCACCGATGAGGGTGACCGTCCACCGCCAGCTGGGTACCGCTCGGGTATATTAGCTGAGTCTTCACAGCCAGCGCAAAATCACATTCGTCGATTACATCGCGGCTCAAGCAATCTAGCCAAGACTGCATTGATGTCATGATCTTGGCAGACTCCAGGTGACCATCACACGTCGCTTGGAGGCCACCCAGGCGAAAGGACAGAACATGATCTGGCTGCGTCAGAACAACTCCAGATATAGACCTAATGGCTTCATGCAAATCCCGATACGTCTGTATCAAGGTGCCTTCGATCGGGGTTTTGCGCGAAAACGGCACATGGAGTATTTCCCGCCCTACCAGTCCTCCCAGACGCGCCTGAAAGATCTGCGCAGTTTGAGAAAGCAATGCGCGGGGTACGACAAGACGTGCAATGCTTTTACCATTCGCAAGGGCAATTGCGACAAGCACCATGATGACGGAAGTTTTACCTATGCGGGTGAGTGGTCAGTCATCTGGGGATTGAGTTGGCTCAACACACCTTGTCCCATGTTCATCTGCAGAACGGAGTTTAACCCGGAAGTGGGCATAATTGTGGCTTGTGCGACGTCTATCTGTCCGGGACGTATGAGGATATCTGCATCAATCTCCAAAAGCAACCAATCTGGATGTTCGTGCGGCTTCCAGTTGGTATGGCCCGAGTTCTGCTGCTCCTCCTCGAATCGATGCATGTCTCCTTTCTTCAAAGCATCCTCCATTCGCAGGTAATGCTGGAGCTGTGTAACCTTGAGCGCATAGTTTAAGATGGCGTCTTTCATACGAATTCCGAAGGATATGTTTGCTGTTGATCTTAAACTTTGCAGGAGGCTGACTGGGCTCAAGCATGGCCACAACTGACCAGGATGTAACCATCTGTAGTGGGCATCACCCTCTGCGAGAGTGTTTAGGATTGCATTGTACTGGTCCTCTGCACATTTTGCTGCCAGGACGAGATCATATCCGCGCTGGGATGTCGGCCTTGCCTGCGGAGCCTCTTTATCCTGCTCATATAGAGCCTCCAAGCTTGTCAGCAAATCTGCCGCATACTGCTTTCGAATTGCGCTTGGAGAGCCGAGCATATTGTGCAGAATGGATTCAAGCTCCCCCAGCTCCGGCCTCGAACTTCTTCCTTTGTTAGAAACATGCTCTTGATCGATGGCCTGTTGCTCCTGGTACGGGCTAACGGTTTGCAACCCCGACCACATCTCTTTCTGGCTTGATGGAGTTGGTCCAATCTTCGAAAGAAGGTTCTTTGCCAGACATGGCAAGATGAATGGCTTCCCCTGTGAGCCAGACATCCGCGCACCACCAGCTGCGACTGGGGGCACGATATCTTGATTCTTATCTGCCCAACGCTCGTCCAGGATATCTTGCAGAGCAACCAGATGGCGGGCGAGTATACAATTTCGCGAAATTCGGTCCCATTCTGTCTTGACCACCGCAGTTGCCTTCTTCGGATCCGGTAGGTCACTGAAGCCAGTCATGTCCAAGTCATCATGGTCACATGGCCACTGCAACGTAATACCTTTTGCCAGCGCATGGATCGTTGCCTCTAGGCCGCCTTTTTCGCCATCGCTCTCGGTATTGTTTGAATCGTCTTCCGGTTGCGAGCTCTGTATGAGGTTGACCGCCCATTGCATTGTTGGAAGCTCATGCCCGTTGAAGTTCACGTAATTTGAACATTTCGGCAGTTTGACCGCTCGGACGTCTAGAAAGTAAAGAAGCGCAGCAAGAGCTCTCAGCAGTTGTACATTGCAAGACCCAAAGGCCATCACTGCCAAGAGAAACATTGGTTCGTAATGGAGTCGTGGTTGATGGAATTGGCGGCAGCAAGAACGTAGGAGGGGTCCCCATTGCATGGCAATGTCCATCTTAAGCGTCTCTGTCAACAGCGGTCTAGAGAGATCTTGCTCATAGCCATTGATCAATGGTACCATGAGGTGCGCAGCAAGCGACCGAGTAGTGTGTACGGACGACGGTCGAGTACGTAGAAGCCGCACAATCTCATAGACACGACGAACGCCTTCCGCACCGAAAGCCTCGTGTTGTGTGTTTTCCATGTCGGCTGGTCTGCCCAGTTGCTCAAAGCAAATGCTTTCCCGTTCATAGCACCGACGACGAGCTAGGGCTCTGCTCCGGAGATGTAAAATATCAGGTTCGAGATCTGGAGGCACAAATGTTTGATCATGAAATATCCCGAGGCGCTGTAGCTTCTTCAGGATATCCTCGACCTTGATCCGGAACTCGTCGTCCTGCATCGATATGGTGGCATTAAGGTCCCAAGTGACCATCTGCTGTACCTTCAAATGCTTAGGGTAATATTCACGTTTGGGTGACAGTCGAGCTAGCGCTAACAAAGGGTGCAGTTTCTCTGTCCTCAGCGCAGTCCAGGGCTGCAAGGCCGCAGATGAAAGGTAGGCCAGTGCTTCTTCCCTTCCTGTTCGTTTTGTGAGAGGGTCGGGTAGCACGAATGAGGTGTACGCATGTAGTAAGGTCTTCATAAACAGGAGAATAGGCTCTGCCGCGCACTGAATGCGACCAAGGATATCATCAACACCGAATCGCGCGTAGGCGCCATCGGTGCCCACGATCCGGACAGAAACATGGGGTCCATTGCGATGATATTCAGGCAGTCCGAGGGGAACAATAACGCTGCGCCGAAGTGAATTGTGCGTATGTCTGAGAACCAACATGCTTTCCAGGCCATACCAGGTTCCGGCGTCCTGGCTTGGCGATATTTCGCAATGCAGCTGCTTGGAGGATAGTAGCCCATCCTTATTGACTTCGAAATCCAAGTTCATTCTCTTTAATTCCACGCAGAGATTTCGCAGGGACGGCTGGAAGACAGTGATATGCTCTGCGTCCTCGAAGTCTTTGAATATTCCCGCCACAGCCTGGAAAAGGATGCTTTGAGGGTCCACCAAGGATACAGTGCGCCGGACTGCCTTTCTTTCCTTGATATTGAGCACCCAGTTGCCCTCCCTGTTGAACTTCCACATGTGAGGTCTTGTTCTGATGTCAAGCTCCTTGGTTCGCAGATTCAACCAGTGCACACAGTCCTCTATCAAGGGATTAGGCAAGTCGAATATCGATCCTTGCCTGAAAATGCCGCTGTCCACGAATTCTAGCAATGAGCCGCGAATCCGTGCAAGTATCACTGGGCCTCCGTTGCGCATTCCTATGTGAATCTCATGTCCATTGTAGAGCGTGGAAAGCCGGTATGCCATGTTAGGTAATGCAGACGGGTAGGCGAGAAGGGGTTGCTGTCCGAACAACGATTGAACTGTGGGCAAAGCATGTATGTCATCGGGCAGTCTACCCAGAGGTTTATTGTCAATGAGCAAGTGGCCCTCCAACACATGATAATGGACGGTTTGGGAAGCTGTAAAATTCGTAGCTTCGACCTGACATGCTAGCCACCACGCATGCCTTCCAGGCAAAGCCAGCCAAGTTGAATACTCCCTAGAACACTCGGCCGCCTCGGGCCAAACATGACCGATTGCAGCTTCCAGGCTACTTGGGGCGGAAATGATTTCGTCACGCAGCCAATTACGAATATTGTGGCTCTCGCGTGTATCTCGAATCAGCATTCCACGTAAGTGTCTGGACAGTTCGGATGGATCCCGGGGCAGGCTATCCTGCAGAGTAATAGAGGCCTCGATGAAGGCTTGCAATGATCGGACACCCCGATGGTCGTGACCGTCGCCGGGAGAGTAAAATGTTCTTTTGCATATCAAGGCTGCCATGGCAGCATAGGAGCTAAGCTTAGCAGTGGATTTATTGGTAGTCGATCCCTGGATCTCCGTACGAACCATTTCAATCCACTTAATCATGATGCTCTGCACCCGTCCTAGGAGCTCTCGAGCCTTGGATGCCGATTTTTCTTCCCCGATGGAGCAAACCCGGAGGATGATGGTCAACAGCGTATCCATGTAATATGGCTCGCGCCAGTTGGAGGAGACACCATGCAGATGCCTCTCCACTTGAGTGAGAAGCTTATCACAGAACCAGCCATCTCTCAGCGGTATATGAGTCATGCGAGTCTGTACGTCTGAACCCCTAGGTCCAGCTTGAAGACAGAGATATTTGAAGATATGAGTCGTTTCTTCAGTGCTAAAGTTGATATTTGAAGAGCCAAGTTCACGCAAGATTGAGAACCAACGAGTGTGTTTTCCGGAAAGAATGCTCTGACAAGCCATAAACTCATGAACCGTTACTCGGGGGGGACAACGGGTTTGACTGGCTGTTATCTCATACGACGACGGGCCGTCCGCATCAGGTGCAAACTTCGGTCTTTCAGCTTCTTGGATTCCGAGAAGCGCTTGGATGGAGGGAGGCAAGCCAAAGTGATGGGAGAACGTGAGTTCCGAGTTCAAGGACTTACACCATACCTGATTTGTGCTATCGTAATAGAACAAGGAGAGCCCAAATGGCAGCAATACCTGAGACTCTGAGGTCGGGAAGGGAACGCCTTTGTAATGGGCGACGAGAAAAGACTTCGATGTCGATGCCAGCTGAACAGTACGTTTTGGCGACGTCTGGTCAAACTCGCGCAGCTGGTCATAGGACGTCAAGAGCATCTTAGCTCTGTCTTGGGACATCCATCGTGACGGGCTGGGCACACCTAGAGTGCTTGCGATTTTCCATGTGGCATCGCGGTAGATGGCAAATGACTGAGGCATGCTCAACTCGAAGAGAATTGCTTTCTCCTCCGCAGTATGCTCTGGTGTATCGCAAGCCGGCAGGAAGTCTTCGTGGACAGTCATTCGCAGTTTCTTTCGCTGTCGTTTCAGGGGGCAAACCTCGCAACTACTGGAGTCGCGGGCAATACCGCGCTTTCGAATACAACAACACGACAATGGTAATATTTGGGATGTGAGCTCCTCGTACTTCCTATATCTCTTTTTAAACTCTGACCGCTTCCATGCTCGTTGCGCGGACGACGCCTCTATGATTTTGGATCTCAGCTTTTGCAAGGGACCGCCGTGGATAGAATCAAAGAAACGGACAGCCAAGCAATCTTTCCCGGGGTCGCTAAAGATTGTGAGATGTGGAAATCGGCATTGTCTCTGTCTACCATCTAGGTATTCCTGAACCTTCTGCAATCTTTCCATATCGCCCAGCCTGGACAAGTGAAGTACATCCAGAATCTCCGGGCGGAACAAGGGGTGGTAGTCTTCCAGGAGCGGATATTCATGTATAGCTGAGCGATCTGCCTCGGCCCATGCCTCAAAGATGGCGAGAACCATTAGGCTCTTCTGCTCGAGATCGCAGTCGTATGCATCGAGTGGTCCCAGGTCCAGATAATGGATGACTGCCTGGCTAAGCCCGTTGCCGCCATTCAGGGGCCGCAACTGTTGAAGCCGTTCTTCCTCCTCGAACAGGCTGTGGTATTTCCCAGCAAACGCCTGAAATCCTGTCACTGTAGCCTTGGCCATTCTGTCCGCCAGTGGATGTTCCAGGGACGCGGGTTTGCGTTGTTTCATATTTTGGCCCCTGTGACGTTTCAGCACCTGCTCGAGGTATGCAAGGCTATTAGGCAGAGCCAGGTTCAGATTATCTTGATTCGCGCGTAGTGGAAGGGCAGGTATCAATCGCTCCACCTTTCGTTTGAACCGGTTCCATTCGCCATCGATATGCTGCAATGCTGTCTGGATCATGCCCTCACAGAAATTCCCCACTGCATCAAACAGTTTCCGATCCTTATCCTTCGTCTCCCCCCACTGCGCGTCCAGCTTGGTCAGTCGTCGGCAGAGCTTTGCTTTCAGGAGATGGGACTTTTCCACGCTAACAATCCCCAGACTATCATTGAGCAAATGAGCTAAGAGCACGCACTGTAGCGATTTGTATCTAAGACATCCTTCGGCAGGGGAGCTGGAAAATGCCAGAAGGCGTTGAATGCCGACACGAAGGACCAGCCAAAAGGCAGACCTTCTCCAACACCTCTCAGACTTCTTCCAATAAACTTCGTCTCTCACGCGCTTTCTCAAGGGGCAGGGATCGACCGGTTCACCGAGCGCGCCCACTAGGGCAATTAACATGTCGCATATCAGTGCTGGGTCGGCGGTGTCACGAATCTCCACCAGTTCTACCCCTGCCTTCCTGGATTTGGCAGCGAACTGCTCAATCGGCTCAACGCTGGCTTGCTCCACAAAGGCGCTCATGCTATCCAGGAAGGAACGGTCTTGAAAGGTCGACAGAGGCATGGCCGCGGCGGCGCTTGGGAAGTCACATATAAGGGCGTTTTTCGAGGCCAGCACTTTCGCGGCTCCAGGAGATGCTTCGAACGCTTCAAAGACGACACGCTCATTATCACCACTGAGAATGCCCGTGTTAGTCTGTCGGCATCAAACCCTTGCTCGCGTGGAAATTTGATCCGCTCACCTCTCATCAATGCGAATCAGGAGTCCAGCATTCTGCTCCGCGATATGTAGTATTATCAGCCTTTTGCAAACGAGCTCTTGGAGGGCGAGAACGAGATTCTCCCCGACCACGCGGCCATCGACGTGTACTTCCTGGCAGGCAATCAAGGACTCCCTGACGCTTTTCCAGGTCTCACTCTCCGGCTCAAGTTGACTCATTATGTCGCTCGCGTTGAGCATCCGTGCCAGGAGATTCCCTTCCACGTGGACGATTTCTGCATCATGCCTCCCTGGCAGCTGCGGGCCAAGGACCACATGGTCGAAGACTCGTTCCTCGAGATGCGAGTACACCATGGCTCCCACAGATAAACCGTCGTTTTCACAGGAATCAAAAGGCAACCCGATCCGTCTTGACTGTGTGAAACAGAAATGACTAGCCGAAAGGTCAGTGAATGATCTGGAAGCAAGCGACGATGTGTGGGCATAAACCTTGAAGCTTTCACTGTTGACTGCCAGCGAGCCTGATGGCACCCTGTCTGGGCCAGCAAGAATCCGCGCCTTTCTTGCGTCCAAGTACAACTAAAGCAAAAGACCTCTTCTGTCTTTGGCTTATCCTTTCGAGCGACATTGACAGTGGACAGTGGGGTGTAAGTCAGACCACACTTGCAAGGGGGACGCGCATTTTATAATGCATCATGACGTGGGCTACAGCGGACTTCCTCGGTCGTGCTCTGACAGCAGAAAGCCCTAACCCCTACCCCGGAAACGACACGTCTCTCCCTGGTGGTATAACAATAACTGTTTTAGGGTTTACAGTAGAAAGATGTGGATAGATCGTCCAGAAATGCCCTCCCGTCCTATCAGTCCTGGTAATCTATATAACGGCTAGTAAGATAAGATAATAAAGATCTAATTCTATAATACTGCTGTGCAAGCAGATAAGCTATATAAATATTAAATATAGAATTAGATAAAAATAGGATATATCATATATACAATATAATATAATAATCACTAAAAATTACAATTGATAAATTGAGATTAGATTAATAAAGTAGCTAAATTCTACATCATGATTGAATTTAATTTTTTTGTTTAATTTATTATATATTTTTTTACTCTGCTGAGATCGGGTTACCAGAGCGGCTAAATCCTAGGCCACCACCGGGGTCCGGGCCAAGCCGTCCTTCCAATCCAATACCTCCGCCCTTCTCTCTACCCATCCCACCCCACCCCACTTAATCTCTCCCTGAGTCCCTCCGTCACATCACATCACCTATCTATCTTACACTCCTCCCTCTTCCCCTCCCCAAACCCAAACCAAGCCCAAACCAAAAAAGAAACCACCACCATGCCCTCTCACCTCATTCCCCGGTGGAAACCCAAGAGCGAGCGCGCCTTCGAACAGGCCCTCACGCAGTATCAGGCCGAGGAACGCCGGGGGAGAGACGGGCCAAACAAACCCGCCAGGTCGTGGATCGGACTGTACTTCGGGGAACGGGAGCGTGGGATCCCGATCCCCCAGCGCTGACGCCGCATGATGCACGATGGAGGGGCTGCTGGTGTTATTACATCCGGCATTGGTCCTACTGCCCAGAGTCAGTGTGACGTGTCAGAGTCAGAGTCTGAGTCTGAGCGAGCCAGATAACAACAACGACCTATTTAATAATATACTGATAAATAGAAGAAGAAGAAGAATTTCCTTAAAAAAAATCCGAATTAAAGCTAACTTATGTAAGACAGCAATCTTGAATCTAGGGGAGTTGTTGCCACTGAGCCAAAAGGCTAACATTACCCGCAGTTACTACCTGCGGACCCCTAGAATGCCATTATCCCACATATATACTCAAGTACACCCGGGAGGAGGTGGGCTTTACCCTTGTAAGTATGCATATCCGGATCGCGCGGATATCATCCCTTACAACTTACTTCTAGAGCTATATTAGATATACAAAACTATTCTATATTTGATACTTCTTTAATAACAATAAAATAAGTATATTTAAAAGATCCTTAATGATTTCAATTAGTTTAGTATATAAGAAAAGAATAATAATTGATTTTAATCTTATTTCTAACTTAGAACATACAATTAATATATTAATAAAAGACAATACTGCGAATAGATACAAAAATATTATATATAATCATTATTTTTATATTCAAGATTACTTTCTCTTTCTCTGGTTTTGGTGTTGCTTTCATCCGCTTGGGTTTACGATGTAAGGTTGTAGGTAAGTATGATGCTTTGCCGGTCGAATGAATGTTAGAGAAGTTATATACTTGGAATAGACTTTGCTGATAGAGCCTCTACTTACATTCCCCCACCCCCGGCCTACAAACAAAGTTGTTTAGTTTAGTACTTACTACTACCCACCCTCGCAAACCAAGTCTTCTCTCCCCCCAACGCGGGCTCCATATCCAACCCCACCCTCCCCACCACACCCCCACCATCAACGTAAAACTCCACCTTGATAAACTCCGGCCCCGCGTCCTCCGCCTCCGGATTGAAGTACTTCACTACAAAGAACTCCCCGCTCACATGCTCGAATCTCATGAACCGGGGAATGACCCGGTCAGTCAAATCCGAAAATAACCCTCCATGCCTGATTTCGAGCACGAGTGTGCCGTAGGCAGGGTGCGTGTATGTGCCTGTGTAGGAATCCAGAGTGAGGGAGTGGGGGAGTTTGGTGTGTAAATTCAAAGTGGGAAATAATCGATCGATGACTGCGGGGAGAGTCTCGACTCTGGGAGTCCATCGCTCGGTCAGTTTGCGGATATGCGCGGTTCGCTCATCTTCTACACCCGCCCCGGTCCGTCCGAGTAGGTTGTCGATGAGCGTGAGGTATAATTCTAACTGCACGATGCGCGCGTCCTGGGAGTTGCCCATCATCGCGAACCCCCATCCGCGTCCCGGGAGGAAGCCGACCATGATTCCGAACCCTTCCCAGCTTCCGCTGTGATAGTATATTTGCTGTCCGGCGTAGACGTCGACAAACCATCCGAGGGAGTAGAGATGGAATCCCCCCGGTCCGGCTGGCGGACCGAGCATGCCGTCCCAGTCATCTGCTGAAATGACCGATCTTGGAAGACGGAGGGACCTGTGGGTTTGCGGTGAGAGAGGGGGCGATTGGTAGATCAGCGCACGGATCCAGTGCGCGTAATCGAGGACAGTGCTGACGATGGCGCCGGTCCCGGTGGTAGGGGCGTAGTTTAGGTACGGGACGGAGACTTGCGTGTTTAAGACAGGGTCAAAGACGTAGCCTGTTGCGAGACGGGGGGATAGTGCCGGGTCGGTCCGGACGGCGTGCACGTCGAAGTAGGTATCGTTCATGCCGAGGGGGGTCCAGATCCGTTCTTTCAGGGTCTGCGACATGGGTTTGTGGGTCAGGGATTCGAGGAGGTGCGATGCCGCGATGAACATGTGGTTGCAGTAGACGAAGCGCGTGCGCGGCGGGTAGGCGATGTCCAGATGGCGGAGTTTGCGGACGGCTGTGCGGAGGGACTCGCTCGGTTGGGCGAGGGACATTGCCCCGAAGTGGCCCGGGAGGCCGGTGCGGTGGGACAGGATGTCTTCGATCGTGGTGCTTGAGGTGAGGGCCGGGGAGGAGAGGACGAAGTCGTCTCGCATGAGGGTGGAGACTGGTGTCGTCCAGGTTATTGGGGTGGGGGTGGTTTGGCTGTCTTCGAGGGTCAGGGAGAGGGCGGCTGCCGTAAAGGCTTTGGTGGTGCTGCAGGTGCTGAAGAGGGTGGTGGGTGTCATGGGTGTTTGGGTGGGGAGGGAGGCGAAGCCGTAGGCCTGGATGATTGTGTTAGTGGGTGATTGCGATGGAGGGCGGAATTGAAGGTGGGGATGGATGGATGCACCTTAGAGTGGGTGGTGGAGCCGTGGATGATGGCGATGGTCAGGCCCGGGATCTTCCATTTTTCGAGCAGCGAGGCGACCAGGTCGTCGAATTCGGGGGTCAGGGGGGAGGTGGTGGTGCGGAGGACCATGATAATAGTGTGAACAGAATTATTGGACTGGAAAGGTGTCCGGACACCTATATGGCTGCGATGGTGCTAAGTCTGACGACGGTGTTGAAGAGTGGGTAAATGGTTTAGAGAAGCTGTTGGAGAGAGAAGTGGAAGACACCAAGTACTAGTAGATACCCAGGTAAGGCTAAACTAGGGGCATCCCTGTGTCAGCACTAAGCAGCTAGTTAGTGCTAGCTGCAGGTCAGCCGGAAACTGACAGGTAACAGGCCAGGGATCCATCCCTGTCGCCCGATCGGGTCTGATCATCTCATTCTCACTCGTAGCATGTGAGTTGCAATATATATCTATTCAGATGGAGGCCAAGTCTGTATACAGGACTGGGTGTAGATCACAGCGATGTAGATAGACAGGAAAGTAAGATAATTGAGATCGGATGAGAGTGTGTGAAAAATCCGGTAAAAACCGTTAAATTACTTGAAATTAGCCGCATATATCCATGCCTACGCAAGCCCCATACGCCAGGTCATAATTCATGCAGAGGCAGCAGCACCCCAACCACCACCGCCAGCAGTGTTGATAACGATGCGATCGTGCGTCTTCATCGAGACCGTGTTCTTGCCACCAATATTCACGACACGTTCCGCTCCCGTGTCGACATCTTTAGTGACCCACAGGTTCAACCCCGGCTGTGCGTCCTCGCCGCCCTCGAGTCCGTACGGGCGGTAGACCCGACGCTCCGAGAGGATGGACACCTCCATGGGCGACAGGAACTCGATATCGCGGACCACGCCGTCGCCGCCGGGGTGGTCGCCCTTGCCGCCAGATCCCTCGCGAAGGGTGAACTGGCGCAGCAGAGTTGGGTACCGCTTCTCCAGGATCTCGGGGTCGGTGATGCGCGTGTTGGTCATGTGGACGTGGATACCGGACTCGCCGTTCCAGGTCGGGCCGGCGCCGCTGCCTCCTGCGATGGTTTCGTAGTATCCGAAGCCGGGGATTGTCTTGCCTGTTTCGGGGTCGGTCTTGGAGTTGGTGCCGAAGGTCAGGTTGTTGCAGCAGCCTTGGGAGGCAGCGCAGGCGCGGAAGGCCTTGAGGACGACGTCGGTGATTCGTTGGGAGGTTACCACGTTTCCGCCGACGACGGCGGCGGATTTGGTGGGTGATAGGATGCTCGGGGAGGGGACTTCGATGTTGATGGGGGCGAGGCAGCCTTGGTTGAGAGGCATGTCGGCGTTGATCATGCAGCGAAGACAGTAGATGATGGCGGAGTGGGTGATCGCGATCGGCGCGTTCCAGCCTCCGTACACTTCCGGGCCGGTGCCGGCAAAGTCGAAGGTGGCGGAACCGTCGTCTCCGTTGATGGTGACTTTCAGCTTGATGGGGGTGCCGTCGTCCATGTAGTCGACCGCCTCCAACGGCTGGCCGCCGAACTTCTTGTGGAGGTCCTTGAGGAGGTTGCGCACCGCTGTCTCGGCGGTGACTTGGATCGCGTACATGTACTTCTGCACCGTCTCGACGCCGTATTCTGCGAAGAGGGCTTGGATCAGGGTAATCCCCCGGGTGTTGGCGGCGATCTGCGCCTTCAGGTCGGAGAGGTTGTCGCTGACGCATCGCGCTCCCGAGCAGCCGGGGTACTGGGCGGGTTTGTGGACCAACAGCTCCATCATGCGCTCCTCGTCAAAGATGCCATTGGTGACGATCTTGTCGCCCTCGATCGCGGCGCCCTCCTGCCAAAGCTCTGTGGACTTGGGGGGCATCGATCCGGGAAGTATGCCACCAATGTCGGCGTGATGACCGCGGGAGGCAACGTAGAACATGATTTCAGTGCCGCCCGGCCTGTCAAAAACAGGTGTTATTACCTACAAAATCGTCAGTAGGTCATTATTCTTATTCACATAGATCTCACTTACAGTGATATCAGGCAAGTGCGTTCCACCGCAGCTGGGATGGTTGGCAACCAACACGTCGCCGTCCTTCAGGTTACCAAGCCATTTCTGGTGCTGGTAGCGAACAGCAAACTGCATGGATCCGAGATGTACCGGAACGTGAGGAGCGTTGGCGACAAGGCCGCCGTCGGGAGAGAACAAGGCGCAAGAGAAGTCCAGTCGCTCCTTGATATTGGTCGACACCGATGTTTTCTGTAGCGTGCGGCCCATCTGCTCGGCAATTGACATGAAGCGATGACCGAAGATGGTGAGTCGAATGGGGTCAATTCCCGATGACGCCGCCTCGACTGCAGAGTCTCCGGGCAGTTCCTTCAGGTCGATGACAATGCAAGTCTCCAGGATACTGGCCACGGCATTGGGCGCCACAACGACTGTTTGCGTCTCGTCGATGATGACAGCAGGACCATGGATGCGGGTGTTCTTGTCGAGCTTGTTGAGGGGGTAGACGGGGGTGTCGATCCGTTCCGAGTAGCCGTCGAAGTAAGCCTTGGAGGTGTCGTCCGGTCCGTTGGTCACATCTTTGAGGGTAGCCTCTCTCAGTTGCACTAGAGGGCTCTTTTCCTCCCGCACCTTCGAACTGGCGATAGTTCGCACACGAATGTCATCCACTAGTACCGGTCTGTCCGAGTTGAACCCGAACTCTCTGCGGTGCCTGGCGCGGAATTCCTCCAAGAAGTCGGAGTCATCCTCGGGCTTCAGGATCATGAGGCTGGTATCCGAGCCCTCGTAGCGAAGGTTGAGGTACAGTTCGTGCCGGACCTGGTCAGCAGCGAAGCCCTGGGTCTTCATGTCATCGGTCGCCGCCTCCTTCAAGCCGTCGAAGCGCTTCTCAAGGGTTGAGTGAGAGGTCGAGTAATCGGTGGAGACCGGCTCCTGCGATTCCTTGACGACCTCAGCCAGTGCCAGACCGTAGGCCGAGAGGACAGAGGAAAACTTGTGAATGATGATGCGGGAGATTCCAAGGGAGGCTGCGACGGTGCACGCATGCTGACCTCCAGCGCCACCAAAGCAAGCCAAGTGATGAGAAGCAGTTTCAAAGCCACGAGCTTCGGTGAGGTTTCGAATGGGGCGAGCCATCGACTCGTCGGCAACCTTCAAGAACCCGAGCGCAACCTCCTCAGCAGTGAATTTCGACTGTCCCTTCTCTTTCCTCTCCGTGTTGATCTTCTGGGTTAACTCGTTGAACAAATTCGTCGTGACCTCAAGATCAAGCGGCTGGTCCTCATTCGGTCCGAAGATGTGGGGGAAGTACTGCGGCAGTAGCCGGCCAAGGAACAAGTTCGCATCGGTGACCGTCAAAGGACCACCCTTCCGGTAGCAAGCTGGGCCCGGATGAGCGGATGCAGACTCGGGTCCGACATAGAACAAGCCGTTGCGCCAGGACAGGATTGAACCACCACCAGCAGCCACAGTATTGATATCGAGCTGAGGGGACTGAATGAGCACACCGGCAACCTTCGACCCAAACACGTGCTCAAGGTGGCCGTCAAAGCGCGACACATCGGTCGAAGTACCACCCATGTCGAATCCGATCACCGGAGTCTTCTCGGTGGGATCCCAGCTAGTGGCAGCAAAGCCGACCACACCGGCAGCTGGTCCAGACAAAATCGCCTTCAGCCCGCTGAATCTGCGAAAGTCGACCAGTCCACCGTCGGACTGCATGAACTCGAACCGGCACTCGTGCTGCTTCTCCAGACCGCCCTCGAAGCTATCCGAGATCGAGTCGATGTATGTTTTGATAACAGGCGTGAGGTACGCATCCGCAGCGGCAGACATGCCGCGAGGAACGACCTTGATCATGGGCTGAAGCTTCGAAGACAACGTCACGGAGAACCCCATACTCTGAGCCAGTTCTCCGATCTGGCGTTCATGCTCGGGATACGCAAACGAATGGACCAGCGCAACAGACAGTGACTGATATCCCTGCTCCTTCAACCGCTGCAGCACGGGGCGAAGTTCCTCAACGTCCAACTCTTTTACCACCCGGAACTTCTCCCCCGTTGTGCCCTCCACGATCCGCGCCTCGGTGAAGCAATCCTTGTCCGCTAGAGGATGACACGGCACGACACGCTCATTAACTTCCACAACCTGCTCCGGCAAAACTCCGGGCCTTGCCATCGACAGATCGAAAATATTCGGGCGGGACTGATCGCCAATCTTAAGCAGATCGCGGAACCCCTTGGTGGTGAGGAGAACCGAGCGGGCGCCCTTCCGCTCGAGCAGAGCATTCGTCGCTACTGTCGTTCCCATACGCAGACTGCCAATCCGATCGAGCTTCAGCGGCTTACCACGGGGATGTGACTCGCCTGTGACGAGCTCGAGAATCTGGCGAATACCCTCGGTGGGGGCATCCTGGTAGTGGCCGGGGTCGACGGAAAGAAGCTTGAGGATGATGTCAGGAAGACCGGGGACGATGGCGTGGACGTCAGTGAAGGTGCCCCCGCGGTCAATGGAGATGGTGATTTTCTCTGACCCGGGCATTGTGATAAGGGGGGATTGGGTCGAGAGAATGCGCGTGGAGGGGAGGAATGGGAGGGGGATGTGAGGGATGTGGAAAGTGGGATGGAGGGGCATTCCCCGGGTTCAAATAGTCCATTAGTTATCCGGGGTCGCTGATAAGACAGCCGACTGTCAGTACATGTCGTCACTAGTCGTGCGGAGCGCTCATTGGCGGGCAGTCACGTGTCGGGCCGATGCCCGGGCTGTCGGCGCTTCCGGGCCGATCAGGCCGCTTCAGGCAGGCGATAAGGCGATAAGGCGATAAGGCCTCAAGGCGCCAAGGCTGGCGGGGGAGCTGTCGTTACTTGTGACTCTTACCATTCGATTACTATTCGCCTCAGATCGTTCGTAGTTCCCAAGATCAGGGGTTTGCTTAGCGTCGAGGCTGACTCGTCTTATCCCCTGCTTGACTCCCGATGATATTACTTCTTTCATCACTGTGTTGATCGGATATATATTCACTGGCCCTATAAGGTGTGCATCCGAAGACGAAACAGCTTTCACAACCTACTGAATCATTTGGCAATATAAAGGATAGACGTTACTATGAAGCCAGCGGTACATCCAGGTCATCAATTTCATATTTCCTATAGAGAGAAGTATTCTACCTGTCAACAATATGGGCAGACTGGCCAGTTCGCTGCCTAAGGCTCGCCAGTTTGCGGCCTCAGGCCAGTTGGCTGTCTTAGACTATTAGTTAATAGACTAATAATTCTAAGTTTTATCTATTCTGTAATAAAATAAAAGATCTTATTTTTATTAATTATTCTAGTCTTTATTTAATTATTAATTTTATTATTCTCAGTTCTGTTTTATTTATATAATTTTTATATAATTTTTATATAATTTTATATAATTTTATATACTTTTAATAGCTAATTAATTATAAATATAAATAAAAAGATCTCTTAATTTTTAATTAGTTTTTTAATAAGTTTTAATTAAATTAAATCAGCTTTTAGTCTTTTTTTTATTTATTTAATCTTTAATTTTTTTATTATTTTTTTTATCTTTTTTTTATTTTTTTTTATTTTTATCTTATTTTTATCTTATTTTTATATTTAATTTATATAAGAAAGTGAGAGTTTAGTAAAGTCTTTTTAAGAGATTAGAAAAAAGTTCTTATTTAATTATTTAATTTTTAATTTTTTTTATTTTTTATTTCTCTTATCTTTCTCTTACTTTTATCTTATTTTTATATCTAATTTATATAAGAAAATAAAAGTTTAATAAAGTTTTCTTAAGAAATATTCTTATTTTTTAAAAAAAATTCTTAGTTATAAGTCTGATTATATTTTTATATTAATTTTTTATTAATATTTCTGAGATTTTTTATATTCTTTTATTTTTTTATTTTTATTTTATCTCTGACTTAAAATTTATATAAGAAATTATAAAATTTTTAAATAAAAAATAAAATCTATCTAAATTCTTAAATTCTTTTAATTATTTTTTTATTATATCTTAAAATCAGTAATTTAAGAAAATTTTTATTATTCTTAATAATTAATCTGATTAATTTCTTTAGATTAATTAAATTTAATTATTTATTATTAATAAAAATATCTAAAAATATATAAATCTAGATTTATCTGAGAAATCTAACTACTCTATTAAGTCAGTTATTATATTTATTTTAGATTTTAATTATTATATTATTTTAATAATAAATCTTAATAAATCAGATTATCTTCTATATTAAAAAATTATAAATTAATTTAATTATTAATTTAAGAAATAAAAGAAAATTATCTCTAGACTAGTCTTTTTAAGTTTATTAATAAATTTTATATTAAATAAGTAAAATCAGTATACTATACTTAATTTAAAAAGATCTTATTAAATTTTATAAGCTTTAAAAAAAAGAATTACTTTTATTAATCAGTTCTATATAAGAAAAATTATTAATAAATATTATAAACTGCAATTCTTAGAAATAAAGAATTCTATTAAAAATTATATAACTTAATAAAAGCTTATTTATTTAGAAATAATAGAACTAAAATTAAGTAAGATTATTAGTTTTATTTAAATAATTTATAACTTTCTTAAATCAGTTCAGAAAATAATAGATAATTTTATAATAATTTAATAATTAAAATTAATTAATAATAAAAATAATTAGAAAGAATTATCTAAGTTTTTTAAAATAATATAAAGAGTATATAATTAGATTTATCTAAATTCTTAAATTAGATAATTTATTAAATCAGTTAACAGTGACAGTAATAAAATCAGTTATATCTCTTTTTAAGATCTTTCAGATAATTCTAAATTAACTGTTTTAATAACTAAGTTAAAACAAACTTTCTAAAATAATAAAATATTAATAAAAAAATAAAGATTTAAGAATCAGCTTTGTCTATATAAATTAGATAAAAATAATAGATTTTATAATTTTAATAATTATTTCTATATTAATAAGAAACTAAGAGATTCTGAATAAAAATCTGAGACTAAAATCTTAAATTATTTTAAAAATACTTTTAGAAATAGTTCTAAATTAAAATATTTTTTTAAATAATATTATCAGATTTATTAAATATTATCTTTATTTAATAAAAATAACAAAGCAACTATTAAGATAGAAAAAATCTTCTTAGTAATAAATTAATAAATTATTTATTTAGAATAATTATTAATATTCTATTTATTTTAATAGACTTTTAATACTGCTTCAAATAGTTATATCTATAATTTTTTAAATTTCTTTATTAATTATATTTTTATTATAAATAGAAGTAAATTAATAAAAATAAAAATATTATTTTAGTTATTTAAAACTATAAAATAATTATTTTTTATCTTACTTATTTAAATAAAAAAGATTTATATTTTAAATTTAAAAAAATAATTTATATTTCTTAATTTTATATAAATATTCTCTCAGCTGCAAAAACTAATAAAAAAAGACTATTTCTAAATAAAAAAGATAGATTTCTTAAATAAGCAGATAAAACTCTATTATATTAAATTAAGAAAATTAAAAAAATATATTATATTTAATAAAAACAAAAATCTAATTCTATTATAGCTATCACTATTAAATTAAGCTAGTTAATTATTAAGATAAGTTAGTTAATTATCTCAGACTTGTCAGTTTATAATCTTAAGCTAATCAAACTCTTAAAATATTAATATATAATATCTGGAACAGCTAAAGAATAATATAAAAAATTAGAGTATTTTAATAAAAAAGTTCTAAATTATTTAAGTAATTTAGCTTAGAGAATTAATATTACTAATTTATTAAAACAGATTAGCTTAAATAAACTAAGCTAAAATAAAAAATACTTTATATATAAAATTAGCTAATCAGAAAGACAAATTTTAAAATAAAAATTTAAGAAAAAAAATTAGATATTTAAATTAATTTATTAGAACTTAATTTATATAGTAAATAAAATTAATAAATAGAGATATATTAATTATTTTTATTATTTCTATTTAAAATTTTATCTAGGGCAAGTTCTAACTTCTAAATTAGATATTTTAAAATTAATTATTAATATAATTTAATTAATTATTAATTAGTTTAAAATAATATTCAAAAAATTTTATTCTAATTAAAATTAGAATCTTAATATCTTTCTAATTTAGACTAGTATCAAAAATCTATTAATTAATTATTTATTAATTTATCAGTCAGAATAAAATCTATATACAGAAAGATTTAAAGCCCTAATTATTTTTAAAATAAGAAGTTTATTAATTAATTCAGAACTTTTTATATTTTTATAATCTAAAATAATAAATTCGGCTATTTTTATTCTAAATAGAATATTAAACAAACAACTAAATTAAGAAATATTATATAAAACTATCTAAAAAAGTCTTTTATAATTACTTGAAAAATCAGATATTTTCTATTTAAGAAAATATAAATTATATATTTATACTCAAATTAATAACTTACTTAAAGAAAATAAACTAAAGTTTAGAGTCCTAATTAATTATCTAATTAATTATTAGATAATTAATATTTAACAGATCTGAATATTTATTCTTAAAAGAATAATTTTAATTTATAATATTATTTTTAATAAAAATTTTAATTATAAATAATATATTAAATTAGGAAATCTATTAATAAAGCAAGAAATAACTAAATTAATTAATTTTATTTAATTAAAATAATCAGATATCTCTATTTCTGAAGAATCTAAAGAATCTAATATAGATAAAAATCTTTCTAATTTAAAAATATTAAAATAAATATCTAAATCTTTATTAAATAATTAATCAGAATAAGATTAGTTAATAATCTCAGATCAGTTAACTACTGAATCAAGCTAGTTAATAATCTTAAATAATTAGTTAGATACCTCAATTAGATAAGATAATAATATAATTATAGAAGATTTATTATCTTTTCTATCTAATCTATCTTCTTTACCGTCTCAGATTCTTATTAATAATTTAAATATTAATAAACTAATTAATAAAACTAAGTTCTTAGATATTAAATTAATCAGAGATCTGAAATAGATCTATTTAGAATTATCTAATTTTAATTTTAAAAAAGCTAGGCTCACTCTCTAAGTTATTTAAATAATAATTAATTCTATTAATAAAAATAAAATTCTCTATATTAATTTTTTATTACTTTTATCTCTGTCTATTAACTAATAAGAAATAAAAAATTATATATTTTTAAGCTAATTTACTCAGACTATTAAAACTAAAATTAATTAATTAGAAGTTCTAAATACTTAGAATATATATTTAATTTATAAAACTAATAGAGCTGAAGTATTATTATTAAAATAAATATTTTTATATAAATTTAATAAAATTAATTATCTAATTAATTTTAAAGTTTAAATTTATATTAGAAATAATTTATAGATATCTGATTAATTAAAAATATATATTAATATTTTTATAATTAGATTTATACAGATTCTTTTGGCTCTAATTATTATATTTAATCTAAAAATTAATTAACTAGATATAATTACTGTCTTTTTTAATAATTTTATTAAGAAAAAAATCTATATAGATCTAATTTCTAAATTAAAAAATAAATAAATAGTTTTTCTATTATAAAAAGCTCTATATAAATTAAGATATTTATTATTTCTTTAATAAAATATCCTGAAACAAAGATTAATAGTCTTAAGACTTAAGTCTATTTAGAAAGATTAATATATTTTTATTAATAAATTTATAATTTTAATAATTTTATAAATAATATAATTTATATATTTTATAAATTAAATTATTAAAAATTTAATAAATTCAAGCAAGAATTAATAATATTATTTAAATTTAAAAATCTTAAAGAGATTAATTTATTTTTTAATATTTAAATCTTATATAATCACTCAAATAGAAAATTATAAATTTAATAATTAAATTATATTAATAAGATTATTAATAAATTTAATTTAAAATAAAAAAAAAGTTCTAAATCTTTATTTTTAAGTAAGAAATTAGTAAAGAATCCATTTTATTAGATTATTATTAATTAAATTTATAAATTTTAGTAAAAAATAGAATCAGCCTTATATTCTATAGTTTAGACTAGATCTAATATTATTAAATTATATCAGTTAATTTCAGAATATCTAACTAATTCAAATTCTAAATATCTTAGAACTATAAATTATTTAATCTTTTATTTAAAAGAAATAAAGAACTTGGCTATTAAATTTAATTCTAGCCCTATTTTATTTTATATAGCCAGTAATACTAGTTTTGCTGATAATTAAGATTATACTAACTTAATAAAATATATTATTTATTTATTTAATAATTCTATTAATTAATTAAGTAAAAAATAATATTATATAATTCTTTTAACTACTAAAGCTGAATTATTAGTTCTAATTATTATAATTAAGCAACTTCTTTAATAAAAAAGATTTTTTAAATAAATAGAATTTAGCCCTAATCAATACTTCTCTATATTATATAATAATTATCAAACAGTCAAAATTCTTACTAATAAGAATTTCTTCTTTTAAACTAGTCTGAAATATATTAATATTACTAATTATTAACTAAGACAAGAAATTCTGAATAAAATAATTAATATTCAGTAAATATTTATTAATAAAATATAAGCAGATAGCCTGACTAAGCAGTTTCTTAATTAAAAATATACTTAATTTATTAAACAGTTAAATATAGTAATTTATTAAATTCTATTATTATTATTTTCTATTTTTAATAATTTATTTACTCCAGTTTTTTCTGATATTTTATCTTATTAAAACTGCGGGAATATATCAATAATATAGACAGACTGGCCAGTTTGCTGTCTAAGACTTGCCAGTTGACTGTCTAAAACTCGCCAGTTTGCTGTCTAAAACTCACCAGTTTACAATCTCAGACCAGTTGGCTGCCTTAGGCCACTGATTAACAGACTAATAATTCCAAGTTCCGCCTACCCCGCAGCGGAGCAAGAAACCTTACTTTTATTAATTATTCTAGCCCCTATTCAATCACTGATTCTATTATTCTCAGTCCTGTTCTATTCATATAATTTTTATATGATTTTCTAAGAACTTTTCTTAAGAAGTAAGAACTTTTCTTAAGAAGACTTTATTAAACTTTCACTTTCTTATATAAATTAGATGCAAAAATAAGATAAAAATAAGAGAAAGATAAGAAAAGTAAAAAATAAGAAAAATTAAAGATTAGATAATTAAATAAGAACTTTTCTCTGATCTCTCAGAAAGACTTTATTAAACTCTTATTTTCTTATATAAATTAGATATAAAAATAAGATAAAAATAAGATAAAAATAAAAGAAAAATAAGAGAAAGATAAAAAAAATAATAAAAAGAATTAAAGATTAGATAAATAAAAAAAAAACTAAAAGCTAATTCAACTTGATTAAAACTTATTAAAAAACTGATTAAAAACTAAGAGATCTTTTTATTTATATTTATAGCCAATTAGCTATCAAAAGCACATGATAAGAACTTTTCTTAAGAAGTAAGAACTTTTCTTAAGAAGACTTTATTAAACTTTTACTTTCTTATATAAATTGAGTGCAAAAGTAAGATAAAAGTAAGAGAAAGATAAGAGAAGTAAAAAATAAAAAAATTAAAGATTAGATAATTAAGTAAGAACTTTTCTCTAATTTTTTAGAAAGATTTTACTAAACTCTTACTTTCTTATATAAATTAAGTATAAAAATAAGATAAAAGTAAGATAAAAATAAAAGAAAGATAAGAGAAAGATAAAAAAAATAATAAAAAAAATCAAAGATTAGATAAATAAAAAAAAGACTAAAAACTAATTTAACTTGATTAAAACTTATTAAAAAATTAATTAAAAACTAAGAAATCTTTTTATTTATATTTATAGTTAATTAACTATTAAAAGTATATAAAAATATATAAAATTATATAAAAATTATATAAAAATTATATAAATAAAATAGGGCCGAGAATAATAGAATCAGTGATTAAATAAAGACTAGAATAATTAATAAAAATAAGATCTCTTATTTTGCTGCAGAATAGATAGAACTTAAAATTATTAGTCTACTAATTAATAATCTAAGACAGTCAACTAATCTAAGACTATAAATTAATAAGTCTTAGACAGCAAACTAGCAAGTCTATTTATATTATTAATATATTTCTGTAATTTTAATAAGATAAAATATCAGAAAAACTAAAGTAAACAAATTACTAAAAATAGAAAATAATAATAATAGAATTTAATAAATTATTATATTTAATTATTTAATAAATTAAGTATATTTTTAATTAAGAAACTACTTAATCAGGCTATCTGCTTATATTTTATTAGTAGATATTTATAAAATATTAATTATTTTATTTAGAGCTTCTTATCTTAGCTAATAATTAGTAATATTAATATATTTCAGACTAGTCTAAAATAGGAAATTCTTATTAGTAAGAATTTTAACTATTTAATAATTATTATATAATATAGAGAAATATTAATTAGAATTAAATTCTATTTATTTAAAAAATCTTTTTTATTAAAAAAATTGCTTAATTATAATAATTAAAACTAATAATTCAGTTTCAGTAATTAAAAGAATTATATAATATTATTTTTTACTTAGCTAATTAATAAAGCTATTAAATAAATAAATAATATATTTTATTAAGCTAGCATGATCTTAATTATCAGTAAAACTAATATTACTAACTATATAAAATAAAATAGAACTAGAACTAAAATTAATAATTAAGTTTTTTATTTTTTTAAATAAAAGATTAAATAATTTATAGTTCTAAGATATTTAGAGCTTGAATTAATTAGATATTCTGAAATTAATTAATATAATTTAATAATATTAGATCTAGTCTAAATTATAGAATATAAAGCTGATTCTACTTTCTATTAAAATTTATAAATTTAATTAGTAATAATCTAATAAAGTAGATTCTTTACTAATTTCTTATTTAAAAATAAAGATTTAGAGCTTTTTCTTTACTCTAAATTAAATTTATTAATAATTTTATTAATATAGTTTAATTATTAAATTTATAACTTTTTATTTAAGTAATTATATAAGATTTAAATATTAAAAAATAAATTAATCTTTTTAAGATCTTTAAATTTAAATAATATTATTAATTCTTGCTTGAATTTATTAAATTTTTAATAATTTAATTTATAAAATATATAAATTATATTATTTATAAAAATTATTAAAATTATAAATTTATTAATAAAGATATATTAATCTTTCTAAATAAACTTAAACTCTAAGATTATTAGTCTTTGTTTCAGGATATTTTATTAAAAAAATAATAAATATCTTAATTTATATAGAGCTTTCTATAATAAAAAAACTATTTATTTATTTTCTAATCCAGAAATTAGATTTATATAGATTTTCTTTTTAATAAGATTATTAAAAAAATAGTAATTATATTCAGTTAACTAATTTTTAGATTAAATATAATAATTAAAGTTAAAAAAATTTATATAAATCTGGCCGCAAGAATATTAATATATATTTTTAATTAATTAAATATTTATAAATTATCTCTAATATAAATTCAGACTTTAAAATTAGTCAGATAATTAGTTTTATTAAATTTATATAAAAATATTTATTTTAATAATAATACTTCAGCTCTATTAGTTTTATAAATTAAATATATATTTTAAATATTTAAAATTTTTAATTAATTAATTTTAATTTTAATAGTCTAAGTAAATTAGCTTAAAAATATATAATTTTTTATTTCTTATTAGTTAATAGATAAAGATAAAAATAATAAAAAATTAATATAGAGAATTTTATTCTTATTAATATAATTAATTATTATTTAAATAACTTAGAGAGTGAGCCTAGCTCTTTTAGAATTAAAATTAGATAATTCTAAGTAAATCTATTTTAGATCTCTAATTAATTTAATATTTAAAAACTCAGTTTTATTAATCAGCTTATTAATATTTAAATTATTAATAAAAATCTAAGATAATAAAAAAAATAGATTAGATAATAAAGATAATAAATCTTCTATAATTATATTATTATTTTATAAGATATTTAACTGATTGCTTGAGACTGCTAACTGGCTTAATTTAATAGTTAACTAATCTAAGATTATTAATTAATCTTATTCTAATTAATTATCTGATAAAGATTTAGATATTTATTTTAATATTTTTAAATTAGAAAGATTCTTATCTATATTAGATTCTTTAGATTCTTTAGAAATAGAGATATCTAATTATTCTAACTAAATAGAATTAATTAATTTAATTATTTCTTATTTTATTAATAGATTTTCTAATTTAATATATTATTTATAATTAAAATTTTTATTAAAAATAATATTATAAGCTAAAATTATTCTTCTAAAAATAAATATCTAGATCCGCCAAATATTAATTATTTAATAACTAATTAAATAATTAATTAGAGCTCTAGATCCTAGTTTATTTTTTTTAAATAAATTACTAATTTAAATATAAATATATAATTTATATTTTTTTAAACAAAAAATATCTGATTTCTTAGATAATTATAAAAGACTTTTTTAAATAATTTTATATAATATTTTCTAATTTAGTTATTTATTTAATATTCTGTTTAGAATAAAAATAGCTGAATCTATTATTTTAGATTATAAAAATATAAAAAACCCTAAATTAATTAATAAACTTTTTATTTTAAAAATAATTAAAGCTCTAGATCTTTCTATATATAGATTTTACTCTAGCTAATAAATTAATAAATAACTAATTAATAAATCTTTAATACTAGTCTAGATTAGAAAAATATTAAGATTTTAGTTTTAATCAGAATAAAATCTCTTAAATATTATTTTAAACTAATTAATAATTAATTAAATTATATTAATAATTAATTCTGAAATATCTGATTTAGAAGTTAGAACTTATTCTAGATAAAATTTTAAATAGAAATAATAAAAATAATTAATATATCTCTATTTATTAATTTTATTTATTATATAAATTAAGTCTTAATAAATTAATTTAAATATCTAATTTTTTTTTTTAAATTTTTATCTTAAAATTTATTTTTCTGATTAACTAATTTTATATATAAAATATTTTTTAATTTAGCTTAGCTTATCTAAGCTAGTCTATTTTAATAAATTAGTAATATTAATTCTCTAAACTAAATTATTTAAATAATTTAAAGTTTTCTTACTAGAATATTTTAATTTTTTATATTATTCTTTAATTATTTCAGATATTATATATTAATATTCTAAGAGTTTAATTAGTTTAAAACTGCGAACTGGCGAGCCTGAGATAATTAATTAATTTAATTTAATAATAATAATTATAGCAGAACTAGATTTTTATTTTTATTAAATATAATATATTTCTTTAATTTTTTTAATTTAATATAATAAAGTTCTATCTGCCTGTTTAAGAAATTTATCTTTTTTATTTAGAAATAGTCTTTTTTTATTAGCTTTTGCAGCTAAGAGAATATTTATATAAAATTAAAAAATATAGATTATTTCTTTAAGTTTAAAATATAGATCTTTTCTATTTAAATAAGTAAAATAAAAAATAATTATTTTATAATCTTAAATAATTAAAATAGTATCTTCTACTCTTACTAATCTACTTCTATTTATAATAAAAATATAATTAATAAAAAAATTTAAGAAATTATAGATATAGCTATCTAAAGCAGTATTAAAAATCTATTAAAATAAATAAAATATTAATAATTATTTTAAATAAATAATTTATTAACTTATTATTAAGAAGATCTTTTCTGCTTTATTAGTTACTTTATTATTTTTATTAAATAAAAATAATATTTAATAAATCTAATAATATTATTCAAAGAAATATCTTAGTTTAGAATTATTTCTAAAAATATCTTTAAAATAATTTAAGATTTTAATCTCAAACTTCTATTCAGAATCTCTTAGTTTCTTATTAATATAAAAATAATTATTAAAATTATAAAATCTATTATTCTTATCTAATTTATATAAGCAGAACTAATTCTTAAATCTTTGTTTTTTTATTAATATTTTACTATTTTAAGAAGTTTGTTTTAACTTAGTTATTAAAATAATTATTAAAACAGTTGATTTAGAATTATTTAAAAGATTTTAAAAGAAGATATAACTGATTTTATTATTATTACTATTAACTAACTTAATAAATTATCTAATTTAGAAATTTAGATAAATCTAATTATATATTTTTTATATTATCTTAAAAAACTTAGATAGTTCTTTCTGATTATTTTTATTATTAATTAATTTTAATTATTAAATTATTATAAAATTACTTATTATTTTCTAAACTAATTTAAGAAAATTATAGATTATTTAAATAAAACTAGTAATCTTATTTAATTTTAGTTTTATTATTTTTAAATAAATAAGTTTTTATTAAGTTATATAATTCTTAATAAAACTCTTTGTTTTCAAGAATTATAGCTTATAATATTTATTAATAACTTCTTTTATATAGAACTAATTAATAAAAATAATTCTTTTTTTTAAGACTTATAAAATTTAATAAAGTCTTTCTAAATTAAATATAGTATACTAATTTTATTTGCTTAATATAAAATTTATTAATAAACTTAAAAAGACTAGTTCAAAGATAATTTTTTTTTATTTTTTAAATTAATAATTAAATTAATTTATAATTTTCTAATATAAAAAATAATCTGATTTACTAAGATCTATTATTAAAATAATATAATAATTAAAATCTAAAATAGATATAGCAACTAGCTTAATAAAATAATTAGATTTTTTAAATAAATCTAGATTTATATATTTCCAGATACTTTTATTAATAGTAAATAATTAAATTTAATTAATTTAAAGAAATTAATCAGATTAATTATTAAGAATAATAGAAATTTTTTTAAATTACTAATTTTAAGATATAATAAAGAAATAATTAAAAAAATTTAAGAATTTAAATAAATCTTATTTTTTATTTAAAAATTCTATAATTTCTTATATAAATTTTAAGTTAAAGATAAAATAAAAATAAGAGAAATAAAAAAATATAAAAAGTCTTAGAGATATTAATAAAAAATTAATATAAAAATATAATCAGATTTATAATTAAGAACTTTTCTTAAGAAATAAGAACTTTTCTTAAGAAGACTTTATTAAATTTTTATTTTTTTATATAAATTAAATATAAAAGTAAGATAAAAATAAGAGAAAGATAAAAAAAATAAAAAATAAAAAAAATTAAAGATTAAATAATTAAATAAAAATTTTTTTTTAATTTCTTAAAAAAACTTTACTGAACTCTTACTTTCTTATATAAATTAAATATAAAAATAAGATAAAAATAAAATAAAGATAAAAAAAAGATAAAAAAAAATAAAAGAAATAATAAAAAAAATTAAAAATTAAATAAATAAAAAAAAGATTAAAAACTAATTTAATTTAATTAAAATTTATTAAAAAATTAATTAAAAACTAAGAGATCTTTTTATTTATATTTATAATTAATTAACTATTAAAAATATATAAAAATATATAAAATTATATAAAAATTATATAAAAATTATATAAATAGAACAGAATCAAGAATAATAAAATTAATAATTAAATAAAGACTAGAATAATTAATAAAAATAAGATTTTTTATTTTACTGTAGAATAGACAGAACTTAGAATTATTAGTCTATTAACTAATAGTCTAAGACAGTCAACTGGCCTGAGACTGTAAACTGGTGAGCCTTAGGCAGCGAACTGGCGAGTCTGCCCATATTGTTGACATTTTCATATAATTTTATATATTTTCATGTGCTTTTAATAGCCAATTGGCTATAAATATAAATAAAAAGATTTCTTAATTTTTAATCAGTTTTTTAATAAGTTTTAATTAAGTTAAATCAGCTTTTAGTCTCTTTCTTATTTATCTAATCTTTAATTTTTTTTATTACTTCTTTTATCTTTCTCTTATTTTTCTTTTATCTTTATCTTACTTTTATCTTACTTTTATATTTAATTTATATAAGAAAGTAAGAGTTCAGTAAAGTCTTTCTAAGAGATTAAAGAAAAATTCTTACTTAATTATCTGATCTTTAATTTTTTTTATTTTTTATTTCTCTTATCTTTCTCTTACTTTCACCTCACTTTTGTACCCAATTTGTATGAGAAAGTGAAAGTTCAATAAAGTCTTCTTAAGAAATGTTCTTACTTCTTAAGAAAAGTTCTTACTACCTCTTCAGAGTATTCTCAATCCAGTCCGTATCCATGTCAATATCGATCTGATCCAACACCTCCTCCCACAGCCCGGGATCATCATTGATATCAAAGTTAAATGATATCTCCTGCATTGAGGGCAGATCCTGGTGCGGTGCCAACATCGTAGTGCCCGCAGGGGGTTCGACGACAGGGTTCGACGGCGTCTGCTGCGTGCTACTGGGTGTGACGGGCGCATCGGCGACTTCACCATCTTTCCTGGCCCGGTTGGGTCCGATGGAAGAGCGCAGCTCGAGAAGCAGAGAGTGACGAGCAGCCAGATTGGTGTTTCCTCGATCCGCCATATTGCGAAGCAAGGTCATTGATAGTTCCATCGCTCGAGCATTTGCTTCGTTGTGCGGGAATGCGGCGTTGACCATCACCAGGAGAAGGGCGGCGGAGAAGACGTACTCGCCGTCCAGGTAGCCGTAGGTTGCTGCGGATGTCAGTTTAGTCTTAGTATGAACAGACGGAGGAGGCGCGTACCGATTAGGTTGTGCTTTGCCGCAGCGTCCATGATGAGTGTGGTCGCGCGGGCTGCCGCAATGCAGCTTTCAATCACTGCTACGGTATTTTGCGACAACCCCTGCCTCCAATCATTTGTTGCGCTGCCTGCTTCCGCATCGAGTTGCCTCTGAATCACATAGAAGACCAAGGGTCGTGCGGTCATGTTGACACATGAGTAGAAGTGTAGAAAAATTGACACCGACTCGCGGTTGATATGGGTGCCCAGTCTTGAGAAGTCTATCCGCAGCCGATCGGGAATACGGCGTAGCCAGTCGGAAAGCTCATCCGTGATGCTTTGGACAGAGGCGAGGAGATTGGAGCCAGACCGTGGCTTTTTCCGGTAGATTTCTTTGTGGTTGTCAGTTCAGATGCCAGAGAGAACGTTGTTGCAGGGTCGAACCTTCTCCTATTCTGCCCAGAATTCTCGATAGCTGGGTATAGTATGTGAGAACAACAGACGGCCAAGGAACGACATCGGTCGCGCTCTGCTTCGTCAGTAAGAGCAATGAGACAGTCTTCGGTAACTTACAATAGGCTGGGGCCATGTGGTTCCTATGTCTTCATCATGGATCGTGATTGGATTTCCGGACTTGACGGAAAGAAGCCTTTGATAATCAGCTTATGGATAAATCCACGTCCTATGGGTCATACCTGTCTAGACTGTATACGGACCACCACGCCCGCCGCCGCCGGTTTCGATCCTCTTCACCGATGCCCGGATCTAGAACCTCTTGGTGGAGGCCCAACGAAATAGCCATGCGGAGAGCAAGACCAATCTGTGTGCGTTAGCAGTGAGACATGCACAGGGGGGGGTGAACATACGTAGAGGAACGCTGCATCTCTCCGATTGAGATTCTGCATATAGTACGCAACATAACACAGGACTTCGACAAAGAAGATAGATCCTTCCTCATGGATGTCGGGTAGAAATCGCAGTGCGTGTTTGAAGTACTTGAAGCCCGGAGGGCCTTCGTCGCCAGACCATTGATTCACCGAGTACATCAAGCCAAACGCTATGACCAGCAGCACCTGGCAGTATACTAGACATGACTCCCTGCTCAGAAGGTCCGGGGGCTGGTTGTAGACAATATGCAGTCGCTCCTCGAAGTCGTCTGGCTGGATGAGGGAGAATATCGTTCCGATATAGACGTATTGTACCCAGTAGAGTCGCTTGGCGTACTCGAATGGAGGGAGTTGAGGAAGGACCCGAGGTGCCGCGCGACGAAGCGACGAAGGGTCGTCGTAGAGTGGACGCACATCCCACGCTAGATTGGTCGAGGTGGGATTCAATCGCTTGGCTAGGTGGGTGGTTGATGATGCTCCGACAAAGTCTGCGTACCGGTTAGTGCGTTCCCAACTTGGGGATGCTCATGGACGCGTACGGTGCTCGCCCGATCGGTTGAGAAAGAGGTGTTCGGTGCCATTGTACCACCAGTCGTCACGGTCACGCTCAAGAGGCACCTCGGCGTTGTTGTAGGGACTGCTCTGGACGGTTGTCGTCGGGTTGGGGTTGGAAGGCGTGCGAGTTTCATCTGTGAGACACGGTCAGCTGGAGACGGGGGTGGAGATGTGGATTGGAAGTGGCGAGTTGACGTGCCTCGACGACGCGACTGGGCCTGAGACTGGAGCTGGCGGAAGTAACTGGTGAAGGGAAGTCAGCCGCAGGCACCGATGGGGGACTCAGGCAGCCCAGGCAGGTCAGCTCGCCTTTCGGGAATCGAGACGCGCTTCTCGGCCTCGGAATAGACACACGCATGGCCCACCTCCTCGCACGCTGCACACGGGTACGGGGGGTTGCCAGCACATCGCGTCTTTCGGTTACGGCATCGATTGCATCTACCCTAGACATCAGCAGGCCATTCTGCCACAACACAGCTGGATCTGTCACATACGCGACCATCGACCGTCGGGCATTGGCTCTATCTTCGGCAGCCGTCCGGTGCTGCAGCCCCCCGCGGGGCTTCCCAGGAGCCATTCCTCACTGCTACTGATTGAACGCAATGACCATGTCGCACACGCGTCTAGTGCAAATTGAAACCCGCCCTATTCCTGTCGGCCAAACCTTCTCGACGTCGAGTTTGAATGCCGATCTCGTCAAGTTATAACGCGCAACGTGTGAGATCCGACACGGGAAACTGATCTCGTGAGGGGTTCCGATAAGCGGTTGGTGGGATGGCTGATGGACAAGGGGCAGACACGAGGGATACGATCTCCAGGACCCGATCGGACTCCACCAGGCTAAGGTTCCTCGTGGTGTGGACTAAACAGTGACAAAACCTTGGAGCTGTGTCTCGATCCGCGGTTCCCAGGCCGAGAAAGGCGATGTTGGCTACTCCGTGATGTGGACCACGTTGAAGGCGGTAGGAATCGCACCAGACCAGTGCCTTATCGGACGGACTCAGGGGGCCCTTCTTTTCCCCCAGGAGAGACGGAGACGGAGTACACTGTACACCGCAGCTCCCCAGAACGTGCTACGAAAGGCTTGGACGGTAGCACTTCTTACAACTGTGCTTTGGATGTCTCAACTTCTGTGATGGATGTGCAAGTGACCCCCACCAGGTGTTGCGGCATTTACCGGTGTCATGCAGACTGGCCGCACCTCGGCCCGATCAACAATGGACGCGTTTGAGGGGCGCCAGAACCCATCACGTAATGGCTGGAGCCATTGCAGTCCACAATCGGCCGTTGCAATTTTAAGTTCTGGCCTGAGCCCACTTTCTGGTGGGTGCCTGGGGTTCCTCCGACGTGTCGCAAGCTGGCCTGCTGGCCTGTAGCCATGACTTCACCCCCGGGTTCCCCCGGGTCATTTTCTCGAGCCGGGATATCGCGGCTGAGGGAAAAGGGATGGATGCGATGAGGTGTTTATTGTCCGACTCTGTCTTCCCATCGACACAGCAAACCACCGCCCCTACTTGAATCAGGACCATGAACAGTTCCTCCAGCCTCTGCCATGGGAGTCGGCGTAATTGCAATCCTGCTGGCCTTCTTGGCACTGGCTCGCGCCCTCCGCAATTATAGTCGCTTGAGCTCCATCCCGGGTCCGTCGTTCGCGGGCTGGTCGGATCTTTGGCGTACCTATGCTCGCAACTCACCCCACTACGGTCGCCGTTTGTCAGGACTTCATCTCGAGCATGGCAAGGCCGTGCGCTTGGGTCCGAATTTCGTCAGTGTGGCCGACCCAGCTGTCATTTATCAGCTGCATCAGAGCGAAGGAGGTTGGAGGGTATGAACCACTTTATCCATAGCATAGTGCCGGTGTTAATTGCTGCAGTCTGCCTCAGAAATTCTATCGCATACGGATCAAGCCACCGCGGGCATCGCTTTGTACGGGTTTGGAAATACTCCATCATGGCGGGACCATTTTGGAGGATTAGCCCAGTACGAAGGGGCCATCGACGTTTCCGCCCAGGGACTCGTCAAAGCCATCAGGAGATATCACACACTCGACCTAACAGCATCTCTGCGTATATTTGCGACAACATTCGTTAGCGACTTTGTTCTGGAAGGCTGGCTACATAAGGAACGGATCAACAACCAGGGGACACCGAACCGATACCCAAGCCCGTCATCGATGATCGAATACCTCCTCTTGATGAGTCCAGCGCGATCACTGAAGAGAGGCCGCGGAGGACAACTTGCATCCTGTACGAGACTGCCGACAGGAACATCAGCCGCACCCCGACGAAACGAGCGGATCTTGAACGTCGCCACACCAACCCAGTCTCCCGAAAGAATCCAAAACGTCGCCAAAGGAGCAGACTGTCTCGTCAGTACATTCGTATCAGCCTTCTACTTCCTATCCAAACACCCAGAAGTCATGTCTCGACTCCAAGACGAAATCGACACCGCGTTCGCCGTCGGATCTCTATCGGACCTGCCCCTATGGCGAGAAGTCAACAGACTACCATACCTGAACGCCATCCTGAAGGAATCTATGCGACTGTCCTCCGCAGCCAACTTCGAAGAAGAGATACTATCGCCCAAGGGCGGTGCAACCGTCGCGGGGACGACCATCTGCGAGGGAACAGTCATCGGATGCAGCGCCCACGTCCTCCATTTCGATGGAGATGTATACGGAAACGACGTCCATATATTCCACCCCGACCGATGGCTCACGCCAGACGCCCAGCGACGGAGGAACATGGACCGAGGTCTACTGGTATTTAATCGCGGGGTGCGCAGCTTCCCGGACGTCCAGGTCGCTTGGCATGAGTTGAAAAAGGTTGTTGTGCTGCTTCTGATGAAGTTTGATGTGAGTTTTTTTTCCTAGTTTGAAAGAAAGAAAGCTTTGCTGACTACCGACTAGATGCAACTTCTCCGTGTTGAGGAAACCCCCAGCGACAAGAAGATCGCCGACTCCCGCCCGTCCATGATCGTGAACTTCAGTCCCCGTATTCCGGGGTTTTGATTTTTTTTCTCTCCCCTTTTTTCTTTGCCTCCCTTTCCTTGTCTCTTTCTTGTTTTGTTTATAAAGCGCAGTTCTGCTCGCAAGCAGCTTTCTCAGTCCGCACCAATCCCCACTGCCCTGGTGGCTTCTTCCTCCACAACGTTATTACCACTATTCTTGAGATACCCACCCGATTTTTATGTTTTCTATCATATCTGCACTCATCCCTATATATCATTTCCGCAATGCCCTTGAATCTTATATTCCAACAATAATATCAATGTCGGAGAGATAGTACAGTATGTTCCACGGACGCACGCCAAGACCCACACCGGACTGACGCGAACTCGCGCTTGCGCTTCGGGCCCGAACGCCTTGATTTCCCGAGGCGAGGGGCCGGCCGGTGTCGGACAACCAACACCAACACCAACAAAACCAGACTATCACCAGTTGGCAGTGTATACGCCGTACAGAGACCTGTTCTAGAAAATAAAAGCAAAAAAAAAAAAAAAAAAAAAAAAAAGCGACACGTACTATTTGTTCGCCATGATATGAAGAAATGTCTAGATACTGAGGACATTGTAATTAGATTCCAGCTGTTGGTTTATTTCCCGTTTTGAATAGTTTCATCGTGTAACTCGTAGTTCACTTCCGTATAGATAAATAACCATGTAATCAAATCAAATCACGTCCTTTGTTTCATCTCCCGTTTCGAATTTCATCATACAAGCATGGATATAAGTCGTGTCGTGGTTCAATCTGGCGGATGCCATGCCATGCCATGCTATGGGTTGGATATCTGTATCTGTATCACAAACCAAGGCGTAACGAGCACGGTGCAGGAGCTTGAGCGAGGATCTTAATCGTAGTCGTACTTATACGTCGACGTCAACCGCGGAGGTATAGCATAACATATCCATAGCCATAGCCATAGCCATAGCCATACGATACGCCTCTCGCCTCTACGCGGCCCACGCCTCCCTAAGCACCCTCTGCCCTCTCTCCAATACCCTCGAAGGCTCCTCGCCCAACCATTGCCCCTCCAAGCGACTACTATTCGCCTCAAACTCCCAGGCTCGTCCGCCTTCAATATACATAGACGTGCCATTCAGGGTATCATCCACCAACACCCCCGCAGTGACCCTAGCCACCTCATCGGATGTACTAATCGGCAGCCCTTCCTTCGTCCAGCGGTCACAGAGTTTCTTGGTTAGGGCGGGGTGGGTTTCCGTCATCCAGGGGCAGATGGTATTGATCCGCAGGTTATGTTTGTAGGGGAGGGAGAAGTAGGGACGTAGGGAGCGCATCAGGCCTTGGACGCCGTGTTTGGCGGCTTGGTAGACGGATACGCCCGGGGTTTCTTTGAAGCCGGCCGTGCAGGAGAAGAGGGTGATGGAACGGTCGGTGAGGGGGCCTCGGTTGTGGCGGAGGTAGACGCTTGCGATCCGCGTGATGTAGAGTGGGCCGAGGAGGTTGACGGTTAGGTCGTCGGTTGAGGGGTGCTAGCCGGTGATACATAAGACATAAGTGATTTGACTGACTGGGGTGAGGCATACGCTTGGGATGATGTAATGTGATGTACATACCTTGCGAATAGCATCCAGGTTCAGAGAATTGTCGAACCAGTTCTCCGTTGACTCCATGCTGCCAGCTGTGACGACGACATGGTCGATGCGCTTGTAGGTCTTGAATGCGAACTCGAACAGCTGCAGCACAGATTGGTAGTCGGTGATATCGACGGGCTGGAAGGCAGACCGTGCGGGCTTGGGTGGCGCGGCGGGCTCGGTGTACACGGGCCAGTTGTCGCGACACTGCCGAGCTAGGTGCGACCCTCGAGGGCCGTCTTTGTCGCCGATGCACACGTAGGCTTGGTTCTCGCAGCAGAGTTCTACGAGGCTGGCGCCGATACCGTTGGCTCCGCCTGTGGAAAGCTTGTTAGTTTGGGAGAGTGGGGATAAGGGGAGGGGGAGGGTGGAATGGGATGGCGAGAGCGTACCGATTACGAGAATAACCTTTTCGTAGAGAGCCTCCTGCTTGATTTCGGGGTTGTATTGGGTGAGGGTTTCGATAGAGGTGGTTGAGTTGGATGAGGAGATGGAGTCGGTTGACGCGATCATGTTGACCCTAATGACAAGGGAAGGGGGGCTGTAGGACGAGTGATGGGAGAAATATGTCGATGAAGAGTCGGAATATTGCCTGCTTATATGCAGCGCCGGAGGATTTGACTCCTCAACGAGCTGGATGTGGCACACCCCCTACCGATTTGCAGAAGGGAAAACATGTGGTTCGTGGCCAGTCAACCCGGGGTGTGACATGTGAGGCTTTTCTGGTTTGTGGGTCTAATGGAGTTAGTTCTCGCTGCGGAGGGGATGTGTAATGGGACAGGGGCTGCTGTAGCCCGTAGGGTCTTAGATATAGTTAGGCGAAGGTAGGCAACTCGACTCCACTGATGGTACTTTCTCCGCCTGGCAGCTCTTATCTGTCCACCGTGGATCGGGGATCCGCGAGTGCGGGGGGTGGGAATCCGGAGAACATCATGTTGAGAGCAATGCTGTGCGAGAAATGAGATGAAGAGTGGCCTGCGATGGAGGCGAAGGCAGAGATTGGAGAGAGAGAGAGAGAAGAGAGGAAGATGACGGCGGTGGTGGAGGGCGTGACCACGGCAAGCCTCAGGCCATGGCTTCGATTCCTGGATGCCTGAGGACGGGCAGGCACCAATCCCGACGAGTCAACCCTCACACTCTCCTCTCTCTCTCTTCTCTCTCTCCAACATTCTCGTCCGCGTCCGCATCATTCCTCCGGGCCATTGACCGCATTGAGTCCATGATGCTTCCAATCCTTGTCCTTAGCAGGTTTCGGCCCATATCTCCCTTGGTTACTATCGCCCTTTTCGCTGTCTGTAGAGCCTTATGTGGTCTCGCTCCCTTGGGTCCCGAAAGTCTCTCACTCTTTGTCTCTCACCCTTTATACAGGAATCATGAATCAACTCCTCCCCGGTCCGGTCCTCTGGCTCCGATACCGAAGCCCACTGTCATTCCGCAAGCCACCTACCACTGACGGAACCAGTCACGACGAAAGGCGAGGCCACAAAACTTTGAAGCTGGTCATAGATAAGGGTTGCGCACATGTGCGACATTTGTTGGGAGAGCTTCGTCTTACTATAAGATTTGGCCAAAGACGAACATTGAAGTTACTGACAGGGGCAACTGACGGAATTCCTGAACTGGTAACCGAGCCACTTCGGCAGAACAAGGGTCTATGTGATCGCGAGTGTTATCACAATCCTGGAGCCAGGCAGATATTAGATCCCAATTTGCTTGCGGCTTCGGCCATCGGAAGGATATCAGCTTCTTGCCCGATGACGGGTTGAGAGTCCCGAGAAGCTTTAATGTCTCTGTCAATTCCAAATGATTAGTCCTGTCGATCAAAAACAAAACAAGTATATTATTGGGAATCTATCTAGGGAAGCCCATCATATCTATTTCTCTCGCAGCCGCGAAATCGTCAATTTATATATCGATTTCTAGGTGATGTAAATGACTCCTCGCACTGGGACGTAGTGCCTTTGCTAGCAGTGTTACGTCCGTGAATGAGGTTACTTGATCCGTAGCCGCTAGAGCAGACGCCTGGTCGACAAAGATTCGATAGCTGTGGCAGTGCGACGATCGGCCTCGTAATTCGTCAAGGGTTCCCAGTTTCAATTGCAGCGCACGTAATCCGAAAGCATTCGGTCGGTAGGGTGACCTATTGAGCATCTCTGCTTCTTTGTCACACCCGGAAAAGAAAACACATCTCACAAGGTGTTCCAGTCTCATGTGCTTACAAGACTGGCATAGGGAATCCATGCGAATGTTCAAGCACTTGGAACAATCATCATGGAAAAATTGCTCTAAAGTGTATTGGAAGATACCACCACACTTGGTATCCGCTGACCAGTCTAGTCGCAGTGCAAAGTTGTCATTTAAACCCCGGCAGAGAGAAAATGGTCCTTCTGGACACTTTTCATGTCTTCCCGACAGGCAAGGGAAGTGTGTTTCCTCTGGACGGAGAAATTCGAGGAATCCCATTTAGACGCGCCACAGACGACCCAGTATATGTAAGAAGGTTGGAAACTATATCAACTTCCAGACTTGAGATATACATCTGAGCAGCTTTACTACCCCATGGATAACAGGCAAGCTTTATTTTTGGTTGGCTCCCTTGACCATTCACCAACCCCTGCCAGGCCCACTCCACCCCACCCATCCTGTCCTACCCCTCGACCCTGACGGACGTGTCCCTCCAAGTCGGAGGCCTTATTGGACGTGTTTCACCAACTCAGACAGCCGGGCAGAGATTTCCGGTTACCGGGAACTATCGACCTGAAATTTACAGGTCAATGTGTGCCTAACTTACAGCCCACCGAAGAGGATGGCCCGTACGTATTCACACCTCCTGTTATGCTGGAGGTTGATGGCTGGCAGTTCACTTGTTCACCAATCAGCAATGAACAAGACAGCGATTCCGGAGAGCAACTGGCTGTGGAAAACCCTGTATTGATATAAATTCGCAGTCAGAGCGTCCACGACTTACTTGCGGTGTATCATATGGCTGAATCCAGGCTCCAGCAACTGGAGCACATCCAGCGGTGTTAATTCTTGCCAGAGCTTTACCTGTATGTGTTGGTTCGACTGGTCGCGGTGTGAGGCCAGAAGAAACGAGGAGTCCACTCAATCATCCCGAGGAATTAGGGTTGATATCATGCCAATGAATCTCATCCTTTTCCCCCAGGCCTCACCAGGGAAGCCATGTGACAATATGGATCCCCCCAGGTTTCGATTTCTGGCAGGCTATGCTAGAATGTCGACTTTTTTCAGCTACAAACTGAAATTTCTCCCCAGATTAAAAGAACGTGACAGACAATCGTGAGCGACCGTCGACCACATTTCCAACAAGATCTGTGGCAATTGCTAGATATGAGTAATGGCTACAACAAGACTATGCCTCAGGTATCCAATAAAGTCTGATATGATTGAGTCAGCAGTTTCGAAAGAGACAATCAGTCGAAGAACAATTAAGCTATTTGTCGAACTACCAAGCTTTCAACCCATTTATCCAGATCTCCCATCCTTCAAATGAGACAAGAGACATCATTGTCGTATTTTCAAGCACAAACTCTGGAACGATTGCTTGACATCATGGGCAGGCCCATAAAAAGGGAAATCGTAATAATATCAATGGCTCAGAAGTGAGACGCTAAGTTTAAAGCGTTCATCCGAACCAAACCGATCGGGCTCGGCATGAACGCACACAAAGTCGTTATGGAGATTGCCTCTTTACGTCACCACCCGCCCGTCCAGACCTAAAGGATTTATAAGGCGAGAATGGACTCACTTGGTGACATATAGAGATCGAAAATCAGGTTTAAAATGAATGCAATTGGAAGAATCTGCCGGGCAAAATCTTTCCAATATTCCAAGAGGGTTATATTGGGCTCTGGCAGGACAATCACACCAAGTCTCCACGCAATCGCCCTTCGAGACTATTCAAGCAAAACCACAAATTACAACGGCAACATGACCAGTCAACCCCCCATCAACGAGATGGTATATTTACCTCAGGTGATGTCACCGAATAGATCCTTCGGTGTCTTCCGGAAGGTTTTGCATACGGGTCTATACTCGCAATTTGTTGCGATGGAAATTCCGGTCAATGGTGAAATTGGCGATGAGGTATTATATGCCTTTTCCGATATGATTACTTCCCTACGACATTTCTCTGCGCTGCCTGCAAGAATCTATGTTGCTTGGGGAAATATTCTAACTTATCGCAAATCATAGATCCACACCGTCGACCAAGTCCTGATGTTTACCTCGGGCACCGGCAAAGCGATCGTCGCAGGAAAGGAACAACAGGTGAAACAGAACGACGTCGTGATTGTACCAGCCGGTACGCAGCATCAATTCCTTAATGTGGGAGACACGCCGTTGGAGGTGGTGACAATATACTCGCCCGCGGAGCATGATCCACGGACGGTGCATGATACCAAAGCACAGGGTGACGCGCAGGAGGATGCGGGAGAGGATGAAGCGCCGGAATGGAGTCAACGGAGCAAGTCTGAAAATGAGAAGATCGGGCTGGTTCGATTACCATGACAGAATAACTAATTGTGTCTTGGGTACTGTATCGTCGATCTTCATGCATATATATTATTCCAGGGTACAGGCAGATGAGTGCTAAGAGTTGGAAGCATCTACTATGCATTCAACGACTTAGATGCTATATGCGAAATAATATTGTCCATAAAGATATCAAACTAGGGAGGTGTCTCGATCTAGCACTTTGACTACAAAATGTCAACTACATTATCAAATTCACATCTAAAAACCAATAAAATTTCTTGTCATCAATTACTTTCGCTGTTGGTCTAAATCCCCGAGGGTATATGTCAAAGCAACAGCCCCCATTTTGAACTATTCCTAAATGCAACCGTTTCCAAAGCCCTACCAAGCTCAGCAACCAACCCATCGGCCACCCCCTCCGTCCTCCAAGCAATATACCCATCCGGTCTGACCAGCACCGCCCCCTCCTCCATCCCAAACGCCCTGCAAAACTCCTCCGCATCACCAACCCTAACATGACGCACCCCTCCCACCACCTGCAACCCGTCATTGACATCCTCAACAACGCCCCTCCATTTCTCTCCAGCCGATAAAACCGTCCACCCCATCCCATCCACCACCTCCGCAATCGACACCTCCCTCCCATCCTCCATCTTCACCATAAAATGCGGCACCCTCGTTCCCGGCTGTCCCTTCCATTCATCCGGCCTCAACGCCGGCGGCAGCGCCAACGGCACCTTATACTCGCCTTCCTCCCCCAGGAACCCCTTCGACCGATAAATCTGTCCAAACTCCACTGCGTCATCATCCAGCCTCACCACCTCTCCCCCCTCTCTTCCCTCTTCCAAATGAACCTTATAATCCGCCCTCGCGAAGATCTGCTCATGACGCAACAACGCAACCGACCTCCTCTCAACCTCATACGTATCCAGCAACTCCTCTCCCGCTGGACAACCACCACCAACACCCAGCACCATCTTCATCTTCCACACCAGATTCTCCACGTCCCCAATCCCAGTATTCGCGCCATATCCGCCCCGATTCGGAGGTAACGTATGCGCAGCGTCGCCAACAAGAAACACCCTGCCAACCCGGAACCGCTCCGCTACCCAAGCAGTCAGCTCCCATCGACCAGTAGTGATTATCTCAACGGGGATGTCATCCCGACCGATTGCCGCACAGATACACGATAGCAGAGTCCTGCCATTGCGCTCAATATCATCGTAAAACATCAATACCCATCGACCATCATTATACGTCGTCAGAAAAGCCCGAAGACCAGGCTGTTCGATATTAAACTGCAACACCTCGGTTGCGTATTCCGAGAGATCAGCCCGGAAGAGCACGCTGCGCATAGTCTGCATATGACCACGTCCGGTCCGGAGGATATCCAATTGCGTCCGAATCGTCGACTTGCTCCCATCCGCAGCGATGAGGTACACTCCCCTGATAGTAGTCTTCTCCCCCTCCGGAGTGAGTGCAGTAACAGTGATGCCCCTCTCATCCTGAACAAACCCAGTCACCGTCCATCCGCGCCTAATATCCGCTCCCCGCGCCAAGGCCGTCGTCTCAAGTATCCGCTCCAGCTTATCCTGCGGGATCGCCGCTCCTCTCAGTGACGAGAACTTCGGCTTTCGCTTCGGGGTTGGCTGGACCTTGGGTTTGGGGTTGGGTTTGGGGTTGGGATTGGGTTCAGATTCAACCTTCGACCAAGCCGTCCGCTCGAACCATTCCCCTGCAAGACTGTGCACGCGCGCCCGCAGGAGAGTGAAATCGGCTGGTGCTTGCGGGATCTGTTCCGCGATTCCGAGACTGCGGTAGTATTCCATTGTGCGTGGTGTGAAGCCCATTGCGCGCGGGTGGGCAGAGATATGGGTGTGCTTTTCGAGGGTTATGTTGGGGATTCCGGCGGTCGTGAGGGCGAGGGAGGCGGTTAGGCCGACGATGCTGGCGCCGAGGATTAGGATGGGGGGTGGGGAGGCCATTTGGATTGGGAGTGAGGGGGGAGAGGGTTTGGTGGTGGGGGGTGAGGATTGGTTTGAAAGGTAAGTTAGGAGTGTTATCTGATTGAAATCGTGGTACAAGAACTTCTCGCTCATTGTGAAGAGATGGAGCCAGAGTGAATAAAATGGTTCTTATAGATCCTCGGTTGTCGCATCTCGGGCCCGAGGCGGTCATCGATCGGGGGGGGGGGGGTCCTCGGGAGGGTCCTCGGGCCCGAGGTGGTGGTTAGCCAATCACAGGTCAATCGGGTGGTAGGCTCGAAAATATAGTGGCCGATTAAGGCATGGGAGAGACGGCATCGTCTCCATTGTTTTGATCTCACGTGATACTTTAGCTTCTTCCATTCATCACAGAGCGCTTCCTGGAACCGCCATGTGTGAAAAATTTCACCGTAATACTTGCCAGACAAAATTGGCCGCCGGATGTCTTTTTGGTCAAGTGAGTATTATCAGTGAAGAAGAGAACTGAACGGGGTCCGTGAGCTCAGATCATGTAGGGCAGAGGTCAGTTTATACGATTCGCGGATACCCCCCGCTACCCACGTATTTTGCACCTCGTCCGAAAGCGACAGACTGCAGATACCATACTACATCCTCGTTGAAACAGGCAATCAACCATCTACTGAATAAACCTTTAACATTAAATAAACATCTATCTATCATTATCTATAACCATAACCATAACCATAAACGCATCATCTATGCAGTCTTCCCCTGCCGATACCGTTTCCAATGCACCGACATGAAGCAAATCGAGGTAACCAGCCCTAACGCGGCCAGCCCGATACCCAAATACAAGGCCCCTCGGTACCCCTTGAGGGCATTTTTCCCGCCATCATTAACATTTGACTCCACCGTGCCAGCAAACCCGAGACCCAACGAAATCGAATAATTGACTGTCGTTGTGACCAACGACGCAGCGAGGCCTTGGTGGTGGTGATGCATGGAGTTACTGAGAATTAGAGTGCCGGAGGGGAAGGACATGTCCCTGTTACCAAGCAAAGATTAGCATTCCTCTTACGAACGGTACCGGGATGGGAAGGGGGAAAGGGGAGGGCGTGAACTTACATCCCCCACGACGTAATCAAACTAACGACAAACGCCTGCGCCCAGTACGTCTGCCCCAGGGGGACGGTAGCAAAGATGGCCTGTCCGGCGGTGAAGAAACACATGGCGAAGAACATGATGACACTGGGGGGCAGCTTTCCGAGGAGGAAGCCCGTGACCAGGGCTGCCACGGCGCCGGACGGGGCCGCGGCGCACCATTTTGCCGTGGCGAGGAGCGGCGTGTCGCCCTTGATTACTTCCATGAACTGATAGAAGTAGTAGATGATGATTCCGAAGCTGGACCAGCCGGCGGCAATGCATCCGAGCACCCAGGCGAGGTCGCCGGTGAGGACGGAGCTTGGGACGAGGGGGCACGGGGCCGAGCGTTCGACGAAGACGAAGGCGCCGAAGATGACGAATCCGACGATCAGAAGAGCGTAGGTGTAGGGCGTTGGCCACCCGACGAGTGCGGCTTGGTTCCAGGCGAAGTTGATCAGGACGAGGCCGGAGATACCGGTCACAGCGCCGAGGATGTCCAGACGGGTCCAGGTGGTGAGGTCGTCTTTGAAGACGGGCCGGTGGGTGTGCGGGATGACCAGGATGCCGAGGGCCGCGAGAACGAAACACACCATCCCCAGGACCCAGAAGGCCCACGGCCACCAGACGAGCTGCGCGAAGAGAGACGAGAAGACACCTCCCACGATGAATCCGCCCGGAGCGGTGGCGCCAAAACAGCTGAAGATCATCTCCTTGCGCAGACCGGGTGGGTAGGCGCGGCCGAGGATGGCGATGGCGTTCGGGAGCAACATCGCGGGTCCGATGCCCTGCAGCGCGCGACAGCAGTCGAAGAATACCTTGTTGGACCAGACGCTGAATCCGGCCAGTATAGACCACAGTCCGAACCACGAGAACCCGATGATGAACATCAGTCGGTGGCCGTAGACGTCTCCCAGACGGCCGGCCACCAGGATGAAGGTCCCGACGGTCAGGCTGTACGCGGCGGCGAACCAGCTCAGCTCGCCGGCGCTGGTGGTGTTGAAGGTGTCGCCGATGATGTGGGCCGGGGCGATGGACATGCAGAGACCGGCCTGCGTCATGAACTGGGCCATGCAGACGACCGCGATGAAGGCGATCTCTTTCCATAGCACCGACGGCGGCTTGAGTGCCGACTGGGCCGTTTCGAGCCGCGTCAGGGCGTCGTCCCCTGCCTCCTCCTCGTCGAGGGGCTTGTCGTGGAATTCATCGCCGCTGCGGCTTATTGTGGACTCGGAATCGTACGGTGTTGGGACATCGTGGAGCTGTTGTTGGGGGGTGGTGTTTTCTGGATCCGAGGCCATTTTCGACGACCTAGTAGACCGAGTCGGGAGCGAGAAGTTGAGGACAGGCGACCGAGCGCCCGAGCTCGGGGGCGAGACATGTTATTATAGCCTGGGCGTGAGAAAAACTGTTCGATCAAGAGTCCGATAATCAACAAAGTATGAAGTCGACGACCCACTGGCGTCGCCACAGTCGGCTGATGCTGCGATGCTGTTCGCCAGCGACGGGCCCGAGAGGATGCCTCAGGGGCGGACTAGCCCGTTCGGGGACGGCTTCAGCGCCTTCCGTCGGAAGCGAGTCGGGTCCGTCGGGGGGACCCAGTCGAACGTGTCTATTGTCTTTTTCTTTTCCCCGTAGAGCAGAAACGGTGAGGAATGACAAAATTAGCCTAAGATCGAAGATTTCCCGACCGGGATGCCGAAAACAGCAGAATTCATTTGCATCTCGGGCCCGATGTCTTGATGGTATATGCAGGGAACTGGGCTAGCTGATCGCGGTTAGATGCGAGAAAGGCTTTATCCGGTGACTGCAGGGGCGATCGACTGAGGTCATCCCAGCATCATCGCTGTCATTAGAGACTTTTGTCGAAGGCTATTTGTTGTTTTTGCTTTTGTCCGGCTTTGTCTTCTCAGCCTCCCAGGGCTGCTGCATCGCGCTAGGCCTGATCCGGTGGACCAGTCCCAGTCTGGCCATTTAGGCAGCCCTAAGTGAATGGAAGCATTCATAACAACACCGTATACATAATCCACTAGATAACCATCCTTGGGTGCTGGCCAGCAGGGCTTAATATGTCCAGGTACAATGTGATGAATATGAAAATGTCGCGGTTTACCTTCTTGAAATAGCATGGAACGTGTTTATTTTCTCTTCATGTGATGAGGAGACATCACACACAGAGACTAGTTTACGCGAGTCTACATGCATGAGACGGGATGGTGTGATGAGTCTTATCTCACTGCCCTTGTTCTTTTCGGAGTATTTGGTACACCCGGTCTGCCTTGTACTTTTCCCTTTTCTCTTATTATTTATCTTGAAAACATTATCCATTCTCTGGGAGTATACGAGTCAATATATATCCTGTGCCATAATATATCTGCAGAGCACGGAAATTGCCGCAAATTAGTATAAAAGCCAGATCTAAGAATTAGCCGATTATACTCTACCAGAAACAAGTCTTCCTGCCTGGGATATTTATCCAACAACGATTATATACGAGCCAACCATGCGCCGAAGAAGCAAAAAAAAAAGCCTAGAAAAGATCGAAAAAAAATATAATAGAATATTATTAATCGAATTGCGCTTATTGTCTATCTTCTGTTTCAAGCTCCTACTCGTGCTCCTGCGAACGCACTGACTCTGCCAACTGCCAACCACACCTTCCTTGACCCTGTGGTCTCATCCACAGACGCAGACACAGTGCGCACCGCGCACCGCAACACAACACAGGGTTAGCCACCATCATCCCCGGGCCCGCAAATGAAAGCCACTTATCTACCTTCTTCTCCTCCAGCCAAAGCCCAGCTTTTATCCTGATGCCTAAAACTAAAAGTACGGGAAAACAAACCATACTGGCCGCGAGGCGGGCGGGTTAGCCGCATCTAGGCTGAGGGATTAAGCTCACATCAGCGGAGGCTTGATCCAGAGGGGCTGGATGGGTCCCTGTGCTTGCTTGGGATTTAGGTTAGGTTAGGTTAGGTTATGTTGGCAGGCTGGGAGGGAGGGGGCTGGAGTCCACTGCACAAGGTATGTATGGGGCGGTGTTATTGAGGAGTGCGGAATTACGGACGAGGGAAGGGTGGAAGAGGAAAAGAGGGCTGATGGATGATCGGGAATGAAAGACGGTGATCAGATGAATGGGTGGATGGATTGGCCGATCGCGGGTATCATCCACGCCCTGTGGGGTTTAGACTCCGCTGCAAGGGGCTTATCTGATCCCTGAGACCGAGTCTGAGACTGAGCCCTAAACTGGGTCACATATTGTGGAGTGTGTGGACACAGTACCCTTCAGTTCCTTGGTTCTGGACGATACGGATGCCAATACTACCGAAAATAGACACTGCTTCGGCATCCCCGACGACATGAACACTCCTCGGTACATCGCCGGCGCGGACATGGCCTCCAATATCAACACCTCAACCTACAGTGTCCCCGGCTACAAGGAGTCGCGCCACGACGTCATCCTGGCGATGATGAACTGGGTCGAGAACGGCACCGCCCCCAACGACATTGTCGCCATCGTGTGGAAGAGCCTCACCACCGCTGATGACGTGCTTCGTCGGCGCCCCATCTGCCCCTATCCCCTCCAGGCTAAGTACACTGGCCACGGCGACCAGAATGACCCCGATAACTGGACTTGCGAGTTGCTGTACTAGCTCTACGGCTACGCGCTGGAGTGGGCTGGATTAGACCCGGAATATCTTTTATATTAGAGATTAGGGAATTGTGAATACAGGATGAGGGCTGTGAGAACTAGGAGGGATTCTTGGATATTAGTATCCTTATGATGTGTGTGTTTGTATTGATACTGTTGAATACAGCAAGGGTTGGATTGTTTAATAGCACGGAATGGTAGTAATGTATTTGAGTATTACCTACGAGATCATTCCATGATTTTCCCCCTACTTGGCCCGTCTCGACGATGAAATGAACAAGAAAGACAGAAGAAAGAAGACCACGTTAAGCAACAAAAGAACCACATCCCCGCCTTCCGGGCCTATGACTCTATTCCTTCGATCATCCTATCAACAAGCCCCACGACGGAATTACCACCCCTCCGGCATGGCTTGAGTGTAAGGAAGCTTCGCAATCAGACGAAACAAATCAGGCGAAAGCCCCAACCTCCGGCGAAGGACGAAGGCACAACTCCGGACATCTTCCGATATAGCCATGCGGGGATGAGCCAGCATGATGCGGATCAAGCGCGCATCACCCGAGGCCAGAGCGGAGCACAAGGGGGAGAAGGCGGGGAGGCCTTTCATATGAAGCGTGGCGATATCCACGCCGGGACGGTTCAGAAGAGCAACGACATCTGCATGACGAAGTCTCCGGACGGCAATATGCAGAGCCGATTCATTATTTTTATCCACAGCCATGGCATCGACAGGAGAACGGAGCAGGAACTGCGGCATTTGCTTGTTCCCGCCCAGCAGCGCGTAGTGCAGGGCGGTGCGACCTTTCTTGTCTTTGACGTTCAGAAGTCCGGGCGCCTGCTGAAGAATGTAGTTCACGATGAAGGGCTGGCCCAGACGACAGGGGAAGATACTTGCGCGATGCAGCAGGGTGGCGTTCTCGGAACATCGGATCGTCTCGAGAGGAGTCCCGTTGCGGACGGCCTGGACCATCAGATCCAGGCGTTCCATGCGGCAGATGGTGTGGAAGACATTCGCGTACGTGAATGTCGCCCCCGAGTTGATCAGGAACTCAATTATGGCTGCCTGCATGAAATCTGTCTCCACGATGAAGAACGGGATCACGTAGTCCAGAGGACGGGCGTCGCGCCAGTATCCCCGAGAATTCGGATCCGCGCTGTACTCCAGGAGCAGCTTCACGCATTCAACCTGCAGGTGCACCACGGCGAGCGAGAGAAGGCGGATCCCCGAAGAGGTCAGCTTGTTGGGATCCACCCCTCTTTCGAGTTCCTGGCGGAGCGTCTCAACGTCACCGTCGACGATTGCTCGCGGCACGCGTTCGGTGGGATCGGGCTCGAACAAACACCGGGGTTTGGGTTGGTCTTTAAGCTCGTCGCGGTCCCGATATTCCATGATGAATTGCTCCTGGATGGCATAGTTCAAGTTGAGGGTTCCTTCGAGGCCAAAGGCCTCACTGGTGGTCATCGCGTCCACTTGCAGGAAACGGGAGAAACTGGTCTCGTCGTTCAGCTTCACGTAGTCTGCGCAGGAATGACACATACATTCTTCAATATGAAGACAAAGCTCGATGGGGTAGTCGCCGATCCCGTCGCCGTGGCCTTGATATCGGAGGGTCCACGGCTCGGGAGACGCCGTGCCGGAGGATGCGTCGGGCCATTCCAGGGCCGTGCCGTCGGGAGATGCTCCTTCATTCGGAGATGGTGCTTCGTTGAGGGATGCTTCGTCAGGAGATGCCATTGGATTGGTAGCGGTAGACAGAGAGCTAGTCGATTCTGATATTGCAGTTGGTTGAAGAGGGAAAAGCCCAGCTTCGCGGGGAAGAAAGGAAGGGGCTTAAATAGTCTCTCACAGTCGGTGTATTCCACGCAGGAAGCCTCCTGACAGACTGCGGTAAGCTCCTAGGAAATCGGTGGATGGAAAGCTGCACGACGCAACAAAGGCAGTATCTGCTGGGGTCCTCTTTCCAGGAGATCGCCCTCTTTCCATCGGGATATAGAAGGTCCCCGCCAATGTCTTTCGGAAGTTCCCTCCATGCTATGGCGTCTCCCACTGTTTTGACCTACATATGCATGGCAGATGTGAGAATCAGATGTTTGAAAGACCTGATACCGCATCTGGAGGGCAGTTCCAAGCATGAATGGCCGCAAATTGGCGGAGGTGGGCAAAGTGGGCAAAGTGCGTGGCAGTGAATGGACCCTAACTCACCCTTCCGCGCACCACTTTGTCTGGCCCGTCCACATTCAATCATCTTTTGAGACTTCAACCATCTCAGTATATGGCATTGTGGGCCTATAGCAAGAAATCGAGGCTGCAAGACTGGTATTTTTTGATTGGTTGATTATTGCATTATATCCAAGCACAGCACTCTGAGAGGCTCGCTGGGTCGCCGACGGCCAAAGGGCCATGACTGCGGGGATTTTCCAGCCATGAAGTGACCAGTGACCCTGGATATTTGCTTCGAATTGTTCGATTGATGTAATCTACGCGCATAGCCTGGAGGAAGACGGATATATCTATGAAACACGCGCAGGGCCGTGGGGGCAGTCACTGGACAAGGCTGCTATCAACGCCGCTCCAATTCCCGATCCATCCTCTGCTTGAACAAAAGTGACCAGGTCCTCAACATCATCTGGCCAATCCATAATCTCCCGCAAAGCAGCGGCAGCACGGGTTTTGAACCGGAACAGCTTCTCGAATGTCGACCCGTCCACTCCAACCCGACCTGTTTCCAAGCCCTCCTTCTTGCAAATTGCCGCAATGCCACAGGCATACAGTCGCGCGGCCCGGGTGCATACAATCTCCCCGATGAGACAACAAACTCTCAACTCCTGCAACGTCGGTTCAATTCCAAATTGTTCATTCAAGATAGCACGGGTCTCAGCCATAACACTCTCCGTTGCAGAGCCGTCCTCTTCCATCTTCGACACGCAGGACGATTCCATCGAGTTGACCCGTCTCAGACGACTGATATCCGCCCCCTCCAAGAACCCCGACGTATCATGCAGATGAATGAGAATCAGCCTCGCGATCTCCCCAACATACAGCCCCGCAACCATCTTCTCATACGTCTGCTGGCCCGGTCGCGGAGACGTCCGATCGACCTCGACATCAAACTGACAACGAGGAAGCACCTGATGGCTGTTATCAAAGGCCCCATACTCCGTATTAATCGCCACCGGCTGGTCATCTGGAAGCTCATAACCCGCGATCTTCGGCACACGCCCACACCGTTCCAGATACGCCGAATTGCACCCGGTGCCGAAGATACTCCCGATCTTGACCTGCGGGTCGCGGTAAGCCGACGCGATCAACGTCCCGGTGGTATCATTGACCAGGGCGACGACGCGAACCGGCACATTCTGTATGTTTTATTCAGTAGGTGTCACCAAATCAACCCATCAACGCGCGCGATTCTCACTCGACTCACCCTAACCTCAAGCGCCTCCTCCAACTGCGCCACAACATCATGTCCCTCCACCCCCGCAATATCAAACCCCTTCGTCCAGCGCTGCAGCACGCCGTGCCGAATATTCTCCTGTGTCACGGGGTACGAGAACGTAAAAGCCAGTGGCAGTTTCTCCTCCCCTGGGTGCAGATCATGCTCGACCAGAAACTCCGCTACCCGGTCCGCGACATAGTTCCATAGCTCGTCTGCCGTCCCCGTCTTCAATCCCCTGGGTAGCTTGAACTTGCTCTGCGTGATCTCATATCCACCTTTCTCCTCTGTCAGAATCACGTTGCAGACGCGGATGTTCGTCCCGCCCATGTCGATGGTCAGGTATTGGCCTGTTTCGTACCCGGTCGGGTATTTCATCGCCCAGGTGACGTTCATGGGCTGGTCCGTTAGCGTGTATTCCTCGAGGGGTAGGTGACCGACATACTATATCGCTGTCTTCGTGAGTTAGACCTGCGCTGCGTAAGTTCATGGCCCATGGCTGGGAGGGGCGACAGGCAAGGGCCATCTATATACCTCTGTCCAATTCCCGGACAAAATGATCTGTTATACGTCTGAGACTTTCTCCATCGACTGTGAATATCTGCGCGATGCGTGATACTTCCTCTGAGACCTTGTCTGGGATCCCTGTGGCCGGGGTCAGAGGCGTTAGTGAGGGCTTTGCGTGGCATGTGGTGTGGTGCGGTACCGGGCGGAAAGTGGATGCCCACTCTCGGGGCGTCTTGGGCTTCTTTCATTGCGACTGACTGGCTGGATCGCTACCTTGGTCTGTTGCTATCTAGGAATGTATATCACTAGATCCAGATGTAGAGCGGGCTTCTCTTAAATACAGAAGGAGGTAGGTAGGTAGTAGGTACGCAAGAGAACGGAAGCAGCAGCCCGCTTCTTACGTCCCCCCTCTTTGTTTCTTGTATCCCGCCTGTGAAATCCCGCAATAATGCCATGTCATATCTGTCGGAAATCCCCCCTCCCCACCAGTAGACCGGACTTCATTGGCATCTCTGCAGCTGATAGAGTTAAGTTTATGATTAACTTCGTCGGGATGGGAGAGTTGAGTTCAGTGTGACGTCGGCCCGAGACGGGTAGACGTAACTATGTTACAACGATGGGTGGCGTGTTCCGCGGCATCAAGGTGGATTTTTTGGGTTGGATCCGTGGGACGGGGGCTGAGATTGCTGATAAGATAGTCGAGGGCGGATTTGAGTGGTGGGTTGGTGGGTGAATTTGGGAGCATTGGAGATCTAGATCGCGGTGGGAGGGTGTTTGTTTAGTGGAGATGGGTGGTTGGTTATCTGGGATTCAGTGAGTAAGGGTTTGATCCACGATCGCGTTGGTTGATGTTTGTAGGGATTGATGGGAGACGTGGACTGACGACTGGCATATTGGGTTCTGGTGTTTGTGGCTGGTGTTTTTCATTTGGGATTGAGCAATCCGGTAAAGACTTTATATATAGCCGTTCTGGTCAATCTTGTCACCGTAAAGTATGAAAAGAGTTGGATTATTGGAACTAGTACTACCACATAGACGAACCTAACTTTGTATTAGAATACAGGGAACACTTCATATTCATGGTCAATATAAGTTTCGCTGATGAAATCTGTTCTGATAGCCAGTCTAAAATAACCGATATCTATAGTAATACAGCAAGAATGGACATGCACTCGTTCCATCCGGAGAAGAACAGCTTGCCTACTCCATAAGCCTTTAGTGTGATCTTCAGCACAGACTTCCAATATTTTCAACAAGAATAGCTTTTGCCATCCTTCTGGTTGTATAGACTCAATCCCTCTATTGGAAGACACCCGAGGCCCGAGGAATCCAGATGTGCAAGCCGACAACCGAAAAGCATCCTACTCTGCACCTCGCGGGATATTTATAGACACTCAAAAGAAAGATAGATACTGCGAGTGATCCTAGGTGATGAGACGAATTGTAGTCGGGTGGACATGATGTCCCCGGATGCTTTGTTGTAGGGTTATAGGGAATATATATGGGTGCTGTTTGTTTGTTCTTTTCCCAATAAACTCATGACAGTGCCCTCTGTGGGATACATTGGAAATTTCGGTCGCTGAATGCTTTGCCAGAGGAATTTCTCACTAACTTTTTCTTTTTTTTTCTTTTTTTTTTTTTTGAAATTTCTTTTTCTCGGTCGCTGGTGGTGCAAGGCCAGGCTCCCGTCGATCCATCCGAAAGTGGTACTCGACGAAGTTACACTGTACTTGCGGTTAAATAGAACTTGACATTAGTTATTTTTTCAATCTTCAAACGCCCCACCCTATAAAAAGGTTCTCTACCTCCAGAACCCCAACATATTGTCACCACATATTTTTCACTTTCCCAGTAATATCCCTCGCAGACAAGTCACGTGATACCCCACACCAAGGGATGACATGCAGCAAACGGACCAATCATCGCCTAGGATCCCCTCTGCATCGCCAAGAAAAGGCCATCAGAACTTGCCCCTGTTCTGTTCTGTTCTGTTCTGTTCAAACTCCATCCATCTCCAGCATCAACCTCGGCTAACACAAAAAACCCCATCCAACACTTCACTGCCCAATAAACACAAAATGTGCCAAGCGTGTATCCCAGCTGACGACTATGACTGTGACTCGGATCTCGAGTTCCACTCGGATAACGAGTGTCCCTGTCCACATGACCATGCCCATGACCAGGACCAGGACCACAAGGAGCCGCATGCGCACCATGAGCACGGACACAGCCACGAACACAGCCATGGCCACGACCATGAAAATCAACACAACCACAACCACAACCACAACCACCGAGAAATTATCTCCGACGAAGACAACAACGAAGACACATCCTCCCACGAGACCGTGTCATTCCCCTCCGACCCCTTCTTCGCCCGCCTCATCACCGCCAGCCGCCAGTTCAAAGACCAGATCGTCATCAATGACAGCGCGCAGGGGCTGCAACTCACCTACGCGCAGTTCCTGCAGGATGTGCAGGCACTGCGGGTGAAGATCCGGGCTGCGGTTCCTGCGGATCTGCTGGATGCGAACGGCACGTTCAAGCAGGGCGCGGGGTATGTCGGCGTGCTGGCGGAAATCCAGTACCCGTTTTTCGTGGCCAGTTTGGCGGTGTTGAGCTTGGGGGGTGTCATTGTGCCGATGGGTGTGTTTCACTCTTCTCTGCCCGCTTTTCTTTTCTTTTCTTTTCTTTTTTTTTTTAACCCAGATACTAACAACCAACAGGCCACGCCCCCGAAGCAGACCAAGCATTCGCCATCATGGAAGAATCCCGCGCGATAGCTCTCCTCTTCGATCCTACCCAATCCGACCTAGCCACTGGCATCGAAAGCGAAGCCAAGTCAGAGGGGAAGTCCACGCTCCAACTTCCCATCGAGATCAACCTGGCGCAGAAGAGCCCAGGAGAACAGAAGTTCCGCTTCGTTACTGACGATAACCTGGTCATCCCCGCCGACCGCCCGGCGCTTCTTCTCTTCGGTGGTGGGGATGAGCCGGACGTGCTGACCCGCCAGGCCTTCTATGATCGAGCGACGGGTGAGGCGACGGCCGTGCCGCCGGAGATGAGGGATGCGATGATGCTGTGTATTCTTATATGTTTGTCTTCGGGACCTCCGCCGTCGTGAGGCCCGGGTTGGGCTTTTGTAGAATTGGAATTGGAAGATATAACGGGATGATAAGTTTCGCATGTGTGTTGGCGTACTTGTCTGACGCGGATGTAACCTGCTCACAGCCTCCGTCGTAGGGAATTGGCGTTATGACCTTGTGGTGCCAGAGGCGCGATTGGCATGGAGCCCCTCACTGTGAGAAGACAAGTGAGCGCTCATACCGCCATCATCTCGGCGACACGTAGCAGGTTCAGACCCGGATATCAGAACCCGACGGTCTTTTATACTTTCAGCAATTGTATGAGTGACGTCCCGAGCCAAAGAGTAGCTTCTAGCCCAACAGCCGCACCGTCTATCATTGACGGGTTGGTTTATAAGTATTGCGAGTTGACGGTTCTTGGTACGACGACAAACTCGACGCGGAGCGACATCCTAGCACCCGGACTGATATAAGCGCGACCTTGAACGCTTGACTGCTTGAGCTAGGCTAGCGATCAGTGCCGGCAACTACTAATATCCTTGCCAGGGTGGAATACCCAATAGCTTTGTCGCTGAAGCCACCGAGTTCTCCGCCGCAAGGAAGTCGACTTTTGGATCAGGACGACCTTGTGGAACGAACATCCCGGCTAGACGATGTCCAGGAAGGAAGGAGTAAGGACAGACCCTACGCCGTGAAAAAGCATTCAGGCTACCGTCTGCTCTCAGCACAACTTCTGTCTCTAGTACTACCACTATCGTTTTCACCCCGAAGTCTACTACCATTACCCGATCGAGCTCGAGCTTTTTAGAATCGTCTATAGGACCGCTTCTTCCCATACTACTCCGTGTCAAACAACCGTTCTGAAAATGCCTGTCCTGTCCAGAGCCCAACTGAACACCGTTTTGTCCATCCTGGCACAGAGGTTAGACACTCTGGGGATCGATTACGCAATAATGGGAGGTGCAGCTGTTTGCCTCATTGCGAACGATCCGACAAGGATGACAGAAGATGTCGATCTTGTTGTCCATGTCGACCATCGCAGGATTACGGCGGATCTATTGACCTCCCTGCTCATCCGATCCTACCCTGATGATTTCGCTCCGATCACCCAGTACGGCCATACCATACCGGGCTACAAATTGAAACTACTTGGAGGGGCATCTCGACTTGTGGAACTAGAAGTGTTTGATTACCAGAGCTGGCCTCAAAGGCCACAGTACGATATTCCGGCCGCAACTCGTACGACGGTAGCAGTGAGCGGTCAGCAGGTCAAGACTTTCAGTGCCGAATGGATCTTCCGAGAGAAGGTCTTGTCGCAGTATCAGCGACAGGGAAGTCGCAAGGAGGAAACCGATATTCGAGATCTGTTTAGCATGGTTCCATTCCTCTCTCCAGGAAAGGTGGAACTCGACTTTAACCATGACCAGAGTTTGAAGGATGCGCTTCGCTACCTTCTTCAGAAGAGACCCGATTTGGAGGACGAGATAGAGGGGGTGGTGAAGTGCACCGCAGTCCTGGGTAGCTAGTATGTGTATGTCTCCCTGTTCCATACTATGCAAATGACGTCGACTAACATGGCCCATGTAAACAGAACTAAGACAGCGGCGGCGGGCGAGGATTGGTCGATCAGGTTACCGGTCCATTCTTTTGTTAGGTAGTTGATATTATGCGTGAGTTAGTGCTGCTGGAATTATTATTACATGTCTGCTAGGCAAGTGGGACACCATCCATGCCACATGGCATTTCTTTCCCAGATCCGACTCGCTTTGAAATGCGGCGGTTTACGGGCCCATTCTTTTCCTCGTAGACTCGACCGAAATTTTCACTATACCAGGTGATCGCGCGTTCTTCAACGCAGTGATCGAGCAGCTCGTTTGTTAAACCGAGATATCCCACCATCTGAGCTATCCACGCTCTACACAGCTGGCCCCAAGACGAGATTTTCACATAGCCTTTGGGGTGCAGACTTTCATCATCCATCGCAGCATTCACGAGTCCTTCTATCAGGGTCCGCTCGCGTGGATATAGCACATTGTCAAATGCATAATAGTCCGTGGGTACGAATGCCCGCTCGTCGCGTGCGGTGGCCACGTGTAGGCGAAAAAGAGAGTTTCGAATCAAAAACAGCTGCTCGGCTCGGTCGTGGGACTGTGTCGGGTAGTCGAAGGTTGTAGAGAAATGGTCGAGTCGTTTATAGCCCGCATTTATCCGTGCAATCACGTTCTCGGGGTTTGGGAGTCTATTCAGGATCTCGGGGGCTGGAGCGCGATTCGGCTTTGTCTGCCTGAACCCGGCATCGTGGAGCTTTTGAATGGCCGATCGATAGTCCTCGTCCTGGACGACAAACATATGGATCTGGGTGTCACGAGGGTGAAGATGGTCAGCGAGGAAGCCTTGCCATGCCAGACGGATGAGGCGGTACCTACCCCTACCACGATCGGGACACCCAGAAACGCCAGTGCAAGAGGGCCCCACGCCACGACCGGGAGGGGGTGCAGCGCACGTCCCGCCTCGTCCGCGACGGGATCCGGGGACTCCATCCGGGGCTTTCGGAACATGTTGACGACGGTAGGAGATTGTAGGGGGATTTTTGCTGGAGTAAGGGGGGGGGTGGAGCGCGTTGTTCAACTTTGTGGGTTTCGTGGTTGGAGCGGCGGATGGAGGAGGTGGTGGGGGAAGAGGACGAGAAGGACGAGACGGACGAGACAAGAAGAAGAGCGGAGAAGATGGACGATCGGCTTATATAATATGGCACTGTACGGCAGGCCATAGCGACCACCGGGGTCGTTTCGACAATCCTTGCGGGGTGAAAGAAAAGCCCTCCAGCATTCCAGCTCCTTCGTGCATTGTCTGCCTCGTGAATGGTATGAGTTGATCGGTTAGTCCCCAGTCCCCAGTCCCCAGTCCCCAGTCCCTCATTCCCTCAATCCCCACTCTGTTGCGGGACCCCCCAACTGCGTTGGGCTTAGCGCCGGCCCTCGCCCGCCTCGCTGGTATTGGGATTGCTGGTCGAGGAGATGGTTCGCTGTCGGTCCACCTCACAGCCTATCCCCTAATAACAAACAGAATTGGCAGCCTGTTCCAGTCAGTCACGTCGCCCACGGCTGCTCTTCATCTGCATCGGGAATCGCAGTCCCGCGGAAAAGACTATCAAAGAGGGCTAAGTCCACGCCCTGCATGTCCCAGTCCTCTGGACCTGGAAGGTCCATGGGGGGATATTGCATGTCGCTGCTCCCAGAATCGATGGGTCCATCCGGTGGCGAAAGTGTATTCTGACCGGGATGTAAGATTGATGATCGTGGACTGTGATAAGCTGGCTCTGCGCCGATTTCATAACCCGCGCGATGAGGATGATGGGTGTGGGTACTATGTTCGACCAGGTTATCAGGATAGCCTGCATTACTAATTGGCACCGGCTGTGAAGAAGCAGAAGGAGACTTGGTCATAATGCCATGTTCGAACGTGATGGTTCCAAAATACGGGATATGGATATTCAGCCCCTGCCCGCCGTTAGTTAGTTTCCCGCCACAACCGATTGTTCCCTCGTCAGCGGCTGACGAATTCGTGCTATAGATCGTGCCACTGGCGGCATTCGCCTCGATAGCAAGTAACTGCCGAATAAGAGGAGCCAATCGACAGGCGATCTCGTCCGTGCCTGCGCGGGTCATCGACTGCAGGATTTCAAGTGTGCGTTCCATCATCCCGCGATCACTCGGACGGGAGTGAAACAAGGGATTGAATCTCGTACCAGCCTGGCGCTGACTATGCGAGTCGATATGCGCGAGACACATCACGGTTGTGGCTACGAAGGCGAGGAAATCCGATCCGCGGCAGTAGAAGTGGCCCGGGTTGGAGGCGCGGAACACGACGTACCGGGCGAGGATCTCTCGGCTGCCTGTCACGGCGGTGGTCTTGCTGGCGTCGTAGCGGCGGTCGGTCGAGGGACACGGCATGTAGGGTAGGTGTAACCTGATGAGGAGATAAAAGTGGGAGAATTGTTGCATTAGACGGGCCGTGTCGTCGAGATTCTGCTCTTTGGTGTTGTCTGGCCGGAATTGCGGGATAAGCCACCACTGCGGCGGCATTTCGGCGGCGTTCTTCTGTAGTAGTCGGTCGATTTCGGAGGTTAGGGACAGGTTGGTGAGGTCGCAATCTGTGCGTTGCAGGATTCGTCCGGAGAGGACGCAGTGGATGCGTTGCATGCGGTCGAATGGTTGGCAGGCTTCGAGGGCTTTGGGGGCTGCGAAGCGGTTGTCGATGGATGCGGGCGGGAGGCCGAGCATGAGGGAGAGGTAGCGGTCCATTTCGGCTAGGCGAAGACAGATGTTGTCTGGGTCGAATGATGCTCGGGTTTGCGGCGTGAGGAACTTGAGGGATGGGGAACTGAGGCCGCGGTGGAGCGCCATCATCTGCGCGACGGACGCCGCCCGTCGCACGGCCATCCATGCTCGGTGCAGATTCCCCGCGTAGTTCTGGTACGTCGCTTCTATCATGATGCACTCGATGCCCTCGACGGACCCGTTGAGGTCTTCGTTGGCATTCACGAGCCGGACGGCCCGGTCCAAGACTCGGGACATGATATCGCGGTAGGAGGAACTGAATTCGCCTAGGCTTTCGACTATAGGGGGAGGCACACTTTGGAGGAATGTTCCGAGTATCAGAAGCTGCCGTGCGATGAGTACCGGATGGGAACCTGGTGGGGGGAGTTGAAGCATCTCCTGCGGTGATGGCGGGCCACTACCCGGGATGGTTGTGTGGGGCACGAATATCCCACAGTGCATGTACGTGGATAGTCCAGCAGGGAGGGCGAAGATGATGTCGAGCTCTGCCTGGCTGGGCCATGCTGCGACCAGGTCCCTGGCCACTCCCTCGTATTTGCTTGACAGGGGGGCTCGGGGTTGGGAAATGGCCGTGCTCCCATTTATCGGCAACACCACATTGCGTGGCGAATTATCTCTGTTCTCTAGTGCGACTGGGATGGACTGAGCCTCCAGCCGATCCGTAACAGGGTAAGACGCGTCAGAACGGTTCACCAACTGCTCGAGCAGCCTCTCCACTCGGCTGAGCCGGACTTCGACCTGGCTGCCGCCGCTGGGCTCAGGACTATCCTGCTCCTGGCCGATGCATACCGTCCCCCGTCGCCGACAGTTGTTGCAAATGGTAACCTCGGATGAGGCGAAGATGCAGCGAACTTTCCGCCGCTTGCACTCCCAGCAGCTCTGCGTGCCCTTCCGGACTTTCCTCCGCTTCGGTTCGGGTCCGTCGTGGAAGTCAAACTCGGTCATCGTTCGTGGAGTGGCACTTCGGCCGACTGTCTCACTCGGATCGATAGAAAGGCCTGGTCTTGCGGCAGCCGGTGAGGTGTTTTGGGGGAGATGGATCGACGTCGGCAGATGATTGTGGTGGGGGTTTGGCCCGAGCTCGGTGGATGAATGAATGCTGACAGGGACGGATGGTGTCAGCCGTTGTCCAGATAACGGCACAAGTCATCCAGGACATGGAATTGGCCTTTGGGTAGAGGATTACATATCATTATCCGGAAAATCCTCTTCTCGACTGAAGAGTAAGACTTGAGGTTAATCCAAGAGAACCAAACACATCCTCAAGAACCAAGGCAGTTCAAGTAGCCTCTGTTCCCAAAGTAGTCTAGCGCGTGGGTTGCCCTAACTATATCAAGGTAAGGCTACGTCTGTTGTCCAGTGGACACCTCGATTGAAAATCACGGGCAGTAGGGTTGGATTGGCTGGATGTGAACAAAATCCGGAACATTGTGTCAGTGGACTGGGAAGCTTGATAGGAATACAACTTCTCCCCCATAAACGGCCAGTTAATTTCAACAAGAAGGGTGTGTGGGTGTGTGGGTCAACTCCTGCACCGCTCGTATTCACTCACTCACTATCGCAAAACAGCCGCCGGACGGATTCGCCGCCACTCCGGCGTCGAATGCGGTCTAGCCTGCGACCGACGCGTTGACACATCTCGAATCTTCTCTTCATCAGGCCTCACTCGGCTTTCTTTGCATGCTCTCTATCCCGAGCTTATCGATCCTGACAGTCCATCCCCTTTCCCACTCTCCTCCATCACCAACCTCGTCCGGAATGCCGCCGCCATGACCGTCAGCCCGCCCCCCTCGCAGTCGCTCAGGGGTCTCTCACCCGTCGGCCCGCTGAGATCGCGGCGGGGATGCACCACCTGCAAGTAAGAGTTCATCCATATCCATATCCCCCATCCCCTCCAAACACCAATCCCAATTCCTAACCCCTCCTAGAATCCGAAAAGTCAAATGCGGCGAAGAAAAACCGCACTGTATCCGATGCACCAGCACCGGTCGCAAATGCGAGTATCAGGGCCAAATCGCGGGGACCTTTTCGTCGGCCTCATCATCACCGACGATCTCCATCCACGACACCTCACTGTCGTTCCTCCCGAACACAGTGTGGCGCGAGCGTCGCGCCTTCGCGTATTACTTCCAGCAAGCCGCGCCCTTCGTAGGCGGGGAACTGGATGTCGATTTCTGGCGCACCACCATCCCGCAGGTGTGTCGGAGTGAGCCTGCCGTCTGGGACGCCATCATCTCCATCAGTGCGCTGTTCGAGAGCCCCGAGCCGTGTCCGGATCTGGTGCTCTCGCGTCGGAGGGACGTGCAGCACACGCTGAACCAAAACCACCGAGATGCGATGGGCTGGTACTCCCGCTCGGTGTCGGCCGTTCGGCGGCGCATTGAACGCGGGGATGTCGACATTTTCGTCGGGCTGATCAGCTGTGTATTGTTTATCTGCATCGAGGCGCTGCAGGGCGGTTCCGATGAGGCGGTTCGGCTGTATGCACAGGGCGTGCATCTTATCTTCGCCCTGCGCGCCCAGATCGCCGCCGGCGCTGTGTCCGCCACCAAGGCGTTCTTGTTGGAGGATATCATCGTGCCCGTGTTCGTCCGGCTGGGCGAAATCGCCATGTCGGATCCTGCGAATCTGCTGGTCGCTCTACTGCCTACTACGCAGCGTACGTCGACGCAGGAATTCCCGTCCCTTCGCGCTGCGCGAGAGGCCATCGTGCTCCTCCTGGCGGACGTGCAGCTCCTCGAGCGCAACTACGAGGAGCATCTCACAGAAACCAACTCGTTCGATGTACCCGATGAACTCCTTACCCGACAAACCCTCCTCTCGGAAAGGATACTCAACTGGCACACTGCCTTCACGAATCTAATCAACTCCCTACGCTCGAAAGACGTTCTCTCCCCGCAGCAAATCAGCTCGAGCACTCTTCTCTCCGCATGTCATAAGACACTCTTTATCCAACTCTCCATCTGCCTTTCCCCGTTCCAGACCACGCCCGATGCCTATGAACCGCTGTTTCAGACCATCGTAGACGAGTCCCGCATGGTGCTTGACGGCTCGGGAAGATCGGACGGCACACAACCCCCGTTCACGTACGATATCAGCGTCGGCCTCCCGCTTTGGTTCACTTCTCTCAGATGTCGGGAACCAACCCTCCGACGAGCGGCATTGGCACTGCTCCGCCGAGCGCCTCAGATCCTGGGGTTCTATAAGTCTGCGGACGGGGTGATGTTCGCGGAGGGCGTCATGATGCTTGAAGAAGCGTATGCGCAGGCCATGAACGCCCAGAGAGCAGATGATTCGGTACCGGAACTCACCAACGACCTTCCAATCCAGGCTATCGATGCTGGTACCACACCTGACACCAACCCAGTCCCCATCCCCAAAGCCATGGCCATGTCCATAAACACCAACAAACCAACCGCCCTCCTCATCCCCGAAGAAGCACGCATGGGCCCCGTCCGCATGTTCCGCGCCTCCGAGGGATTTCCGCCCGAAACGCCCGACGACGAGATCGCAAAATGGAGCCACAGCCCCGATCAGGGCTTTCTGCGTTTCTCGCGGAATAAGCTCGATCCGGCAACGAATACCTGGCATAGGGTTCATGGGTACATGCCTATCATGATGTAGGGATGGGGTGGTTTATCTTTGCTGAATATTAAGTCTGCGGACATGATGATTTGGTTGGATGACAATACAGCACCGTTCAGCGACTGACTACTTACTTACTGTAGGTAGCTGTCGTGCAGATATCAACAGAACGGAGCACACAATACACAATACAGAATACAGAATACAGAATACACAGCATCTTAAAGTACCGTCCACCATCAAATTCCCCCCCTCACCCCAGAAACCAGACAACACAGCATAAACCAACTACGGCTTCCCCCTCCACGCCTCAGCCAGAAACTCCTCCGGCTGCGTAAACTCATAATCCGGCAACAGCCGATTCCACTCATCGGACGACTCATAATCGCCCGCCGAAATAGCAGACAGAACCCCCGCCAGGATGATCGCCGAGAAGACCTCGACCTGCTCCGGCGGGATGGAAGGGTGTTCGAACCGCGGGGCCCACGAGGTGGTTATCTTGCCCGCTTTGAGGTCTGAGGGGCTGAGGGTTTCGATGGCGAAGGGGGCGTCTGGTGCTGTTTGTCAGTGTGGGTATTCACACTGGGTGATTGGTGTATATGATTTTGCGAGAGGTGAGAGAATGAAGGAGGGAAGGAGTGAAGGGGAGGAGGGGAGGAGGGGAGTAGGGCAGGAGAGGGCATATCATACCCCGAATCCTCTCGCCAAGGGCAATCGTCTCTTCGATCGAGATAGTCCTCCCCCTGATCCCACCGACGACGGGCCACTCGCCCTCGAAATCGATAGCTCTGGCGACCACATGGGCGATATCCTGTACCGTGGTGATGGTGAATCGGTGATCTTCGCTGCCTTCGATGAGGATTGCGCGGCGGTTGAGGAAGTCGATGGGGAATTCGATGCTTGGCACGTGTTTGGCCGATTGGTAGGGATGGGTCCATGCGTTTAGGAACAGACCCGGTTGGAAGAGGGTGTATTCGAGGATCTGTATTTCCTTGTCTCAGAACCCCATCCATTCAGAATCCCATCCACTCATGAAAACTGCCGGGGAATGGGGGGGGTACAGAACAAACAAACCTTCTTCTCCCTATTCACCTCGGCCAGATACCGTCGCGTTTCCGCCTTGTAGGCGTACCAGGGCATCTGCTCTAGTCCGGCTCTTCGTCCTCTTGTTAGTAGATGCAATCTCGGTGTTTTGGGGACAGGGACAAGAATTGGGATTGGGATTGGGGATGGGGATTATGACTCACGACGCCCATTCACTCGGCGCAAACCGCTTCACGCCCGCTGCGATGGCCGCGTCGATCAGGTTCTTCTGGATCGTGCTTTCGGGGTCGTTGGTTACGGCTATGAATGATAGGATGGTGTGCACGCCCGTCAGGATCTGGGTTAGTCTGGGGACGGAGGTGTAGTCGGCTTGGATCTTGGTTGTGCCGGGGGTGGGTGCCGTGGTTGGGGTGTCCTGGGGGGGGTGGGCGATTAGTGGTGGTGAAGGTGAAAATGGGGTGGGGGTTGGGCGAACCTGGCGGGTGAGGAGGAGGAGTTCGTGTTTTTTGGTTGCGAGAAGGACGTCGATTACTTCCTTTGCGACGCCTGTGGATTTTCCAGTGTTAGGTTTGTTTTGTATGGTGTGTGTGTGTTGGAAGAAGGTGTGGACTTGATATGTACGGACATACCCCCGGAACTACCGATAATTGCGATCTTGACCATTTTGCTTTGACGGGTTGAGTCGATGGCTGATGTTTTGTTTTGCTTTAAGAGGAATGCAATCGAATGAAGGCTGGAGGAGAATGAAGAGTGATAATCCTGATTGTCTTCTGCTTTGTGCTGTTGTAATATCCATTGTAGCAGGCGCCAGAGTATCGACTAGACTATATACGCTGTTCCCCCGAACCCTCGGCCGAAGTTGCTTACACTATGAGTGTGTTCCTCCGCCGAGTCGCGGAGGTGAGATAACGCCATTGATCACTAATACAAACCTGTCTAACACAAAAACAGCTGATCAATCGAAAAAGATTGTATAAGCAACTGTTTGCTCAATTTGTCAGACTGTTGGATCTCATCTCGCGTAACTCAGCCAAGCTCGACTGGGGCGTTCTGTTGTGTATTCTTTGTCCGACAGGAACTGACTCGCGTAAGCAGGACAAACAACAGATAGTTAACTAAAAAAAAGGCATCCATCTACCCTTACAAACCCCATTTACTTTCTCCCGTTATAGCTGCAGTTATACCACCCATTTATTCTTAGGTAGGAACCAGCGATCCACCGTTCGTCTCACAACAAACACCCTCCCATCCCCCAACTGCCGACCAGGGCCCGATCGCATCCCCCCTCGGCATTCTCCGCCCTAAAAATAAAATACTGCAAACTAACCCTACACTCGGATCCCAACAACCTGGTAAACAACTCCCACCCACGCACTCCTCGCGGTCACACCGATGGACAAGGAACATCACGAATCGCGATCGCGAGACATAGTTAAGTACTATGCATCAACACCGCGTTAGATAAATCAAGAACTAGATACGACCAAACAGCCAGGGCAACCCCGCCAAGACCGACCTGTCACCCACATGGATGTGAATATCCGTGCTAACGTTTCAGGGCCAGCCATGGCGCTCGGACGGCATCCCCACTGGATCCGATAAGTGGGTAAGGAGGTAAGTAGGTTGGTGGCGGGTTGTGACTGTTAGCGAGATTGTCGCTGCGAGGCTGAGGTGCGATTTTGTTTTGTTTGATATGATATGATATGACATACAATACAACACCACACAACACCACAATCCAGATCTATCCAACGGCAGTGATGGTGGTGGCGACCAACCCCCTCCCCTCGGTCCAATCCCCCATAACAGAAACGATCTCAAAGTTTGAAAAATCCACCGAGGAATCCAACCCGACCCAAGCTCGACACAACCCATCATCTCCCTGCGTGATTAGCCTGTCATTTCTGGGCGGTGCGGCGCATCGGAACCCTGTTTGCGCTCGGACGGCGGCGCGCTGGATACGTCGTTTTCTGGTTCTCGGCCTCCTGTCTCCCTACAGTACCTACCTACCTAGCTAGCTAGTTGGCTGGCTGGCTGGCTGGCTGGCTGGCTGGCTGGCCATGTGGACGGGACTCATGTGACGAGGGGAAAGTAGGGGGATATATACGCTACCATGCCATGCTGCTGCTCTCGCGTGGAATCTGCAGTGTTGTGTTGTGCCTTGCAGTGGAAGACCGTTTTCCTTTCCCACTCTAGCACTCTTTTTTTTTTATCATTTTCTTCATCTGGGAACTCGAACGAAATTCACGATGGTTCTTCAGGGTCAATCGACTATCCCGCCCCGACATGTTGATCGGAAGGAGCTATATACGGATCTGGAGGCAAGGATTCGCTATTTGCAGCATTTTTTGGGGTTTGGGACCGGTATTCACCACTCCTTTCTTTCCCCGCTACTTCCCTTCCGGGGAGAGATGTACAAGATGTAACTACATGAAGGAAGACTGAACGAACCAGATGACGTCGCTGCCCTGCACGTCGGAGCCAAATACATCAAAGCGATGGCCCCCACGCTCGTTGATCGCGTATACTCCAAGCTTCTCGAGACGGACATCACCGCGCGCGTGTTCCGCACCCGCAGCACGGCATCGGAAGAGCACGTCGATAGTTATCCCACGTTCGAGAGCTCGCAGATCCAGCGACGACGCATGTTCCTGCGCTGGTATATGACGAAGTTGTGCTCGGATCCGACCAGGATTGAGTTCTGGAAGTATCTCAATCAAGTTGGGTATGCATCATCATCATCCCCACCTATTTCGAGCTGCTTGTGTGCTGATAGTATATGGGAAGACGAATGCACGACGGCAAAGACCGCATGCTCTCCTTCGACGTCGAATACATCCACATCGGGGCGTGTCTGGGCTTCGTCCAAGACGTCATCATCGAAGCCGTCATGGGCCTGGACGTTGTTTCCTTTCCGTTCCGACTCGCCCTCGTCCGCGCCTTGGGGAAGGTCATCTGGATCCAGAACGATCTGTTTGCGCGATGGCGGGTTCGCGATGGGCAGGAGTTTGATGATGAGATAGAGGCGGCGCATCATGACCCTGAGACGGAGCTCAAACCGAAGACGACGAAGCCGGCGCCGAAAGACCGCGACGATTCGTCCAGTATCAAGACAACTTGGTCGGCGCAGACGGAACCGGCGAGTTTGTTTTCGAATATGCAGTCTGTCGAGACGGCGTCGACGAGGACCACGATTCCGGCAAACTCGGCGTCGCAGGTGTCCGTTTGTCCGTTTGCGCTGGATTTTAAGCAGACGTTCGAGACGAAGGTGTGGTCGGGGCAGGATTCGGGGCATCGGTAGGGATTTGGCTGGGGGAGTTGAGGAGTATATCAGTGTCTGTTTTCCTTTTTTTTTTGACATTCCTGTTTCATAAAAACAATACAATGTCACGTCTATAGATCTAATACGTAGCCATATTCATATTCCCCTTACGCCCTTGATGCCCATATCAGCATTGAAATCCTCCGCACACACCAAACCACTGCCCAGCTTCCCTAAGCCTTAAACCCCCCCATCCCACAGCTCATACTCCGGGAAAAACCTGTCATGAATCCTCCGCGCATACTCCACCACCACCGGCAATTCCCTCACGATCACCTGCGTTTCGGGACATCTGCACGCACCAGTCAGTCAGCCAGCCAGTCAGCCAGTCAGCAACCCTCTATCACCTATCCATGCCATATTCTGTCCCACTCAATTCAAACAAAAAAAAAGGAAAAAGAGAAGAAAGAAAACTCACGCAGAACAAACCAACCCCCCAACCACAAACCCAAACAATGACGCATCCGCCTCCGTCGGGCCCTCCCCCCCAAGCACCCAAAATGGGCCTTTCTCACCACCACCACCATCCTTACCCCCTCCAGCACCAGCAGAAGTAGCTTTGATCTTTGACTCGGCCAACAACGCCCCAATCTCGCCCCAAACCTCCCTCTTCATCGCCGTACGCTCCTCATCTGAGAACCGCATCGCGCCTTGCCCGTACAGCGTCGCCACCTGTTTCCGGTAGATCATGTACCCGACCACCACCTGCACGGGGTAGGGCAGTGAGGCGAGGATGTGCGAGCGCATGGCGGCGTAGTTCTGGATCCATTTTTCGTGGCCCTGTTTTTGTTAGGATGTTGGAATGGTAGGCTTTTGGAGAGTTGGTCTTGCTCTCGCTCCCGCTACCGGTGCGGGTTTGTGGGATTTGGAGGGTGTGCGGGGAGTGAGAGAGTCAGAGGGTATGAGGAGGGGAGTGGGTAAGGAAGAAGGACCCACCTGCAAGAAATACAACTTATCCTCCAACAGGGCGCGGATGCCAGAGTCGGTTACTTTTGATAGAGCATCTAGAGGGCCGTTTAGGTCGGGGAGAAGACCGTCTTCGATAAGGGAGTTCGTGATGAGGGTTGAGTCGGAGAGAGTCTTGGCTGGGCTGGGATCGGAATCGGAGTTGGAATCGGAGTCGATGGTGATGTAGGGTACTTTTCCTTTTGGTGCGCTGCGCGGTGATCCAGTGGCGGTTTGGTAGGGGAGATTGCCGAAGCGGAAGCGCGCTTCGAGTTTCGTGACGAAGGGGGACCAGGTGTATTTTGCTGTTCCGGGGAGGCCCCGGTGGAGGATTATTGTCGGGATTGAGGTGGGGAGGGACATTTTTGGTGGGGGGTGTTGGGGATAGTTGATTCTATTCCCGTAGAATTGATTCCGGCCCTCTTCGAGGCTCTTTTCGGGTTGGTGGTGGGGATCGTTTTATATTTATATTCTCTCTCGTGTAGACATCGGTTGATACTTATATCGGATCGGGTTTTGTGGATGGACAGGCAAAGCCCGCAGAGGCCGAAGGATTGCCGGGTCGGGCTGGGTTGGGTTAGGGGGGCGCGCTAGAGTGGGGGGAAGGGGGGTCCGTGTGGTTTGGTGGTTTGTGTTTTTGACGGACGCGCTGGCGACTAGGTTCTTGCTTTTATTTGCTTTTTGCGGTTGTTGTGAAGATTTATCTTAGCGGTCGTGGGTAGGGAGGGTATGGACTGGGCTCTATGGGGTATACTTGCGTTGGTTTACTGGTATGTGCTAAGGATATGTAACTCAATATCTGCCTGCGGCGGTGCCGGGATTGTAAGATCTATCGCTAGGAATCAGGGACAGGTCGGGTATGTAGATGTTCTCTTATTTGTTTATCGTGTTCTTGCTGAGATGCGGCTTTGCCCTAATTCCAAAGTCCTGGAGTTGGTAGTCTTTCAAATGATCGCGATCGTTGAAGGATTCCGAAAGATCGGGTTCGCAGATGCGCTTAATAAACCTGACCGTTATGAACATGCTCATAGCCTTTCAAACCTTTTTTTATTCCTTTTTTTTTTTTTTTTTGAAATAAATTAGCAGACACCCAACTGCCTCTCACCGCGCAACTAGACAAAGAAACCTCGTCTATTGATCTATCAGCACCGGTATCTATCCAGAGTCCAAACCACCTCCGTCTAATGTGCATGTGCATGTGCATGTGCATGTGCATGTAAAGCGCCGTCGCCGTCGCCGTCGCTCATAGACGGTATAAAGCCGAATGACCCTCCGTGTATATCCATCCCCAATGCACCATCCCTTCCAAGTGTTCGACTTTCGGCTTCCAACCCAGACCCATACCACCCACCTCCTAGACCTTCCGATACGCCTCCCGCAAATGCTCCCTTATACTCTTCAACTCACTGACCCGGCTCTCCTCATTCTCCTTCAGCAAACGAAGATGCTCCGTCCTCAGCTCCTTGAAATCATCCTCCAGTTTGTGGTGCCACGGGTATAGGACGAAGACCTGGAAACACAGCGCCGAGCTGGCGATCACGAAGTTGGTCAGGGAGAAGCCGCGCGTGATGAGCATCGCGACGGGACTGTAAGTGGGGTTTAGCGGGTGGAATGTGGGTTGTGTGGTTGGCGAGCTGCGCGATAAGTACCTGGTGTTGAAACTTGAGTCTGGGAGTAGGGGGGGTGTTTTGTGGGAGAAAAAGGAGGGTGTGGTGGTTGTGGTCTTGGTGGCTGGGTCTGGTGTCTGGTGTCTAGGTCGGGGTCGGTGTGATGGACGCGACGGTGGTGAAATGAGTGTGGATGGGTTTTGAGAGGGGAGATTATTCTGTTGGGTCTTGCTGCGCAGCAGAAGGTAAGTAGGTTAGTAGGAGGGGGTTCAAGGGAGGGAAGGAAGGGGAAGGGAAGGAGAGCGAGAGGCCTCGACTTATAATCTCTCCCTGGTTGTTGATGACGCGTCGGATCCGAGAACGGGGATATCTCGGCGACCGCCATTCGGATCAATTACCCGACAAGCGGAATACTGGCACGCATTGAGTTGCCGGCCCTCGGGATCATTCGGGATGACCATGTAGAAGTGGGATAGTTGGTAGAAAGATGGGCAAGATCTAAGTAAGGATCTGCCTGGTGAGAGGCATTTCTCTGTGAAGGTATGGGACAGTGAAATTGACATTTAGGACTTTAGAATAGCCGACTGCCAGGGTCAATGTGTGGAGTGCCGATCAGATCAGATAAGAAAACACTAAATAGACACGTCCAATGCTGCATGGGTATCGAGTTATATACAATTCCAAGAAGTGGTGTCGGGTCAGTCAAACCCTACCTACGCGACAGCAACAGCACCCGCCACGATCGCAGCAACAACCCCCAGAGCACCACAAACAACAGTGCTTCCAGCATTCTTCGTGACTCCAGTGACAGTCCCATTACCACCGCCAGAAGCATCTGTCGAGCTGGTACCATTCCCCGCCCCAGTCCCACCCTCAGTTGTCGTCGCATTTGTAGCGGTCGCCTGCGTTGCCAGCCCCGCGTCCTTATACACCACCAAATTAGACGCGAAGATACTAGTCGCGCTCATCTGCTCCTCCATATCGGCAGAGCCATCCCACGTCGTCTGGTACCATCTCCGACCGCACAACGTCTCGTTACTCCCACCGGAACATTGCTTCGCAGCCCCAGACGCCGAGCCCTGCAGGCGCGGGATAATCTCGGAGGCAGTGTAGGGCGCCACGACGCTCACGAAGGCCAGATCACCAGCCAAAAGGCCCTTGTAGGTCTCCTCGGACGTATTACAGTCCTCTGCCGGCTCACAGAGCGCCTCCGACATGATCATACCGCCGTACTTCTCCGGGAAGAAGTTAGTGAAGGTGGTGTTGAGAAGGCCATTCAGACCCGCCTTCCACTTCGTCTCGCCGTTCGTCTATCCCGGTTAGATCTTGCCATCATCGTCGAGAAGCAGGCAGCAGACTCACAAAGTTATACATATACGCCAACCCACTGAGATACAATCCATAATTATACGTCCACTGATTCTCCCCCACGGTCGCACACCCGGACCCCGTACTCGTGCTATCCGCAACCACCCACGTGTCATTATTCACCAGGCTCGTCAGACTCCAGTCCCAGATCTTCTCCGCCCAGTCCGCATACGTCTGGTTACCCGTGAACCGGGCCAACCGCGCCGACAGCTGGAACAGCCCCCCGTTGCTGGCCGCCGTCTTCATCGTGTATCCGGACTCATACGACCAGATCTGCCACCGCAGCCCCCCGCCGCAGGTGCTCTCGTCCCACCGCGCGGATTGCACCTTGAACACTCGCTGCGCGAGAGTCTGCCACGACGACATGTTCGTTTCAACGGGGTAGTTCAGCTCCGCGGCGGTCATGGCGGCGAGGCCCCACGCCATCTGGTCCACGTTCGACATGTACGAGCTCCAGTTCGAGGGCATGTAGTTGTCGTTGCCGCGTTGCCAGTACATCCCCTGGCTGACAGCGGGGTTGTTGGACGCGTCGCCGGTGAAATACCAGTATTGGATCAGCGTGTCGAAGAGCGCCCCGCCTTCCCACCATGCGTCTGGAATGTACCCCGGGATTTGCCCGGTGTGGTTGGAGGTGTAGTTGGACATGGTGTTGAAGGAGGCTGTGGCGGCGGCATTTCTGATCGATTCTGCGGGTGTCAGTGGGCGAATTAATCTGATGGGATGGGGGGAGAGAGCTTACGCTCGTTGTTTATGTCGAGGCTGATGGCGGATGCGCTGCCCGCGAGAGCCACAGTGAATGCCCCCGCGAGGCGGTTGGTGAGGAGGACCATTTTGCTTCTGCCGCGGATGGTCGATTCTCGAAAAGCAAAACCACACCTCACAGGACCAGGACCAGGAACAGGAACAGGAACAGGAACAGGGGAACCATGTCCTTTATGGCCCCTCGGGAGGCTGAGCCTTAGCCAACTAGTGTACCGGATTAACTTCACCCATATCTGCTCTTTTCCATTGCAGAGCCTTAGAGGGTAATCAGGGTTCAGGCTGTCGTGAGCGGAGTCCTAGGCAGATGGGCGGGAGCCTGGACTGGGGGCCTAAACAAGGTCCGCCGTCGGTGATTCACGAACCCCTTGACAATCCAGATCCGAGCTCCGAGTTGGAAATGTCTCAGGGTCTGCCCGGCTATGCCGGCCGGACTAAACTGGCAGCGACGGATGTTATTTGTCTGTTTCGCGGGCTAATCTCGGTTGTCCGCTGGTGCTGAAAATTAGGCCGCTTAGGGCTCCAAGCCCCACCGTCGGGGACCATCGCACCGCATCGCCAAGTCCGATAGGGGGACATGAAATTAGGTATGAATTATGATTCGTGATGGCTGAGAGACTGTAAGCGCTGTATTTCGACCTAGTCAGGATTGGAATCCATGGTTTGATTAGGAAGTTGGGGTCCAAGTGGTAGGCTGATATTCGGCGGTTGGGTCCAGGGGTACATGCGGATATTGAAGCTTATTTCGGGCGTTTTCAGTCTTTGCATGTTAAGAGAGGTCAATCCTGAGTTGATCTGGTTAGGCTTACTCACGATATAATCGATAGTTATTCCTGCTGCATGCACTTACAGTCAGTTCAAGCTTCGACATGGCATGACCGACCGACAGATATCCCACTGCTCTGGCCCCTTTACGTTGACATGTCACAGAACACCCGGCATGCACGATGATCGCAGCCCTACCGTTCATCATGGAAAAATCAATGATGCTCACCACTCACAATCAAGTATCTAGTGCTAACCTCCCAGCATGTGGCATGAATTCTGCAGTGAGTCAGGTGGATACCAATACCATCCGGGTTAAGCTAGCGGGTAAGGCCGCAAGACCACCACGCCACTGGCGAATCTACACAATCCACACAGTATAAACAGGCTAATCTCTTATCCCTAGTTATCGCAAATGCTGTAATATCGCCTTCTTCCCCGCACATAATCCAACATCGGGTTATTCTTTGTATAAGAGCGCTTGGGTGTGGACAGATCATGCATAGCAGGAGTTAATCCGATACTGCACATATTTTACATCCTCTTTCTACTCGGTACGATTCATGCCATACCCCAGTCAGAGTCTTGATCAAGCCCGCATCGCATCGCCTCGCCAATCATGGCCAACCCCCCTCCAAAAGGTAGTATCACCTCCTATCTATCTACGCCTCAACTAACAATCATCTCCAGTCTGGGCCTCCCTAATCACAAACCTGGATTATCTCCCCGGCCTGCTCACCCTCGCCCACTCGCTCCAACAAAGCAAAACAGCCTACCCGTTCATCGCGCTGTACACCCCCTCCTTCCCCGAAGATGGGATAGACGTCCTCACAAGACGAGGCATCGCCTCCCGGCTTGTGGACACAGTCACCCCATCCGCAGATCGCACCTACGAGCAAGACCCGCGCTTCCACGAAGCCTGGAAGAAACTGGTCGTCTTCTCGCTGTACGAGTACGATCGAATCGTCCTGCTGGACAGCGACATGCTTGTCCGCCGCAACATGGATGAACTGATGGACGTGCATCTCGATCGCGGGAATCGACTCTTCGGCGCGAGTCATGCGTGTGCTTGTAATCCGATGCGAAAGAAGAATTATCCGACTCATTGGTATGTTATCACTTCCTTTTTTCTGAAACCCCAACTTTGTCTTCCATATAGGCCGTCATCCAAGCACGGAGCACACAAGGCTAACCCTCGCATGATAATGGGAGGGATATACAGGATCCCGCAAAACTGCGCCTTCACAACCCAACACCCCGACCCTGCACGCGCCCAACACGAGCCTGCCCCCTCCACGGCAGGTATATCCATGCTGAACAGCGGTCTGCTCGTCGTTAGCCCTTGCGCAGAAGATTTCTCTCTCGTTCAAGACGCGCTCCGTGACGTGGAACGAGTCAAGTCCTATGCGTTGGCGGACCAGGAGCTAATCTCGGATGTGTTCAGGGGACGGTGGGCCCCGCTACCGTACGTGTATAATGCGTTGAAGACGATGAGGGCGGACGGCGTGCATTCTGCCATCTGGCAAGATGAGGAGGTGAAGAATGTTCATTACATTTTTGCGGTCAAGCCGTGGCATCAGCCTGGGGAGAGGGAGGCGGATGAGCCGAATCGGTGGTGGTGGGCGGTTGATGAGGATCGGAGGCGGGGGGAGAGGGGGAGAGGTGTTGTGGATGGGTATTCATCTCATGGAGGAGTAGATAGTTGTTCAGAATAGATGGGGGTTCTTGAGTCCCATATCAGTTCCCAGTATGATCTTAAGCACAACGAGAAAAACCACAGGCTTACTGCTTAATAGCAGCTATCGTCCATCTCCCACCCTCAGTACAAAAGCAAGAACGTTAGTTGCGAAGTTTTCCAGGTGATCCGCATTGTCTATCATCCAGGGCCCGTATCGATGCAGCGTCAAGAACCTTGATGTCTGGTCGGTACCATTGAGGTAATTTAGGTAGTGCCGGTCTACTGTGCCCAGAGTGATGTACCTCTCGTTCCGATTCTGAGAAATGACGCAAATTCTGGTGATTCCCATATAAGTCAGTCAAGATACCACTTTTCATGGGCTGTTTCCCATACCTTCCTGGGTCGCCCGACGGTGGCCGGTCTTTTTGCTGCAAGAAGGCCCCGACCTCAAGGGCTTCCTGGATGGCGGTCTGCGTTTCCGTATCCTCCCGCTGCAGAGCCTTACACTCTACGAGCGCTTGCGCCCTCTCTGGTTCTTGAAAGGCACAGAGAGCACCATCAATATGCGCCTCGTAGGAGCTACTCCGGAAGCTTGCACGCAGTACCAACCTTGTCGGTGTCCAGCGGGACAAGGCACCAGGGACTTTCAAAGAGACAGCTTGCAGGAATTCAATAAGAGAGATGTTTACGGTCTCCTCGTCTCTGGTGGGGACAATGCTTGTTTGATGGGAGTTTGAGGGTGCGGTTCTATAGCTGGACAGGAGCTTGCGGTCCATAACTTGGCGTTCGTTCTCACGAGGGATCTCAAACATCCCCAATTGTAAAGGATCCCCCTGTCCCTTCATCGTTGCACCAGAGTCAGCACGTACACTCCTCAGATAAGCCCAGAATTCCGGGAAGTCGGTGTTCAGCTCATGTTGCGCTGCAGGTATAAACGCGTCCAGGTTCCACATAGGCGCGTCCCTGGCCAGCTGCTTGAACGGGTTCTCTTCCACCAAAATCTTAAGAACAAGAAATTGTGCAACTGTAGCTTTTGAAGCTGAGTGCATGTCGCGGAACTCGTTGATATTTGCATTCTCAAGCTTGGCGTTCTTTGCTGCCCGTCTCCAGTCCTCTTCGTTTGATGGAAATTTGAATCGCCCGGCCATGTTGGTTTCTTGCAAGATAGATGAAGATAGATGTATTCCAGCTATGATATGGCATATATGTTTGAGAACTGGAGGATGTTACAACTTCTGGACAGATCATTCCCCCTTACTATGTCTAAGATGTGTAGGACTTCCTGGTGGCACGCTCTGATTCACTAACACGACCCTCGCATTCACTGACACAAAACACAGCCCCAAGTTTATGACTTCCTGACAGCTGTCTTTTTACCTCTACTGTACATGGCGCTGTAACACAGTAACACCCTAATAGGCAAAGCAACTCCTCTCTGGTAGAGCATGTTTGTATATAGAACTGTACATGGACCAAATACAAAATTTACATCGCCGTAGTAGAGTACGGCTCTCATGACTATGTACTTTATGTACTATATAAGTTTCCCACGCCTAGGTGTTAAGCCTATCTTTGTATCTGGTCAGGTGGTTGTTGCAAGGTAGATGAAGGCCTACTTTTGCTTTTCTCCCACTCAACCTTCTGTACCCAGTCATTGTCTTGTGTCATCCTACAACGAGCTACAAACTAGAGAATGAAGCCTCGCCTCTTGATTCCGCGTAGCTTGGACACTGGTTATCCTCAGTCTCACGCTCAATGTCTTTGCTAATCGGGTAACACCAAAGCCTGTCCCCAGTCACATGATTTACCAGTGAATGGGCCCAATGATGACACCACTGGCCCACGAGGTGGGATTTTCTCCCTGAGTTCGTCAACATTCCCATCTCCCACCTCTTGTCTTACCACTCTCTGTCCTTCAATCCCTGCGCATCTCCCAGAGCCCTATCGATGTCGACCAACTCCAGAACTCGTGCCCAGCGGTGTGTGGAAGCCCGGTGGAAGAGACTTCTTGGTTGCAAGGATGAAGCGATCTCTCTGGAATCTGCCCTCCGTATGGGCTTCTATGCGACGAAGTTGGACTTGGAACATCCCTCCAGTGATTTCTTCGAACCGTTGACAGATGAATACATGCAGAATTACCCCGTCCTGACGGAGACGGTTGCTGCGATGGAGAGCAAACAGCCCGAGATGTACAAGGTTGAGGAATATAACCCTGAGACCGCCGAGGCCGCGAAAGTGTCCGAGTCCGTCCTTGACCGCATCGCCTGGTCGACGTCTTCCCGGGTCCAGCAAATTACGTTGGTCCTGAAAAACCTCATTTACCATCTCCCGCGGGAGAATACGCCCCAGGGAACAGGTCCTTCGTTGGCGAATTTTTCCATTTGGTGCCAGGCCTGGTGAGTAAATCTACGTCTCTCCTCAAGGTGTTTTAGGATATTTACCATTACTGATTGATCTATGTGTATCAGTCGTCCCGTGCCCTTGTCAGACGCCTTCTACATCAACGACCCTCCTCTCACAGACAGAGCTGCCAAGATACGCCTATTATTCGAAGTGGAGACTTATGTCTATCCACACATAATCATGCTCGTCGAGCATTATACCCCCGAGCCCGTGACTGATCATATTCTTCTGCGTCACGAGCTCGCTTTCCTGATCCGCGCAATGGAGATCCGTCTAGACGAGGGGTGCTTCCCGAAAGATCAGCCCCAGCCAGTAAGCCCATCATTCAAAACGTCTTTCTAGCCACGATTCTGGAGCAGTGCTGATCGATGATTGATTAGGTCCTCATGGTATCGTTGGTAGGGCCGCAGCATGGGCGGATAATCCAAGCGCACATTGACGGGACGCCCAGGATGGTGGTGGCATATAGCCGTCTCTATAGCTTCGAGAAGAATGAGGGTGCGCCGTTCGACCTGTTCTGCCGTTGGCTGTTGGCGAACCCGGTGGGGGTGGAGCCGGCTCAGGCGAAGGAGAAGTAGTGCCGGTACTTTCGTCAAATCAGATCAAATCAAATCAAGTTCTTTGAATAGTAGCTAGCCTGGCTGAGGCACATCTGGGAGCAAACCCTACAGCCTAAACAGCTCTCTGTCGGTCGGTCGGTTGACGCAAGTCCCCATCGTCTCGATCTGATCCCCCCCCATTCTCAATCCGGGAAGATCGTACCTGTGACATAATACCCCGGACGAGGCAGGGCATTGACATCAGAATGGAGTGGATCGACGGAAAGCCAACCGGTCCTGCGAACTGCCCCATATTGCGTCACGGCGGGCCGATTGCCTATTCGGGAAAACCCGCCACACCACCGCTCAACCCTCATCCCTTGCGCGCGCGCAGAGGAATGCTCAACCTCACATTGACACTCTTCGATAAAAGTCTTGTCGCATTTATATCTCACATCTACAGCCCAATATGCTTGCCTGGTAAGCGCAATGGCCGGTTGTGGCAGCATGCGCTGATCAAAGCAGGTATCAAAGAAAGCTCATCCAGCGTCCGCTATTGACGCAGAGTCTGACGACTGCCGTACGCTGTCCTTCCGCGAACATTTCGATATGCGATGGCTAATATTAAGAATACCACCAGACTCTCTTCGCTCTCGGCGACGGCATCGCCCAACAGGCCGTCGAAAAGAAGGGTCTCGCGAACCATGACGTAGCCCGCAGTGGCCGGATGGCTTTGTATGGCGGTGGTATGTCCACTCCATCTCATCCCATCCCTTCTCGCATATTATATTACCAACATTCAGTTCATTCTTTCTAATTGTAAATATTAGCAATCTTCGGTCCCGCGGCCACAAAATGGTTCCAGTTCCTCCAGAATCGCATCCAACTCTCCTCCCCGCGCCAGACTCTCGTCGCCCGCGTAGCAACGGACCAGTTGGCGTTCGCTCCCACCATGACAGGTGTCTTTTTGAGTACGATGTCCGTCCTGGAGGGATCGAATCCGCGAGAGAAGTTGCACAGGACGTATTGGGATGCGCTTCGGGCCAATTGGATGCTTTGGCCTGCCGTCCAGGGCGTGAATATGTATTTTGTGCCGTTGCAGTTCAGGGTGTTGGTGGTTAATGTTGTTAATATTGGTATGTGTTTTTTTTCTCATTTCATTGATGGCGTGCTTTGGCCATGGATGGGGTCTTACTGATGTGGCTGTATAGGTTGGAATTGTTTCTTGAGTGTGCTGAATGCAGCGCCGACGGAGGAGTTGTTGCCGATGGTTTGATTGAGTCTCCAGATGAAGTGCCGGGGTAGATCTTGCATCTCTGGAATCCATGTAATTGTACATAAAGCGGGGGAGTAGCACCGTGGAGCCTATCACACAAGGAGTATGCCACGCCATCACATTGTAACATCGAATTCTTGCCTCTGCAATCTACCGTACCCATGATGCCGCTTCTGCCTTGCGATTTCATACCGTCGAGGTCATTGAGAGTAGCCCCCTGGACGTCCGCGTTGTTCACCGCTGCCTCCCATTCTTCCTCGGTGGACGGAAACTTGAACTTTGGAGACATGATTAATTGTCGTTGATAGGGTGGGCGACAATTGAAAAAAGGAAACGCGTTGTGTATGATGAGATTTGCTTTCAGAAAGGAGGTTCGAGAGATGCAGACTGTAAGTTTCAAATTACTATGTCACAGCTGACATATATCAGGATAGTATATACTAAATAATACAATCTCTCAGAGATAAATATGCCCCTTATTTTACTGTAACATGGGAGTCCTTTATGCCTATATTAATATCATTGCATCTGTTCTACCATACAGTTACATTTCTCTATATTAAAATAGTTCTCTGGACTACAAGAGCCCACCCAGCATAGCAGTACGTAAGACGCGCTGAAAGGGAACGAATACTACTACTACTACAGGTGCCAGAGGAGAACCCATTCCCACACCGAGATACACACGTTATACGAGTTTGGCAACAGAAATGCGAAAAAGTCAATGCGAATTCTTGGCCGTTTCTGGCTGTCCAAACAATAGTTTCCGACCTACAGACAGACACTGCTCAACTATCTCCGGGTCACTTGGCCCTTGTGCTATCACACAACTACTCCTACTCTTCAGGCTTCGGCTCGCATGGCGTCATCCCGACAGGATCCGCGAGCAACCAGCGGTAGAAGAGCTCGAAGGGTGCATCTTCATTCTTTTCAAAGCTGTAGAGGCGGCTGCACTTTATGAGGATCTTGGAGCTTCCTTCTATGTGTGCCTCCAGCACGCGCCCATGCTGAGGGGCCATGAACGAAAGTAGCAAAACCTTGAGTGGCGCAATCATCGATTGGTTAGCTTTCTTCCACACGGTGGGTAAGGGACTTGGGCTGCTCATCGTACCGGCTGCGGCTGATCCTGGTCAAAATAGCCTTCCTCTAAGCGAAGCTGCATCGCCCGGACGATGTACGCGAGCTCGTGTCTAAGCAAGACACCGTCCGACGCGGGCTGCCGGGTGTAGTTTTTCAGAGTCATCACAACGTGCGGGTATGTGTATTCTTCCACCTGAAACATCGAATCCAGCCGAGAGGTCCTATCGGAGAGGGGGGGATCGTTTAAATAACGGGCCTTGCCAACGAGAGCAGGGGTGCTACAGACACGTCCGTCAGTGACTATAATCAAGAAGAGTGGGACAATACGATATAGCAACGCAACATACTCGGCAGGGCTCCAAATCGAAAAGTTCGCCAGCGAACACCCCAGTCCCTCCGGAGCGTTCTGGCGTGGCAGATGCCAGATAAAATTGTCCAGGGTGTTTGTGATATCGCCGGTACAAGAAGCCGGGCTCCATTGCATGCGCTCCCACGAGGTCGAGACTAATGCGGCAGCAGCCGCGTTGTATTCTCTCACTTTGAACATTGTGGGCTCTTCGCGTTCAATCGCTTCCTTGGTCTTGGCTAGAACGGGATAGCTTGCGAAGTATTTTGATGTGAGCGGCCTGAAGAACGCACTCGACAAAGACTCGAGATCGAGCCCGGTCACCTCGATCCTCATCTTCAAGGCCTCCTCAACGGAGATATGCTCCGATTTGTGGTCGCGCAGCTGCACATAACGCGCCTGCAACATCCTCTGCGCGCGAGTTTGGTGGGTTTGGGCCATGGCCGACATTCAATAATGGGTGATTGAGATAGCAAGGGCTGAAAGAGTGCAGCTGTGGGATTGTGTGTGGGTTGTGTCATCATATCTCAATTTCACTGGCATGTCATGTGACCGAGGAAACCCCCCAGAAACACGCAAGTCTAGAAGAGGATACTGGCACGAGCATGGTCCCAGAATCATATTCACCTATCCATTGAATGGGGAAAGAAGAGTGGTAGCATGGCGGCTATTAGCCTCGTAGATGGATCGATTCCCTGCAATCCGAATATCATCATTCAATCCACCATTCCCATCCCCAATCTCAACCCTTCACAGACTTCAAGTCTTCTCACTCGGTACAGGTATAGGCCGTGAACTTGATGAAAGCCGGTTGTGAGTTGTGGGTTGTGATCCCTGCTCCAGCTCCAAGTTCAGATTTAGGTCCAGGTCTAGCTCTCTACGGCCAGGGGCTCCTATCAGACAGCAGATCTGATGGCATCGAGTGATCACCATCATTCATAGTATCGTCGCTACGATTGGAGGGCTAGTATTATACGCACGCTTTGAAACGATATTGTTACATGACCTGATCATATGATACTACCCATTAGATGCCTCCTCCGAGGTTTAGCCATAATAGAACCAAGTTTGACACCAACACGATCTATTATAGATACTTCTCCACGTGTGTACGCATCTCCTGCAGCATTACTGCGTCATTCTGACAGCGTTAGCGATAGCGACAGCGACAGCCCACCAGGAGTTGACTGCCAGGACACCACGAAGCGGAGAATATAATGGTAGACTTAGCCTGTTGGTTTTGGACTTGGACTTGGTTATGTCATATATGCTAGCTAGGTAGCTAGCTAGCTCTCCATCGAAGAGGGGAAGAGGCATTTGTGGAATGGCTAGGCTGTCGTTATCATGTCATGTCATATCATCTCATCTTCCGTCTTGATGATGACGGTTAAGTAGTTTACTTTAGTTAGCCATATACTAGCCTAGCCCAGCCCTTCATGAAATGTGATATATCCACTACCCAAACGTCAACCTCATCTCCGTCTCCCAATCGAAATTCTCCAAAAACGCCATAAACTCCACGTCCTGGCCCATCGCATCGCCCTCACCAAGCGTAGTCGTACCGTCCAACAACAGCCCGTGCCCGTTCTCGGAGTCGACGGGCATTTCCACCGGCAGTGTTGGCGGCGCCAAGACCCGGTCCAGCACCTGCGAGATGATCTTCTGCCCCTTGACGCAGATCTCGTAGTCGCCTTCTTGCTGGCGGAGGAAGGTGGTGAGTTGGGCGAGGAAGACGCTGAGCTTTTGGATGATTTCGGAGCGGGGGAAGGGGAATGTGGTGTCTATTTGGGGTTGGGGGTGAGACTGGAGTTGGGGTTGGGGTTGTGGTTGTGGTTGTGAGCGGCGCAGGAGTTCGGTGCACAGGACACCTGCGGCGGGGAGGCCGGCGGAGCAGAGCTTTTTTTTGTCAGTATCATTCTCATTATTGTTGATTGCTCAATTTTTGTCTTGAAAATGGACTTAGGTTTTGGAATGTATTTGGGATGTACTCCGGGTAGAAGAATAACAAATGTTGGGTAGGGAGGTACTCACATCCATAATAATCGAAGGTTGCACCTTCCCGGACCTCGTCTCCATCGTGACCATCTGCAGCAGCAAGTTGATCATCTCGCGCGACTTGGCGACCAGCCGGTCCCGTCCTTTGCCGATTCGCTTGAACAGCGTCTGCAGGAGCAGGAACTCGTGGTTGATGAAGTCGATGTGTAGACACATGACGTAGATGTCGTCTGTGTCTTCCGTCCAGCGGAAGAAAGGGGGGAGGGTTTGACGCAATTCGTCGGATTTGCGGAAGACGGTCCTGTTTTTGGTTCGTGGGTCAGATTCGTGGTTTGGGATGGTTTTGGAGGAGAGAGGAGGAGGTGACGGACGGGGGATGACATGGGATGATGCAACAGGTAAGTCACGTACTCAATCCTCTCCTCCAACCCATCCAGCTGGTTACTCAACGACACCTCAAGGACATTTTCCTGGTGAATCGTAGCGATGAGAACGCCTCTTGCACGCGCGCCCTTATTCGAATGTCCGTCCCTGTTCCAGCCCGCTGCATCGAGACGCTGGATCGCCCTGTCGCGGATCGCCGGCTCCGCGACGATCTCCTCGTAGCTCATGTCCAACGGATACTGGATGTTGCAGTATCGCCAGCAGATGCGGGGGGGTCTCCCCAGGAAGGTGGCGATGTCTTTGTCGAGGGCGTAGGCGCCGACCATCGTCCTCTTTCGGATTTCGCTCAGGAAGAACGGCGTCTTGCTGTCTGTGTCGGGCTGGTGGAGGCCGAGGGCGAAGACGGTCGTCGTGATTTCGCCGAGCATTTGCCAGGTTCTGTGGTCTTCAACATCACCATATCAGCCACGCCATCATACCTGGTTTGCTAGATGAGAGATGGGGAGAGGGAGGGAGAGAGAGGTACCGCTACTCCCATACATCCAGCACAGAAAGACGGTATGCTGCGTCAGCGCCCAAGCCAGCGGATCGCTGATCGTCCCTAATGAATTACAAAACTGCCAACACGCCTCACTCGCCTGAATGGCAATATGCCTCAGCCCCTCCTTGCTGGTCTCCCCCGCATGCTTCAGCCCCAGATCATGCTGCGGAACCTGATACGTCGCCGCCCCGACGAACGCAAACAGCAGCCCGACCGTCTCCCACCGCGGCGCCGCAATATCAACATACTCTGCAAAGGGCATCTCCGCGCGCGTCTCGATAGGCGTAGCCGTGTTCCGGAAGAACACGCGCGAGAGATCTGCCAGACGGGCGTACTTGTTCTTGTCCTCGGACCCCTGCGTCGCATTGCGATACACCTTGCGGAGCACCCCCAGCAAACCGCGCAGAAGCGGCGGGCCCAGGATCCATCCCGGCGCGAGCAGGAACCGCTTCTCGCTGATCTCCTCGTAGAAATCGAGGTTCTCGAGGAGAAACAGGACCTGCGCGCCGCGTGCAACTTGCTGCGGATCGATCGGGGTTGATTTCGGCGCGGACTGGTTGGTAGGCTCTAATTCCACCGAGACGGAGACTTCGTCTCCCGCGCTGAATGCGCCGGAGTAGCTGGTCGGACCGAGAAATCCTGTTCCGGAGAACGGCCGTTTCGTCGGATTGGGGAACTGTGCTGAGGCGAGCAGTGTCGTGGTGGAGGCGGTGGTCGAGGCCCAGGCCGCCATCGACTTCGCAGGCACCAGCATTTGGGGCGGACTTGCGCTGGCACTGGCCGTCTTGGTCTTTCTTTTGATGGCTGATGATGTTGCTGTTGCCTTGAGGACTCGCGCAGGCTCGTGCGGCTTGGTCATCGGAGCGGGATGGTACACGCACAGCTCCGAGCGCCCGCGCCGCGTGCATCGTAGGCATGTCGGAGTGGAGTGATCGCATCGCAGCTTGGATTTCCGGCAGGGCTCGCAGGAGGACAGTTGCCCGTTGCGACGGGGCGCGGACATGATGGTGATGACGATGACGATGGCGGCTGAGATGTCGGAGCTGGGGCTGTGAGTCAGTTAGTCAGTGAGCTGGGAGCTGTGAGCTCCGACACGGAGTGAGGAGGGAGATGAAGGAAGCAAAAAAGGAAAGGAAAGGGGAGAAGGAGAGATAAGCGCTGGGGTGGTTGTTGTTGACGGCGCTCCGATGGCCCGTGCGGAGGAGGTCCGAGGTCCGATGCGTCCAGCAGCCCTGAAAGGATGTATATAAAGCCCTGGGCTGGAAGATGAGGATGGATTCTCTCAGCAGCAAGCACGCAAACAACCAAAGACGCAAAGAAAACAAACTCATCCATCCATTCCAACACTCACTCAAACCTCAAACAAACCAGCAAACAAACCAGCAAACAAACCATGCCTCTCCTCACCCCCCTCAACACCCTCTACAAGGCCCTCAAGCCCAGTCCCAAGTCCAATCCCAAGCAAAACACCACCACCGAAGACACCAAACCCTTCGCCTCGCACCTCGAAAGCGACACCTGCTCCATCCTCAGCAACGCAACCACAGTGACCGTGACCCCTACTCCTCGGGGGAACGCCCCATCAGAAAAACCTCGCCCTCGCCCTCGCTACGAGCCCGATAGCATGGACTATGGATCTAGCCGATACAGTGAGTCCTCACCTTCTTAAAATGAAGTGGATGCAGATGCTAATAGGATGTTTGTGGTAGTGTCGCGGGGTATGTCGACTCGGGCGTGATGCGCGGGTGTTGAGTGTTGCTCCTCCTGTAGAGCTGCGGGAGTGGTGTTTATGATGAAAATGGTGTTTTGGGATAGAGTTTTTTTTTTTTTTTTTTTTTTATGGAGTGTGTGGGATAGAATGCGAAGGGATTAATTTTTTGTACATGGGCTTGGTATAGAATCGGCCTGTCATTATTATTAGTTCATTAGTGGGTTGGTTAATTGATTGGAGTTTGGAGTAGCATGTTTGATATTATTTCACCTACCTGCCTGCCATTCTTTCCGGCGTCTCGGGTGTGCAAAGTAGCCAGAGGCAGAAGCTGATCTCCGAGTCCGACAAAGGCTTATCTTCAAGATTCGGAGTTACTGCACTGCATTGGAAAGAAGGGGCGGATTTGAAGATGAAGTTGGTTTGATTTGTTGCATTTGCCGTTGCTACGTATATATATCCTATATATCATAGCGAACTAGTAGCTGGCTTGCCATGATGGGGGGATAAAAACTATCGGACGGGGCGGAGGGATCTGGGCGTGCTGGAGAGCCGTTTTCTTACGTTGTCTTGAATTTTAGATCTTTCAAGAAACGATCTCGAAATGATCTTGGTATAATTTTCAAAGAATCTTTAAACGGTTGACATACTTCAACAAAAGTCCATAAATCGTAATCGTAGCTTAGCTACCTTCTAACCACCCAGTCAACATACCCAAAAACCCCAACAACCAACCATTCACAGTTCAACCCGCTCAAACACCTCCTCGCCAGCCTCGTTCGTACCCTCCACCACATAATAATCCTTCACCGTCACCTCACCCCTCGCCACCTTAGCCCAGATCTCAGGTCCACACGTCCCCGGATCCAAAACATAGCACTTCTGCGCCGGGACGACCGGCGGGACATTCTTGATATGCCACGTATCGCTCGGCCCGGGGGTCTGGAAGTCGTCGCTCACATCCACCAGCCCGGTGGCAATATCCTTGTTGAACGTCGCGCGCATGAAGATCTCGTACGCGGCCACGGGCTGGTACGCGGGGACCTCGTGGCCGGACTGGTACACGCGGGTGAAGCTGTAGTTGCCGAACTGGCGGGTCATGCCGTCAACCCCCTCCGAGGTCTGCAGCGGGGTGTATCCTGCCTCGGCGAAGTCGGAGATGCGCGAGTACGGGATGGCCAGACTGGCTTTCTCGCCGCCCACCCAGTTGCAGGCGTAGTCGCGGTCGCCGTACATCATGTGCACTTTCACACCGCTGTCAAGGAGGTAGCCGATCGCGTCGAGGAAGCCGCCGTGGACGTGGCTGGGGCTGTTAGCAGACCCATATTGAATGAGACGGACGGGCATTGAATAGAAGGGGCACGTACTCGTGGCTCTCGCGGAATTGCTTGGCGACGGCCGGTGAGCTGGACGTAAAGTTCACGGGCACGCCGAGAGCGGCCAGGACGGATTCTTCGCTCAGGTAGCCGAGCATGTCTGTATTGGTCAGGGCCGGATCGAGTGTTGGTCAATGTGAGATGACTTACGCTTCGCTGGGGTAGGGTCGTATTTCCCATGGGCAATGTCGTACCAGCCGTGCTGTCGGAGAGTCAGATCAACGCCAGTCAGTGGGGAGCGTGGTGCATACGTTCTCCCGGTGAAAGTGCGTAATGGGCCCATCGCTACATTCGAGCGCGATGCCTTCACAGATGTCCGAAATGTTCCCGTGAGAGATACCCGAGTCGCGGTCTTTCACGGCGGCGCGGCAGGCAACCATTCGGTCGCGACAGCCTCCCGGGCGCGACCAATCATACATCAGCTCATCGTATGTGGATTGGTTGAAGATTTGAAGACCATAGGTCTACGCGAGTCAGCGAAGAACGAATCGCGCAGGGAGAAACATACATTGTTGTATGGCAAAGTGATATAAGTCTCCTCCTGTAAGACCAGATCAATCAGGCCGTTTACGATCCCGAGCGTATCGAGATGCAGGTACTGCGCTCCCTCTTCCGCGGTCCCGTTCTTGATCTTGTCATTTTGTTGCTGGAACAGCTCGAAGATTCCCGGGCCATAGTGGCCGCCGTAACTCTCCGCCCACAGGCTGACACGGTTGTCCTCTGGTTTGTAGTGCGGAAACTCGAACAACCAAGTCTGAGCAAAGTGCCATATAGCGTGCGCTGCATAGGCGGTGCTGTTGGCGGTCTGCGCGAGCTTCTGGCTGCCAAACGTGCCCACGCGATGGGTGGCATTCGATTGGGGAACATCAGTCCCGAATTCGCCGAGGACGAACTTTCGGTTGCCATCCTCATCGGTAACTATGGTGGCATTGGTCGGAACGTCGTACGAGAAGCCGACTTGTGTGGGCTGGTCCAGGAACAACAAGTTAACCTCGTTGTTCCAGCTCCACTCGTTCAGGATGGTGGTCTTGGAGTCCGATGCAACAGAGCAAGGGCCCATTTCCTCAAGGAGACCCATGATCGAGGACGAGCCGGGTCCGCCGTTCAACCAGATGGCCAGGGGGGCATTGCTGGGATCTTTGCGAGACTCGAAGAACCAGAAGAACCTGGATGGATTTAGCAGCGATCTTCATGATGTGGCGGGAGTCGTACGTGTTGATGGGATAATCCTGCACTTCGCCGGTCCCTTCGTCGAGGAAGCCAGGCGGGAGGTGCACATAACCCGAGTACGAACGGACACCAGGTGTGGTTTCGCAAATGCCAGGCTAATAATTAGCCGATAGATTAAACAAGCAGGTGCGTACGTACCTCTTTGAACGAAATGGTCACGTTCTCGTGTAACTTGGACTTGATCACCGTGACGCCCTCCGGCTCAGGAGGGAATTGCGCGACCGTGAGGCCCAGAAAGCCAGCAAGTACCAGACCGGCCAACATGATGACAAGGCTAAGCGGTCGTCGCCTGTCTCTTCTGAATTCCCTTGAGAACAGTGAGAAGAGAACAATTGCGGAGGAGAAGCAACCGTGGGAGTCGAAGATAAGCCGGCGACTAACGAAGGCAGGTCGCGATACGCCTAGCGCCGGCGGACTCCGTCGGCCGCGGATGGCGTTCTTTATCGACGGATGGCGAGCTCCCGTCAGTGACAACTACAGTCGATGTTAATTTAACCAGCTATCAGGCCGAGTTCTCTTAGCCTTGTTGAGTATAGATCGATGGGTGATATCCCAAAATGGCAATCCGAATGTGGAAATCGCATCACTGTCACTCCGGGAAGACCCCTGCACCTGTCATCTCTGGGATCATCAAGAACGGGTTCCCAAGGGTTTGGAAGAGGAAGAAAAAACTCCCCTCTCTTCGCGAAAAGCCGAGGAATGCTGGTCCGCTTCCAGGCAAGGGGTCTCAAGACCAGGATTATTAATACCCGAGAAGCTGGGGAGGTGTTTGCGTCAGTTTGCGTCGACCATTGTCGCTGGCTATATATTTCTACCGCCGGCACATCCACAGTGGTGTTATACAACGACCAGAACTCCCATGCTTCTACCCAGACCAAAGGTGTCGACCTAGCCAGACTCCTCATCAAACATCCACCACTAGATATATCGGACTGAGAAATTAAGGTCCGCCGATCTGACAGTGTGGGGTTCATGGCGACGTTTGAAATTCCCTGAAGCGGGTGGAACTACAACGGTCGATGTTTCAACTTTCGCGTCGTGCCTGCTGTTTTGATTCGGATCAATCTCCCGCATGAGGCCCCTCGCCGAATGCATCCCGGGTCTCGCCTTGTCACAGTTTCCCTTCCAGTATGTTTCAGCGCGAGGCATGTTTCAGTGGTTTCTGCTGTGTTCGACGCGGTAATGCGCACGGGGGGGGGGGGGGGAGGAAATGAGACTGAAGCGACGAAGAGGGCACCAGGTATTGGCTCGCCTCGAATCCAACGCGACGACAGCGCTCCTGGGCGTAATACCATGGTTGAGATTCAGGGAACACTGCCCAGCAACGAATTGCTTCACCCCGCCACCCATGGTTGTCCCACAGACACCCGAAACCTTGTGCTTTGTACTGCAGTTCCTATCGATAAGCGGGCTCCGCATGGACCAGAGGCTGCAGAGTGCAGTGCAGAGTGCAGACCCTGACTGCCCCCAAGAACCCTGGCGCACGGAATTCGAGCTCCACCCTCGATCCCAATCAGGCGGGTGGTTGCCGTTCTGGGAGGTGTTGATGGCTGGAGCGGATCAATGGGGTTAGGGCGACAGAGAGAAACAGGGACAATGGAGGAGGCGGGCAACGCCATCGGGACAGGATCTGACGCTGGAGGGGCGATGACGCGGAGGGGCGCGGCTGGGCCCAAAGGGCCGCGTGGCCTGGACAGATCGGCCGTTGCTATGTATAGCCGCCTCCTTTGCCGGGGTGTCAGCGAGGGGTGGTCAGGAGAAGTTGACAAAGGAGCTGACAGGGTCCGGGTGTCAGTGATAGTCGGGATGATGATGATGATGATGATGGACAGTGAATGGGGAGGGAATGCTGAGAAGAGAGGGAGACTGGAGTAGATAGTGGAGAGAGGAAGAGAGGAAGAGAGAGAGAGAGAGAGACAGAGAAAGTGACGAGGCCAGGCGTCGATCAGGAACCCGACCGACGGCCCCTGCAGCAAATGAGGGACTGCGACCGGGGCGGCGAGGCTCCACCGCCAGCGACTGACCCAGACTGTCGCGCTGCTCGAGCCCGCCGCCGCTAAGCTTTTTATTCTCCTCGTTGTCCTCTTCCTCTTCCTCCTCCTCCTCCTCCTCTTCCTCTTCTTTTTCCTTTCCCCGTTCTCTCCAGCTGCCTTCTGCAGAGCCTCTGTCGGTCGTTCCCCCTCCTGCATCCGTCGTCTTTGGTCTTTTGGGTGCGATTCCACCGTCCGCCCTCGCGCAACCCTCATCATGGCCGCCAAGTCGCAACTCCCCACCGTCAACCCCGTCTCCGAACCCTCCAAGGCGGCGGCGCACCCCGCTCTCTACATTGCGTACGGCCTCCATCTGCACCGGTTGAATCGTCGGATATCCATTAATGCTGTATAGGACCTGGATCGCCCTCAGTTCCGGTGTCATCATTTTCAACAAGTGGATCCTCCACACCGCGGGCTTCAGTGAGTCCTCCGCTCGCGTCATCGCACAGTCCCGAGTCCAGGCTAATCGCATTCTCTATAGGTTTCCGTACGTTCTCTCGACCCGATCGCATTCGCACAAACAAGGCTGGAGGATAAAACTGACACGTGGTAGCCCTCTTCCTGACGACATGGCATCTGGTCTTCGCCACCATCATGACCCGCCTCATGGCGCGGTTCACCACCTTGCTGGACTCCCGTCACCAGGTCCCCATGACGTCTCGCGTCTACATGTCAGTGACACAGTCCCGATCGCATTTCCAGATCGCTAACGGTTTCTGCTTCTAGGCGCGCGATCGTCCCCATCGGCGCGTTCTTCTCCCTCAGTCTGATCTGCGGTAACCTCGCATACCTCTACCTGAGTGTGTCTTTCATCCAGATGCTCAAGGTGATTCGCCCGGCCCGACCACAAAGGAATACCTCTAACGTGCCTAGGCCACCAATTCCGTCGCCACTCTGCTCGCGACGTGGGCCATGGGTATCGCCCCCGTGAAGATGAGCCTCCTGGGCAATGTCTCCTTCATCGTGATCGGTGTCGTGATCGCCTCGATCGGCGAGATCAAGTTTACCATGATCGGCTTCATCTGTACGTTGTCTCATACGCTCGTCAAGAGCCCCGCTCATTCCATCCAGGCCAGTTCTTCGCGACCATCTTCGAGTCCGTCCGCCTGGTCATGGTCCAGCGCCTGCTCAGCTCCGCCGAGTTCAAGATGGACCCCCTCGTGTCGCTCTACTACTTCGCGCCCGCCTGTGCCGTCATGAACGCCATCATCACCGCAGTGGTTGAGCTCCCGACCCTCCACATGACCGACATCTACCAGCTCGGAATCGGCACCTTGTTCGCCAACGCCGCCGTTGCCTTTGGTCTCAACGTTGCCGTCGTCTTCCTGGTACGTCTCCCGCTCACCACCTAGTCACCACCCAAACTCCCATCGCTAACCACGAACGAACAGATCGGCAAAACCTCCGCCCTCGTCCTCACCCTCTCCGGCGTCCTTAAGGACATCCTCCTCGTCGTCGCCTCGATGATGATCTTCCGCGACCCCGTCACCCCCCTGCAGATGTTCGGATACGCCATCGCCCTGGGCGGTCTGGTTTACTACAAGCTCGGCCGCGACGGCGTTGCCGGCCTCTTCGCCCAGACGCGGTACCTTCTCGGCGGACCCCGTCCCCAGAACTAGCCTCGACTGTATGGATGTATGTAAATAGGTGCGGGGGCGATGGATGCAGGTTCGAAAGTACATAGAATCGGGCAGGGTTCCCATTGTATTTCAGTCGATGCAAATGATGTTGAACGACGTGTTGGTTTTGATTATTCTTATGTCGGGTTTCTACTCCGTACTCAGTAATTCTACCGCAATTCTGGTACCCGTACCACGGACGGAGCCAGACTGGTAATGGAATATGTCTCGTCTCAAGTGGATGGATCCGCTTCGTCTTAGTAAGTATTTTCCAGCCCCACCCACCGAGACCAAACCAACCCAAACCAAAAGCTTCACCGGAGTCGGACAAAAGAGCAAAAAGCAAAAAGTAATGGAGCTGCGGGGAATCGAACCCCGGACCTCTCCCATGCTAAGGGAATATTATACCACTAAACCACAGCCCCATTGGTTGGAAGACGAGCTGGAAATTGACATTGTGACTGGAGTGGGGGGGATGGGGAGGGTTTCTGCAGCGGGTAGTTACATATCCGTATGTACTACCTACTTTTGGTATTGGTATTAATATTGAGCCCCTGTGATTTGTTGTACGATGTGTGTGTGTGTTGGTATGCTGCTATATTGTAGGTGGAATGATTACGGCGTGTGAGGTAGGTAGGTAGGTAGTGATAGGTGACATGTGTGACTATTGTCTGCTGCAGTGTGGTTTTGACCATCTCCACACCGCGCCGCCTTGACTTATGAGAATCACCTGTAAGTAGAATCACAACGCGCCTTTTTTTCAGGACCTATCGACTCGAGGACGTGCTGCACTACTGGTACTCATTTTATCCAATTGGCCCTCCCATACCAGTATCTACCTTCCTTCTCCTAGTTACACTCACACTCCCACCACTCCCAGGCAGCACCAACTGTGGAGTCGAGTCGAGACTCGAGACTCAGCCACAATATAGACTAGACATTATCTACCACCCATGATCCGACACGACACGCCTCGAAGTCCAGCAGTAGCCTAGTTCGGAGTAAGCCAGAGTGAGTGGATCTCGGAGTCAAGCATTGACAACCCATTGCGCGTCCGGTTCGGGCCGTTGACACGACTCGACACAACGCAACACCGAAGACTATAAAGATGGTGTAGTGGTGTCTGCTTTCAGAAAGTTTATCCCCCCGAATTTACATCTGTTGGGTTGAGTGTTGCGTGGTATTCTGGACAATCCATCGCGGATTCGGGCTTAGTTTAGACTACCTATCTATCGGTGAGTTCGAGCTTATCCCCCTCTCCCCGTCACGACTCTTCAAAGCACAGGACAGAGGACAGAGTAAATGCTAACAACGAACACATCCAGCTCCCAATCCCTCTCCATTTTCACTGAAAGCCCAAACACCCGCAGTCCTTTTATTGTCAGCATGGATCTCCTCTGGCTCATCGCCATCCTAGTCCTCGACCTGTGTGCCGTCTACTACCGCTACACGTCGGGCGAATGGTCCCCCCAGGCAAGACAGTGTATTGCGCTCTCGCATGGTTGCTTGTTGCTCCATGTTGTTCTGCAGACCGCAAGGGAGAGGGGTTTGTGATTGGGATTGGTGATTGGGGAAGAGAAGAGGGAAGGGTGGGTTTTTTAGTCCGGTTATGGTCACGCCCCAGCGACATAATGGATATGGATTGGGCTACGGCTGAAAGAAAAACTTGATATTACTGCTGTGAAGAAGGGGTTGAGAAATATCGCTACAGGGATGGCTTTTCTAGATTCTTGTTGAAAGCGAGAGGCTCTCGGGATTTAGATCAGTGCCTTGTTTTTTGTTTTTGTTTTTTTTTTTTTTGTAATTTTGAAAAAAAAAAAAAAAAAAAAAAAAAAAAAGGGTTCAAAAACATGCACACCGAAGAATCCTTGACAGTAATTTAGCCCAAAGCTTATCACAGACAAGGCGGCGGCATCGGAATTCTTTTCTCCAGTTTTAGTGCTTAAACATGTGGAGTTCCTACTGCCTAATTTCCGACCACAATCTATCTATACAGTCCTCACCGAGGCTCTGGGCTGTGTGGCCTTCCCTCATATCTTCAATCAATACGGAGTCCCGTGAGACATTGTTGTTCGTTAGCGGGGGCTATGTGGCATCCTTCGCCTATAGACCGCGTATGCCTCTCCACCGTTATTAACTAAATAGATGGCTGTCTACGGATACCTGGAGCAAATAGTCTGTGCAGATACAGAGAATTCAGTCACGTCCGTCGGGTCGGCGTCTCGGTGAAATATATCTAGGGTTAGGCGCACGTGGTGTGGAGACCATGCTCTCTTGGACTAGCCAGTTGGGCGATTGATGGCAGCCTAAAGATTACGGTGGAGTAATTGTTTGTTTGAGTCTCGTATGCTCGGCCCCGGGGGATTTCAGGCGATTTGAGCCTTGCGGGCCTCTATGGTGGTTAGATGTGTTGACTGGGGTCTAAAAGTCAGGGGCGGCAGGGGGAGTTAGTAGTTACTACTGAGGGGGTGGTGTTTTCTGTCTGTCATCAAGTATAGTAGGTGCTATTTCATTCTTGGGGATAGGCCCATTGTGCCACACATATATGCATGCGACCTCTGTTGTAAATACTTCGTACCTTAACCCAGATAACCTTTAAAGTATAGTTACAGTTCGGCATGCAGGGGTGGTTGGATGGACATACCACCGGCTTGCCAGTGCCCCGTCTCCAGTGGGGAACGCTTGCTGGCGTCAGCCGCAACAACCGCGTGCCATTGGACATGTTTCTCAGCCTGGCAGGGCGAAGTACGTAAGGGTCTACTATTGATGAAGATGGAATCTCATTGGACAGTCTGGATAGGGTGACTTGGTGCTACTATAGCCAATCGCGATAGCGTCTATCATGTGATTGCCATGGCCACAGTCCAGGGTGTCTGGAGCTTCGCGAGCAACGATGCTACTTTGCCGAGTATGTTTTGGATCAGGCGATGTGCCCTGTTGCGGGCCTTGGAGAAATCGCCGCAGTTATGGGAAGTTACTTTGGCCATCGGCGACCCCGAAAGAGGCTCTGAGAGTGCTAAGTGCAATCGGGTATAATGCAATTATCAGTGTATCTCTCCATCGATCAGTCCCTTGGAGACTCATTCTCCAATGGAGATACCAACTACTATATAAGGGGTGGCAATTTCCCCTCCTACTGTGCGATTATCCAAGTCAGCGGTTCAGTCGGTTCCTTTCTACCTCGACTTTCCATTCGGTACGTAACTACTAGATTGAACCCCCCACCCCGGATAATACCATCCATTCACGAATAATATTGATCCCAAAGTCCCAATTACCCTGCAGTTATCTGCCATCATCATCCTCGACCTTTGTGCCCTCTGCTTCCGATACACCTCAGGAGAATGGTCCAGTTCCGCAAAATCGTGTGTGGCGCTCTCGCATGCCTGCTTGTTGCTCCATGCCACGCTGCAGACAATGACACGTATGTGATCACCACCAGCCCGATCTACGACACGTGGGAAGACGACACCGGGGCGGTCAACAACATGACTCTCATCCTGGGGGTCATCAACGCCGACTATGCTTGCAACTGGACGAGCGACGGCACCCTCGCCAGCACCAGCACCAGCACCGACACGGTGTCGCTGGAAAAGCGCAAGATGATCACAATCACCAGTGTTGTCACCACTGTGAAATTCGCCGCCGACATCATTTCCATCGCCAAGGCGGTGGAGAGCATTTACGAGTACATCGGTGGTATCATCTGGGTTAAGTCTGATATCGACACCTGCACCCTGACGTATGGCACGGATATGAGTGGCGATTACTACTATGGGTATGCGTATAAGGCGACCACGACAGACAAGAACTGCGACACCACCGCGGAGAAGAAGACCATTATTACCGCCGTGGAGAACTGTGCCAAAAAGTTGAATAAAAAGGGCGCCACCGTGGGCTGCTGTGCTTTTAGCCATGGGGGAACTTGGTCCGGACATCTGAGACTAAGTGCTGATCCGTCGTTGTATCCCGTACGTACTGTTGATTGTTGAGTTGGGGCGGCATAATATGGGGTTGGATGCTGCATTGACAACAGGGGGGTGTGAGCTTGGGGGGTTGGGGAAGAGGAAGTTCCTGTTGTTTGAATTGGATCGGACTGTACTAGGTTAGATTCCCCTTGCCCTAGCATTTGGGTTTTGATCGAATATTATTAATTAAGCTGATCTTACATCACGTCTCAGGAGACATGTAGGATTCAGGACTGAAGCATTGCTTCAAATCCAGTCAGTAAAGCCATGACCTGGTCTATAACATATCTCCTAACATACAATAAAAACAATCTCAGTGCAATATCAACATCCATAACAGACAAGCACCTATAAACCACCCAGATAGGCACGCTGAGCGGTCCATCCCATCCAATACATTATAACCGAGCAGAATCCCATGGTGCTGCAAATGAATCAAAATCATCTAATATTCCTCATCTGAACCATCATCCTTTTCCTCCTCTTCCTCCACACTGATCTTCTTGGCATCGTCCTGACCACCATCCTCCCCCCCCCCAACAGATCCAACACACCCCCGAGATTCTTAAAAATGCAATAATCCGCCGCCAGCCGGCACAATTCATCGATCTTCGGCCGGAGCGCTTCCTCTCCAGTTTCGGAGCAGATCTGACGTCTCTCCTCCGCCGACATGGCACGCACGATCTTCATCATCGCGTCTTCAAAACAGGTATTCCATCCAAAGCCCTTCCGCACCTCACTGGCCAATGTATCGGAGGAAACAACAATCGACTTCCCGATCTTGCGTAGTACAGAAAGCCCATTATACCGGGTCTTCGCGCTCGAGTAGGGCCCACACTCCTTCGCGATGTCGGCGATGGTCGACCGAATGTCCGTCTCAACGTCACCGGCCTGGTCAGACTGCTTCGAGCCACTCAGGTTTTTGTATGTGACATTTAGCTCCTTCCACACGTAGCCTGATTGCCAGCCAAAGTCGACGACTTTGTTGGCCTCGCGTTCGCACGCTTTTCGCCGTTTCGGCCTCCACGAGCGCGTAGATGTCTGGGTGGAGGGTCGCGGCTTGGATTAAAGTGTTCCGGATTACCTCTTTGTCGAGGTTTGCAAGTTGCTCGCGGATTTGGGTCTTCTTTGTTTCCGCGGCGAGCTCTGCTTCCTGGGCGTTGTTGGCTTCATTGGCGTGGGAGGTAGAATCCCCGGCTTCGTTCGTCCGCGCCCGGTTGGTGCCGTGTGTGTCGGACGTTGTTCTTGCGATGAGTGGCTGATTTGATGATGAGATGGTTAGACGCGTCTTATTGCGTCGAGGGTCGAGGCGAGGCTCCGTGCGCGGTACAGGAATAGGAGATGTGGAGAGCTTGCGAATATGCAATGTAGGCAAGTAAGTATCATACTTGGCTTCGGTCGTTTTCAGATGTGGCGGGTTTAAATGATATGATGGTGGAATGGATGTGAGAGGGAAATAGTTGTGACGAGTCGATCTCGGCTTTCAAGGCGACGCGTGTTGATTTTTGTTTTGTTTCGTTTTGTTTTGTAGGGGGATCCAATTAACAATTTCATCCTTATGCACCTCTCGCCAGTTGGCACCCCACATGAGCTTTGCCGTTTAGCGTGTCAGGGGCGTTTCGAGACCCACTGTTCCGTTCCCTGCCTGCGGCAGAATGTGGGGTTGATGAGCCTGCCTACGGTTACGGGGGTTCAGTATGTGACGCGGCAACAATACTTTATACTTGTGTACCGAGAAATCGACATGAAACAGAGACATGCATGTTATCCTCATGGAGTTTCTACCACACTCTACCAGCGGTGGCGAAATTGTCACCATCCTCCGCGACCTCCTTATCTGGGCCCCCCTTACTATTCTTATTATCCTCCTCGCCACTGTCATATTCTCTACTTCATTCTTCACTCTCAGATGGCCTCCACTCTTCCAATAGGTCCGTCACCTCCCATAAGCGTTCAAAGACATCATGATTATTCGCAATATTCTTCAGCTCTTCCAGCTTTGGCCAAAGCCCCTTCTCACCCCCGTGTTCACACACTACCTGTCTTTCCGATATCGGCATGGCAGACACAATAGACAACATCGCCTCCTCCAGGAAGGGATCCCACGAAAAGGTATCCTGGATTTCACGGGCCACCGAATTGGATGCAAGCGCAATGGACTTGGCCATCTTGCGCAGCACCGCCAGGCCATTATAGCGCGTCTGTGGGTGAACATACGGGCCACACTCGTCTACAATATCAGACACGATACCTTGGATGTCCTCGACAATCTCTTCGGCCCTTTTGGAGTCCCGCCAGCTGCTATAGCCATCCTCCCCGCTGTTCATCTGCCGCCATACATGGCCGGACTGCCATGGGAAGTCGATTATCCGGTTGGCTATCTCGTGCCGGAGCTTCATGACTTCTCGCCCCAGCAGCGCGTAGATGTCTGGGTGCACGGTGGCCGCGTGAACCACTATTCTGGCGAGCGTCTCTTCGTCCACTTCGTCAACGTGCTCGCGGATCATGCGCCCTTTCTCGCCCGCTAGGATCTGCGCGGACGCTGATGCTTGGATTCGCTCGTCCGAGTCCGAGTCCGAGTCCGACTCCTGGGTACGGTGGGGATGGGCATCGCCGGTAGAGTCCACCCGTGCGCGTTTGTTGGCGTGCAGGTCGGACATGGCTGTTGGTTGCGATGCGTGGCTGATGGTGTAGTATCCGTCGCGTCTTACTGCCTTAAGACCAAGTCCGGGATATTGGATATATGAAGCCTTCGCCAGAGTGGGTCGGAGATGATTACTTCTCAATCCAACCAATGACAAATAAGCCTTAGGAAAGGATGTCGCTGTCGAACTGACAATATGTAGAGAGAAGTGGCAGTGGCGCGCGAAAGAATGACGCGTGTTGATTTTTGGCTTTACCGTGTCTTGTGCGTGCGAATTTAGAAAATGGCACGGTGGGCGAGTTGTAGCTCATCATGGTCTGAAAGTGCGTTGAAAACAGCGGGTTGCAGCTCATCGTGGTCTGAAAAAAGATCGGCGTGGTCTAGCACTAAAAACATGAGATCCGTCACGTGTTATCTGCCACGATTTGGAACTAACTACTGCGTATTGCAAGAAGGTTTTGATGCCTCGCCTCCGAGGCATCCCCACCAGCTGCTGGTGGTTGCCTGAGGCAGAACATGGAGGATCCAAGTACTTCCCCCGCCACTCCCACTTTCTCTCTCTCCCCATTCAACTAAGCAACCCTCTCCCTACATCAGACTTGACTTTACACTTCCAGCCTCACGAAGCAGTCACATTGATTACCCTAATCGCGAAATACCCGTATCTCCATCGTCAATCAACCATCATATATACTTCCGTTCGTTCAGACCCACCCCCTCCCCCCCCCCCCAACATCACGATCAGGTATATTGCAACCGCGCCTCCGTCCACTCCGGCTGATACCCCAGCGCCGCACCATCAAGCCCGAATCCGGTTCCATTCCCCGCATCAAACCCACTCACATACGCCCCATAGCTAACCAGCGCGATATCCTCCACATACGCCCCCTCGTCCGTCTGCGCCCACAGACTCAGTCCGATGGTGTTCGTATCACGGTTGTTGATAATACCTGGTGGGACAGGGAACGTGGTCTGCGGTCCAAGATAAGGCACGTATTTGCCGTACTGGTAGCCGTTCACGAACAGCTGGATGCGCACGGGTTGGACGGTCGCTGGGGATGTGAATTTGATGCCCACGGGGACGTCATAATCTTCCGGGATGTCGAGGGTAAAGTTTGTGAGGTAGAAGACGACTCCTGCGATGGGTGAGGTGGGGATAACAGGAAAAAAGGGGTTGGATGGAGGATGAAGGGTCTGACTTACCGGACTTGTTCAATCCATCAAGTGGAGATCCGTCTGTCCAGCCCTCCGATAACTCGGCCTCGTATCCTGGGAGATGCCAGCCTTGACGCTCCGCGAGCAGGCCGCCTTCGTTCATGGGTGCGCGGACGGGGTCGAGCTCGTATGCGCCTGTACAAGAGAGATGTCATCCTGATATCATGGGAAATAGGTCCGGGGCTCTTACCCGCTGCTCCTCCCGCGTTGCCCTGGATCTTCCAGCTTGTGAAAGTGCCGCCGGTGAGCGATGCCCCGAGGAGGCCCCGAGGGTTCTCCACACCGTAACTGGTTGATGTTTCGTCGTGGCCGGTATAGTCGATCTACGGACGGTCAGTGATGAGTGTCCAAAAAAAATGACAACCATCGACTTACTAAGACTGTGAGCAGGTTGTCCGTCTCTTCGAGCGTCTGGTTGGAAAAGTCTAGCGTCGCAGTAGACGACGTATCGGAAGCGTCTCCCGGAAACGAAGCGACAAGATCGCCGTTCAGCCAAACATTCCACCCGAATGCCACGCCTCCTTGTGCGGTCAAGCTCGCACCAGTGACATTGGCTCCATCAAACCGACCGCGATAGACTTTGATCCCGGTATAGTAACCATAGTCCGACGCGAACAGGACCGGGAGGGTTGACGGCTTGACCGGACTTAGGGTGGTCGTCTTGTTACAGACTGTCCATTTGGAGTCGTCGTAGGAGGATTGCAGCTCCGGCAGCGAGTCGCGGACTTTCCATCCGGTCAAGGTAGGAAGCTCAATGGAGCTGCTGTCCGCCCCGCCGATCGATCCGACAAGACTGCCGTAGGCTGTCTTGGTCACCGATACGGATTCGCCGTTCCACGTCACCGAACTCGCAGAGGAACCGGCAAACACTTCGATCGTCGTGGCATTGTCATTGTCTCCGGTCAGAGCGACAACACCTCTTGACAGGCTGGCGCTGCGCACTAGGTATGGGCCGATCACGAAGATTTGCTGCTCCGCCGTTACATAGGGGTCCGTGGTAGTAGGGGGCGCCCAGAAGCGGAACGCGGTGTTAGTGTCCAGGAGGTAAAAGATCGCTCCGTTGGAGAATCTGACAACACTGGTGCCGCTTGTTTGGGTGTAGGTATACGAGGTCACAGTCCGGTTTCCCGCGCTGCTGGTCAGGCCCACACCGACTCCGTACTCTTCGAAGGTCAGACCGGTGGCATTCTTGAATGCGAAGGTCGCGCTTTGTCCCACGCGCGAGTAGAGCACGACAACATCGGTATCGCCGAATGTCCCATACGTCGCGATGTCGGTTGATGTGTAGAGGATCGTGCTGTGGCCGAGGGAGTAATCCGTGGAGATGATCTTGCTTTGACGACCGTCCAGGTTGATATTGGGCAGTGTGAATGCGCCTATTGAGGTGGTCACATTCAACGAGAATGTGATGGAGGTCTGCGAGGAGGTGGTGTCCTGCTGAACAACATAGAAGCCGGCGGTTGTGTTGGGATTTCGGAGCACCCAGGTATACGCGGACGTGGTCGATGTGTATAAGGTTCCGTTTCCCTCCATCTCCACACCGAGCAGATCAGTGGACACTCGCGTATACAGACCGATGAGCTTCGTCTGGCTCAGTTTGTCTCGAATCTGCCGCGTCTCACTCAGGGGAGCGCTATAGTCGTCTGCGCCCGTCAGCACGATGGTCGCGCACCGGGAGAGAATGATGACTTACAGGATGTATAAACCACCGGTGCTGCAAGATGACCCCAGTTCGTCCCTCCATACAGCATATACAGGTTCTGCACGCTGATAAGCTGACCAATGTTGTTTTTGTAGTACAGATCCGCAAACTGCGGGCTGAGCTCGCTCGTGCACTGGTCATAGAACGCATCAGCGCCCCAAGGCGAGTACCAACCCCCTTCAAACTCAGGAAAGTATTCTGGCTGGGTGTAGCTGGTGTCTTGAAACCACTGGAAGTAGTTCCGGAGTACTGTGAACCCCGTCGCAGGGTTCGTGCAGCTGGTTCCTCCAGGATAAGAGTCCAATCCATAAACATTCACCGCGCCGCCGACATCCTCATAGTCGGTGGACCAACTCTGCTCTCGCTCTCCCTTCTCATTGCTGCTGAAGGGCACGTCGACACCGCTGGCTCGGAAGGCCGTTTCCAGTTGCTCCATGTACTCGACCAAGGTGTTGGTTGCTGAGTGGACGGTTTCCTGCAACTCATTCTCGATCTGGTTGAGGATGACTGGGCCGCCCTTGGTGATGGAGTTGGCTGCGATGATCTCGCCGATGCGCTCCACCCACGGCGTCCATGCGTCGTGGTATGTCGCGTCGTTCGCTCGTAACGTGCCACCGCTTCCGTCGCTTAGGTAGAGAGCAAGACCACCTGCATTGAATTCGGCATTGCAGTATGGTCCAGGGCTGTTCATGTTAGCTTGATCGGTCAACGGGACGAAAATGCTAACCGTGCAATGATATAGATTCCAGCCTCCTGGGCGTAGTCGAACAAGCGCTGGATGTTGTGTGCGCCAGTCTCGAAGTCGTATGTCCCATTGATCGGGGAATGATAGTCCCAGAAGAAGTACACACTGAGCTGTCAATAACTCCCCCCTTGATTCCATCCATGGGGTTATCTGCCCCTTACCTCGCAGCATTCAACCCATGCGCGCGCATCTTCTGAAAGACATCAAACCACATCTCCGGAACCGGCAATCTGGGATAGTGGAACTCCCCCGAGTAAACGAACAAACGATTTCCATTGATGGTCAGACTGTGAGAGTCCCATGTAACCAAGTCCGTCAACCCATCGGTCGTCGCCCGAATCGGGGCGAAAAGGATCGCCCACAGCGAGAGCAAAAGCTGCAGCAGCTTCATGATGAACCAGCTTACACTCTTGCTTGCACAAACACCACCCCTCGGATCATCAGCGTGAGATCATCTCTTAAATATCCCTGGTTTAATTATCGCCAAGCTAACATGGCAAAAGCGTGACAGCGCCCGTCCACCCCTCCCGCCAGGAACCCGTGCGGGATTCCCGCACGGATCCATCCATCAGGAGACCGTTCCCGGTCGGATTGCTAGCATGCATATGCAGGTGCGAATGCGGCACTGCCCCTGACTTTCGTTCCTGGGGAGGCGGATTGGTGGAAGAAATATATTCAAGGCTACCGATGTGGTAATTGGATCCGCCGTTCGTCATGTCAGGAGACGCGGGAATCCCCGGTGGGATTGCGGGGTAGATAATCTATTTCATGTCGTTGCAAGGGTTTGCGGATTTTGGGGTGGGGGCGATTTGTATCCAAGTTTTGTCGTCTGGGTATTTGAGAGTATGGAGCTCTGATACATTGGCTTTGTGTCTGGGAGGGGTTGGATTCTCGGGCAATGCTGACTTCTGGGTCAATGGGACTGTTTAATAGATTGATTGTGGTTGATGTTTGGACTCACGGGGATACTAAATCATGGGGATATTTCTCATACTACTGTACTCCTTGCAGTAACCTGACTGAGAGGTTATTTGAACAAGGATCTATAAGGCACATGTCAATGGTGAGGGGCCATGGTTATTTGGCGCATAGTGCTATCGAATCACGTCGACTGATGTTGTTTGCCAGCAGGAGACGAGCACAGACAGGCCAGGCTCGGGTAAATGACTCGGTGGCAAGACAACCGGTCAACTGGCCACAATGATCCAGCAAGCCCCCTTGATGGTGATTGGCGAATGACTCGACTGTCACTCGCATGACTAGCCACATGCAAGGAACTGACTAACACCCCCACTTGTTGAATAGCCAGAAGCATCTAGATACTAGACCGGTCTTGGTGTGCATTCACGCCCTGTCAAGATGCCGAGGTCCGGAGTTAGCGGGGCTTAAGGGCATCACTAATCGATCAAATCAATCAATCAATCAGGGGCTCCACTGCAGGTTTTTCCGCCGCCGCCGCCGCCGCCTTTTCGGCTTCAGGAAGGAATTAATCGCTCTTCCTCCTGTTGATAATCCTTGCATAGACCATACACTTGTCATTCTTTCTTTGCTACCCGTCAGTCGTTGCTCTCTACTTAATATTCGCCATGGAGGCGATCCGATCATTCGCCAGCTGCCTCTGGCAGTCCGCCACATTCTGGAAGGTCACCGCCGTCTTCTTCGCCCTGCTCAACCTGAAGAATCTCCCCATCGTGTGGCATGTACGTCGCATTCCTTCCCCCCTGCAGTTTTTTGAACCCCCCCCACAAACTGACAGCTTAGATCCGCGTTTACCGCTACTTCTTCAAATATGGCTACCTCATCACCCCCGCCGTCGAACAACCCGCCCTCCCCTCCACCGACGTCCTCAAGCCCATCAGCATCTTCTCCCGCGCCCCGATCATGGAACTCGACTTCAACATCCACAAGTCCAACTCGACCTACTTCTCGGACCTCGACGTCTCCCGTACCGCCCTGATGTCCAGCATCGTCGTCAAGGGCGCCGCCCTCCTGGAAAAGCGTCTGGGCGAACAAGGCAAGAAGGGCTTTCTCGGCTTCATCCTCGGAAGCGTCTACACCACGTTCAAGCGCGAGATCCCCGCCTACACCAAGTACGAGATCAAGTCGCACGTCGCGAGCTTCGACCAGAAGTGGATCTATATTGTCACGTACTTCCTGAAGCCGAGCACGGGCTCTTCCAAGAAACGTCAGGATGACCCCGAGGTGTTCCGGAAGAGACTCTATGCTATCTCGATCAGCAAGTATGTTCTCAAGAAGGGACGGTATACCGTTCCGCCCAAGGACGCGTTCGAGGCTGCCGGGTACACGCCTTTCCTGTTTTCTGCGACAGAGAACGGCCAGGCTACTGGGGTTGAGAATGGGAATGTCAATGGTGAGGCGGTGCACCGGAAGGAGGCTGCCGCTGCGGAGGTTGACTCGGATGTGTGGGAGCGCTTGAAGGCTGAGATCGATCGCGGCTTGGATGTCGTGAGGCCGATCATTGAGCAGGAGGACAGGCTCATGGAGGATTTCGAGCATAAGATGAGCAGCCCTGGGTTTGTTTAGGGGGATTAAGTGTGGGGGTTTTTAACTATACATAGATCTACGATGCATATATTAGACATAGAACTTTTTTTTTTTCGGTTGCCACCATCCTACCGGCATCTCCATCTCACATCAGTTGATATTCTTGACCGGTTCTTGCTTTTGCTAGATCAACTGATGCTTCAACAGAAATGCCAACACCAACACCGCCCAATCAAGGGAGCCGAAGAATATTTGGTTCCAGCCCCAGATCGTGTTCTGGCCCGATGATAGAAGAGAGAGCTCTCACTCTCACCATCAGACTTCTGCTTTGCACATGATAAGGGCAGGGATGATCGTTAGCTGCAGGCCACCAGATAACCCGCTGGATGAGCTACCCCGCACATGCGGTGCGCATGGACAGACAGACAGACAGACAGACAGCCTTGCGTCGCCGTCGTCAGAATCGCCGGGTTATCTAGAATGGATTTCCGTAGTCAGATAGAGGGTTCCTGATCTCATGACGCTTAAGGTCGATGGCGTGTGCCAGAGAGGCAATGGCGGTGGGGGGTTGTTGTTGCATTTTTCATGGCATTGCCTAGCACTGGCTTTCCACATCCAGATACGATCGGTCCTTTCTTTGCTGTGTAGATTTGTAGGAAACACAATTTTGTAGGAAACAACCCCCCTCCCCCTTTGGGATCGATGGTCACGTGACTGTCCCGGAAAGGCTAGTGCGGTTACTCGAGCGAGGGCCTGAGGTGTCACGGGTGATCGACCGGTTGATTACGGGGTGCCTGTCTCCTGTCTCCTCCCTCTCCTAGGGACCCTGTCCTGATGTTCCGACGACCACCGCTGCGTTCCTTGTTCATACCGGAGCTGTGTCGAGTTCTCTCATTCCTGGGCGATTTTCAGCTATGGATTTCGATGACATCGCGCTAGCTCGGTTCGACGATCTAAAGAAAGAATGGGTCAGCCAATGCTCCAAATCCGCCCAGGGGATCTGCGATCTAGCCAACCGCTACCGCCAACGTGACGACTGTCTCCTCCGCTCCATGCACAGTGGCTCCTTCAACTTCAGTTTCCGTCTGCACTGGGAGGATGATGGCGAGGACTGGCTGATCCGATTTCCGCTCCGGGGGAAATCCATGTTCTTGGACGAGAAGATCATTGGAGAAGCTGTCCTCATGAAATATCTGAGGGAGAAGACGAATATCCCCGTGCCGGAGGTTATTGCGTATGGCGCGGGGGATGAGAATCCGACCGGTCTGGGGCCGTTTATTATCATGACCTGGATCGAAGGGAGGAAGATGTCGGATGTGCTGAGGAAAGAGGGGGGGTCGGAAAAGGAGGAGGTTCTTGATCCTCATATCAACGAGGCGGTTCTGGAGTCTTTGTACGGTCAGATGGCGGGGATCTTACTGGAGCTGTGGAAGCTTGATTTCGATCGCATCGGATGTCTTGCTCTCGATGAAGGGACTGGAGAGTTCCAGATCACGAAACCGCCCATAACACTCGCGACGAACGAACTCATCCGGACATGTGGTCTGGACCATGTTTCCACCTCTTCACGAGTTTATAACAGCTCGGTAGAATACATCCACTCCCTCCTGACCCTCCAATCGACCCATCTCACTCAGCAACGAAACAGCATCTACGACGCGGAAGATTGTCGGGAGAAATACACCTGTCGACATCTCATGAAAGCCATCGCGTTGAACTTCATTCCAACCTCCAGCGAAGAAACCCACGGCCCATTCAAACTTTTCTGCGACGATCTTTGTCCGGGAAACGTCTTGGTTAATGACCAGCTACAGGTCGTAGCCGTCATCGACTGGGAATTCTCCTATGCCGCCCCCGCCCAGTTCGCAGGGAGTATACCCTGGTGGCTACTTCTCGACCAACCGCATCGGATTGTGTCTGATCGGGGGGGTGAGGGGTTTCTTGAGCTGTTTTTGCCCAAGGCGGATGCTTTTCTTCGGGTGCTTGAGAGGAGGGAGGAGGAGGAGGAGGAGGGGGTTGGGGTTGGGGTTGGGGTTGGGGTTGGGGGTAAGGTTGGTGATGATGGAAAAAGGCTTTCGATGTGCATGAGGGCGTCTCTACGGGATCGAAGTGCGTGGTTTGCTTTGGCGGTGAGGATGGTGCATAGTGTTGATTTGATCTATTGGGATTTGTTGGATGAGTTTTGTTGGGGGGCGAGGGAAAAGGTGGCGGAGAGGGTGTATGGGGTTACGACGGGGGTGGAGATGCATAGACGGAGGGAGGGGTTCGTGAGGGAGAAGGTGGATCAGCTGAGGGGGTATTTTGAGGAGTTGGGGGTGGAGAGGGGGGTCGAGTATGAGGAGGAGAGATATAGGGGTGTTGAAGGGAGTCATGGTGTTGGGAAGGGGGGTGTCGGTGTGGATGGGGGGAATTTGCTGGTTGTAGGTGCGTTAGGGCTTGTGTCTTTGGCGGTTGCTGCTGGTTTCTGGACCAGGCGATGTAGAGTGTGAATGGCATTTCAACATCGGACTCGGTTAATTGGAATACATGCGATGGACTGGGTGAATCAGTACAGGTAGGGTAATTCTATCTCTTCCATATGAGGATTCACAGCATCTACCACAGGCTTCACCCCACAGCCCAATATAAAAGCCCGATCTCCCCCTCCCTCTCTCCATCCGTTGTAAATAATCTCCCAACCCGGATACAGAGCGTTGGCTTTGCCAATATCACTGTATTCGACTTGCATTGGCGTGTCCGAGACTTGATATCTAATACAAGGTGCCAGACTCTTGTAAAAGTCGGCTTACTCTGTCTCACTGCTCTTATGGTGGTCGGCTGGACAGAGACCCATGAGTTTGCGAAAGACCAAAACCTACTTCATCGGGCCAATTCCCCGTGGTAAACATCCCCAATTTTAGGAATAGTATCCTCCTGTCAGAAGTCAGAAGTCAGAAAAAAAGGCAGGGAAGGAGACCAGTGACCAGTGATGGAGACATTGAGACGGAGATACTGTCGGATGACGAGGTAATCAAAGATATCCGACAGAAACCCCATGCCGCAGATGATACTACCAATTGGTAAAAGGGCGTATTGAAAAGACACACTAGGGTCTGGTCCAGCACTATGCCTGCTCAATGTATAGTAGGTGCAACCATCCTTTTGAAGCCATCCAGAGATATACTAACCTGATATAGGAAGAATACGCACCCCTCTGACCGGATAAGGTCTAGAGTGCTCCTGTTCCCATGGATGTCCATTGCACCATTCTAGAACATTGCGCGAGTGGATTTAGAAATCCCGTTGACAAATTGTGTTCAGAAATCTTCATCAAGCGTGCAGATAGTGAATTGATTGACTGTCTTATCCGTTCGGTATAAATGGCGATTATATCGGCGGATGTTCGAAGACAACAATTCGCTATTCCTATATCTTCAGCGGATTGTCTCTCTCTTCTCTTCTCTTCTTCCTCAACTCTCTCGACTCTGTGGCCTCCCCCTCCCCCCTCTACTATCACAAGTAAGTACTTGTCTGGGGGATTATCGCGGTTGTTTGTGATCGCGGCTGTCTGTGATCGCGGCTGTCTGGCTGTCGCGGGTCTGGGATATCTGTATCAGATTGTGGGATACAGTGCTTCGTGGTCTTGTGTTGACCTGCAGATGCTTGTTACTTCGCGAGCCTGAGATATATAATCTGATCTGAGAATCGCGACTGACTGTCTTAGTATCTTATTCTTCGCGCCGCGCGCCCCTCACCCTCTTCTCTTGCGAGAAAGTTACTGTATTTGTCGCCGGGCTGTCGCCTTTCTTCTTCTCCTCCCGCGGTAGATATCTGTTCTCCTCGCGGAGTATATAAAGCTAACTGGAGTATAGCCTGTTGTTTTGCCTGCCGGGATTCCCGGGGCGGCCTGGCCCCCCGCGATTATCTCCCCCCGCGCTTCTCTCACTGTCCGCCATCGCGGAGAAACTGTTGTTTTAAACAACATCCTTGTTGCCCCCGTCACCCACGGACCACAGGTTGATGGGCCATCCACTCCTCCAGAGGGCACATTGTTGCCACTGAGCCAAAAGACTAACATTACCCGCAGTTACCTGCGGACCCCTAGAATCCCATATATATACTCAGGTACACCCGGGAGGAGGTGGGCTTCACTCTCTTGGTCTGCCGGTTTCCGTTGGATATTCTTTCGAATACCGAACGCACGGATGCCTGCTTGGGAGTTGGTGTCGCACACGAGGAAGAGATGACATTGTGCACTCAGACGATGACCCTAGATAGTTCTTTCGAGGCATTACGAAAAAGAGACGTCAGCGCTGTCAGAATGAAGAGTATCCGTGGAACTCTATGCATCTGTCTACTTCCGGAGACTGAAACAGGCTTCGCCATTCGCATGAATAATTGACAGGCTTTTACCTACGGCTTATAGCAGTCTATGAGACTCATACAAATCTTGAACATGGCACCATCTTGAATAATGGCACATGATTCGCCTTTGTCTGAATCTGCAATGGATACCAAAATGATCCATCATGATACTACCACGAAGTTTTCAAAACACATTATGAAGATCATTCGCTGCGGACATGTCTAGGGGAGCAGTATAATATATTCTACAGAAGCCACAAGGAACCTCATTCATCTTCTTGGGCCAGTAAGTATCAGATGCCCGGCTTTAGGTGGTTTCGGACACTCGTACCGCTTTAATCAAACTCCTTCTCCACCGATAACAGGCTCCGGCTGCTTCCCATCATGTCATGGATCGTTCGAATTGCCTAGATTGTTGCAGGTGGAGGAGTGGCCACAAAGCTCACAGTACCTCTGCCACCAAAATCTATCCTCCAACGATAAGGCAGATTGTTCAACCTAGCCTGTGTCGCTGCACATTCGGATTTATTTCATCTCCGGTAATGCATACCAAGAACCATACCAACCAGTCCTCTCTCACATCAATGACTGTATCCGCTGCCCAAACGGATATATCATATAGATAACGCCTGTCCATCACCAATGATACCTGGACAGATAACTGGATATATAAAACTATTGCATCCACTATAGGCCGTGCGATACCAGAAAGCAAAGTCCCTCGTTATCGCACCCTTATACCGAGGCGGGAAAAGCGGACGGAAAAGCCGATTTATAGTAGGTTTCTTGCATCATCTTTCAACAGTGGATTTCATGGATACGATTCGGCCAAGAATGACCGCAGGAGGGTAGAGTTCCTGGCCCTACGCTACATAATATATCCTGGGTTAAAGTCTACCTTTCGAACTGTCTTATGATAGACTTCAGGTGTTTTTTCTCGAAGATTTTGACCTGGCGCCAAGATAATGAAAGAGTGTGAGCTCCTGCTGCTGCTCTGCCAGAATCTGACGCACCCACCCCGATATCTTGGTGTTACTTGAAGAGGCTGGCTTTGACGCAAAAATAATCCACAGCGGGTTGCTCAAGAAAGAGCGTGAGGAGAAAGTCAACCATTTTGTGGGGAAGAAGGATGAAAGCATGGTTCCAGTCCAGCTTTACCAAATAAACCCCCCAGCGGGTTCAACCTGCAGCAATACTGTCGCAATGTTCACTTTTTCAATGTGGCCATGGCAATAGCCATTTTAGAACAGGAACTCAGATGTGTGGCACATTTGCTTGACCGAATGGTAGCGGGTGCGAGTTGTTGCTGCTTGAAATGGGTTCAGGGAGATTTTGGATACCAGTAGATATGTCGATGGGGAGCTTCTGTCAAGAGAACCAGCGAGCCACGAACAAGCGAGCGAGGGGACAGAAAAGGAAGGGAAAGGAACAACCACCGAGGAGGACGATGAGGAGGAGGGCGCTGAAGGCGAACAAGACGAAGACAACCAGAGTGTTGACGAGAGAGCTTCCAAAATTTGGCAATGCGGGATAAATATATCTTCAAATCCAACCGTTGGAATATGGACCATCCACTGTTCTTTACTATCCGGGATGCGATTCCCGTCATAATTATGCTTGGGTCTACAGAATACCAGGTTATCCTCAGCAGATTTGGAATTTCTTACGACAGAGACTGGACAGTTGCGGAAAATTGTCACGAGGCAGGGCTAATTTGCCACATCTCAATATCAACACTGTCGCAAAGTCTACAATCCAGGGGGTAGATAGGTGTTCTGCTCCAGACAATATGCCTTATGTCTCGCCACTAAACGCTGTACCGCGTCCCGTCTATTGTTCATTTATTCCAACGCTGGGGCAGGTAATCCTTTCCATGCACCACTTCGATTCCTCTTACCTGGAGTACTCGGCTGCAGACTGTATATTTCGGGTGTCTGAGCACATCGTTCACAACGGGGAAGATGAAGTCAAGCTGCACGCATTTCACTACCCATCATTGCAGAAGAGGCTCTTGATGAATTGAGACCGCCACCGAATTTCGCCCATGTTCGCTTCGAAGCTGTCCTTCCAGATAATCGTTCGTTTCGGATATTCCACAAGAGCATGCCCCTTCTCTGATGAACCTCGTTGGGTCCTGTCCAACTTGGAGGACCGGGCCATAACCAATCATCTTGATCCTACCACAGGCAATGGAGCGACCGTGGTATAAGCACTGGAATAAAGCGTTTTTCATGAGAAAGCAGCTCGACGAGATGTCCTGGTCAAATACGCCGCCGAGTACCGCAAGAGATTGCGTGAACGTGAGAACCGAATCGCGGCCTTGGAGATCCAGATCAATGTCAAAAGCAGAGACCTGGAGCTTGAACTGCGTGACTAGAGAACAGATCCGCCTCACGAATGACCAGACCGATGATCCGTGTCGCATGCTCAACGATGAACATCCTAGTCTCCTGCCTGATAGGCCTGGAACATCAGTCCTGGCGACCTTCATTCGTGTCATCGAATTCAGGAAAAGTCAAGTGTCTTTCTCGGCTGGTGCTGCAATAACGAGTGACAGTGCCTGCGCTTGCCGTGTTTACTAAAAGACCAAAACACAGCTGTGGCCGGGTGTCTTTCGATCACCACTGCCCGATCTTCTGATTGGGCCAGGCCATACAAATTCTCATGCATGGCACAAGCTGGAGTTCATAGACAAATCCCCGCAGAGTTCCAGAGGAAACCAGACGAGAATGGCTCTATTCCTGGTATGATGGCAAGGGTGGAAATTGTGATCAATCACATCTGAGGCAACCTAGTTCCTTCAAATTCGCCCTCGGGATTCGCGATTCCCAAATCATGAACTCGGCACAGTACTGCTTTTTTTCTGTCGTCAGGTTCTGGACTCCTGAAAAGAGGATAATTTCTGAACTGGGTTGGTCTTTCGTATCCAACTTTTTCAAATCGCATACAACATGCGGGAAGATAAGCACTGGTTCTTTAATGGACGAAGTACCAGACACCATCAACATCTCTCCGATAAAATCATCCCTCGAGTCAGATGGGACTATTAGGCCGTACGCATGACACAGGCAGCCCACAAAGGTCAGGGACGGGGATCATGAATCAATCTTTTCCCTTTCAATCTGCTGCCTACCAACAAGGGAAAAGGCAACGGATGCTTTCTGACGCGCGTTATAGAGCATCACATATTGTTATTATTCCACATCAATATGGTGGGTGCGGATTATCGTGGAATTTGCAAAATATGGCAACTGTGGGGTAGTCGAAATAATATCTCCCACTTGAAATGCGCTTCGCTTCTAATGGTCGAATTGAGGAGCACGTGTCGTGTTCATATGGACTTGAGATGATGTTAGAATATCTCAGTGTCCTCTCGCAGGCCCGTTGCAAGGTCTGTATCATCGGCGTACATGCAACTCCACCTCGCGCTGAGAGAGCATGCCCGCTATATCACTGAGCTACGGGGTTATTATTACTTCAAAAAAAGGACAGATCGCTCGTTATATGAGCCTCTGTGTCACAGACCATTCAGCTCGCACAGCTCTTGACAGCTAGGCTAATCTAACATACTTTGCGCATGTATGTTTCATGCCCATGGGTAGGATGTTGCTATCCGGAATCCACGCCCGTGGATATCTTGGGTGGTGGGTGTCTCACAATCTGGCGGGGATTATCAACTGATACACCAGATACTTTGTTAATTGTTTATACTCTGCTCAGTCACGAGGATGGTAGTTTTATTGAAGTGTCTATATTTGGCCCAGTCATTCTGCTGCTTGGTCTAGTTGATCTTGTGGTTTGAGAGGCTGAATGATCTATCTATCTGGGATATGTTTTCTGGAAACTGGGTCTTCGAAAGGTATATTTGCAGTATAGGGCTTATAGGCTGTTCTGAACTCAAACACTTCAATCGATGGCTTCTGCTATCCTGTTATCATTGTATTTTTTTTTGTCTCGGAAGCTCCTACTCTGGCCGATCGTCAATTTACTCGATGCAGAGATCCGGGTCCAACTATCGGAAAGGGGCTCTTACCTTCAACTTCAATGTACAGAGAGGTAACAGCTGGCATTTTCGACGGGCACTCCAACCCAAGTCCTTCCTTGCCTACTCCACCCTCCGACCACGCCTGGCAAAGCCCGGACTCTCGACGCTTCTAGACGAAGTCATTGCGATCGATGTAAATCTGGCTTCGCCTACGCATATTCATTGTAACGCCTGTGGCTGTATGGGTCCCCGTCAGTGGGTAAGGTAGACGACCCTTACATTGTTTGGTTATAGCGGAAGCGAAGGCACCACAACATGATGTCTGATTGTCAGGATTCGCGGGAAATCAGATATTCAATCTGAACGTAAATCTTTTGTTCGGAATTAGTACTCTATCTGAACAATGAAAATAATGGACCAGAGAGAAGTAATTACACTCTATTATAGAAGAGTAAAAAAAAATCAAATAAAATACACACAAACATCGCACACATAAATCTCATTACAACATCCCACACTCAATCCACATTTATATCCACAATCACAATCACAATCACACTCACATCCTCATCTCTCCCAATCTTCATAATCATCCCCCAAACAACCCCCCTCCCCTTCTCTTCTTACGACCCCCAATCCCTAATATCCCTAATAAACCGTAGCAACAGGCACTGGCGTACTAGAACTCCACCTCAACTTTCCACTCCTCGACGACGGAACCAGCGACAGCGACGTCGTCCCATTTCCATGGAAGTGGCTTCCCTGGGCATACGCAGTCGGATAGACCGCATTCGCAACCGTAGTCGTCTCGGCATCAGAACCCACAATCTCAGTCTCAGTCTCCCCCGTGACGGTGGCAACCGGCACCTCCGTGCTCACGGTCTTGGTAACGGCACCGCAGGTCTCGATGAAGACGGTCTTGGTCAGAACCAGCGTTGACACCTTCTTGGTCTTGGTCACGGTGAGGGTCTCGGTAACGGCGGGCTGGTTGGTCGCGGTGCCTTGGGGTTGGATGACCTTGGTGATTACTTCGGTGATGGTTTGGATGGTGGGAGGTGGGGAGGGGTTTTTGTTGTTGTTGTTGTTGGCGGAGCCGGTACCGGTGACGGCGGGGGCAGTGGGGTGGGCAGTGGGGGCAACGGTGACGAGCAAGACGGTGGTGGATTCGACGAGGGTCTCGGTGGTGATGTAGGTGGTTTGGGCGGCGGTGATGGTGGAGACGCGCGTGGTGAAGATGGTCTCCGTCGTGGTGTAGGATGACTCCCCGGAGCCCGAGCCCTTGGTTGGGGCTGCGGTCTCAGTCACGGGGCAGACGGTGGTCGAGACGACGAGGGTCTCGGTCGTCAGGAAGGTAGTCTTCGACCGCGCGGGACAGTCAGTGATCGAGGACGGACAGGCCGTGATGGTGGCCGTGCGGGTGGTCAGGATGGTGGACGTGGTGAATTGGGGCTCAGACGGCGCGGTGACGGGCGAGCCTTCGGGTTGGGGTTGGGGTTGGTGCCCGCGGGCTGGGTGGCAGCCGGAGAGACGGGCGAGATCTGGCTGGTTCCGGCGGGGGCGGCAGAGGAGGCCCGTCCAGAGCCCTGAGGGCCCGGGATCGAAGAGGGCCGCACACGCTGCGAGATGCCGGAGGCGCCGGGAGTGCGGATGGGAGTGGGACGAACAAGAGGGGAGACGGATGTCACGGCCTCGGAGTGGGCAGGGCGAGAAGAGCTGGGGCTGGCCCTGGACGATGGGATGGAGTAGGGCACCGAGGCGGAAGACGCAGAGACTGCTCGGGAGCTGCCAGCGGAGGGAGAAGAGACTGCCACGGAGGAGCTGGACAGCACGACAGGCGTCGAAGAACCGTGAGGCACGGAGGCAGCAGACGAGGCAGCACGAGATGATGCAGGGCGGGTCGACACAGCAAGAGTCGAGGCGACGGATGACGAAGCAATGGGGCGGAAGCAGCAGAGGATGAAGCAACTGGAACCGAAGCAGCAGGGGACGACGCAGAGCGGGTGGCCACAACTGGCGTCGAGGCAGCGGGAGAGGAGGCAACAGGCGATGAAGCAGCAGGAGCTGAAGCAACAGCAGTAGAGGCAGCCGCAGACGACAAGATAGGAACCGACACAGCAGTAGAAACACTCGAGACAGCCACCGAAGACGCCACCGAAGAAGCCACCGAAGACACCACTGCCGCCGACGAAGGAGTACCCACGGCACTCGTGGCCACCAAAGTCGTCGGCACAGCAGTAGGAGTCACAGTGACAACAGTCGTACTAGTCGTGCAAGACGTGGTGCTCTCGCCATTGCTCATCTGGATATTGTCGATATCGATGGCATTCCCCGTGTAGACGGTGGTGGACTGCTGACAGTAGGAGTAGATCTCGAGCAGATGCTGACCAGAAGTCGACGGGGTGAAGGTGGTCGAGAAGGTGGTCCAGGCCATTTCCGTCGTGGTGACGGTTGCCGAGGTCGATCCGATCGAGCTGCCGAAGCTGTTCATGTACCAGTACAGATGGCAGGACAGCGACGCGCCCTCCGAGTTGGGATGCACGCGCCAGTCCAGGCTCGCTGTGTAGGTCGACCCGGCCACCATGTCTTGGACGTATTGGTAGAACACGATCCCCGCGCGGGTTTGACTGCCGGATGATTCTCTGGTGGGGGTGTTAGAGGGAGATGGAGAGATGAGAGGAGGAAGAGGGGGTCATACAGGTAGTAAGAGCCATCCGCGGCATCCCCGGCCACCACGGAGCCTGTGGTGCCACTGGCATATCCCCAGTCGGTGAAGCCATCTTCAAACGAGGGGTTCTCAACCAGGTTCGGTCCGATAGTCGTGCAGCTGACGACGGTGGATGTTGACACGGTGGCTGCTGCTGTCGTGGTGGTGGGGGCGAGGGTGATCACCTCCGGTGCGATAGTCAGCGCGTGGGCACTCGGGACGAGAGCAGCCAGGAGGGCTGCACCCGGAGCCATCCATTGACCCTTCATTTTGACCTTCGAAATGAGCGTGCGGAGTAGGTAGTGAATGACAGACTGGACAGTTGCGTTGGGAAAACGGAAATGGGAAAAGAGAGGAAGTTAGTTAAGTACGGCAGGAGTGGCAAAAGAACGACGGCCTCTACTCCTCAGTTCAGACAGAAGAGCAGAGTTTGGGCTCGAATCAATACTTAAAGCCCCGGCCAAGCATTCTGTACCTGCAGCTGAGCTGAAAGCAGCAAAACAGGCCGGCCCGTGGCTAGCCCCGACTATTGTTGTGATCGGACGCCATCATCGGCTATTTTGTCCCAAATGCCCGCGGGTGGGGATTGAGATAGGGTTTGGCTGCTAATGTGGCGAATTCACCCGACAGGATGGTGGTGAGAGTTGTAGGGATGCTGGACTGGGATGATGAGGCTGTTTGCTTGTTGTGATGTCAGACTGATTATCTTGATCTTCATCTTTTGTTGACACTCATCACCACCCATGGCAGCAGCTGGCCCTCCCACGGTGTCGTGTAGAGCGATCTCCCTGACCCGACCCGCTCCCTGGAACGATAACGATCGTATTGACCCACCATCGGTCTTCCCGAGGATGCGATGTGCCTTAGCGTCGTGGTTCCTGTCAGGTACGCCTCCTGTTTCTGTCTAGCTGCAAGCCACACCTGTACACCATCATTCAGCTGGCGTGACAAAAGTTTTTTCCAGGGGCAGCATCCAGGAACCAAGCCCCGGCCTACTGGTATGTCTACCCAATGTCCGGTCTTCACCTGAGAATTTCCCCAGCATGGAAGATAGTTATCTTCTGTTGACAGGTGCATAACTGCATATACTACCAATCTATACTCAGCTACAGAAACATCAGCCCTGACAGTATTAATACTGCAAACACCATACTCCATACCCCCTAGTTACCCCTACCTAGCGCCAATCTCCCGATTGGTGGGCCCCTGACACATCCGACCGGATCAGAGCTGGATCCCAGGCTCATCCTAGCCACAAATACGGGGACGGACTTGGATGGCCACGCGAGAACTGTGTCGGTTGTTGTCTGAGTGTATCTATCCACGGTAACCACGTGCGGGTCACCGAGCCGCCTCGTATTGCTATTTGGATGTTGGACTTGATTCCAGGTTCCAGGTTCCAGGTTCCAGGTTCCAGGTTCCAGGGTTATAAAGATCACGAGATCATTGATTGTTAAATGTCAACACATTAAGCATGCTCTGCCCTATCCAATCCTACCCCCCCCCCCCCCTATCGCTACTCATTCAACAACATATCAACTAAATAGAGACCCTGGCTAGATAAAAAGCCGTCGAGACGCCAATAAGTCTAGCGGATAGGTCCACCACCCACAACACAACACCCTAATCCCTCCTCTCCTACTCTCAACCCTAACCTCTCAGCCTCAGCCCCCAACCCACCCGGACAACCCAAAACAAATCCTACCCCCACAAACGACTCCTCATCAATGCACCTGCTCCGCCAACTTCTCCGCCCCCTCATAAAACTTCGGCAGCGGCGCCAACTTCCTGCGCAACACCCAGACCTGGAAATGCCACCAGGCGTTCTTGAGCTGGTAGGAGGCGTGTTTGCGGGTCGAGACGGAGAAGACCTGGTCGAGTTCCTCGAGGGTTAATTCTGCAGTATGCAGGATCGTCGTCAGCACACATCCCAAATCACCCAGCCAGCCCAGCCAATGGAAACAAAGAACAATGATACGTACCCTTCGTCTCCGGCACAAACAACAACACCAAAAACCACCCCACCACACACCAAGCCGCATACCACCCGAACGCGCCCTGGGGCTTAAACGCACTCAGCAGGAGGGGCCACGTAAACGAGAGGATGAAGTTAAAGCACCACGTGGTCGCCGTCGCCCACGACATGCCGACCTCGCGGACCTGCAGGGGGAACGCCTCCGCGGAGTAGGTGAACGGGACGGGGCCCTCGCCCGGCGAGTAGAAGACTTCGAAGAGATACATTCCTGTGGTGACCATCGCGACGCGCTTCTTGCTGGTGGGATCGTCGGCGTCGATCCAGAAGGAGAAGCCAGACCAGAGGAGGAAGATGGCTAGGAAGGGGAAGGTGAAGAGAAGCAGGTTGCGGCGCCCCCAGGTGTCGATTGTGAAGAAGGCCGGGAGGGCGAAGACCCAGTTCAGGATCCCCGTGCCCATGGATGCGAGGAGGGCCTGTTGCGTGCTGTAGCCGCTGTCTTCGAAGATGGTGGTGGAGTAGTATGCGATGACGTTGACGCCGCAGAATTGTTGGAGGAACATCACGATCCAGGTGGCGAGGGTGGCGCGGCGGTTGCGCGGGATGGTGAAGAGCTCGAGGAACATGCTGAAGAAGTTCTTGCCGGTGTTGATTTTGCGTTCGAGCTCGACTTGGATGTAGGCGTAGTAGAGGTCGCGGGCCGCTTGGAGGTCGGAGGGGCGCAGGGTGCGGAAGGCTTTGAACGCTTTGTCGATCCGGTTGTGTTGGATGAGCCAGCGGGGGGATTCGGGGCAGAAGTAGACTTGTGCGCAGACGATGATGGGCAGGACGACCGTCGAGCCGAGCATTAGGCGCCAGGAGAGGTCGTTGGGGAGGCTCATGAAGGCGACCCCCATGATGTTGCCCAGCATGATCCCGAAGGCCGTCCACATCTGCCACATCATTACCAGCGCGCCGCGGATCGGTGCCGGGGAGCACTCGGCCGCGTACACGGGGACGGTGGATGATTTGGAGCCGATGCCCAGGCCGAGGACGAACCGTGCCAGAAACAGGTTGACCCAGGAATTGGCCACGCCTTCCCAGATCGACGCGATGGCCGCGATCAGACACGAAACGAAGATCGTTCCCCGTCGCGCCAGGTATCGGTTCATCGGCTCGGTCAGCCAGCAGCCGACTAATGCACAGGCGAGGTACGGCGCGCCGACGACCAGGCCGGTCAGGTAGTTTTGCATTTTCTCGCTGAATCGGGGGGAGGTGATTCCCAGTTCCTGGAAAGTCAGTATGGTTCGATTGGAACAGGATGGACACCAACCTTGAGGTAGATCGCTTGAGCGCCGTTGTTGACCGTCTCGTCCATTCCTTGCACGGCTGCCGCGAGAGAACACATCGCTATACGCAGATTATTAGTCTCTGCTCTACCATCCAGGGAGGGGGGTGAAAACCAACCCGCCATCCAATAAAGCTGCCACGGCTGAGACCACTTATGCGTCTGCTCCCGTCTGATAACTTCCCTATCCTCCTCCGTCAGCTCCGGGAGATCCAGCGCATTCTGCGGATCCTGCGAGATCAAAGCGCCCTTGCGAAACTCGTCCAAGTGGCTCTCGAGACCATACTGACGACAGAAGCGCTCGACATCGTCGAACAGCTGCTCGCGCGGAATCCCAGCGAGGGGATTCTCGAAAACGGCGTTCAAGCTAGCCCCCTCTCGACCCTCGATGTCAAGCACATCGTGTCGTTCATGGGGCTTTTCGGCGTGTTCCACGCTCGCGGGACTATCGTCCTTATGGACAATCTTTTCTGCGAAATCGGGTGCCTCCATGGTGTGTGTGCTTTCACCGAACGAAACACAGGGCCTATGGCGGAGCCAGGTACGGGGATGGAGACGAAGACGGAGAACTGGCAGATGAGGGGAAGGTAGTAGTAGGAATAACAATAACAACAACAACAATAATAATAATCACAGGTAGTCTCAGAACCTGCGACCGACGACACTCAGACTCAGACACTAGACAAAAAACGGAAGGCAGACACCTTAAACTTTCTGCGCGACGGTGGCTTCGAGGCCAGCAAAAACATACTTCAGCCGCAGACTTCTAGGCCACGTCGATGGGGTCGATGGACAGACAAACTCCTCGCACCATCAGGGATGGATGCGCGCCCGCGGGGATCACCGGCCTTTTATCGATTTATTATGCGAGACGACCGGTGGATCCTGGCCTTGGGGGTGGTCGAATGGCGAGAGGACCAGCTTTTCGCCGACGCGGCATGTCGGGGTGTTGGATCATGGATGCGGCATATACATACATACATACTGCCAACCAGCGTGCGTGCATGCATTATGGAGAGACCACACGCCTCCGTTACATCCTGGTTGGCGTGGTCCTGGGGAGGAGAGGGTATTGGTTGATTTGGGCCAGGGTGGCCTTCCATGCCGTCATCTGAGGGTGATGATGGGATGGGGGATGGCCGGAGGGGAGGGGAGGGCTGAATGGCTGAATGCCACTGCCCGCGTCTGCATGGGCATCGGGCGCATGTTAGTCTCACCATCGCCATGGTCCGAGAGGAACAAGAGACAAAGATAGAGAGAGACCTGTCAACCATGGACGCAGGCTGTGGGCAGCGAGTGACTGCTGCGGGGGCAGATCCCCATCTAGGAACCCCACGGGGTTTGGGGTGACAGTCAGGCCACGAGACAGCCGTGGGTCCGACCAACCCAGTATCTGGGGGAGACGGGGGGGGGCAATGATTGACTGGACTCCCACACTAAGGAAGGCTACCGAGAGCTGGGGGAGTCAGTTGGCTAGTCGAGTGCGCAGGGATGAAACCCAACTGAGGGCTTCAGGCCGGCTCTCCCGATGCGGCGACAGGGGACGCCTGAGGCGTAAGCCAGTGCCCTAATCCGTCCGCGGGATCTGACCAGCCAGCCCAGTCTGAGTCTCAGCCTGTTTCCCGTTCCTCCGGCCTCCCTCCCGTCATCCACTGGCTTCTGCCCGGATCGCGGGTTATTGGCTGCTTATGTTGCATTGGCTCTCTTGGCGAGCCTCCCGTTTGACTGATGGACGTAGATGGCGCCCGATCTGGCCGGTGCGGCGCCCCGAGCATCCTCGCCCACGGCTCGGTCGTTGCAGATGACCGACTCTCTCTCTCCAATCGCAGGTCAGACAGGTCCGGTCTAGGATGAGAAACAAAGAATTCTTCGCAGTTGTGTTCCCCGTAGCCATCACGCGGGGCAATTCCTTGGTCTTTGTTGCCCTCGAGACTAAATGTAGAAGCCACCTACTCCAGACATGATGCAAAGAGAATAAAGAGTAAACGTCGCCACTATAGCCATCAAACCAGAACCGATGCCAATTATTCCCGCTTACCGTGGTGTCCAGCAACGACCAGCCCGGATTCTCTTCCCCGCATGGCCCACTTTTCCTCAACCAAGGTGAGGATCTAGCCCAGAGCAGTATCCCGTCTGCCTCGCATGGGCTCCAGATCTGGCCGTACTTATTCGATAGTGTCGGATTACTCCGCGGACAGCAAGCCAATCACGCCGCGGTCATGGTGAGCTGTGACGTTGGGTGGCGACCTGCATCTCCTCGTCGACCTCTAGTGTCATGCGAGTCGGAAAGCGAGTCGGTAGACGACATCCGACATTCACTGCAGTGCTGGTGCTGGTGCTGGTGCACGGACCAGCAGCCTCTCCGGGGATCGGATGTTGATGTTACAACTGGAATTGGAGTTTTCCCCTTCTTGTTGAAAGCTTTCGCGCAGAGGCATGGCTTGAAAGTCCGTATCGCCTGGATCTCTCAGACAACCAGGGCATGCATGGCGTCGGCATCGGCAGAGCGCCCGCGTAGCCCTCGGCTTTTCCCTCCTCACAAGGCCAGGCCACCTACATAACAACCAGATATGACCAGCCACCCCTCCTACGGTCGCAATTCCCTACCACGCGACCGACATCCCCTATTTTCTCTCCAGAGACACAACACACAACTCGACTCCGCCCCCGACCGATATAACCCTCGAATAATCCGTACGGTGGATGCAGAATGGTTGCCGTCGGACCAGACCTGTTTGTTGCCTGGTAGTGAAATACGGGACGGGACGGTACGGCGATCGACCTGCTCGAGGGGAAAACATGTTATTCGTGCGGCATGACACCGATATCTATCCATCCGGGTCCCTACTTCCTCCCTCGCGTCTACGCGCTCTACTCCAGTCCTCCCCGAAACAGACAGGCAAAATTTATCCACTCACCTCGTGATGGAACACATCGCGGGGATATCTTCTGGACGGTTCAACCGAGATGAGGGTTAATGGGCCGTTTACTGAGAACTGGGAACTGGGAAAGAGGAGCTGATTGCCAATCAGTCAGGCGTTGGTGCTGGAATATACACACGATGTTATATAACCCAACCGGTCCTATCGAGCGGATCTCTACATATCGTCAGTGTCTGTCGATCGGGACCTAGCATATGCTAGACTTTCAACTCATGCGGACTTTCAGAGGAAGAGTAGGTAGATAGCTACTTACCTATCTGGGAACCTGGGTGCTGGGTGCCGCGGTCTAGGCCCACGCTATGGAAACCCTCTGCAAGCCACAAAGGTATTTGATCTCGACATGTTTGAACTGATCTGATGGGACACGATATCTGCGGAGAGGGAGTGATTGGGATTGGGAGTTAACGAAGTGATGACGGATACCTAACATCGGCAGTGTTGGTCTCCATCGAAGGGGATATTCACCCGTCTGAGAGCTGAAATTGATCGAACAATGACTATTTAGCATCAGAATACACGCAGCTTCACCTGCATAAGCCTTGGTCAACTTCAATGTGGCGTCGACGAGCCTTGGGAGCAGCCCGATATGACGCATCTCATCTCATCTACCTTCAACACAACCACAACCCCGCCTCCCGAGACCAGACCAATAACTATGACATGGCATGACAGCTGGCAGACTCGAACGTGTCTGTCTGTCCCTACTAACACTCTGCCAACTGATTATCATGCACACCACTCCCCACCGAAACCACCCATCTCATCACTCACAAGCCAGCAATCCCGCCATCACCACCACCATGCCCACCCCCCAATACTGGCTCTACGTCGGGTCGCGCATCCACGACCCAACCATCAACCCCGACGCCTACAGCCAATGGTACCAAACCCACCACATCCCCGACGTGATGCACGCCGGATCCGTCTCCAGTGGCGCGTTCTACCGGAGTCTCAGCCCGAATAACCCCTTCGACTGGCTGGCAACCTACAACTGCGATAACCTGGATTTCATCAAACCTGATAACCTGGCCCGCATCCCGAAGAAACATCCCTCGCTTGGCACGGAGAAGTCCTGTTTCGAGATCGCCGAGTTTGATCTTAAGCCGTATCATCAGATTTTTGTCCTGAAGAAGGATGGGGATGAGAAGGGGGCGGAGAGAGCTGGTGTGTTTTTCATCTATCTGTGTTCATTATCTATCTTGTTGATGTGGATGGAGATAGAGGAAGAGGAAAGGAGAGGATCATGGCTGATCATGGTTTCTGCATAGGCTCGGATCGGTATTTATTAACGTGCTCCTTCCACTGCGATAACGGCGAGGCGCTGCGACAGAAGTGCATCGAGAATGAAATGCTGTCTGTTTTTCCCGAGTCGACCTGGTTGAAGGTGTCGCAGCCGATGGAGAGTGGGGATACGTATCTGGGGTATATGATTGCGCACGCACTGGGGGATCTACATACAGGGAATGTTCTGTGGGTGGAGGAGGAGTGGCGGTCGAATTTGGCAAGGAGACTGGGGCTAGAGGGTCAGTTGTTGCAGCCGCAGTTGTGGGAGCTGTTGAAGTGTCATGAGACTTAGATGGATGTAGGCGAGGGTGCGCTACACCTTGAGACTTGAGAGGAGGTGATCGGAAATTACGAGCGAAAGGGAGAGGCGGTCAAATTATGGGGGTTTTCTTGCTCAGACTCTGGATTTTGTTGAGTGTGCTGTCGAATAGGCTAGCTGGTCCAGACTGGTCTTCGTGCAAGATTTCCCCTCGAAGATGGCTGCATTTGCCTCAGCATTGCGTGATCCACCTGCCTGGTATTGATGCTGTCTCGAATGTCTTTCTGGGAAATGAAACTACCTTGGTGGCCCCATCTCTCCCTATGCTCTTTAGAACTATGCATCTGCATCTGCATGCCGTGCTGCTGAGTTCTAAGCTATCCGGACGCATGAGACACCTAAGCTGAGTGCCATGCTCCCTGGAAGAGAGAAAACCCACCACACCCCATTTCCCGCATGTCAACCATTCCCCTTTCCACCGTGACCAGACACCTTAACACCGGCAGCGCAAACATACATTCAGGCCCAGCACAGCCGCCCCAACCAATTTGACACTTCATTGCGGATTGCTATTCGCAACTCACGAAATCGGCCGGATGGTGTAGTTGGTTATCACGTATCGTTAACACCGATAAGGTCCTGGGATCGAGCCCCAGTCTGGTCATTTCTTTAACAAGCCCGGGTGGTCTAGTGGTATGATTCTCGCTTAGGGTTACAACCCAAGCATATCTGCGAGAGGTCCCGCGTTCGATCCGCGGCTCGGGCCTTGTATCTGCTTCTATCTTGGATAGGAGCTTCTTTTTTTATCCTTGATGGTCGTGATTGACGCTTGTCACGCGCGGGCTGTTTGTTCTTTGCTTGAACTGTTGTCATTGTGGTTTTTGTTTTTGTTGCTAGTATATATTGTGGGGAGTGTGAGCATGGGATGGCGGTGCCGTCTTCTAGGGCTAACTACTGCCAGTGCTTACTTAGGCTGGGTTCTTCCTCCCCCATACACATACATTACACCCTCGGTTTCATCAAGATCAGCTCTTCAATAGCGGCATAATTATTCATTGGCCATCTCATCACATCATATATATACACACATCAAACATATCAACATCAACATCAACATCAACATCAACATCAACCCCCTCCTATCCACCCCACTCAAACAAAATCAATCACCCACAATTACAGAGCAAGCACCAACTCCTTCAACTTCTCGAAATCCGGCAGTCCGAGCCCCGTCACCGGATCCCACCCCACGGTGGCATTCCAGTGCGCATACGGGATGATGCCCGCGCCGGGAACCGTCTCCCCACTCTGGGGATCCGTCCCATTGCACCCGATCGACTGACCCAGCGTCACATCCTTGAGGGCCTTGTATCCCTCGCTGTAAAGCAGGGGGTTCAGGTATCCGAGCGTTGGCTTTCCGGCGCGCAGGCGCGCGTCGTTGAGCAGGCCGATGAGAGCCGAGAAGACCGGGCTGGCGGCGGAGGTGCCGCCCGTGCTGTAGAGTTCGTCGTAGTAGACGATGATGTATCTATAAATTTTCAATATTAGCATATCCACATCCACTCGATTCCGTTGTCAATAATATCAGAACTCCAGAGTCAGAGTCAGAGTACCCAGTCCGAATCCGACTAGAAGGGGAGAAGGGGAGGGGGGGGGGGGGGGGGGGGGATGGAAACCTACCCAGGCGTATAACTATGCGCCGCCACATCGGGGAACCCGCGGCCCGAGAAATTCGCATAGTGCGAGTAATACTCCTTCGTGCTGTCGCTGATGTGGTTCGCAAGGTAGTTCGACACGGCCTCGCGCTGGAACCACGCCCGCTCGAAGTAGTTGCTGAAACCGCCGGAGCTGCCCGTCCAGGCAATCTCGGGCGCGTAGGATTGTGTGCCGCCGACGGCGGTCACGTAGGGACAAGTAGCCGGGAAGATGGGCTGGAATTGAGGTCGGTTGGTGCCGTCTCCTGCTCTGCAGGCGGAGCCGATTCCTATTTTTTTTTTTTTTGGTGTTAGTTGGGGGTTTAGGGGGGAGGGGAGGTTGGGCTGAGGAGAGGGGGACGTACCTTCGTCACCGGACGATTCCAGGACACTGATGCCGCGGAGGCCGACGAGGCCGATCAGGTTACACACGCGCTTGGCGTAGTATTCGGGGACGGTCTGAGGTCATTAGCATAGGTTCAAGGGGAGGGGGGCTGGGAGAGGCTACCTGCTCGTCATCGCCGTAGGAGTTGGAGATGACGTTGGGGAGGGCCGAGTTGGGCTTCGACAGCAGGTACTCGTAGTACTGCAGGTAGGGCTCATTCTCGTTGTCGGCGGTGGTCGGCTCGTCGGGATCGGGGATGAAGGGACTACGACAGGTCAGTCATCATTCTGATATGCGGATATACGCTGATATGGTTAAACCAGGATGAGACTCACGGAACACCAGCGGTGATGAACTCAGTCACCGGCAGGGGGTGCGACACGCCGATCATCAGCTCAGCATCCAGGTTGGCCTCGGAGATCTCCGCCGTGGAGGCATTCTGGTCGTTGACGCCGCCGTTGATCAGCTCGACGGCGAATCCCTGAGACGGAATGCCGTACAGGCTTTCAAAGGCAGCCAGATCGGAGTACGAGGCGGACTCGTTCAGGAAGCTGGAGAAGGCCACCTTGCTGCCGGACGAGGCGCTGGGCGTGTAGTTGCCGAAGTTGTACATCTCCTTCAGGCACGACAGGGTGATGTACTCCGCGCACGACGAGCTGTTGGAGCGCTTGTGCGCCGCGTGCTTGTCGAGCTTGTATGCCCGCTCGGCCAGACCCGCGTTGGTGTTCTCCTTGCCGAAGAAGGTCGTCGGCGAGATCAGGTCGATCGACTTGGCCAGGTCAGTCGGGATGGAGTACTCGGTCGTGCGCAGCCGCTGGGACCGTCCACTCTGGTAGTAGGCGAACGTCGTGTTGAGCAGCTGGTTGACCTGCCCAACGGTGGCGGCGAAGTTGACCAGACTGCCCTGCCGCGCAATGTGCGTGATGTTGGCACTGCGCAGCCACTCGATCACGGCCTTGTCGCTGGCGACGGGGAACAGCGTGTCGACGTCTTCCTGGTCCAGCCACTGGCCGTACTGGGCGGCCCCGGGGGTCGACACGGCCTTGAGCTTGGACTCGAGCTGGTCCAGGTTCTGGCGAGCCAGTGCGATCGACAGGCTGATCTGGTGGCTGTCGCCGGCATCCTCGACGTGGTGCCAGCCGAAGGGCACGGCAGCCAGCTTCTCATGGACGATGGCGTGGGTGGACGCGGCCAGGGAGCCCAGAAGGGCGGCGTAGAGGCCGGAGGAACGCATGATTCAGGGGGATGGTTCTTCGTTACTGAGACCTGCAAAGCCTGGGGAGAGGGGACGCATTATAACTGCTGAACGACCGACCACCCCACAGGCACGCGGGCACCCTTGCTTATCGGAGGGAGCAATAACATCACATCATCGCTGCCTGCTTGCAAGCACCGCGCCCTGGTAGCCCGCCGGCGGAGATCCCGATGCATTCATTAATTAATCCAGGCCGATGGGGCCTGCCGAGGGCGCTGATTTGCCGAGCCTTCTTCAGGGCCTGCGCTGGTGTCGGCTGTCGTGATAACGATGCGTCGCTAGCCCTGATTGTGCCGGAGTCCGTCGGTCTCGAGCTGTCGACACCTGCCATCGCGATGTTGCAAATTGATCCTCCCCACGCTCTTGCGACCGTGCCGATGGGTGTGATATGCTGCGTGATATGCAGGCTGCAGATTCCACATTGCAGACAACGCCATCCACGGAAAGGAGTATTGCCGCCGGCTGCAGGCTGGGATCAAGCTAACCTCACTATCGCAGGTAGTCTTCCCAACAAGCATCGCCTTCCTCCAACTTCCTCCTTCCACGGCCGTTCCCGGCTGAGCCACACGCTAGTTACTGCGACCGTGCCGATGTGTGTGGCCTTGCTTGATTGTCTCTGATAGGGGTCTCGCCATTCGCTGGAGCTGTGGGTTGTGAGGGGGAGCTGGGGGCAGTGGGGCATCGCGAGCGGAGGATCCGAGTCTGCGTTGCCCGTTCAACTCCGAGAATCACAGCTGCTAGCTATCCATCCTGCCACTCCTCGTATTCAAGGAGGATGTTGAAATCCCACAAGGCAGTGCAACGCTCATTCACTCACTCACTCAGCAGGTAATCCTACATCGTAAGGTGTGCTATAACAAGACCTGCTAACCATTCCACCGCGACACAATTCTTGGGGTGAGTGAAAGTCCCCTCACCGCAATTTCTGCGCTAATTGTCGCTGGTCTCGTCTAGCTCCGTCCATGAAGATGGACCGTGTTTTCAATGTATCCAGCCTCATGGAATCCTTGCTCGTGTCCAGTATCTCTATTAGATCCGATCATTAGCAAAGGATCCATCAGTTCGAACATTCTAGCTCGCACAAGCATGTAGCCATTCCGCGCTAACAAGACATATAACTAAGACATTTCATTCCAGCAGTGGCACCTCCAAATCATATAGATGGACAGCCAAGAAATCTAAACAGTAAGTCAACCAGATAAGTTGGAACCCTCCTACCATGACCTGAACCAATGTAAAAACAACAACAAAAATAAGCAATAAGCCCCAAACTCCACTCCTCTAGAATCCTCAGCTGAACCCAACCAACCCAGAACACTCCATCCGCCTAACTCCGATGATTATTTCTCGTGTATTTCTGTATATCATGACGTCATGTCTGCTTTATTTTTCTCCTCGGGCCTCTAACTCGCAAAACAGTAAAGCCCCCCAGATGTAGTCCCGAACGACTGCAGGAAACGGATGTTCTCAAAACATCCGCTGCGGTAGCCGGACGTGGTGTAGTTTCCGTTGCAGAGGGTGTTTCTGTTATTGTTGTTGTTAGTGGTGGTGGGATGGGGCTACTGGGGTTGAGACATACCCGTACTGGCGACATCCGACGCCTCTCGTGAAGTTCGTGGATCTGTTTATTTGTTATTAGCAAGGGTGTTTCTGGGCTAGGTAGCTGGGAGAGACATACCCCGTGGAATTGAACCCAATGCATGTCTGCGCGAAGATTGGCCGTGGGTTCACCGAACATTCTCGGAACTCGGTGGTTGTGCCCTGGATGGCGATGGGTTAGTCTACTCCACTCGACCGCCGATGGGAAGGAATACGATGAGATGAGCACATACAATTTGCATCTCGGCCACAGCCGCGGGGATGACCAGGAGAATGAGACTCTTGAGAGAAGGCATTGTCAGCGGACTGTTTATTGGAATAATGTCTGAGACTGGTGGGGCTGGGCTGGTAGGCTGGATGATGGTGATGGATCAGAGGCGGTTATATATATACACTTTGCCGTATTGTCCCTTTGCATATCTGTACGACATTCCTCTTGGGCAGTGACAGAGTTTTGTCCCCGGGGAATGTCTAGCCTGCACTCGACTCGTGGCAACCTCGCTATATATCGTTCGATTGAGATGTAACTATGTCTCTGACCTGGAGTTAAATACTCTGGCTGGGGGTTTGATTCGCCGGGCAGTGAAGGATAAATTCTTCTGGCGGCCTACTGTCGATGTGGAGGCTCGGGAATGTAGTTTCGCGGCGACCCTAGTGGCTGGCCCAGGGCGGGCGAGTGCCATTGGTCTAGGCCAAATTATGGACAGTCGATGTGAAGGATTTTCAACATTCCTCACCCCTGTTCTTGTGTGAAGCCTGCAAATCTGGAGATGCTTGCTCTGCGGATGGACTGTATTAAAGTTTAATAATTCCCGAAACACTGTGACTATTGAATGTCATGAAGGACACATTCTGTTTCATATTCTCTTGATAACAGAGCAGAGAATTTACCTCTGTATACTATCTTCTTGGGTTCTTCTCATGCATCAAAAATGCAGCCGGTGCCTCGGTGTTCCTTTCCGATCTCCCCGGGTTTTTTTGCATTCCGTTTGGAATCGATAGGTCTGCCAGCTAGAATGCTAGCGTGGTCTGATGAAGTCTAGACTCCGGTCTCTGCTGAAGATATCCAACCCCTTTGCACTACAGTCCCATCCTCATCCGTGCGGGCAGTGGTTGTGGGCGCCAAACGCTGACCAGCAACAAGGGGCAAAATGGCCATGTGGCCCATCTCGGATTAAAGAACTCCTTTCGTCTGGCTTTCGGACAGACTTATCTATAGTTCCCTTGGTAGTTGAACGTGACAGAATGCCACTTGAGGCAAAAGCAGAACACCCCGTCCTGGTCCCTGGCAGGCCTGCACAGACCTTCTGGCAGGATATAGCGCTGCATCCAATCTCCTGGCATTGAATAATAATCAAATGCTCCCCCCTGAATTGCGCAACCAATCCAGCTACATGGACCCCGTCCCCCAAATCCCGACTCACGGCCCTCACGACACATCAACACCACTCGGCAGCCCAAACACCTGCTCATTCCGCTCATCCAGACAAGTCTTCATCTGCAGCACACCCTCCGTCAGACAGCCCCCAGTGGCCTCATTCTTCAAATTCCCCGACACCGCATACGTCCACCCCTGATCCTTACTCCCACTCGCACACCCCTGCAGACTGACCGACTCCCCACCAGCCGTCAAACACATCCCAGCCCTGGACAACGGACTAATCGTCCCTGACGCCTCAACCTGCCAAATCTGCGAGCCCTGCCCCTGGCACGTCTCAAACGCCACCGTGGAATTCTCCCCCGCCGTCAAACAATTCCCCGACGCAGTATTAAACACAATCCCCGTCGGCACGACCGTCCTACATCCCTCCGGAAGACTTATCCTGAACACGGCGGTAGCGTGCGTGTCCAACTCCACCTCCACCCGACCGCTTATCTCCCGGAAACTCCCGTCCCAGAGATCCTGCGCACTATACACACACCCATCCGTATTCTCATCTATACCCAGCCCCAGCCACGACACCGGTATCTCCGCCTTCACGCTGGTATTCCCCCGATTCAGCACCGTCAACAACCGATCCCCATTCGCCAGACTCCGTGTCAGCACATCCAGGGTCTCGTCCCGACTCGCCAGCGTCGCCTGCTGCGCCAACGCGTCCTGATCCACCGCTATCAACGCCCTATTCGACAAATACACGATTTCCTCTGTGCTCAGCGCGGGTATATACGCGCTGATAATCAACGGCGCCGAAAACGACGCCCACAGCGCAAAATGCGACCGTTTTTCATCCCCCGTCAGTCCGGGATGATCCGGGATCAGGAAATCCGGGTCGTTGAAGTACCCAGGTTGTTGGTAGCGCGCGAGCAGCGTGTTGTAGTTGTAGTTTACCATGATGCTGTCCCATGCGCTGCCCGCGCCGCTGTAGACTAGGATGTCGGTCGAGTGCCGCGCTAGTTCCCCGTAGATAGGCACCCAGTCCATTACCGTGTACCAGTTTGTGTTGTTGGGGGTGCCGGCGAAGTAGGCCGGGGCGGACTCGGAGAAGATGAGTGGGTGGGTCATGTTGGCGAGGATCGAGTGCCAGTGCCCGTAGCGGTGTTTGTATTCTTCTTCCAGGGTTCGGTCATCCGTGGCGTAGACGTTGCATCCGTCGAGTTTCAGGTAGTCGATCCCCCACGAGGCGAAGGTCTGCGCGTCAGTTTCTTCGTGCTCGTATGATCCTGGATACCCCCCGCAGGTCATGTTTCCCGAGTCTTCGTAGATGCCGAGGTGGAAGCCTCGGGTTTTGACGTACTCGGCTAGCCAGGGGATTCCGTGCGGGAATTTGGTCGTGTTCCATTGTAGAGAGCCGTCGGGGGAGCGCGAGTATGCCATCCAGCAGTCGTCGATGTTGATTCGGTTGTAGCCTGCTGAGAGGAGCCCGTTGGAGACCATGGCGTCGGCGGTCTCTGTGAAGAGTGTCTCGTTGAGATCGCACATGAAGCGTGACCAGTTGTTGAAGCCCATTGGGGGGGTGGGCAGGAGGCTGGGTAGCTCGATGGAGCTGTGCGCTTGCAGGGGGAACATGGATATCGCTGCCATGATGGCGCGGAGGGAGGGGATCCCTTTGGATGTCATCGTGCGATCTCGATGGTATTTCTGGATGCTGGGGGGGTTTTATTTTGTAGAGGTTAGGGTTAGGTCAGGGAGCGAGTACGACTTTAAGAGACAACCTGGCCCAACCCCAACCCCGTTGACCTCTTTGTTTCCCCCGCACGGATACATCGAGTGGTTGGTTGGGGCTGGCCACTACCTGCAGGGACCCCTGGTGGTTGCTTGCAGCGATGCCACGGTCCCATTGGATCTGCAGCTGGAGAGGCCAAATCCCAACCATCTCCGCTTGCTTATCTCCCCCGCATGGCGAGCTGAGCGTCGTACAACTCTGTTGGTTGGTTTGTCCCCTGGCGGGAGGGTCGTGAGGGGTTGGCTTATCTGGGCCGGAGTTATGTAACGTCGAGTCGTTTGTTTGTTGTTTTCCCTTGGGTGCAACGTTGATTTTATCGTTGTTCTGTTGATTGTTGTCGGGGTTGGCTGGTCAGGGTCTTATCCCTGCCTGGGAAGCGGGTTCGGGGAATACATACCCCAAGTACTTGGTTGATATGGACATTTTTGCAATGATTGGGGGAATCAAAGCCCAAAACCCACATTGTAGAGTCGGCTGCAGGATAAATGGAAATTTCTGGATCCCCAGGTCATTATTTTAGTCTTGTCCACCAGCACCAGTCCTTGATCGATGTTCTTCGCAGACCTTTTCTGAAATCGGTCGCGGTCGCAGTCTTTATAGATTTCATTCTGTCTGAGGTCAGTCCCAGACAGATTCTCAAATGTCTATAGCAGGATTTCCTAGGGGTGATGTGCGCAAGTAGAGTCTGAATCACCTCAAGCTCACCAGGCACGCCAATATCGACCAACTCGGTCATACTCCGAAATGAGGACATATTCATGCCCTTGGCAAGCTGGGCCGGTCTCTCGGGGTTTGACAGGCGCATTCATCTCCCCCCTCTGAGCCTCAGGGGTCATTCCATTCCCCCCATCACCTTCGAGCTGGGATGCGAATATGTCGTGGTGGAGATGTGGCGGTTCGTGCGCTTTTCTATCATGTAAACAGTCAGTCCATTTTGAAACACAACTGACCTTTTGGATAAGATCTGCGCTGTTGGCATCAGACTGTGTCGAGCCTGATTCTGACTCCCGTAATTCGACATGATTGATGCTATGCATAAATGATGGGTTGCTCGCGGTGTTGTTCGCTGGCAGTTTGGACAGCCAGAAATCCCTTCGCTTCAGATATAGACAGAGTCTAGAATGAGATGGAACCCGTCAGTTCCGCCGTCGCAGCCAGATTATTCTGTTGAAATATGCGGTAGGAATGAATTCGGGCATCATTATCGTGCGTGCCACCTGAGTGTCTTAGTACGTAAGAGTGATCGCTGTAGAGATCGGCATTGTTCCGCGAGGATTGTTGCGTCGTAAAGATTGAAACAAGAATTCTCCTTTCCCGAGTCTTGTTGTTTTGAGACAGAAAAAGATGCATTTTGCAGCAATGCTGCTAATGCAATCACGAGCGCCTCTAAACTCACGGTGAAGGTTCCTTTCTTCAAGCGGTGGCTGTATCCCCAGCCTCATCGCGGCCACGGATCCAACCTCGGCACAAGGATCAGGTTGCCAGCTCGAACTGGCAGACCTGGAGAAGATCATCCGACCCACGGGACGATCAACGGCCGAGTCCGAAAATAGAAACAGGGTCTGGTCTGCAGCCTGCAGGGGTGAATTCACTATGTACCCTAAACGGTGAATCAGTGCAAATTTCCTACAGCTTTCCACCGACTTGCTGTTGTCGCCGTTTCCTATCACTAACGGCATGATCCTGTAAACAACAGACAAAACCCGGGGAACACGCCACGGGCTCTGCAACCCCAAGACATGTCTCAATAGTCCCAACGATCGACAGCTTGGAAGCTGAATAGCCCCGTCAAGTGTCCACCCGTCTCATCTTTGAGGCTGGGCATGACCTCACACTTCAGACCCGGATTCGCTCCCTTGATGTATATAAACCCACTGAACACCTCCCATCAAACCTCATCATTCATAACCAAACTCCCACTCTACACATCCAGACCATCCAACCAACCAACCAACCAATTCTTCAAAATGAAGTTCTCCATGATCGCTCTCTCCGGCCTTGCCAGCGCCGTCTCCGCCGCTTCCCTCCCGTCGCGCTTCACCCTGATCGCCGATGACAACAAGCCCGTCCTGACTGATGGCCGTATGCTCCCTTCACCACCACCACCACCACTACCTTTACCACTACCAGAACCTCCCAACTAACATCATACTACCAGAATATGCCTACATCGGCGGCAACGTCTCCAACACCAGACAAAAGCTCATCCGTAAGCCATTTCCCCCCTCCCCCTCCACTCACCATCTCATCTCATACTGACAATAAACCACTACAGTCTCCGGCGGCTCCACCGGCGGCATCTCCTACACTGCCAAGAACGCCGTCCCGACGGCCTTCCAGACCCTGTACATCATCGAAGACAACGTCTCGCCCATCGGTCTCACCATCCCGCACTCCGGCGCCGTGCCCGAGGGCGCCAACACCACCGCTTTCGGTGTCAGTGACGAGGGTCTCTTGACTCAGGGTGGAAAGCCCTGGTTTGCCATCGATGGGTATGGGGATGTCCAGGAGAAGCAGGTTTATTGGTATGGAGCGCATAATGCGGAGTTTGAGGCCGCGAACTTGAAGGTTCAGGAGTGTACGGAGGAGGAGTGTTAGAGTCGGACTCGGAAAGAGTCTTGGAGGTGTGCTGGGGTTTTGGCGGGGCTTGTGCGGGGCAGGGGGTGTATATTAAAGAGGGGGTGTGTGTAAGGTAATTGATAATTGTAGTTATTATTTGCAGCGATGTCGGGTTTTCCTTGAGGGGGTGGTTTCTGGAATGTTGGGTGGAGAGAATTTGGATACGTAAGGTAGGGTTGATGAATAGTAGAAATTGCTCAATCTGGTGTACTATACATGGCTTCTTCCGGCTGTACAGGCCTTCGGTTTTCGAGATAGATCATACCCTACTGAATATTTCTAGGACCTTACCTACTACAGCATTACAATTCATCTTGCAACCAAATGCATCTTGTTGACTAGGGCCGATAGGTGGGTGGTACAATCTCGATCGCGTAGGACAAGCCGCCCGGTCCCGAAAGACCGTACGACATCAAGCCAATATCCATGAACAACGTTCTCCCGCAGCAAAACAGACCTCCCCCCGACCCCCGAACAACCACCAGAGAACCAAAAATCAATATAAAAACATGGAAAAATACATACAACAGAAGGGATTCGCTGGTGGTCACCCACCCAACTACTAACCTCCCGGCGTGTGGCTTAAGTACGGCTGAGCGGACGGGAAGCCCTGTTCTCCACACCCTATGGTCGTATGTGCTTGTTTTGGCTCAAGTGCTGAATATAATCCTTAGTTCCTTGTGCCGTGCTTATCTTAATATTGCCGGCGCGAATAGCAATTACTTCTCCAGTCTCGCGATAGCGACTTGGATGTTCTTGCTGTTCCCCTTTCTGTTCAAGATAACAGCCTGGGGCGATATTGCAGGATGTATGATTGGGAAAGGGGCTTTCTACGTCGCTATCCAAGTTATAGATATCTTGTTGATCTGATGGTCGTCGATACCGGCGAAGGAATTGGTTGTACTCAGCCAGACCACCCCTGAGACTTGGATTGAGGCCAAACCTACATTCAACACCTTTATTCTTGAATGAGATGTGTACATTGCTTTGCGGCTGGGGATATAATATTTGCAATAAAGAAAATAACATGCAATTCTAATCCGTGATCGTAAGTAGATAGTAGAAAGGTCGACAAGTCGAGTGCTGCTACTCTACTTATATATATATATATATCAAGTGTCAATCAAAAGTTGACGCCGGACTTGTAGGGTTTCTCTCAGTGGCAAGGTAGAGTAGAAGAAGCCTTCTCGCCTTGTTGAATATCTGTTTCTGCCCCGAGTATCTAGGACTTCTCCGAGACGTCCTCGACCCCCTCAGCCTGCGTAATGATCAACCAGAGGTTATCAACCCCCAGGTCCAGGGTACTCCCCGAGAAGATCTCCAGCGGAGAGAGAAACGCAGACAAGGTCGCCATCTGCGCGCTGGCACTGCCATCTGCCGCCGTCGCGACCCGTTGAAGCAACTGGCCTGGCTCGCCCAATCCCACCATGCTGGCAAGGGCAGTAACGTCAACCAACTGCGCCTGCAGCCCGCGCTGTCCGAACCACTTCAGGGTAGCGGCGGCGGCGTACGCGGCGGCTCTCTCGCGCGGGGTCTGCGGCTTCTGCGCGACGGCGCGAATCGCCGTGCCGGGCAAACTGACCGTGGCGCCCACCGCCCGCAGCGCCGTCCCGACCGGCAGGCTGATCGCCCCGCCAACCACCCCAAACGCTGCACTCACGTATTTCCCGTCCCGGGCGGCGTCACGGATGTTCGTCTTGATCGATCGCGCGTGATCGAGCGTGCCCTGGCCCAGTCGCTTTGGGACCGTGCCGACTTGCCGGCCGATGTCGGCGGCGTGGGACAAGGCTTGGTTGGAGACTCGAGCGGCCAGGAAGGCCGATATAGTGGTCAGGAATGCGCGCCAGGATTCTGGGGTGATTCCGTACTGCAGGAGGGGTTGCGCGTAGGCGTCCAGGAAGGGAGCGGTGGGCGTGGACGCGATTTGGGGGATCGCGATGAGTTGCCGAAGTTGGGGAGCGTGCGACTGAGAGCCAGAGCAGGCGGCGGGGAAGTCGAAGGGCGATTCCGCGGTCGGGTGCGCGGAATACGCTGGAAGGTCTTCTTCCGCTCCCCGCGCCACGGAAGCCTCGAAGGCACTGTGGTTTGCTTCTTGCTCTTTCTTTCCATCCATGGCCTTGTAGGGATGTCGGTGCCTAAGTCTTCAGGAGTTGGAAGAGGCTAAGAGGGAGGGAGAGAGGGAGGGGGCGGTTCAAGACGAAACTTGTGGTGGGGCTGGCCGCCCGAATACGAGATCAACAGCCACACCAAAACAGAGATAGGGGAGGGCGTATCTCCAGGCGTGGCTGACCCTCCAGACCGAGATTGGAAGGGATCATACCTCTAGTATTCGGTGGTTTTCCTTTGCCTCGATCATACATGAGCACCCTTCAGTGGCAATATCAATAATGATCATCACAAGTCGACTCCCATCTTTGGGAAGCATTGCATTACTTGAAGTCTTTATACAGTATTCAGTTCAATCGCCACAAAAGCCCTCAACGGAGAAAAACACACGGGAAATCGTATTGATGTATAGAAGTGACCAGCACCACGACATTTCCCGCCTGTTCCTGGAAAAACAATCCCCGTCCAACTAATTAGGATCAGGCCGGAACCCATACTGAGTCCAGTTCGCATTGACCTTATCCTGAATCGCTTGCGGGTACGAGTTCTTGAAATCCGCAGCCTGCCATCCAGGAATCCCGGTCTTATACTCTTCAGGCATCAACGCATCGGACACGATCTTGCCACCCTTATTCGGGGGACCGTTTCCATGAGACATATAAGGGATCAGGGGAAACCCTGGAACATCCTCGTAGAGATATTCGTCCATCCCGGGGCGGACGCGCGTGCAGAAGGCCCAGATGACATCTTTCCAATCGTATATGTCAATGTCGTCACCCACCAGGACCAGACGGTGGATGGTGAACCCGGCCTTCTGCTTGAAGATCAAATCCCCAATTTTCTTGCTGAAGTCGGCCGAGTTGGTCTTTAGTTTGGCGAGCGCGATCGTGTCGATTTGGAGAACGACCCATGTCACTTGGGATTCGAACGGAGACATCGCTTCCTTGACGGGGAGACCGGCATCTTTGCAGATTTGGTGGATCTGTGCGGCGGCGAGAGGGCCGATCATGGTTTGCTAAATATCGGACATGGGTCAGAGGAAGTGATTGGATGGTTGGCGAGGACATACTGTTTCATCGGTCAGACGACCGCAGTTTGACACAGGGAGGATGGCATCATCGCGATAGGTGATCTTGTTGACCGTGTACACGGGCCAGGGTTGAGTGTCGCCGGGGTAGACATAGCTGCATGATCCGTCAGAATTGAATTGCGAACCCCGATTGATTTATGATCGAACATACCCATGCATCTCACCGAATGGCCCTTCCGGACCCGTTTCAGTAATGGACATCGTGCCTTCCAGGATGATCTCTGCATTGGCGGGCACATAGAGATCATTCGATATACATTTCACCACATCAATTGCATTCCCAGTGAACGCTCCAATGTACCCAGCCTCGGTCACCCCATCCGGGATGGGCATACTGGCCGCCATGATGGCGGCGGGAGGAGCGCCCAGACAAAGAGACCAGGGGACATCCTTTCCCACGGCCTTCCACTTCTGCTGCATCTGCCAGATATGCTGGGGTTCGATCACCAGTCCTGTCAGATGATTCTTATCATGAACCATCGCGCGAGCAATCGACCAGTTAGTCCAGGACCCGTCGGGGGATGTGATCACATGCATCCCATAGGTCTGGATATAATTCCCGCCATCAGCCTGGTGCAGAAATGGGACAGGAAGCTTGGTTAGGTCAAATTCTCCCTCGTGCAGAATATTAGTCTGGCAAAGCGCCTCCTGGGGGTCGGTGATGATATTGGGCGGGATGGGTTTCTTATGGGCTCCCGAATCCATCAAGTCTAGAATCTGCTTCAGACTCGCGGTGGGGGGCAATGCCAAATGACGAGCGAGACGGCCATAGCGAGTTTTGGGGTCCGCTCGCAATGAGTTAGGAGCTCCTAGGATCCGGAAGAGACCTTTCTCGGCCCCCTTGAGCTTGTTGAACAGGGGGGCCTTATTGTCCGTCTCGCATACCTTGCGGATAATTGCGCCAGCTTCGAGGTAGGGATCAATCTCATCATTGATTTCAACCAGGTCGTCATCCTGCCGAAGTGCTTCCACATAAGCGCGGAAGCACATCTCGGGGATGTCCTGGATAGTGGCACGGGACATGGTTCGGGGATCAAAAAAATAGATTCTGGGCCGACGGATGGAACTCAAAACAGGATGGATAGAAAAAGGTCTCCGATCATGGCGGAGGCCATATAGAGACTACTTGTACATCAGATGTCAGGAGAGTTACATGGCTGATTGCCATATTGTGGAGCAAGTCCATGACACCTCTTATCGGGAGCAACTGGCCGCTTTCATATGTCCACCACTTAGGGTTCCACTCCACGGACCCTAGCCCGCAGCCCGAATGAGGTCATGGGTTCACCGTTTTCAACCAGCTCTCATCGTCCCTACTATAATTCAATGCGACATGTGAGGTATTTATTTCGGACAAAATCTAGATCATTTCCTCTTGGTCTCGTTCCACTCGAAGCCTTGCCACCTCGGAAAATCGTCACAGTGAATGCCAAATGAGTCGAGCATGCGCCCGACGCTCTGATCGACCAACTCCTGGATACTTTCCGGTCGTGAATAGAAGGCCGGAACCGGCGGAAAAACGATGGCTCCGGCTCGCGACAGTTCGAGCATATTGTCGAGGTGGATACTGCTGAGTGGGGTTTCTCGGACCACAAGCATCAACTTTCGGCGTTCTTTCAGGGTTACATCCGCCGCGCGGGATATCAGATCGTCGCAGAACCCTGTCCGCACGGCAGCCAGGGTCTTCATGCTGCAGGGCACGATGATCATGCCGTCATGAAGGAATGAGCCGCTTGATGGCGGCGCAGACAGGTCTTTGATCGCGTAGCAGTGGGAGGCCATTTCGCGCACCTCGCGCTCGGATACCTCCGTCTCATATTTCATCGTTGCCATCGCCCACTTGCTGAGAACAAGGTGTGTCTCGATGCCGAGGCCGCGTAAAACTTTCAGTAATCGTAGCCCGAATAGCGTGCCGGTGGCTCCGGTTATCGCAACAACAATACGTTGGGGTCTTGGAGGGGACTTCTCGGGCCCGGTGGCAGTTGAGTGAGCCCGAGATGGGACGGGGTTCAGGAATCGGGGCTGCGGAAGCTCATGGCAGGCGGCAGGGAGCTGGAGCCGATGAGACTTGATTCGGAGCCAGTTTGACGGGCGCAAAAGACGCATTGCTATTGGGAAAGATCACTTTTGGTTCGTAGAGATCATTTTTTACAGTTATCTGTCGCCTTGATCCGTGCCTTATATACCAACCACGGCTGTCGGGGGCCTCCCCATAATCCGGATCGCGGCCCCACTCGACGATTGCGATGCTTCGGTCGCATTGGGGGAAGGAAGATGTCATAGACTCGAGAGATCCCCATATAGCACTGATTTAGCCCCCCAGCATGACAATAGCCTTTCGAGCTGCCCCTCCTCTTTCACGTTCATTCCTAGTCCTCCATGGGAACTCATTCGACTCGCATAGAAACAATCGCCGGCACGGCAGCGGGGATCGTCACCCCGATCTGCCTGCACCCCTTAGATTTGGTCAAGACTCGTCTTCAAGGTATTTTTTTCCCAAATCAGGGACATTCCTTTCAGAGGATCACTGCTCATCGATCGTGCTCCTAGTGAGATCCAACGCCCCACCAACATGGGGAGACTCGACGCGACTGATCCGCGACATCCTGCATGAGGGCGGAGGCCGTGCCCTATATCGCGGACTGTCCCCAAATCTCATCGGCAATGTGACAGGGCTGGGACTGTACTTTTTGCTGTACAGCTCATTCAACCAGATGCTATTAGCAACTTCAAGGATCAAAAGAGATGGAAAAGGGCGCCTGAATATGTACGAATACTTTCTCACCTCTGGAGCTGCGGGTACCTATTTCCATTCACCCAACCAGACTCCTCCCATACATGCACATCTGCCCAGCAGAAATTTTTGTTCTCAAGTGAACTCCATTACCCCACAGACAGAATTTAATATGCAATGAGAAATTGACTAACGAAATAGGTGCTATCACCACAATACTCACCAATCCGATCTGGGTAATCAAAACCCGAATGCTTACAACCTCCGCTCACGCAAGCAGCATCTCCGTTCCTAACGATCGCTACGCATATCCAAGCTTCTTTATCGGGATGAAAACCATCTATCGTACCGAAGGTCTGGGAGGTTTCTACCGCGGCCTTGTGCCAGGGATGTTCGGGGTTTTCCATGGCGCATTCCAGTTCATGGCCTACGAGAAGATGAAATTCTGGCTCGGTGCTCGGAAGGCATCTTCGGGCAGTCTGTTACATGCTCCCAGTAGTGCAGGTATCAGCGGTGGGAGTGCACAGCCCGCATCGCTCAATATGCTCGACATTGCAATCTCTTCCGGGCTATCCCGGATATTTGCCAACGTGTTGACGTACCCACATCAGGTGTTGCGGTCTCGCATGCAAGCTGCAACAAACCAGACGGACATTCCTCGACGTCTTGTTCCGATCATACGGTCGATGTGGAGGGAGAATGGGATCGCGGCGTTTTATAGGGGATTGGGGCCCGGTTTATTTCGTATTTTGCCGGGTACGTGGCTGACGTTCATGACTTATGAGAAAGTGAAGACATTTCTGGGGGACCAGAGGATGGTTTAGGTTGATGGTTTGATCTTCGTTGGGAAGGCATTCCTGTGTTTTTTTTTTTTTTCTTTCTCTTCTTTGGAGGCCATGACCCCCCGAATCACTCAAGGACCCCCATTTGCAAGATGAACCATTCTACATGGTGTTTGTTGCGAAATATAAAGTAAGTATAGTATTGTCGGTTTCACTCGTCTTCTTGTTCAAAAAGTAAGAAAAATGAGAATATACATCTTTAATTCCAAGGGATACATGGTCATGGTTCACTCCAGATTTGTAATACATTTTAATGCAACATATTCTTGTATTTATCAATGTTTATTTTTGGTCTGCTTTGCATTCTTCTCATTCTCCTAACCGTGCCGAGACACCAGTATAGCTCGTTTTATGGAACGCGGTTCTTTTAATAGACACGATCTACCCTACCATGGGAATTCTCCTGTGAAATGGGTGCATCGCAATGGTCATGTCTCAAAACCGCTGGATCCATAGAAAGTCAAGCTACACCCGACCGGGATAGTTAGTCTTACAATATCAACCCCGGCCAATCCCTTCCATCCTCGCCTAGCGCGACTCCAACCGCCCCCAAACCCCAATCTCACCACCACCACCACAACCCATCCTCTTGAACGACCCGGAAAAGAGCAAAGATGAAGAAACTCACGCGATGGATCCGTGCCAGGTCAGACCAAAAAGAAGCCCTTCCTCAGAAAAAACACAGATCACGCTCCAAGCCACCACCCTTTCCATTCCTCGCTCTTCCACGGGAGATCCGCGATCTGATCTACAGGGAAGTGCTAACTCGACCCAATCTCAACGAACTCTGGATCCGATACAGCCTGAACCGACACAAGTGGTACGACGCAACACCTTTCTGCGACTGTCCCCGGGAATTGGAAGGCTTTAAAGGCACGCGTCCTCTTAATCTCGCATTGCTATCTACCTGCACGACTATCTATCAGGAGGCACTGCCAATCCTGTACAGAAGCAACAACATCTGGCTCGATGGGCCTCCGACCAAAGTCCTGGAATTTCTCTCTGCTTTACCCCTTCCAGCAGTGATGGGGATCCGGTATCTCAAGCTCTGGATGGACGCGTATGTCGATTGCGGTCGAGGCTTCGTTGATGTCTCCCGGCTCTCCCCAGACGCGCTATCAACTATGGAATCGCGCATGCAGTCAGAGCTACTCACCCCGTGGCTCGATCTCTTTACCTTCATCCAGGAGAACCTCCACCATCTGCATACTCTCCACGTCTGGACGGGTCAGAGTCACTCTCTGCGCGCGGTTAATATCCGGGCCATATCGACCGAATGGCACGATTTCTACTGCCAAGGGTGGATGGAAAAGATACGCGAAACACCCCGCATAGCCACCCTGCTGGTCGAGGTGGAGTGCAGGGAATGCGATACGGTCGATGGGATAGATCATACCTCGTTTCGCCAACTGCGGAGTGATCTGTACCGTGTGTCCGGGTTCGAGGAGGTCTCGGCGGATTGGGATTCCTATTTCATCTTCAGTGGGGATTTGGATATCTATATCTCGGGAAGATGGCCGAAGGCTAGACTGTTGCTCTCGATGACGCGAAAGGATTCGTTCCAAACAGGAGACGATGAGGAAGTTGCCTTACTGCCCCTTCCGGAATTCGAGAAGAAATATACCCTTGACGATGCCACGTCTTGGATTGCCTGCAATATGGGCTTTGCACAACTGATCCGTACTCCGGATAATAACCGTTGAGGCAGGAGAGCTTTTCGTTTCTGCATCCTCGACCATTACCGCCCCACCTATCAGTGGGTGGTTTCTATTTCGGACTCATTATTTAAATCTTCTCACAGCATTCCCCATGCTGTTCTATGGTGCAGTGCTTCTTTCATACGGAAAAGGGCATCTTCCTTGAGTACATGAGAGATGCGGTTCTATTCGCAGGTAAAATATACTCTACTGACTAGTTTACTAGATGGGTCCCTGTCCTCTAGGATACAAAACAATCATTTTAAGGATCAGCAAACCATGATTGTTACTGAAGTGAAAAAGTTGGAGCCTCTACTCCTTCGGAAGAAATGGATGAATGATCTTGCTCGAGCCGTCGCCTTCCTTGAATCACTTGGACTCGCCCATGGTGATTTACGACCTGAAAACGTTTTGCTTGACCGTGACCGACTGAAGTTATCGGATTTTGATTATACAGCAAAGATTGGGGAAGACTTTGAGGCTTGTGTGGCCCCATATGGAAGGTTACTTAACAAGGACGAAGTGCACTACGGGCGGCCTGGAACTTCTGGCTTCTTGAGCTCCAGAACTGAGTTGTTCGCACTTGGCTCCCTATACTATTTGATAAACTACGGCTTCGAGGTCTACGGAGATCGAAGTCTTACTGAAGACCCTAACGATCATGAACCCAAGATCGTGGAGTTGCTGCAGAACAAGGAGTATCCTATCATCAGCAAGTGTTGGCACAACGATTACGCTACGGTTGCAGAGCTCGCTGCACACACTGATATGCTTCTTCATGAAGGAGCTTATAGGGGGAGCTCCACTGAAGATACTGTTCCCTCGAACATTGGATGGGGCGTGGCTATGGCTGTAGGCCGCATCATCCATGGGTTATGGCGCAGTCTCGCCAAATGGAGATGGTTATTGAAACCTGATGGCAACAGCTGCGAAATGCTGAACCAAAACCACTCATCAGAAGATTACTTGTCGAAGAACGCAATTTGCAAGGACTTGCTACGCTGCGGGCTTCTTGATCTGCTATCTTCGGGTGAGCCTGAACAGCTTGGATTCCAAGTGGAATGGTATAGACACAGTTTTCAGGTATAATAGGAGGAACCAGGTGAAAAAGCAGGATTTGATCACCAGTGATTCTAAGTAAATTGTTTTTTAATGCTCCCATCAATTCTTCACATATATGCCTTGGAAAAAAACAGTGCTAGCGGGGTGATGCTATCTGTATCTATCAAGAAGCTCGGAAGAGCGATATAGCTATGAAATCATTACTACTTTATATGTATTCGTTGAACCCACTGTTTTGGTCTCAGTAGACTGGTATAGACTGAAGTATTAAACTTGGTGTTGAATCATGATGTAAAACTATTGCACAGCCAGACGAAGTTACTCGGGTTAATCAGCACCTTTTACCCCGCTATAAGAATGCCCATGGTAATTGCCATGTGTTATCTAATAGACATATTATGACACGATAAATGCGGTGGCCTGCGCTGGTCTCAGACAGCACCGTGACGCCCATTAACCCGTATCTCCACCATCAGAGTCCACCAAACACAGTTCCGGCCATAAGGGTAGTAATAACATATACTCATTCCGCTCTCTGGGTCTTCCTAGGGATAGCATATTCCATCATGCTACGACACCTCGGTTCAGATAGCCCCTAGCCCAAGGTCAAGCGGGCATATCAGGCAGGGGCAGTATCTCCAGTTACCTGTAACTCACGCGACTTACTTAGCTAGCTGACAAGAACAAATCGATTCTGGAACCTGATACTGATCTGACGCACGAAAATCTCTTTTAGGAGATTTCTGCATTAGCTTAGGAATCTGGACAGGTTTGGCCGCATAACAAGTAAGCCTTGTAGGTAAGAGAGCAAGTTAGATTCGTTTCAGCTAGTACCACGATGGGGGCCAGATCTACCAAGCCCTCATGCTGTCTACAATTTTGGTCTTGCAATGATACCGTTGATATGGACTAAGCTTCCACGGGAGATCTACAAGAGTAATACTCTCTTTGAAGCGGCAGACTCACTGCTTGCAACTTCCCGAGGTAGAGGATATAAAGGCTCACTCTGGGAACTACTGGACAGATGTAGGAAACTTCCAATCGAGCTAAGTATGTTTATTTGGGACTTTCTTCCTTCTAGTCCCGTCCGGCACTTACTTGCACTTAACGCTGCTAGAAGGATTTGGCTGGATACTCCTCTTTCTGCTGGTAGTGCAACTATATCTCTCCATGGGGAGATTATGATCTATTTTGCACAACTTTTGAAAGACAAATATATTTGTGGTATCCGTCAGGAGCACAACTTATATTGCCATGAAAGCAGTCTCTTTATAAATGTTCAGAGACCTGCTTCAAGTACTGCATGTGTCTTCACAATGGGACTTTACGGACTCCAAAATGTGGAATTCATGGCAGAGACCGAAGAGAGCTTTACCAGCGGAATCGACTCAGGTGGTACTGGGCTCATTATTGTCATTCCTTGCAAGCAGGAAATGCCATTGCATGCGGATGTCAAGTGGCATGTATGGGGTCTTTATCTTTTAATTCAAAAGAATATCTGATACTGATAATATTACTAGGTTTGGAAGATTTACCTCATTAGCTCGCAATAAGTCAATATTCGGCCATGATTTCTTTTGGGTTCCTCCAGTTTCTTGCGGCCAATTATGTTGGCTCTCTCTAAAAATATTTTATAACTGGCCGCGGCATTTCGACTTTGCTACCCAGTCCCAGCGATTCATGGTATATGTATCTCTGGAGAGAGATTAATGACTGTATGGTCTTACAGTTTCTTGCTTTAGTGAAGGATTTGTTGGCTTGGGAACTTACCTTTGCTCTTATTCTTATTAATAATCTTACACACAGAGGTCTTCAGTATATTGGTATGGCAAGCAACATGGGTGTTCTATTTATGTTCAACTTGATGGCTCTGATGCTATAAGTTTAATTTATGTTTACTGGCAGAAAAGTGACTCATTGTCGGGATTATATTTTGCTGTAAGTTCTCCCTTGGTTATTTATTTTATAATAACATAATTCTGGATCACAACTATCAAGAATGAATCATTCATTCTTGGACCGCAGTTTCCATCTTCTAAAACAGTCATGGAGAAGATATATAGCTCAGATGATGGTGAGATATTAGGCTTGTACTATGACGCAAGTCCAGGTATTACGAGAATCACGAGTCTGGGTATAATTTCTTGTCCAAAGAAATTTATGATTGATAAAGATCATCTCGCTTCCCAATTGCTATCGAACCACGAATGTATTAACTATCTGAACACTTCGCCATTCACCAGCTTCAGCTCACAAGCCTCTTTGAAAGACATTGAAATAATAGAAGCCTGCTACGTCGATTCTCGGTGTACAGGAATGCTTCTTCACTATAACAATGGCAGGAGACGCATCCTAGGTCAGTGGTATGAAAGTACTTACATTCAGACGGATATCCGTGCCACGATATGTGATACTAGAACAAAGCTATCGGACTTACGAGAGGTGGAAGTGTTCTTCCTCGAGTATTCCAGAAGGTGAAAATCTTTTTCTTGATATATGAGAATGACATTATAAAGCAGCTGTCGGAAAAAAGAGCCAAGGGATAGTATACAGGAACGTGGATAGGAAGAAAATATTGGATCTCAGCTTCGCTTACGAGAAAGACTTCGTAAATAGCTCGTTTCCTATCCATATGTCACTCAAGTGCTGCATCTCCTGATCCCACAGGTCCTGGATATATTGATTGTTAACGTTCTGATTGCGACGAGGATCAAAGGAGTGGTTTTCTTCAGCAAAGGAAGACTTACAAAATTAATCATATCAAAGGCAGAGAAATTGGTGTAGGTCTCCAGATCGGGGATTTGTTGGCCAAAGCTGGAATTGATGGGTTCTTCCAGCGAAGGAGACGTCTGATTCAACAAAGGAGCATGTTGTACATTGGCATTGGCAGTGGGAAGAAAGGCTTTTGGGAATTCACCGCTTTCCACACCACAGCAGCCCATGAGCCTCAACATCCTGGCCAAAATGTCGGCGGCCTTGACGGTTTCCGGTGACGGCCTTGGACAAGACTTCCAACAATGGTAGGAGGTTTTTAGCGTGCCTATGAGCTCGGTTGAGAACTCACGGGCCAGTGGTTCGTTTTTCTTAACACAGCTGACGATTTCAAGACATATCACCATGGCTGCAGTCATACAATCACATATGGAGCGGGATATTCCAAACCAGGCTTGATGTCGATACTGCGGCTGAGAAAGGATCCCTTGGAATAACTCGGTCTGACATTCGAGAACGCGTCGAGCCGCATTCACGCATTCAAGACGGAAGTCTTTGTAAGGGGGGATATCGTGCTGAGGTGCCAGATATTGGCGGTGCAAGGTGCAACGAGCACGTTGGTATGTCATCTCGAGTGTGAGGATATGTATCCCGTCGTTTCCATCAGTGGCGTATGCGGCTGATGGTTTCAAATAGGAAGGAACCTGGCTCCAGACTGCGTCTAGTTGCTTCTTTAGATGGAGTGTTCGTTCCGGTGAAATTTGAGCCTCCGAAGATTTCGCTATTCCGTTCGCCACGGACAGGATTCTCTCCAAAGCAACCGAGTAGGTGATATTGCTGGGTGTATGTGCTTCCGATCGCGATGGAGGCAGGACTTCCGTGGTAGGGCCGAAGTCCTCATCTAAAAGGATTCGAGGGGGCGTGGTGTCACCGATGTCTTTCGGGATGACAGTAGGCAGGCCTGCCTGCCAAGAAACGAAATAGTCGATAGTAGATAGAATAAGCCACATTCTCCGTCGCATCTCGCCTTCGAAAGGGGACAGCTGAGGATATATCCTGGAGTCCCGATGGTAGCCCATCATGATCGCCAGCCGCGACACTATGCCGACAAGAATCGAGATTTCCGTTTTCAGCCCATTGCTCTGGAGGTACTCATTCCCGAGGTACATTAGGGCAGCCTCCACTTTATATCTCCCTGGTGTGGTGCAATTTGAACTTATCAATGCGAGGGCGCATTGTTCTCGGTAGCAATTAAACACATCCGGCGGTTTGGCTTCACCTATCTCGGGGTTCATCGAGTGTTCAATCCAGACTGCACACGCCAGTATCCCGAAAAGAAGTGACAACCACGCCCGGGATGCAGCAGCCGGGTTACGCCAGAACTGCTCATACTACTCGAAAGGATTAGATACTGGGCTTCGTCGAGGGTGGGATATCAATGCGTAAATCAGAGAGATTAGCAATCTTACCTCGTCCTTGAAAGTCGGAGGATGCATCAATACTGTGATTCAGTGTTACTTGGAGGATTCAAGAGGGTCATCCACGTTGATGAAGGGGGACAGCGTACTCAGCGATGCCTCCCCAGAATCCAAACAACGTAAAACCAGGGCATCAGCAGTTGGCCGAGGTGGTAGTGCTGCCAGCAGATCTTCCACCTCTACCTCCTTTAAGCCGCCCCGTAGAAGGATGGGAGCCTGGTCAGACGATCTCTCTGGCGCGTCATCTTTGTTTCCATGTAGCTCTCTCGTCTTAAGGCGGTATTCAGTCAGCATTTGACGCATGAGTCAAGCATCAATAGACTACGAAAGAGCCACAATATGGGAGAGACAGCTTACGGCACTTTGCATAATTGCCCGCCAGTGATTCCGATTAAAGCAGCGCGTGCCAGTGTGTTCGGGGAGCAGAAGTTCCGGGGCCGGTGTATCAGGCCTTCCTTGACCTGGGTCATTCTCAACGGACTGGGCTGTACTGGGGGGCGAATGTGATTTTCCCTGGGATTGAATTGCAGCCTCTAAGTGGAGTATTCGGTTCTCCAGACTCTGCAGTCGAGCCTCACAATGAATATGGGAACTATCTGACTGCGGACTGGCGCCATGTGGGGTGTATTGACAGGTCCCTTCCAGGCCACGTTTGAGACAGTTGTCACATGGGAGCTTGCGATTGCATTTCAGCCTAAACCGGTGGAGACTGTCAGAGAGAAGAACCAGCCAAGGTCGTGAGGAGGGGATCAGGGAAAGGGGTGCAGTCCAGGGGTAATGCGAGTGCAATGTAAAGGGGTTGGTTGAGTGAATGGCTACTTTTTCTCCCGACAGGCAGTGCATGAGAGCAAGACTCGGGGCTTCTGGTTTCGTCGCCTCCGATCTGCTTGCCGATGCCTCCGGTCTGACGACGACTCCATCCTTGGAGCACGGCCAGGCGCTGGGTAGATATTTTTGTCGCTGTTCTGTAGTCGAGTGTAGTGAAGATGGAACAGCGTTGGGGGTCGGGTTTCACGGATTTCTCACCCTGACGCGGCCGTTGTCGCCCGGAATACCCGGATTTCTCGGAGTTCTCGGATTTCTCGGACATCACATCAAAAATACCATGTGGGCCAACGGGACGGCCCAGTGACGCAACTGTATACTGAACTGAATCACGGATTCCTGATATTGATCGGACAAGGGCGAGGGGCGGCTTGGCGCACGTATAACTCATACAGTGTGGGCCTGACACGAGTGACGTCTGCGAGTATGACAGTTGACTGAGAATTAGTAACAGCTGGTGTCCGCAGCGAAAAGACACATTCCAAGTAGCCCTCTAGATGACCATCCCCTTTTTTCACAGACATTTCCGTTTTCTTCAAAGCGGGAGGAGGAGGTCCACTGGCTTCAGGGCTCCGAGTCTCAAACACAATGATATATAACTGTTGCGAGAGCCCGGTGTTGGAGCACAAAAACCCATTCACTGCAACTATCGAAAAGGTCAACCTCGCAATTATCAATTTCGCTCCAGAGATGAGTACAGCACAGTCAAAGTTCCGGGTGGTCATTGTGGGCGGATCCATCGCGGGTCTGACCCTCGCCCACTGCCTTTGGAGGAACAACATCGATTTTGTCGTATTGGAAGCGTATCGAGAGATTGCACCCCAGGTGGGTGCTTCGATTGGTATCTTTGCCAATGGCGCTCGCATCCTCGATCAGCTGGGCATGTTTGATGACCTGTTGAGCGCTGTTGAACCTCTCCAGTATGGATCATACTGGAACGACAATGGAGACCTTATCATGAGCGCGGAGACTCACAAGCTACTGCAGGAGAGGTAACCAAAGAAACAGCTTAATATTAGGGTGTTGCAAGGGAGCAAACAAAAATGGTTGGCTAACTGATGGAACATAGACATGGGTATCCGATCAACTTCTTGGATCGTCAGACTGTCCTCGAAATCCTCTACGCGCATCTGGAAGATTGTCGCGAGAAGGTGCTTGTTAGCAAGAAGGTTACGCGGGTGGAGCACTATCCAACTCACATCGTCGCCCATTGCCAAGATGGGTCCTCGTACGAAGGCGATCTGATTGTGGGAGCCGATGGCGTGCATAGTACGGTGAGGCAGTTGATGTGGAACTACATGGAGACGCGGGGTCTATCGCGGGAAGTTGAGCGTGAGAGACGGAGTCAGTCCATTCCAAGCCCTGAACAACATTGATTCCAGCTTTAGATACAGTTACTAACATAGCAACAGGGATGACCTCCGAGTATAGCTGTGTTTTTGGCATTTCAACCCAGACAGCCGGTCTTATTCCAGGCCACTCTCATCGAACATACGCCGAGGGGTATTCGTTCTTGGTGATAGTTGGTAAGGAGGGACGGGTCTACTGGTTTCTCTTCACCAAGATGGATCGCCAATATGCGAGCCATGAAATTCCCCGTTTTAAGAAGGAAAATGTGGATGAATATGTTGCTCCATGGCTGCGTAAGCCCGTCACAAGGTCTATCGCCTTCGAGGAGGTCTATAAAAGAGCTATCGTCAAAACACATCTTCCGTTAGAAGAAGCTAATTACGAGTATTGGTGCAAGGACCGTTGGGTTATCATCGGGGATTCAAGCCACAAGGTATGTCTAGTTCGATAACATGCCACACAGTGTTGGAACTCGGCATCAGCGAGCCAATCAGACTAGCTAATCTCATGGGTCTAGATGACACCAAATGCAGGCCAGGGTGGCAACAGTGCGATTGAAAGTGCTGTAACCCTCGCCAACAGCTTAGCCAAATTGCTTCAAAGCAAGCACTCCATTCAAATCGACGATGTCGATCTATGTCTGCAAGCCTGGCAGAAATCTCGCAAACCACGGCTCACGAAGATTTGGAATTCCGCTCGGGATCTGACTCGATTGGAAGCATGCGAAACCTTCAAGCACAAGTTAATTTCGCTGCATCTATTGCCTTATCTGAGAGCAATGTTACTTGACAAAGCCTCTGCGGATATAATCGGTGCGGAAAAACTTGACTGCTTACCACTCCCGCCAAGGTCACTGCTCGCTACGATGCCATACATCAATGAAGCGGAGTTTGAAAACCAGCGAGGCTGCTCCTGGAAGCGAGGATTGTGGTGTATTCCATTTCTTGGATGCTTGGGCGCCGCTCGCGCGACCATGACGCCTTTAATTGCTGGGGTGGGGCCGTTCATGGTAGACTTGTTCGCTCAAGGAGTTTGGACAGCCAGGAATGGAGAGCGTCTTTCACTGCAGCAACCTCTCTATCCTATTCCTTTTCTGGACAAATTGCTGAAACCAATGGTCACTTGCTTCCTGCCATCGATTAGTGGAACTGATCCTGTGTCCAGTATTCAGATGCGGTCCTTCATCACGGATTTAGGTGCAGTTTATGGAATTTGGATGCTGGAGAGTTATCGTGACGCAAATTCTCCCATTGAGGTGTTACTGTAAGTCCCGTTCTGACGGCCCGAGAACTCAACAACCGAGGACTTCAAAGCTAACAAACTTCATCATAGCCCAATGCTTACAGGTTGTGCGCTCCAGCTGAAAGGCGCCGGACTGTGGGCTCCTATCTACTATGCTCTGGAGTACTTCCAAGTTTCCTTTCCGCAGCTACTCTCTCACGGCCGTCATGAGGTAAAGGCAAACCGCACAATTTCCCTTGTTATTGCAATGCTGGCCGGATATTACTTCCCTACATATCAAAGTTTCACGGCGTCAACAATTGATTCCCGCCGCTGGTGGAACTCGGTGTGGCAACTTTTCCCTGTCGTGGTGCCCGCTCTCGCCGGTACTATCTCATGGCTGGCAGGAAAGCCTCAACCGAAGACAGATCTCATCAAATCAAAGGAAGAGCGCAGCAAAAAAAACATGGCTTTTACCCGTGCGACATACATCGGCTTCGCTGCTATCTCCGGTCTGACCTGGATTCATGGCCTACGTTCTGCACCATCAGACTCCTCGGTCCTGTCCATATTCTGGCCTGGCTTGAGTGGCCAACCATCCCCCGTCACATCATTCATGGGTGGTATTGCACGCTTCTTACAATACGACCAAATCATCTCCATGACCAGCGGGTTTATCTGGCTTGGACTGAGACTGGGTGAGCTCAAGCAATGTGGTGCATCATTCTCTTGGTGGCAGGTTGCTAGTGCGTTTGTGGGAACCACCGCCGCTTTTGGTCCCGGGGCAGCATTCGCTCTTGGATGGGGCTGGAAGGAAGAGCTCATGAATACTCTGTCGCTCTAGCCTAAAGTCTGATTTCAAGGGCTATCTGGGAGCATGTGGAGGCCTCGCAGACCAATCTTCACTGGATATTTTGGCTTCGTTTCGCAGGTTTCCCTTTTTATCTTCTCGGTCTGTTCTCAGGGAAAGGAGTCTGCCTACTACTTTGATAAAATGAGCTGTAAGATAGTGTAAAATATATGTATTTCAAATTATATACTCGTGGTATTCGTTGAGATGGGAATGATATTGATTTGCTTTATGCAATCCCATATTTTATGTTTTCACCTCACAGGATTGGTTGGCTTAACATCACACCTTTCTATATACTGATTCACATGCGTTCCTCTTCTATAAAAGATCGAGTAACTTGCTAGGCAAACAAAAACAGAACCACTTTGCGCAAAAGCAGTGTATAACCTGGTAATTACGCGGTATCATGTTTACCTGCTGCATAGTCGTGAATCCAATATAGCGATAGCTTGTCTCGTTGGTATGATTATTCATCCCTGCAAGTCTCCCTCCTCAGGATGAATGGCAAAGTTCAAATGCACAATCCCATTCCATCTGTATAATCACCTGTCTTGCCTGTGCTGGGAACAGCCGCATCCTCCCGCAGCTCCACTCTCGGTGTTGTACCTTATTTACCTTCAGAAAAAAAAAACTTCGAAGGGTTGATCCATTTACCGAAGTCTCACATAAGGTGAAAATAAGAATCGCCAGAGCGGCGCAGAAGTAAGGGCATACACTTGCACGTGATACAAACCGGACTGTGGCCCGATTCGATAGGGCTGCATATGCAGGCATGCGACGCAGCTTGGTGGGTATTACAAGAAACTATTACTTGTCTAGGATCCAGACAGCTATAATAGATTTCGTGAAATTGGGGTGGATTAATCCAGGACCGAGCGATGATCAAAGTTTTGCGGTAGGCATTTGCTACAGGGAGAGGTTTCTCTATATTAACTGGTGTCGTTGTTCTTGGGACGCCTGGATTATAATGTTACTACCATATAGAGAATTGAGCTGTTTATAGGACGGGCTCGGAACAACAGAATTAAAAGTGATATGACGCGTGCGCAAGAGGGATGTCGCTTGGGTAATTAAGGATCAAGATCATATGGGGGAAAGGTCATGAGACTAGTAAACAAGAAACAAGGTACCAATACACGAGAATCTTCACTCACCACGTACTTCAGTGAGAGGAAGTGCATTCCCACATAAAAGTATACGTATCGTGGCCGCAAAAAGAAACATGGAAAAAGTCTTTTCAAAAACAAAGTGGAACAGAACAGTAGGAGGAGCATTATACCGGTAGACAATAAGAGTAATCCCACTCCAGAGGCAGCTTTGCACACCTGCACACTGCCAGGGCGGGGAGTTCTCCTTTGCCTCGGTGCTCGTCCGTCGTCACGTCGTCACATCCCTAAAAGGTAAAATTCACCCTAACCGGGTAGCTTAAACCATATGATCCACTACCCCTCTCCTCATTAGATTGTGCCTGAAGACTCAAATACGAGAAACGATGTCATACGTTGTGGAAGCGCTGTCTGTTTGGCACGGACTTGTCCGTGCAGGCTGGAAACTCTACTTCTGAAGAAGTCTGTCCACCACACTATCTTCCAAAAAAGAGATAAGACACCGGAAGCCAGGTCACTTCAACATAGAAAGGCAACTTCAGTCAGATCTATCTGCTAGTTCAAGTGGTTGTCTTACACCTACGTCATATCTGGACAAATCCGAATCCGCCCCCACGAGCTGCAGCTGTTTTCCGGGAAGGCAGCCGGCATACCTCGGCAGGCTAAGTGGCTAGCAATCACGGGATATCGATAGAGAACCCCTGGCAGTTTACTTTCGCAAGACTTAAATGTAGTGGGAATCCCTGAAGAATGGCAAAAAAGGGCGTGGGGGCCATCGCGATGGAGTCCGAGGCCCCACCCCGCATCTCCGGTGGGAAAAAGCCCGGTGGCACCAGCCGCTTGGTTAGCCCTAGCTAGAGCCGGACGTCGCATGGTGCCTTGGAACTAAGACTTCAGACATACCTTGTTATGCGGGGAACATTGGCACGGGACATGTAACCCCGACGGAGTGGAGCTGGCGATGGCAGCAGAGGTGGAACGACGCATTCTCCCCTCGCGAATGCCCTTTTCTAACCGATCACCCGTTGTGTATACGGAATACTCTATCCCGGATTATTGGAGGAAAATACCAGTGGCTGGAGTCAGGCATGCCACTCCTCCGAGACAATGAAGCGTATAAATAGGTGACTTCTGACCCTGCGATGAGCCTGTTGTGCTTATGCCTATCCCTCTATCTCTTTGCCAATCGTGATCGTGATTTAGTATGTTCTCCCGACGTACCCTGGTTGCCCTCGGGCTTGCGGCTACTGCCAGCGCCGGGCCCTGCGACATCTACTCGGAGGGTGGGGTGCCCTGCATTGCTGCGCACAGCACCACTCGTGCCCTGTACAGTGCCTTCAGTGGTGCCCTCTACCAGATCCAGCGCGGCTCTGACGATACCACGACCACCATCTCACCACTAACTGCCGGTGGGGTTGCGGATGCCGCTGCCCAGGACACTTTTTGTGCCAACACAACCTGCCTCATCACGATCATCTATGACCAGTCTGGCCACGGAAACCACCTCACCCAGGCTCCTCCTGGTGGCTTTGACGGCCCAGATGTCGATGGCTACGACAACCTGGCCAGTGCCATCGGCGCTCCGGTCACTCTGAACGGCCAGAAGGCGTACGGCGTCTTCGTATCGCCAGGCACCGGCTACCGCATCGACGACGGCAACGGTACCGCCACCGGCGATGAGCCGGAGGGCATGTACGCTGTCCTCGATGGCACCCACTACAACGGGGAGTGCTGCTTCGACTACGGCAACGCCGAGACCAGCAATACCGACACCGGCGCCGGCCACATGGAGGCCATCTACTATGGCAACAGCACAAGCTGGGGCTATGGCGCGGGCGACGGCCCGTGGATCATGGTCGACATGGAGAACAACCTGTTCTCCGGCGCCGACGAGGGATACAACGCGGCCGACCCGTCGCTTTCTTACCGGTTCGTCACGGCCGCCGTCAAGGGAGGGCCTGACGAGTGGGCCATCCGCGGTGCCAATGCGGCCTCCGGCTCCCTCTCGACCTACTACAGCGGCGTGCGGCCCGACTACTCGGGTTACAACCCGATGAGCAAAGAAGGGTCCATCATTCTGGGTATCGGTGGTGACAACAGCAACGGCGCGCAGGGTACCTTCTATGAGGGGGTGATGACCACGGGCTACCCATCCGACGACACCGAGAACTCCGTGCAGGCCAACATCGTCGACGCCGGATACGCCATCACCTCTCTGGTCAGCGGACCGACCCTCACTGCCGGCGAGTCGATCTCGCTGCGCGTCACCACTCCAGGCTACACGACGCGGTACATCGCGCACACCGGCACGACCGTCAACACGCAGGTGATCTCCTCTTCCAGCAGCACCGCGGACCAAGAGCTCGCCAGCTGGAAGGTGGTCACTGGTCTGGCCAACAGCGGATGTTTCTCCTTCGAGTCCGTCGACACCCCCGGCAGTTATATCCGGCACTACGACTTCGACCTCCTGCTCAACGCCGATGACGGCACCAAGCAGTTCTACGAAGACGCCACTTTCTGCCCTCAGGCCGCTCTCAACGGCGAGGGCACCTCTCTTCGCTCCTGGAGCTATCCCACCCGGTACTTCCGCCACTATGACGACGTGCTCTACGCCGCGAGCAACGGCGGAGTGCAGACATTCGATTCCAAGACCTCGTTCAATGATGACGTGAGCTTTGAAATCTACACCGCGTTCGCGTGAGTTTGGGGTTGGCCTCCGGACAGCGGTTGCTAGGAGTGCGTTTCATGAGTGTACAGACCCTTGTGGGCTGATTGTGTTTGTAAATAATTGTAAATAGGGCAATGTTAAGCTGTTGGTATATTCCGCAAATCATTTCCGGTTCACTATAGTTGATTAGCGTGGGGAAGAAAATGTTTGCCCTTGTGAGGTGACCCAGCGTCATAAGATACTTTGTTATGGTTTCTTCCTCCCCCTGGCGCGGGGGCTATCCGGGTCCTCCGGTCATTTCCGCCGGTCCGTCCGTCATGGGTTGGCCTGTGCGCTAGGAAGGATTCTGCAGGATCGGACTTGCAGGCAGCATGATGTCAGGTCTGCGGTTGTTCATAAACACATATTCTATCTGTCAGGTACGGAGTGCATCAGCAAAATAGAGATTGGAAGGTGTTATATCCACATCCCCGGCTGCTACCTACACACCTTGTCTAAGTCCATTTCGGGATGTAATCGTCTGGGAGGGGGGGGGTCGTGAGCATCTCCCGAGATCTACAGCCTTCCAGGAACATTGGCAAAACAGACATTCCCTGGTTGACATGCAGAAAACTTTGAAAAAGGTCCAGATTCAGGGACATGTGTGGCGATTTGCGTCGAGATCCCAGTCGGGCTTCGGGCCTGCAAGTGACTGTCAATCAGTCATGATCTTCTTTTTTCCCTTCAGCCTAGATCGACCACCTGTCCCCGCAAACCATCTCATTTCGAGATGCTCCGTACTGTGTGGGGCTTCCGAGACCTGATAAGATGAATCAGTGGGGAGATCCGGAAGCAAGAAATCAAGACAGTGGATCGTTGCATAGGTGATAGGTGAGCTCCGGCTAACTGACTCTCTGAACAGTGACGGCAGAAGAGGTGGACGAAGAAAGAAAGAAAGAAAGAAAGAAAGACAAGACAAGGGGGAAGGAAAGAAGTGGCTGGCTCGAGGCATTCACCAGCAGGCGCTAAACCTCCCGGGAGCCCTCTCCCTTAAACAAACCAACATCCATCCTCTCCCTTCTTCGCAGCAAACACCGTCCAATCTCTCATACTCCCTTTTTTAGCTGGCTGCTGGCAAGTTTGCCGTATGGATTCCCATGCAAGTCTACGTTTTCCACGATTATTGGCCAAGGATGAGGGGTAAACACAAGTGGAGATCGGGCCAGCGCTTATCCGGGCAGGGAAGTTGTCCGAAAAAAAGCAATATGCGCAGAACATGGCCGAGTTAAATAGAGACTGGGCAGCCTCGCGCCCGACATCCAGTGCTTGTGGAGAGAAACGATGGCCTCGCGAAATGGAAAAGCTGCTGGTTCACAAAATGGCGCTCGAAGAAGAAGGGCAAGAAAGGCGCGTCTGAGGATCAGGTGACCCGGTCGCAAAGCCCTACTTCTCGCAAGAATATTAAGTGGTGGCCCGGAAGTGCAGCCCAACATTCTTGGCACTACTATGCTCACAGTAAGCGTTCTCGTCTTCTCCCATGATAGTCGCCGCTTGGTGCTTGGGGACGAAACCGGAAATATTGATAATGGACGCTCATTCGTGATATGGGAATGAGGCGATAATCTTTCTACTCCGCTAGAAAGATTCTGTGGTCATTCAGACTGGATCATTGGTATTACCTTCTCGCCAAATGACCAATACGTGGTGACCAGTTCCAAAGACAAGACCATCGGAGTTTGGGACTGTAGTACCCGCAAGGAAATCCAGAAGATTGATGTAGCTGATCCAACCTATGTGCTTCGATTTTCAGAAGATGGCACCCATTTGTTGACAGAGAGGGGAGCTTTCAAGATTGATGTTTTGCGTTCGGAAAATGATGACCGTTCTACGGAATTGAGAGAGTTTCCTTCTCTTCTCGCAGTACGAGATGACTGGATTGTCACTGGGCGCCGGAGGCGTTTGTGGTTACCTCCAGATTGCCGGGGCATTTGGACTTCTCATGAGAAGCATTTGTATATTGGAACCGAATCTGGTCGCATTCTGAAATTTGTGCTTGGGGATGACGATGAGGCTTCACAAGTAGCCTAGTCCAAAGCTTAATTGCCATTTGGTTTCATCTCTCTCTATAGTATGAACTTAGTCTGAATTCTTCGTCAAGTCGATTTATCCTTGGAGTCTCATGAACTGAGGGCCCGCCATCCTGACCACAATTCTATCTTTCCCATTACTTGAATGGCTCCCAAGTTGGATATTATAGGGTTGGGCAAGATTTCTCAGACTCTAGACTCTCTTCTCATCCGTAATGAGCTCCAAAAGAGCCCTCTGGAGGCGAGAAACCCCATCCTCCGAAATCTGATGGTGGAAGACCAGTCGTCCGCTAGGGAAAATAAGCAACCCATGTCTCTTGCCGTAACTCACCAGGTTCTCTGCACGGATGCCCGTCTTCTTCAGATCGATGACAATCATATTCGTGTTGACCGGCAACAGAAACTCATAACCGATCCGGTGGAGGTAGTCCGCCACTCTGCGAGTGAGTGCGTGGACTTTCGGAAGCAGAGGGAGACAGTGGTCCAAAGCTGCGGAAGCAGCTGCCGCCATCATTCCAGTCTGCTATGGTCAGTGAGAGAACTGTAGCGAGATAGGAGTTTAAAGAATATACCTGTCGAGTGGCACCTCCGAACATCTTCCGGAACCACTTCGCACGATCGATGAATTCCTTGCTTCCGACGATCACGCTTCCCATTGGGGCGCCACAGCCCTTGGATAGACAGATGCTAGCGCTGTCAAAGCAGTCCAGGTATTCTTTTAAGGTGACTCTTTCTGCGGTCACGCCTTCGAGTAAACGTGCTCCGTCGAGGTGCATGGCAATTCGGCTGCGGCCCGGTGGGACGCGAATGCTGCGGACGTGGTTGGAAATCTCCCTGGCATCCTTCAGGGGGAGAATACAGCCAGAGAGTGTATTTTCGAGGGACACGATCCGAGTAGGCGAGAAATGAACTGATGACTATGCGTCAGTAGGGAAAGGGTCATCTTTCGGGGGCTCGGTTACAGTTTCCCTCCTCCACGATTCTATCTCTCACATCGTCCAATGTGAGGTGGACTCCGTTCTTCGGCTCAATACCTGTAACAGTTGCCTGAGACATCACAGGAATAGCACCAGTCTCCCAGACCTGAACGTGGGCGCGGTAGTCGAGCAGGATCGTATGAGGTGGCTGTTGTAGATGCGTACGCAGACAAATCTGGTTGCCTTGGGTACCGGACAGGACAAACAGGGCTGCCTCTTTTCCTGTTAATGCTTTGATTTTGTCTTGGAATGCATTGACGGCTGCATCTCCTTCCTCGTCATAAATGTCATCTCCGAAAGTCGAGGCGTTTACGATTGCCTGTAGCAGTAAGAGTCAAGGGCTGCCTTCGGCCGCTCAGGTCGGATACGCACCTGCATCACTGACTCAGTGGGAACAGTCACAGTGTCCGAGCGAAAGTCACCCCCAGCTCTGTCAATAGCTCTCTCAAGAGACTTTGGCACCAGATTTCCGGGAATGTCATGGTGTTGCTTTGAGTTGTTGATATGGAGATCTCTGCACAAGCTAGATAACCTCTCAGGACCCTGTGACGGGGTTTTGCCAACCTTGAGCACCACGCGACCTTTCATCTGCCCTATATGTTGTCAGTGGAGGAAGATGAGCCATTTTGATCAAACATACCTTTTTCCATTTGGTCATAGATATTCGGAAGCTCCGCAAAGTCGACCACATTATACTGAACGCTGATGCCAGCCCGAATGAGGATCGCAAGGGCTTCCTCGGTCTCGTACCGATTGCCCACGTACGATCCCTTAATGTTAATCTTCTGAGTCACCATAGCAAAGATATTGGTCGACAGTTTTCCAGGTGGAAGACCGACGGCGACGATGGTCCCGCCGGGACGGACATACTTGAACGTTCGTCAGCCTCGTATCACAACGCCGGATGGGAAATAACCACCTGCGTAGCCTGGTGGAATGGCTCCTCAATAGATGCCACGATCATAACAGCGTGTGGTCCACCACCTGTAATGCTTTTCACCTCTTCCGTGACGTTTGAGGATTTGTAGTCGACAAAGTAGTCCGCTCCGAGGTCATACAAACACATGCCCCTCTTGGCCGTTCCAGAGGATAGAGCCAGGACTTTGTGTCCGCATGCTTTGGCATACTGGCAGGCTAGAGATCCTAATCCTCCACCAGCGCCAACAATAGCTATGTTCGATATAAGTGGAGGGCCGTGGAAATACGGCTTCAAGACTTACCGATAGTCTGTCCCGGTTGCACATTACTTTCCTTGAGAGCCTTGTAAACTGTGATTCCTGCACAGAGAACCTAAGGGCCATAGCCACATTAGCGACCCTTCTGGCTAAAACCCATCTGTTAGACATACCGGAGCTGCAGCCTCGAGAGAAATGCCCGATGGAATGCGAACTGCATTGTCAGCTTTGCAGATACAGTATTGTTGGAAAGTCCCGTCAACCATGTACCCCGAAAGCTGGAGCTTGGGGCACAGAGGTTGGTTTCCAGTAGAGCAGAATTCGCATATGCCGCAAGTTCTGTTAATCCACTGCAGAAAGAAAAAAAACAATTTTAATCAGTCTATTCACGGGATGGTCGGTGGGGAACCATAAATTACCTGAATTCCAACCAAGTCGCCAATTCTGAGGTCATTCACTTGCGATCCGAATGCCGCAACCAAACCGACGCCCTCGTGTCCACCTAAACACCATTAAACTGGGAAGTCTATATTGATGCAAGATGCAGAACTAACCAACAAGATTCTCCTTTGGTGTAGCAGGAAAATCACCTGGGAAGTTTAGCATAAGTATTCAATTATGGTGAAGAAAAAGAGGGGTCCGAACCTTTCCAGGCATGGAGATCGGTATGACAAACACCAGAGTACTCAACTTGAACCAGCACTTCATCTGGGCCCGGTTTGCCAACGGGGATCTGCTTGAACTCAATAGCTGGATCTGTCAGCACAGCCCCGTCGATTGATACTGGTGTCCATACTATCACCCCGAGTTTTGAAAACATGGGCCCATTGCATGGCAGGGAGCCCATGCCCGTCTCCTGGGTGTCCGTTTCCCAAGTATCCGTTCCCCAGATTCCCGCTTCCCGGGTATCCATTGCCTAGATACCCATTTTCACGGTATCCATTTGCGATGTAAGACATGACTTGAAGCGATATCTAACTTGATTAGATAGAATTCTTGTTATAGAGGACTCGAGTCTGGATGGTATTTCTGAGGTCGATAGTATATGGACGCAGATGGAGATTCAACCCGTTCTTATAGGAAAGTTGGCCATGAAATCCAACAGAATATGGCTCATTCCAGTGATCTATTTCCATTTATAGATCGCTACTGTTGTGAGTGAATTACATTTACAAAGCACAGTTTCACATTGCTTACATCTCCTCACATACGTTGAGACACGGTCTACATCTAAGAGCCAGCTTCTTACATTGACAGGTATCTAGGCAGACAGTTCTATAGGTAAGGGCTATTGTCTAATGAACTGCGTTCATGAGACTCCTGATGGTTTCGCACCATTTCATCTCGTTTTCTTATCTCTCCAGATCAGCGTACGCTACCAGGTGCAGTTTTCATTGGTTCCTAACCTGCGATTTTGGGTCTATCTTTACGGGATATTGGGGTGTACAGAAAAAGCAGGGGATGCCAAACTGCGGGTGGCGAGCGACCTACGTTACTCAATACCGCAAGGCTGATGTACGACATATGTCGTCCGTCGTCAGATGCGTCTGCACAAGGGTTTGGCCAGTGATGGCTACAGAGAAGGCATACCTAGCCCTATGGATTGGGTCATGTGTCATCATACAGGAAAGTACCGGACAATAGATAGGAATCGCACCGTAATTTTGAGCGTTGGGATGGTCTGTCTGTCCTGGGGCAAAAATGGCAGCCAGGGCATTTGCCTCTCCAGAGACAGAGGTGAATCCCGATACTTACTTCAGACCCCACCAAACATACGTTCAAATGTCACCGGTCGGAAATATATCCCGCTGTCTGATGAATGGCGACAGCAAATCTGAAACATTTTATGCAAAGATATGTATCGGGTAACATGCCTCATCATTGCTCAGGCTAGTTTGGTAGGGACTGTCTAGAAGCTACCACCCGCAGTCCTGCAGTGCAACCAATGATTTAAGGGCGCTGTATGTATAACCAAAAGAAGCTGGTATCGTCGAGATCTGCAAGACATTCTCGGTCGACTACTACATCTATCCTGCACCCGCGTGGGGTCAAACGGTCCTGCCTTCCCTCTGCCGATGTTTATGTCTGCTGTGATAATCAGTGTTACATCCTTACTTCACTAGATGTGCTGTTGCACCCATTGAAGAGAAGATTGGACATCCTTTATCCGGTTGCATAGATACACTGACCGCATCAGAAATGAGAACTATGGGGTACATATTTATTTATGGGAGGAATTTCCATTATCAAACATACAATATCGTATTACATCAATCTATCATGCAAGAAGAGAAATCCCGACTGCAGTAGCTAGTACTCCCTGCATTGTCCCACGGTTGACCAATCAGCTCAAGAGACGTTGTTCCCTCATGGTCTGTACATGAGGGGCCTGGGGTGATTCAAACAGCCAGCGCACTGCTGTGATAGTCAGAAATGATACCATACCCCCTGGGTTCCACTTTGTTATCACAACCTAATAAAAAAATTACTTAATCAGGCTTTTTCGCGCAGTGTTCATGCAGATGGACTTTTGATTGTCTTTGAGGGAGGGTGGGATGCTTCCCTTCCCCTTGCAGGAGATTCGCCGCGATAATTGGAGATGAGGAAAATGGGCGGTCGAGATACTCCATCGTCAGATGGGATAAACATAACACTCAACCGATTTTGTCGTGAATTAATTGTGGTCATTTGAGACATACAATCAAGGTAGGGTTACGGACCTTCTACCCTTGATAGTACTTATATATTTTTGCCACTGCGGGCAAATGCAACCTGTCCAACAAACAGAGGTGAGTTGATTGTGAATGCTCTCAACTGCTAATTGATTATTTTTGGCTTATCCACCCTCATTTTTATGGACATATTGTATCTTTTCTCCGATGTAAGCCAGCTTTACTCCATGAGATAGACCTCCCAGACCCAAAACAACCACTCCCCATCGGACAGATCTGGGTGTTGGATTAATCTTAGTCTGCTCTTTGAGTACCAAAGACAAAAAGCATGTTTCAATCAAGTTGGCTGGATGGTGTAGTTGGTTATCACGTATGCTTCACACGCATAAGGTCCTGGGATCGAGCCCCAGTCTAGTCATTTTTTTCTACCCGAGCTGTATTGATCCTACCCTAACAAGGTTGCACACATCACCCAGATGAGTATGTGGGGTCATACTGCTCGTGTTTCTTTTCTTTTCTTTTCTTTTCTTGTTTTTTTGTGGGAGGGAGACGAAACAAACAAAATTAAACTTTTATCCAACGTCTTGTTCTTGTTCTTGTTCTTGTCATGATGTCCTCATTGCCTGGTTCCTGACCTGGGGTTCGGTCGGCTAACGGCCGCTGGTTGGTCTGTAGCAGTGGGCTTCCTTCAACTTACCACCTTTCAACCGCCACATAACATCCGCCTTCTCTTTCCTGAGCGCATTGGACGATCCTATACAGTCCCGATAATCAATAAATTGTCGGTCGCATGGTCTGTAACATCCACAATGTCATTGTGTGGCGGATATATCCTACCCGCAGCCTGTGGGGGTTCATGCTCGAGGGATATAATCATGGACCCAACACCATCCATCCCCAACACTAACCATGCGAATAAGTGATTCGCGGGGGATAGTGGACACCCCGACTCCGGACTCGGAGAGATCCCACTCGATGTTCTGCCTTTGAGACACTGTCTCGGACCGGACCGCAGAGGACTCGGCAAGGTGAGGGTTAGCCGGCGGGAAGGCCCCGATGAGGTGGTTCAATCGGATCACTCTAGGCCTATCTATCCTCAACGGTCAAGCCCTCATCTACAAAAAAATAATGTATGGGTCTAGACCGCGCGTTTGATTTATTCTTCGATACAATCCTACACCCCTTCTCCTACGTATTGTCCTTCAATATATCACTCAGTTCACCATGCAATGGCTTCTAGTAGAGCAATTCCTCCCAATCGCCATGGCGGCAAACAGCCATGTTAGGGCAAATGCGGCGGATGATGTGTGGAAGTCTTCAGTCACTGTAGGCTGGCGGATTTACCAGTGGTGCTTCGTGGTTTCCTCAGTTGGAGGTTGTGAGCGTGGCTTCCTGTTGTGACTGCAGAGGCTGTCCTTATCCCCAACATCCATTTCGGCTTCAGCAGCATCATCATCATCATCAACATCAACCCAACATCCTTCCGCTCTTTCACTTTACTCTCACATTCTTACCTCTATAGTTTCGATATCTTATCCACTCTCGTTATTATCTATACAAGTACCGAATATACCGCCCTTCTACATATCAACACCCAGCGCACACTCCCAGAGGCACCCAGAGGAACTCCAGCATGGACACGTCCGATCCGGGGTATCAAGCAGACCGGGAGGTGCAGACCAACTCGAACGACCCAGAGACGGATTCCGACCTAGAATGGATACGTGACTGGATCGCTAGAGCGACGGGGGTTAACTCGAGCGACCCAAGGACGGATTCCGACCTGGCATCGATGCATAACTGGATCAACAGAGACTCTCAGTCTCCCGATCCTCCAACCATTCCGGCTTGGCTCTCGTCCCCCCAGAGTTCCTCGAGCTCCAACCCTCCTCCGCCTTCCAATAAGCCACCGATCCTCATCATGGACGATGCACTCTGCGGCCCGGACAATACGTCCTGGTGCGTAGGGCTATACAAGCGACTGGCAGCGGGAGCTGACCCGCAACCCGTTGGCTCGCCCGCCGTGATCGATTGGCTCGCGAAGACAGCCAAGGCCGTGATTATCGCGAATTACCCCCTCGGCACCTGGGACGAGCATCACGCCGTGATGGGCAGTCTGCCGGCCTACGTTCGGGAAGGCGGGCGCCTCATCATCGGTCTCGCCGACCAGGAACCCTTGTACGGGGATCGATTGGATTCCGTCTTCGCTCAGTTTGGTGTGCCGTGGCGGCAAGGAGACCGCGCCGACACCAGCTACATGCTGAACGACGCGTGTGATCTGCCTCCCGGGGGTACCCGTGATGCGCTCCCGCTTCTATACAACATGGAAGCGGTTAATGTCCGGGATGCCCGCCGCGGCGAGAGACTCTTTCAGCCCGTCCAAGGCGCCACCAGAGATGCTTCAACCGATGATGTCATCGAGATGCCGGAGGAAAACTGGCAGGCCGCGATAGCGGGGGCAAAAGTTGGCGACGGGTATCTGGTTTATTGCGGGGACGTTCATATGAGAGACGAGTCGATCGATGTGATTGCGACTCTGTGTGGTGTTTGAATGGCGTGGCAGAAGAATTGGAGGTGGAGTCGGATTCCGGGGCGGTTATATGGCGATGATCAGATTAGAAACCATAGGTAATTGAATTGGTGGCATGTATGTATGCCTAGCACTTGCTTGCTTGCTTGCTCTGTGGGTAATTGATAGGATGTATGAACCAAAGCCAAAGTCTCGCGAGAGAGAGGGAAAAAAAAAAGAAAATCTATTTGCTGATAATGCACGTCATGACGGAAGTATTATACAGGAGAAAAAGGAGTATCAAGGAACGCATGTGAGAGGATCCGTCCAGTCAGTCGGCCAGGAGGGGGTCAATCAATAGGTGTATTGTATTATAAGAAAGGTGACTGCGGCTTTGCTTTGGCTGGCGAGGCGAGGTGCGCGACGACGGGAGGATTGATCGATCGAAGAGGCAAAAGGGGTATGTATGGTTTGGAATGATATGGTATGGTATGGTATGGATGAACATATCTATTTGTCGTTGAAGCAGCTTCCGCAGCAGCTGCAGCAGTGGCAGCAGAAGCAGCAACTGTATATAAAAGATGGACTGTCAGTGGATGGAGGGATGGAGGGATGGATGGATGGATGCGGGGTCAGGAACAGCCGATCCTTCCATGGATCAGATCTGCCGAAGGGATCGTCACTTACGCATCCTCCTCACCGTCACCACCACGGAGGCGCAACTCCATTCCTTCGCCGAGTGCCTGATATCAATCATGTCTGTTAGTTCGGGCTCATCTCATCGCCATCGCCATGTCATGTACTACGGTAGGGTAGGTAATGTCCACATACCGGTTGGTCGGTGACGACCTCGTTCGTCGTCATGGTGTCTGCCGGGCTCTGGGGCTGGACCATGGTCAAAGTGGTGGCATCCCAGGTCATCTCCGGGACCTCCTCCTGGGCGGAGGAGCGGAACCAGCTCATGACATTGTCGAACATGATGTCTGTTGTTGTTGTTGTTGTGGTTGTTGTGGTTATTTGTTGTCTGACGGGGGGGAAGGCGGAAGGCGGAAAGCGGCGGAAGGCAGCAGGAGTAAGATGGATGGATATCTTGTTATTTATTTTTTTTGAGAAAAAAAAATTATTATAAAAATGGTAAAAAGATCCTTGGATCGGCCGTGATCGCCAAGACTAGAAGAATCGGGCGCACAAAAAAAAAAAACGAGTGTGGGATGGACGAATGGGTGGTGAAGGAAGGCGAGAAGGCGAGAGAGCGGAATGGAGAGTAAGAGAGTGTAGAGTGAGAGAGAGAGAAAGAGAGGAGGAAGAAAGAGGAAAGGAGAGAGCAGGAAAAAAAAGGACGAAGGACGGAAAGGGTTAAATCGACGCCATCGACGCCATTTAAGATTGATTGAGGGGACGGAGGGCAGTCAACTTCCTCACTACTTTTGTCCTCCGGCGATAAGGTGGCCCCCCCTCGACGAAGCTTGGCCCAATCGGCCCTACTAAGTCGCCATTAGTGGCCGAACCATTGTGAATCGCCTCGTCGCCTGCCAGTCCGGCTTGTTCAGACCTTCAGGGCCCGCCCGGGACGTACGTAACTGGGCGGAGTCGTGCTCGTTTGACCTTTCTACCGGAGTTCTCTAACGCTGCCGGGCGTCGCGGAGGGACGAGGCACACGTAGTTAGTATCTATCTAGTCGCGTACACCAGAGAGTCAGAGGGCGGGCGGGCGTGCCTGAGCGCATTGCTTGGTGGAGTTGGAATGCGGGTGCGGAGGAGACGAGTCACGGTCGCGCGTAGACTGTAGACCGAGGCTGGCCTCTGCTTACTGACCGTTGTTCCCCTGGGTTAAACTCTTTCCCCCCTGAGAGGGTGGGATGAGATGATATCGCAGCGACATTATTATTATTGAGGGTGCAAAGACAGAGTAGAGAGTAGGGCAGGGGATGGTGGTGGTTGGTGATTGGCAGACGCCGCAACGTCAAAGCTGGGGGGTCAATCCGGGCTGCGACCCGACGGATATCGAAGAGCGGATGAAGGTTCTAGCCAGAGAGAGAGCGAGAGAGAGCCAGAGTCAGCCAGAGCCAGACAGAGAGAAAGACCGACAAAAAAGAACCGACAGTCAATCAGGAGTCTTCGAGCGCGGAGGACGAGGGCTTCGGCGCTACTACTGCCGAACTAGAGCCACTAGCGCCGCCACACCCACGTCGGGCCACCAATGGGGCCGCGTTGTGACGCGTTCCGACCCGCAGTTGTCAATGTTTACCCGGTTCCGCCGTTCCATTGGCTGCCCCGGGGGGAGACTAGTCCGCATCAGGGATCGCCTCCAGGCACCAGCAGGAGTGCCCAAATTGGATTTACTTACTCGCAGCGAAGCAGGAGATGTTTATTCTCCTTCACAGTCTGACTGTGTTGAAAGTAGATAGATAGGGAGTAGATACCTGTTGGGAAGTCGCGATAGGTAGAATCTCAAAAAGAGTCTTGTTTGATCCTCAGTTTAGCCTGGTGGATACCGCAAAGGGTCAGGGGCTACTCCACACAATCTAAAATGCACACATTCAGGAGCCAGCTGGGATTTTGGGAAGCAGTCTCATCTAGGTGCAGATATACGGGGGCTCAATTCTCGGACAGATGGCATGACATGACAGGTGCCGGAAGTGTATGCAGCCAGCCTCTATCTGCGTCTGCATGCGTTTCAGCAGGAGAATTTGTTATTAATACTTTGGTCAACGCTGTCTATTTCTGTTGCGACACAGTCAGGAGAGCACCAGGGTTAGAGGCTCACTCACCCTCAAGGAATCATCTTTCGCTGCACCCGGCGAGTGATTATGCCTGGATAGCCCTTATTCACTCCTCTCCCCTCCTTGGCTTCTTTTCCCTCTTTAGATTTTCTGTAATCACGTCCAACCTCTTGTTGACCATGTGCTCGCCTCATCGAAACAGAACCCGTGGGGCAACGACACCCAGAGAGAGACCAGCCACCATCCGCAGCGCATTCATCTTGAGTCTCATGCGTCGAGATCTTCCACCCTCAGGCAACACAAGTTGATCGAGATGACGCCTCATCAGCCGTCCAGAAGGTTGGCTGATCGCCCAACAACCGCGTGTTTCGGAGTTAAATGAGCAAACTTCCTGCAGCTCCTGTTCCAACAAGGTTCTAGTCTCATCCGTCAGGCAGGCAGTCGAGTTCCAGCAGCTCTCCGGTTTTTCTGCGTGTTCTAGATTTAGCCACTCCAGCCGACCACAGGATTCTTTCCGCCCGGGTCAAGCTTTGGGGCTGATGCTAAGCTTTTATTCTGGTGCCTAATCTTATCCAGGAACCGTGTTTCACTTTGAATTCTGGTCGAGGCGGACGTCTTGTCCGCACCATAACACAACTGTTTGCTCGAGGCTATCGACTTGGTGAACATCGCTGCCCGTTTCTGTGATTGCTTTGACGTCTTCGGATTGCCTGACGGGGTCCAATTTTCTATTTCTGTACGCACTTGACATGCAGAAGCGAAGCGTCGGGTCCATCATGCAACCGAGACTGATGCTGTCGAGGAAGACCAATTCACCTCGATGGGAACATATCCTGCGTGTGATGCGATCTACAAAATGCGGCGGGATGCGGACAAGCGCTCATGCCGTCATAGCCTCGGTGGTATGATGTCGAGCCTGTTCTTGTCTCCGACCACCGTAAGGCCCGAGTCGCCGAGTTGAGGAGAGGGTGTCTCTCCCTATAAGGTTTGCCAAATCCACATGTCTCAGACAACACAGTTTACCGAATCATTGATAGGTTCTGATCCCAACACAGACGGAGTCATTCGACCTGCATCGTCTTCTTATTGTACGCCTCGCAGTGCAGCACACAGCAATTGCGCAACATAAGGAATGCAAAGTCTCCTGCGGATAGCGACTTGCCACGCGAGTCTGGCTGTTGCATCTATGTGGGTTCAGACTGCTTGATGCGTCCCAAATGTGCCTTGTCTTTTCCACTTAACTACGGTGTTTCGATCCTGTGCGATCTCCTCGGAACCGAATTCGACATGGGTTTCCATACCTGCCCCACAAAGCACAAGTTAGCTAGCGACTTATCTGTTTGTGACCTGGAAACGACATCCTCAAAGGCCCGGAATAACACCGCCACACCTGTTCTCTCCGGGGGGGGGGAACACCGAAGCCTCAAAAATGAGTGACACTGGACCCGTCCCGGGGACGAACCATGGCTGGCATTGAAGATGTTTAACATACATGAACGGGGAAAATCCTGCAGCATCGGCCAATCACCGGGCCGCAGCCACAAAAAACATGCCGATTCTTTCCCCGAGCCGTTGGTTGATTCTTCAGGCTAAACCCGATGTTGAAGGCCGGGTGTTTCAGAGTGCCCCAAAATGACTTCAGTCGCCTCTTTTCTCTCCGCCAGTCCACACGTGCGAATTGCCTCAACCAGGAGGCATCGTCGCCAAGATGTAGATGATCCTTCGGAGGGTGAACGCTTTCTCCCCTGAATCCTGGGGGTTTCCCCCCTCGATTGTTCTTCGTGGCCCTTGTGTGCTTCACAATCAACGCCCCCGGCCTGCAGCAGCCAGCATGAACCACCTCAGGAATGAATCCGATCTGGGCTACCGGAAGGTCGACGACTCTACGGAGGGCGCACCACGCCCACGTCCACTGTCGTCGTCGAACCCACTGCTGCTGCGTCCCCGGACCCCGGGAGCCTGGGGTGCGGGCTGGACCTGGGAGATTGTCAGCTGTGTCATTGCCGTGGCCGCCCTCATCGCCATCATCGCCATCCTGTACAACTACGACGGCAAGCCCATGCCCGACTGGCCCTATGGCATCACCCTCAACGCCCTGGTCTCGCTGCTGGTCACGGTCATGAAGGCCGCCATGGTCTTTCCCATCACCGAGGGCCTGTCTCAGCTCAAATGGTCATGGTTCAACGAAAGCAACAAACTAAGTGATCTCTCACTCTTGGACGCGGCCAGCCGGGGCGCCGTCAGTGCCACTTTCGTCCTGTTCAAATTTGTCCCTCGGTAGCTGTCCCCATTCCTGACTCCCACGCCCTAGCAGGCTAACCCATATCAGCCACCTGGTGTCCATCGGGTGCTTCATCCTCGTGGTCGCAGCGGCCATTGCTCCGTTCGTCCAGCAAGTCCTCACCACCAAGCCCCAACCTATACAGACCCCCGACCAATCGTCCATCCGCGTCTGCAACACCAGCACCTACGTCGACTACGCCGAGGGAGCCGGCCCCGGAATGAACAAAGCGCCCCTATCCACCATGGGCGCCATCTACACGGGCCTGTTCCAAAGCGAGGGCCCGAACAGCGACTCGGTCGCCATCACCTGTCCCACGGGAAACTGCACCTTCGCCCCCTACCAGTCGCTAGGGTTCTGCAGCCGCTGCGCCAACATCACATCCGACCTCACACTCGCCCCATCATCAACCGACAGCACCACGGAGACCTACAGCTACAACCTGACCAACGGGCTCAGCTTCACCACCTCCTATAGCTCAATGTACCTGATGAACGCCACGACGGACCTCGACCTCATCCAGCTCACCACCGACGGACTGCCCGTCATCCTCAACTTCACTGCCATCAGCGCCGCAGGCTATGGCGTCCCCCCACAGGTCAGCGCCACCGAATGCGCCCTCTACTTCTGCACGAAGACCTACGAAGCCAGCGTCCAGCGGGGCTCCTTCAACGAGACCCTCACGTCCACCGCCACAACCACCAACTCCTCCTCCACCGACGTCACATCGAACATCTTCCTCACCCCCCAAACCTGCTACACCAACGGCACCCAAACCTCAAACACATCCGCCTGCACCTACGACGTCTCCTGGCTCAGCCAACTCGCCATGTCCAACTCCATCAGCCCCCTCCTCCAAGGCACCGGCTCCCTCTTCGTCAGTAACCGCCCCTCCTGGTCCTCCGACACCATCGAAGCCGCCTACGGCACATACGGGAACTACACCGACCTCAACACCATGTTCGACTCCCTCGCCTCTTCCCTGACCATGCACGCCCGCTCGAGTGTCTGCGCCGCCTCCATCACAGGCACCACTTGGACTGTCGAATCTTTCGTCCACGTGCAGTGGCCTTGGCTTACCCTTCCCGTCGTGCTGCTGGTCCTGACTCTCGTGTTCCTGGTGACGACCGTGATTCGTACCCGGAACCAGTTCATCTGGAAGTCGTCGCCCCTGGCCCTGCTGTTCTCGGATCTGGCGGTCGAGGCTCCGCATGCGTTTGAGCGCAGTCCTGATTTGAGTCTTATGGAGGAGGCGTCTAGGAGGATGACTGTGTTTTTGGAGACGACGGCGGGGGGCGCCAAGTTGAAGGCCGTGCTGGGGTGAGAGGGGTGATGATGGTTGGGTGGGTTTACTCTAATAGGGGGGCCATGTACAGTGTAAGATAATAACAGTAACATAGATAATAATCAGATGCGATCGAGTAATTGCGGATAGAGAGAAGACGTTTCCGGGTATACGCGACGGCAAGAACCACCACGTGGGTACACAAATGCTGAATCTATTTTGAGTACGCCATCCGAGGTTTCATCTGGTATCCCGCCAGATAGGGTTTGGTCCGGTTCGACCCTCCTCCTGCATAAGTGCACAGCAGTCACCACGAGAAGAACCTCTGATCCTAAGTTTCTACCGCATTTCATCTCTCTTTACTGCCTCATACATTCAAGAGAACCTTTGAGAAGCAATGCATCTTCATTGTAACATGAAACAAGTAAAGTAAAGTACAGATGAATTCCAACGTGCTAAGTACAGACAGACAAACATGATATTAAGAACATTACACATGACCGCCACCCCCCCTTTGATCCAGAGGATCGACCTATCAATTGCAGAGAGTATCCTCTAGATCAGCAAGGTCAACTCCGACGGCTGCTCCAGCAGAATCACCGGCAGAGACAGCACACTCTCCTCGGTGGGCGCGCCCTCCTCATCAGTCACCACGAAGATGATCACGCCGGCCTTGGGATCGAACTCGGCGGGAATGGTCGACTTCTTCGAGGTCACGTCGAACGGCACGCTGATGTTGTTCACCCCGTGGAAGTAGACGACGTAGTACTCCTTGTCGTCCTCGAAGGCAGGGGTCCCGTCAATAAATTCGAGCTGGATCTCGGCGCCCGGCGCGGCAGTCGTCCCGTTGCGCACGAAATCGGTCCAGGGCAGATTGGGCTTGGGGTTGGGGTACACGGGGTTCAGGCTGGGGCAGGAGCCGGAGGTGAGGAACAGGGTCGTCAGCTCGAGGATGTGGTTCGGGTAGGGGTATGTGGTGTCCGCGGGCCCGGAGAAGGGCGAGACCCCCCACACGTCGATCAGCGACCAGGCGTTATGGCGCGACTCGATCTGTCCGATGGCGACGAGGGCAGACCGCGTGTCGTTGGTGACGGCCTGGCGCACCAGCCCCGTCAGGAACGCCATGCTGGACACCTCGAGGTACGTCTGCAGGGCCAGGTACTCCGTCACGCTGTTCCCGAAGTCGTAGTCGTAGCTGCAGGGGCCCGGCTTGACGGACGCGTCGGTGATCAAGTCCTGGAAGATGCGCACATGGCCGGCCTCGTTGTCGCGGATCTCCGTGATGCGCTGGTACGTGTTGTTGGGGAAGCCCGCGGCCGTGAAGTTCTCGGCGGAGAAGGCCTCCACGCCCTGCTGGTAGAAGCTGTAGATGCCCCATTCGGCGGCCAGCAGGTTCTGGAAGAGGATGTCGTCGTCCTGGGGCGGGCCGGGGTTTGTCGCGTTGATAGCGTGGGTGTATTTGGACGCGAGGGGGTCGTTTTGCCCGCGTAGGTGGTGAACAGTGAGGATTCTCCGGGCACGGCGGAGGCCTTGTTGGTGGTGGGGAGCGCCAGGGAGGTGGCGGCAAGGGCGAGGAGGAGGTACATGATTGTGATTGTTTTCGGGAAAGCAGGGGAGGATTGAGAGTGGTGGTTGGTTGTAGGAGATGAGGTTGTATGAAAGTGAGGGGGAGGTGAAGAGAATGGGGTTTATATAGACATGTCTGCACCCAGCGCAATGTAGTCCCAGTTCGGAAAGCGAGATGCGGCAAGATCTGATGGGGTTCACAGCCCCAATCTGCAATGGCGAGACCGCGATGAACCTAACCCTCTTCACCATGGATCGACGGTAGCTGCCCCAGCCAGACGGCCGACTGTCCCGGCCGTCTCCACTGTGCGGTGTACAAGGCTCTACAAGCTGTACCCGAAGGTCGATCGCAAGGCTTAAACAGACCCGAAAGCCAAAGACACGGCCAGATGATCATGGTGGAAATACTTTCACAAGATAGTACTGCTCCTGCTACCACCACCACCAAAACAAGCAAAACACGTTGGGGGACCATGACGTGGCTGAAGCTGTTGCCATCGTCAAGGCAGGCAGATATTGCTCTATAGCTACTACTCTGCTGTTTCCATTGGACATCACGGCAGCGCATTCATGTTCCTGGGCTTTTGCCCTGCATCCTTGGCGGATGTCGAGCTTGGGGGCTGAGCTGAGAGCGAAGCAGACTATTGGCCGACTCGTTTGGCCCTTGGGGTCTGTGGAGTGTGGACTGGAAGGATCCATCCCAGTGGAGTCGCGAACAGTGACCCGTCCCCCCAGGATCGTCGGTGCAGTTACTTCATGGAGTAGGCGAGATGCTATGACATAGTTAGCTAAAAACATCAGAAAAATTCACCATCTTAGGCTGTCACTCCAGTAATTATCGTCAGTAATGGCGAGGCTTTTTCCCATATCGCCTTGTTCTACTCCGTAGGCGTGGCGCTAACTGGCGCTTATCCCAACAAAAACAATCGGTTCGAGCCTTCGGTCGCTGCATTCGCGTAAACTTGGGTTGGACTTGTGGTTTTATTTTCTGGGTTGCGGGACAACATTGCCGCATGAATAATCCGGGTATTGTTGCAGCAACCCAAATGCAATGCTGCTATGTGATCTCGGACATGCTGTGTCAGGCTTGATGCGTGGTATCTCCAAAGTGCAACATTAGTATACTACTACTGCTGCTGCTGCTGCTCGGGCACGCATACGTTACGGGAGTTCAGGAACAACAAATACTGAGATCGGCTGTGCCCAACATATATACCTAAAATTGGTCAAATGGACTTGATATTGGCTGTAGTTCTAAACCATTCTTCCATCCATACCCGGATAATCCATTAGTATCTGTTCACAAACCATGATTTAGTGGGAAACGATGGAGGATATTGTTTGTGGACAATATTGCTCACCCGCTCTGTATAGATAGTCTTTCTTGACCAATATCTCCCATCAAGGATCGGTAGCTCAGTGGCAGAGCGCAGGATTGCAGATCCCGAGGTCACGCGTTCAATCCGCGTTCGGTCCTATGATATTTTGTTTTTTTGGAACTTTGTGGGGTGGATGGCCCCTTGGCTAGGGGATTGGGATTACCCGACGGCTTTTTGTGGGTCTTCTTGATCGGAGTGGTGAATAATAATTCAATGTCCGGCAGAGCTTTCCTTTGCCCGTGGGTCTAGATGTTTGCCGGAACCATAAATGATATATATACTAGTATATTGTATCTGTCCCCAAACACAGTTTACATGCAACGAACGGAATGCCTCGGAAACCCTGCTTGTGCCACAACTCCGAAATTTATCTTAAAAATCAGAAGAAAAGCTTTCCATCATTCCAGCCTAGTGACGACAGAAAAGACCATCAAAGTGGTGGATTCTCTGGAGGAAGTCCGCGAGGCCGCGGAGCCCTCGTGTTACTACGCCATCGATGCAACATCGCAAACAGCCCGTCGTCTTTAAGACCAACAGCCCGGATTTGAGAACGTGCGGGGTCCCCGTGAGTCGCCAAACCCCGGTCTTGCCCTGAGCATTTATCAGAAGGAAGTGCGTGATGCCACTATCTGCACCCTGGCTGATCGGAACCTCGTGCCTAGTCCCTCGCCTTCCTACTTTGAGATCGTAAATGATAACAAGATTGATTCAATTACCAGACCAGAGCCAGTACAGACAGACCTGATGAAATGGCCAACAGTAGACTTGGTTATCATGTCACGAGTGAGTGAGATTGAGTATGGCTTGTCTTCGCCGCGGACTCAGTCTGTCGTTCTACCATCACCCGTTCCTGATCGGACAATCCACCTCTGTCAATCTAAGACAATGACTTCTTGCACGATGCGTGGCTAGCCCGAGTTGGAGTTGCTGTAGCAGCCGTTGGCGACTGGTGTCATCATAGACAGACACACCTAGATCCCCTCATCGTGTGCGAATGCGACCATCCATGGAGTATATAAGTTGGCATGCTATCATTCGGGTTCACTTTAACCCTATGTGTCTGGGAGTTAAATCTTGACAGATATCAAAATGAGTACAGTCAAAGACAGTCCTGAGACCCCCCTTGACGGAGATTTCGAGAAGAATGTCCACGAGACCTTGGAATACTGGAAGATCCCCGGGATGGCAGTCGCCGTCGTCGATGGGGATACCACATGGACCCAGGTAGGTAGATATCCTACCACTGGCGAAAGACCGCAGGCTAACCGGTTCATTCCAAAAAAACGAAAAGGGATATGGCACTGCCGATCTCGCATCGTCCACCGACGTCGAATCGAACACCCTGTTCTACGGAGGAAGCACCACCAAAGCGTTCACCGCCGCCATAATGGCCATGCTGGTCGAGGACAATGACAAGTACCCCGGAGTGCAATGGACTACGCCCGTGAATGAGTTGATCCGCGAGGACTTCGTTCTGGACAACCACTGGACGACGGCAAACGTCACCATTGAGGATATCCTGTCCCATCGGACCGGAATGCCGGGCCATAACTTCTCGCTTGGAGCTGTGTATGCTGACAAGCAGGCCACTGTTCAAGATGTGGTGAGGAGCTTGCGCTTCCTCCCGTCTACCGCACCCCCACGCACGACCTACCAGTACAATAACGCCATGTATATCGTGGCGTCGCATCTTATCCAAACAGTCATGGGCGATGACCTCGGCTCTATCTTTCAAAAGCACATCTGGGACCCTCTCGGGATGAGCAGCACGTATTTCCGCCTGGATGATGCACTTGCCAGTCAAAAGCCCTTGGCAAAGGGCTATGCCTTCGCCGAGGGCAAGTATGAAGCGGTGGAGTGGAAGAACAGGCCGGAAATCTCCGGCGCCGGTGCCATTATCAGCACTGTGGAAGACTACGCGAAATGGATCTACGCACTACTGAATCAGAGCGGGTTGCCTCTTTCCTCGGAGGGCTACGGAACACTCTGGACCGCGAGAGCACTCATTCCAAATTCCGAGCCGTTTTTGGCCCCGATGGCGTATGCCCTTGGATGGGACCGTTACATCTACCAGGGAGTGGAGATCATCACTCACGATGGGGGGATAGAGGGATTCGGAGCCGAGATTGTGATGATCCCCGCGCTTAAATTTGGGGTCATCACCATGGCTAACTCGACCTATTCGTCCAACTATGGGGGAACATGCCTGGCGTATGAGCTTATCGATTCGAAGCTGGGCATCGCTGCGGGGGACAGATTTGACTGGAAACAAAAGTGTGTCTTGTCATTCCTCTTGCTCTCCAACAAACTGACTAAATCGGGAGCAGATATGTCGATATCGTCGACCAAATGGACGCTTACAATGCAGACGCGGTCCAAATCTTCTACCCCGATCTCCCGTCTCCTCCTCTACCGGGGCCGACTCTCGCTATCGAAGCATACTCCGGCACCTACTGGCATGATGCCTACGGTCGGCTCGATCTCTCCATAGATGGCACCGGCACAAAGCTCCACGCGGACCGAACTAATTGTACCAATACCTGCTCTCTTACATTCGAGAACGTCACGGGAAACTACTTTATTATTAGGCTGCTTGTAGTTGGAGCCGAGACCGTCCTTCCAGCTGAGTTTTCGGTTGACCCGGACGGGAAGCCAAGGTCTGTCGGTATAGGGTGGGAGCCAACGATGGGGATAGAGAAGAAGATTTGGATGCGCAAGGTCGATGGTGATGATACCGTTGGGCTGCATCGCGCCCTGCCGTACAAGCCATCCAGAACTCCCCAGCTGCCGGAGTTTTTGACTGGCCACCTTTTTGTCTAGGCGTGGAGGCGGTGCAGATGATTCGACCAAGCTATACGGAGTACATGTCGTTTGATTCAAGGCTGGTCGATCTGGAAGACCGTCAGTAGATGTGTGTCGGTTGATGAAGCAGAAACAGTCTCAGGATTCTAGCTAGCAATGAAGTTTATCAAAGACGGACACCGATTTACATGATGCTGTAGTTAGCACGTGGTTGAACCCCGATCTGCTCTAGCTAAACAATGATCCAGGACCACTACGGGGCCACATGGCCCTTAGCCCTATACACCAGCGTCGCAGCGTCTAGCGCGGTGTTGATGCGGTGCAGGACCTCATCAGGCTCCTCCAACCCCACGGCAAACCGGATGATAGTATCATTCGTGCCATTGACCAACGCCTGCTTCTTCCCGGCCTGCCCCGTCATCTGCATATACGGCGACGCGATGCAGACATCCGCGCCAAAAGAGAGGCCCTTGCAGACGTGTAAGTGGTCAAAGAAGACGGACGCGCTTGCGATGTCGGCGAACTCCATCGTGAAGACGCCTCCATACCCCGGGCGAGGCATCTCAGACGAGGGAGCACGCATCTGACGCTCATAGTTCGGACGGGATGCGCACACGGACGGGTGGAAAATGCGGGTCAATGGGCTCGCGGGATCCGAGACGAGAGGCAAAAGCTGGGTGACCAGGTGTTGCGTTGTCTTGTTGACTCGATCCATGCGAGGGAGGAAGTTCCGGCTGTTGGATTCTAGTCGGATCGCATCTTCGACGAAGAGGTTGTTCTCGTATGTGGCGGATATCTGCTTGTGCAGGGCGGCGTAGTGTGGAGAATTCGGATTCAGAATGACGCTGTATGCCGGCAGAGGAGAGTATCAGTCACCGTGTCTGTAGGTTGGCGCCTGGGTCTTTGACTTGACTTGACTTGACTTGCCTTCCTGCCATTACGTCGGCATATCCGCTGAAGTATTTGGACAGCGAGGAGACGATAATGTCCGCCACTCCCAACAGATCCAAGTTGGCGAAGCTGGCAATGCTGTCGTCCACTACTACAGGAATGCCATGTTGGTCCGCCAGCCGACGTATCCGCTGCAAATTGACCGTCTGCAGTGTGAGGTTACTGGGACATTCACACCAGATTGCTTGCACCGCGCGAGCTTCCCCGGATCCCAGCTCCAGCTGGGCAGCAAGATGATTCAAGTCGGCCTCCGTTCCTAGGTTGTAGGACCTTAACCCCTGACCTTCCGCTTGCAGGATACTGAGGGTCGGCCCATACAGGAGGCCGGCATTCACGGACTCCCCGGTTCGCCAGGCCAGAATGGACTGATGCACGTGGTAGATGGCTGCCATGCCGGAAGCATATAAGAAGACATCGGAGGGGGCGACCTGCTTGGTGATCCGAGGATCACTCGACCAGTGTCTCACATGGCCAGCAATTCTACAACGGAGTTTCTCGTACACAGAATGGGTGTCGGGAGGGGCGGTGGCGGTGGTAGGAGCAGTGAATGGGTGGATCCGAGGTCGAGAACTGGACCGCAGGCATCGCTGTGCCAACCTTGATGATATCCCTGGCCCCGCGCGTTGCCAAAACGCATGAGCATCCCGACAAGCCGCACTGGGGTAGAGGACGGCATAAAGGGTTGATCCAGACGAGTGAGCAGCGTGATGGTCACGACACAAGAACCCACTGAAGTCCACCACGTACACCCGGATCGAATCGGCGAGGGTTGGCCGATCCGTGGCCTGCGCGAGATGGAGGATATACTGTTTGCAGGAAAGCGCCGTCCGGGCACCAGAGAACAATAGAAGGGAAGCATCGGTGCATTCTTTGTCGTCGCGGACCTTGGCCAGAATTGCGGAACTGAGCTTGAAGGACAAACACATCATCATCGTCAGTATCAGGGCCAATCCGGGTGGCCCCAGCTGAACGAGATCAAAGAAAGCCAAGGGCCTTACCAGACGGATATCAGGGTGCACAATGGACCGTGGATAGCCGTGGTTCATCTGCGCCTTTCCCTGCCCAAAATCGACCATGTCCGCCCATGTTGGGATTTGGACCAACAGACTGTTTGCACGATCACCATATGGCTCTCCCAGCCGGAGATCCTGCGGTACTGTCACTGTCATCTGGGGCGAGGCCGAGAAGGTCTGCTGAAGCAAGCTGACGGTGAACAAATGGTCGTCTCCGACTGTCAGGGACTGGCCTCTCTGTGCTGATTATAGGTGATACGTGTTCTGAGCCTGGAGGCTCGGAAGTCTAGTCTAGTCTCTTGCCAATAGCCTCGCGTTTATAGCTGGGAGCCTGCTTTCAAAGCGCACCTGGAGTCAGGATTGATTGGCATATGGACTGCCGGTGGTTGGTAGCACCAACCAGCTCCATGAGAGATCGTCCTGCATGAGAAGACGAGGTGGCAGGTCTCCTGATTGAGCTACTTCAGCGTCCCTCGCATACCAGGGGGTTTCGCCCTTACTCCTGCGTCTGTTCCCCGATCCCAAGATGATCAAGCCAGTAGCAGTTCTGCTGGAATGGATCTACAGTGGAATTAGCCTGCGCATAGACCAGATCCCGGAAACTTGACTGTTACACTGGCGGCTGATGGTGACGTGACATCCATATCATAGACGTTACTGTTCAACCGAAGCCTACTACTACTCAGCTATTACTACTACTGTACGACCTTCAGGCCTGTAACGTAACGGTCCACCAATTTGGGAGTCTCAAGATAGCGTAGCTCAGAACACACATGGGGGATGCAAGGTATACACCCACGCCCTTCTATTGCTTACACGTCTTCTCTTCTGTCGCAGGTGGTGCAGGGGTATCACTGTCGCGCGACTCTTCCTCCTTCTCCTCCTCTGCCGCATCTTTCTTGCCAGGGACTCGCTTCCACTGCATGGAGGCCGACCCAAGAAGCGACAGCGCACACATGGCCACCCCGACGTAAAAGGTCTGCGAGACAGCCTTGCTATACGCCCCAAGAACAGACGGCAAAAGCTCCGATGGAACGCGATCGCGGAGCAGCGTCGCCCCTTCTTCAACGAGGGAGGGGTCCACGGACGGGGCGCTGCGATGCAAATTGGCCACCAGCCGGTTGTGGAAAACTGTCTGTCCAATGGACAGAGCGACCGAGCTGGACAGCATCTGCAGGAAGCAGAGCATCGCAATGGCCGTGACTACATCGTCCGGGGCGCAAACCACGGACGGCACGACCATGGCGTTCTGCGATCCAAGCCCGATGCCCAGACTCAGCACCACTTGGTACCCCAGGATGCTTGCGAGGCTGGAGGACGGATGCAGGGAGCTCAGGATGCCGGCGCCAGCGACGGCCATTAGGGAGGATATAATCAGAAAGGGCGTGTAGTATCCGACGAAAGTGACTAAGACCCCGCCAGCTAGAGATGCAATCACCACCCCTAACTGGGTGGGTAAGATTGAAAGACCTGACTTGGAGGCCGAGAACCCCTTGATGGCTTGGAGCCAAATTGGCAGCTATGTCAAGGTGACGAAGTCGTTAAGCCATGTTGCGGAGATTCCAGCTAGGGAAAAGGGGGGGGGGGGGGGGATCCAGGTCGAGAACATACATAGTACACAAAGACAAACAACCCCCCACTGTTACCAACAATATAGCCGATAAGACCCAGGATATTCCGATTTGAAACCAGGCGAGGGGGGAGTGTCGCTTTACCCTGAGGGGCGCGAATCTGAACGCCGGCAAAGACGATCAGCAAGATGGCGGACAGGATGAAGAGAAGGATGATCCTCCAATTGTCCCAGGCATACTGTGACCCTCCCCATTCCAGGGCTAGCAGAAGCGTGACGATCCCAGGAATAAAGAACGCCGAGCCCAGAAGATCCATGGACTGAAGTTTTTCCCTCCAGCTGAGATGTCCCGACGGGGGTTGGTTAGCCGACAGAAAGAAAATGATGCCCAGGATGGTGATTGCTCCGATGGGCAGATTGAGATAGAAACACCATCGCCACGAGGCATGGTCCGTCAGCAAACCCCCAATCCTGTTCGTCACACGGCATTAGCCCCCGATCTATGTGGATTATGGTTGCACGGAGATGAGCTCACAATGGCCCCGACACGCTGACTAGCCCATGGACACACCCCAGACAGCCCAGGTAGATCGGCCGCTTTCGCACAGGAATGGTGTTGGTCACGATCACGACAGCGCCGGCGTTGATGCTGCCAGCGCCCAGTCCTGAGATGCTGCGGCCCGCAATCAGGGCACCCGAGCTGGGAGACACTCCGCAGACCAGAGATCCGATCTCGAATATCGCCACCCCGATCAGGAACACCCACTTGGCTGGGTACATCGTGTACATCTTCCCCCAGGCCATCTGGGTTGCTGTAAACACGAACAGATACGAACTTCCGTACCACCCGACATCGTTCAGGGAATGAAACTGATCTGTGATACGCGGGATGGCCGTCGCGAGAACCGTTTCGTCCTGCGAGAGGAGTGACAATATGTGTGTGAGCAGCCAGAGTCTTCGATTCGGGGAGCAAGCACAAAAAAGCCACATACCAAAGAGACGCACAAAAGTGTGAGGCAAAGACTGATTGTCACGAGTAATGACTGTCGGAACGAAGGGTAAACGGATTCGTCCTCCATGGCCGGCGAGCGTAGATGCCAGTTTCTGGCCGATCGGTTGCGAGACTTTGGGAGACGGAATGGCGAGATTTCGTTGGGACTATGTCCATCACTTGCTTCATGGTCGTCCAGGTCCAGTGGAAGGAATATGGGGCATGGTATGCGGGAATGAGGCGTCCCAGGCAAGGAGTAATCGAGACAAAATAGAACCTTGGCGTGGGCTTAGGGTTTGAGATGCCACGTCTTCCGGCCCGGGTGGGCATAAGGCCGGGGATTACAAGGCCAGGAACGTTTAAAGTGGACCCCGAGGGGCATTGGACCATTATAAATAGAGGACGATGCATTGAGACTCAGTGGATCTTAATCGGCGGATCAAACATCCTAGGCAAGGGAGGTAGGCAAGGGATGCAATTGCGGGATCTGCCAGCGGAACGGGAACCAAATATCCCCGGGGTATTTGGTGAATACACCATGATGTCTATACCTTGCTTGACAATCGATTGCAGGCTGGGGAAATGAAGTATTCCGGTCAAGTCTCACATCAAAGGCCGATGGACTGATGGATCGAGCTGTCTTGTCCTGACAATCGTTCAAAACCATCCAAATAGGCGGCGACGTCGCAGACCAGGTTGCAGGGGCATCTATAGGTGGTATCGAGCGAAAGGAAGGCTCCGACTACCTTGGTGAGGAAGTTCAAAGGCAATGGGCCATAACTCGCGTTTAACACATGAAAGGACAAACAAACGGAGAAATGCCTACTGGTATGCCGCGGAATAGACTAGACCTTCAATACAGTAAGCCCAATCAAGGAGTATTCTTCATTCATAATACATCATAAAAAATACTTCTCTGAAATTCTTAATGTCAACTTCGCGCAGTCTTTCGACGTCAAGCCTCGGGTCATCCCGGTCAGACTCAGATCGATGGACCCTCTACCAGGGCAAGGAAATATGCAACACGCTAGTAGACACTTCATAATCAGTGGTAGACTACTAAGATCTTATATTATAACCGTTATATCTATATTGTTGAAAGAACCCCACAAAAAACAATAACATTCATAATAAACATAGTTCTAATACCTAGTGCGGGAAGTGACACAATACACACACACCGGGGAGTGCTACATACACACCCTCTCATCAACCCGCCTTCCTAATTAGGAACATCCCGGATGTGCATGCATCACCTATACATATTCTTTCACAGAGTGCAGACTATTATATTATTCCCTACTCCGTAGTTGTCGATAAAAGGCAACTGCACAGCTGCATCATCGACGATTGGTGATAATATAGGTAGGTGTTGAAGACCGGCGTCGCGTCGCTTATATAAAATACAACCCAGCCCTCTAAATACCTGCGCGAATTTTGTCAGACGGAAGAGCCAAGTGAGGTGAGTCATTTGATGCTTTCCCCTACAATCCTTACATGAACTTGGCCCTTGCAGAGCCTGTAAACTAGAAAGACAGGGTGGAGGCCTAGCGACGGGACTCCGAGTTTCTGTCAGTGGCGCAGCTGAAAAGTCTGCGAGAAACAGAGAGATACAGGGGGCTGGTGGGCCCAAAAATGCAGACTGGGTTGTATTCATGGAGTCAAAAGAGAGGGAGACGGCGAATGGATACTATCTATAGTACCTAATGGATACCACTTGGCGTATTAGCTCATATGCTGGATATTTGATGATGACGAACCGATGTCGGGCAATGGTTTATTAACCGTGATGGAAAGTATTACAACCACTCCGGATAGCCATAGTATAGACCCGCTAGTGCTCTGTCCCTAAAGTATGTCATAGTTTTATAACCTCAAAATTGATTACTCTCTGCACTAAAAGAGCCAAACAAGTAGTACTAGACCTAGATTACAGAAAATCGGAAAGAAAACAAAACAAGACAAGACAACAAACAAACATAATTCTGGATCCGTTTAAACATTCTCAACATGCAAACACAAGGCCTTGAGCATGGCATCCAGAGTATCCTGGGTGTATACCTTAGAGCTCGCCGACACCGATATCTCCCAGGCTTCTTCCACCGGCTTCGCCAGAATAAAGAGGAAATCGCTGTCCACGGACCGGTTCCGCTGCTCCCACGGTGCAAGTGTACTGCCTATCCCCTGGATTTCCGTACCCTTGTCATGCTCCAGGTTGTCGAGGTTCTGGAACTGAACAACCAGGTCGGGAGCGCGCGAGTCCTCGGGCCAAGTGGTGCTGTGGGCGGCGATGTCGCTGAACTGGCTCGTCTCAAAAGACATGCCCTGGATGTGTTGGTCGTGGACGCTGGCCAGCTGCTCCTCTAGTGGCTGGTCGGGTTCGATCTGCACGCGGACGGGGATGGTGTTGACACATGGCCCGGCGACGTTTTGGAGGGCGATTGGTAAGGAGGAACGGCCGGAGACAATGGTCCCAAAGACCACGTCGCTGACGCCTGTCATCTGTGCCAGCATGCGAGCACAGAGGGTGGTAAAGACCGTTGCCGACGTGAATCCCGGTTGATCTGACGGGGCAGGCACAGCGGTCTTGGATTGAACCAGCCGGCCACGGGGCTGGTTTGGCAGACAGTGGCCATCGGCTATGGAGAGGTGTCTGGTCCGGGTGATGGACGAGCCTTGCAAGAGCGTGCGCCAGTAGGGATACGCGGCCTCTTGCTGCTTTTGCATGTGGCGGATATAGCCCGAAAACTTCGGGGCTGGGGGTGGTGTCTGGCCCTCATAGAAGGCCGCAAAGACGGAGAAGATGACAGGCAGACTGTAGCCGTCGTACTGAGCGTGAGAGAGCCGGATGGTGAATCGCACTCGACCGTCTGCGGTGGAGGTGATGAAGAACCGCGTGAACGACCGGCCCAGGCTCAGCGACTCATGTAGATCACAGCTGTAGGCTTCTTCGCATGCTGCTGCCAGATCCCCTTCGGTGTGTTGCATGGTAATCTCGGGCTCCACGTTGTTGAGCACGACTTGCAATAGACGACCTTGATCAAGAATGAAAACGGTGCGAAGGATGTCGAGATGGTGCCACATATCCAGACAGCTGCGGCGGACGCGTGCGATGTCCACCCCCTGAGGAAGGTCCATGTAGATGTACTCGATCTCCCCCCGATGTGCATTCACTGCAAAGGATGCGTAGATGCTCTGGAGGTCCGTGGTGGGATAGACGTCGGCGATGTGGTGCTGTGGGCAGTCCAGGAGCGGACTGAGACCAGCTGTCACGTAGTCCGAGGTAGAACCGGCAGGGAGAAGGGAGAAGGGAGAAGGATCAAGGTAGGTGACCTGGTCCTCACGAGCGAGGAGAGCCAGATCGCAGAGACGGGGCTTGCGGAAGATGTCGGCCACGGCCACGGCCAGACCATCCTCGCTCGCACGTTGGCCCAGGCGGATCGCCGCAATCGAATCCCCGCCAATGCGGAAGAAACTGTCATCGGCAGCGATGGCACTGACATCGAGCCCCAGGACTGCCGCCCAAAGCTGTTGGAGCCGCCGCTCCATAGCGGTGGTAGGGGGCCGCTGCCTGCCGCGCGAGGGTTGCATCTCGGCCAGTTCGGTCAGGGTGTATGATGCCCCGGTACGGGCCAGGCGTCCGCGGTCCGTCTTGCCGGTCACTGTCATTGGAATTTCAGAGACGGGGATGTATGCATTGGGGATCATGTAGTGGGGGAGGTTCTCCGAGAGATACACATCCAGCCCGCTTGTATAGCCCGCCAGAGCCTCTCGAATGCGGTCAACAGGGCCTGTGGCCATCTGCCCTAGGCCAAGATAGACGACCAGCATCTTGCTGCCGCTTCCGCGCGGAGTAATAACCCCAGCCACGACGGTGGGATCGCCGGTGGCGGACGAGATGCGCGCGATGCCCTCGCGGATCTGGTACTCGATTTCTCCCAGCTCCACGCGCTGGCCGCGGATCTTGACCTGCGAGTCCTTGCGTCCAATATAAACAAGCGCGCCATCATCGGTGTAGCGGACCAGGTCGCCGGTGCGATACAGCCGGCCGCCACGCCCCAGCTGTCCAGCATACCCGGAGCGCAGCCAGCGGGGATTCTCGACAAAGCTCTCGGCCGTTCGTTCGGGGAGGCCCAGGTATCCAAGCCCAATGAGGGGCCCTTCCAGCCAGAGCTCTCCGATACCACCAACTGGAACCAGCTGATCGGTGTTATCGGGATCCACAATCCAAGTGTTGCAGGCAGAAGCCGCCCCGAGATTGGGCTCATACAAGAGGTCCAGCGGGATGCGATTCACCGTGACGCATGCAGGACACTCGGATGGCCCGTAGGTGTTGATGATCTCGTTGGTGTGAGGAGCCCACCGCATGATATCGGCCTGCGACAGGGGCTCCCCAATTAGAGCCAGGGTATTCAGGTGCGGCACCGCAGCAGGGTTGAGCAGACGAGCGACACTGGGTGTGAGAGTAACACAGTTGATTCTTAATTGTGTCATGGCCTTTTCAATCCCTTCCCGGCGCTGGGAGTCAGATGGGACACAGAGACAGCCACCAGCAACCAAAGTACGGAGCAGGTTGGACCAAGCCACGTCCCACGCGTAGGACACAAAATCAAAGACGCGGACGTGAGGCCCGAATGAGAGGGCCTCCTGCTGCTGGACCAGGGCGCTGCTCATGTTTGCATGCGTGATCATGACTCCCTTGGGAATCCCCGTGCTGCCGGATGTGAAAGTCACGTATAATCGGTCAGATGGATCGACCTTGGGGAGCGTCGTGCCTCGACTGGGGATCGTCAGCCCTGAGAGCAACCTTTGGCCGACAGTAATCACTCGGGGGGCACCAAGTCGACCCGCCTTCTCGCTGGTTGCTTCCGAGCAGAGAATCACCGCGGGCTCCGTTTGCTTTGCGATTGTGCGCAATCGTTCTTCTGGCAGGCTCGCGTCCATGGAGACTGAAGCACCACCGGCTTTCATCACAGCGAGCATGGCCACCGGCATCCACATGGATTTTTCAAAGCAGAGAGGAACCACCGTGTCCGAACAGACTCCAGAAGCCACCAAATGATGGGCCAGGCATGTTGATAAGCTATCTAGCTGCCCGTACGACAACTCGCCATCCCATGCGCAGATTGCGTCGGCATCGGGCTGCTCCTTCACCTTGTTGGCAATCAGACCGTGCACTGGAACGTTGATTGTGGGCGGGACGGAGGCGTTCCAGCTCCAGATAGTCTGCTGGTCATGGCCCGTTGACAGATTCACCTGGGAGGGCTTCTTGAAGGGAGTGTGGATGATTTCCCGGACCGCTTGAAGCAGGGACTCCACTATGCCGCTTGCCTGTTGCTCCGATAACAGGGACTTGTAATAGCTGAACGTCATTGCTGTTTCCTGGTCCCCCAGACCAATATTCATCATGATATCATACTGGAAATCACCAGGTTAGGGGAAAGCTGTCCACAAATGCATGTGTAAGGGATGGGAATACGTACCTCTGTTGGATCGTTACCGTCTTGCTCCTCAAGACAGAGACCACGTTCTTCACTCTTGCTGCTCTTCTTCAGATCCATACCTTGCACCGAGATGACGCTATTAAATAGAGGCTCGGCTGGCCCGTCCGAAGAGTGAGCGGCCTGCGCCACAGAGCGATGCTGGTGCTTGAGACTGTCCAGATAATCCGCCTGGCTTTGCTTCATGATATCCATCAGAGTGACCCCCTCTCCTAGCCTAACTCGGCTGACCAGCATGTTAATAAACGGCCCGATTATCCTGTCTGCATTGTCAATAGGGACATCACGACCGGATACTAGATAGCCAAAGCACACTGTCTCCGACCCAACAAAGCACCGGAGAATGAGGGCCCATGCGAGGTAAAAGACGTTGGAGGCGGTCAGCTCGTTCGTCTTGAGAAAAACTTGAAGACTGGTATTCGTGTCTTGATCGAGCATATGATGTATGGAGCCTCTTGGATTCTCCCCCACGTCCTGGCCATTCGCTGCCAGTGTTGGGAAAATGCAGGGATGAACGCCGTCGAGATACCGTCGCCAGTAGTCTATCCCCACCTCCGCGGGTATTGCTTGAATGTGCCTGATGTAATCGCTGTACGAAGGACCCGGCATAGTCGGGAGGGTTTCAGTGTATGCGGCTTGAAGGTCTCGCTTGAGTAGAGCAGTCGAAGTGGCATCCGTGATTGCATGGTTCATTTCGAGGTCACAGAAGACCTCGCCGGAGGGTGCCTGGCTGAGGACGAAAGAGTGAAGCTTGTGTCCTTTCCGCTGTCTTTGCTCCCAGTAAGAGTCAAGAGCCGCGATGGGATCTGTCGCCTCCGGACCAGATATCACATGTATCTCGGGCTCGCTGGCTTTCAAGACAAGCTGATCTTGCACGCTGTTGGGAGAAAGGCCATCGATGAACCGGGTCCGAAGGACGGGATGTCGTGCAACGACCCTCATCCAGGCACGGGCTAGTCGTTCAGGATTGGGAGGCAATGCAGACTCGGAGGACCGGGCCTTCCATCGAATGCGCGTCCAATACACGCCAGGGTTCTTCGCTTGGCTCAGCAAGATACCGTGCTGAATCGGCGAGCAAGGGTAGATATCCTCAACTTGACCATACGAGACTCCGAGCTGTGGAAGACTATATCCAACGAGAGTCTGCAAGGCTGGCTCTGTCAGGCGCATAAGTGGGAAATCACATCGTGTATAGCTTGGCTGGCGCTGCATCAAGACTTCCGAAGCCGTTCGTAGAGCATGCTGACAGTGGGCCACCCAGTCCTCAAGGTTACGCAAGTGCTTTGTATGACGACTGAACAAGAAGCTAAACTCCAGACAGCCCTGGGACACCGATGCAGAAACCTCAATCAGGGCAAAGCGCTGCATCCGCTCGTCAACATCCGACATGCTGCCTGAGGGCAAGGCGGTTGGCTGAAGCAGGGAACTGTCTTTTTCAAACTGCTGGTAGAGTCCCAAGTAGTTGAATGTGATCTCGGGCAGACCGTAGGCCCCAAATGCCTTCTTTCCAGCAGGGTTCAAGTAGCGGGATGCAAAGTATGGCCATCCGTTTCCTGGCACTAGACGTCGGTTATCTTTCGTATGGCGGATGATATCAGGTAGAGTATCATCCGGTCCCATCGAGGTTACGGTCGGAAGCATAGTAGTGAACCAGCCAACTGTTCTTGATAGGTCGATCGCGGCATCCCATGGCTCGCGCCCATGCCCTTCGCTGAACACTGTAGGAGGCGCCCTATCCCGAAACACTTGAGTGAAGGAGTATATCAAAGCACCCTGTAGAATCTCGACCGGCTGGGTATCAAATGACTTATTGGCAGGCCCCAAGAGGATATCTGTGACGTTCTTGCTCACTGTGAAGCTGCGGTGGATGGCGTTGCCAAAGGTGTTGCGTTCAGGATCAATTCCCCAGTAACCCTGCTGCGGAGGAGGAATCTCAACGGGCAACGCCGTTTCGGGAGTGAGGCAGTCTCGAGCATGGTCGGCCTGAAGTTGACACCATGCCTGGAAGGGCATCGGCGTGAAAGACGAAGAGGCTTTTGCTGTCAGGTGGTCCTCCATGTCCGCGAGAATGATTCTCCAGGATACCAGATCGACCGCCAAGTGATGCGCCACCAGGTACAGATATTGATCACCGCTGTCGCGAATCTGGAGCAGATCCCCAGAGAAGACCGGTCCAGATTCCAGATCAAGGGCGACTTGGCTGGCATCCAACAGCGGCGAGGCCTCGGCCAGAGAGGACTCGACGTGTTCGCAGTACCGGTAGCAACCGGGGGTGTAGGGCTTGATATGCTGCGTCCAATGTCCGCCCTGATCCGAGGCAAACCGTGCCCTCAGCATAGGATGTTGAGTCACAATCAAGTCCAGGGCTCGCCGCACATCCTCAGCCCGCACCTGACGGGTGATGCGCAGGAAGAAACTCTGGTTAAAATGATTGCACTTGCGGCGCACCACGTTGACGAACATCTGCTGAACGGGAGCAAGTTCGAATGGCTCGTCTTCTCGGGTCTCCCAGGTGGTTTTCATCCGCCCCTGCACAGATGCTGCACTTGGAGCCAGTCGGGAGATTGTCTTCAGCTTGAAGATATCAGGAACGGCGATACGGAAGCCTGCTGAGCGCAGCTTGGCCGATAGCTGCATCGCTGTGATTGAGTCGCCCCGAGGGAAAAGAAACTATCGTGCATCCCAATGAGTTCTTGACTGATATTGAGGACCTCTGCCCAGAGCTGCTGGAGGAGCTTCTCGAGGTCTGTCTGGGGAGCCTGCTGCTCGCCTTCCTGGGGGGGTTGGATTTGAGCTAACTGTTCCATTGTAAGCGATGATCCTAATTCATGCAGCTGCTTTCGATCGATCTTTCCCGTCGTAGTGACTGGAATCTCTGCAACGGGGAGGTACATGCTAGGGACCATATACTGCGGGATTCGGGCAGAGAGGGAGTCCGTGAGGCCTTGGGTGAGGGGCCGCAATGCTGCATGGACGCTGTCTAGAGGGGAATGGATAGTCTCTCCAACCGCGAGATAGGCGACGAGCATGGCATTGCTGCTGCCCTGGGGCTTGACAACGTCGGCCACGACTCCGGTTGTTCCCGACAGATGAGCCTGGAGATGATGCTCCACTTCTTGCAATTCAACACGCTGCCCGCGGACTTTGACCTGGTTATCCTTGCGTCCTAGGAAGAGAATACTGCCATCAAAACAGTAGCGGACAAGATCCCCAGTTCGGTACAACCGGCCTTGACGACCAGGAACACCAGGACCTCCTCGGAGGAGCCATGCAGGGTTGTCTATAAAACTGGCGGCAGTCTTTTCGTCCTGATCAAGATAGCCCAGGCCCACCAGGGGCCCTTCCAGCCACAGCTCTCCCACAGTGCCCACCGGGGCCAGGCGCTCTCCATCCGATACGCTGACAATCCAGGTGTTCGAACCAAGCCCCCGCCCTATCTTGCCGAAGTCCCGATGTCCGGACTGCTCAGGGACTGTGTCCATGACGGCGGCAACCGTACACTCGGCGGGACCATACGCAACACGAAGGTCAACCCAAGGTGCCCAGACAGCGATGTCGTGCTGGGACATGGCCTCGCCGCCCAGGATCAAGGCCTTGAGCGTCTTGCATTGATCCGGGTCCACTGTACGGGCCATCGACGGGGTAAATTGGGCATGGGTCACTTTCATCGCCTGCATGGCCTCGACAGGGTTGTCCCGGCGCATGGCTTCGGAGGGGATGCACAAACATGCCCCAGCGGCCAGCGTGTGGAGTAGGTTCGACCAGGAAACATCAAAGGCATACGAGACAAAGTCAAAGACGCGCGAATCGGGGTCCAGTGCGAGCAGGTCCGTTTGATGCACAATGGCACTGGCAAAGTTGGCATGGCTGATGACTGCTCCCTTGGGTGTGCCGGTACTGCCAGATGTAAAGACGGTATAGAGAGGACTTGATGGGGAGACTGTCGGCAGGCAGGACGACGTGGGAGGTGCGATTTGGGAAAAGAATGCCTGGTCAATCGCCAACACGGCCTTCGTGTCTGCCAGTTGCTGGACGGTCTTGCGATTTGCGACGGATGTCACGAGAAGATCCGGCTGCACCAGGTCCACAATCGCCTGCAGGCGCTTCTCTGGCTGGGTCATATCCATGGCCACGCATGCAGCGCCTGTCTTCATCACTGCCAGTGCAGCTACCGGCATCCACATGGACTTCTCGAAACATAGAGGGATGGCTGTATTCTGCCGGACCCCTAGATCTATAAGATACCGGGCCAGTCGGGTGGACAGAAGGTCCAACTCTTGATATGTAAGCGCGCCATCCCATGCATGGATTGCCGGGGAATCAGGGCTATCACAGGCTTTTTGTCCAATCATATCATGAACACACGCCTGTACGGTTTCCGGGACTGTTCGATTCCAGGTCCACAGACTCTGGAGGTCTTCCTTGCTGATCACATTGACAGCCTGGACCGTTTGATCCGGAGCACGTATGACATCAGCGACAACCTGAACAAAAAGACCTGCAAGGCTTTGACCCCCTTGGTCGGACAAGGTGACGGCCATGTAGTCGAATGCAATCTCCGTCTCCTCCTCATCGTGGGAGATAGCAACGGCAATGTCGTACTGTGGGACCGGGTCAGCTATGGAGAGCAAAGGGGAATCGTGACCACGACAAGAAGAACAAAACACATACCTCTGGCGAATCCAGCCCTGTCTGATCCGTCACTATGATATCATGCTCGTCCGGTTCGCCGGAAGTAGCACCGCCCTGGACCGATATGCCGGTATTGAATAGGCCCCGACCGGACGTCCCAGAAAGCTGCAGGATCTTGCTGAGAGGCGTAGATTGATACTGCAGGGCGGCGAGATAGTCTTCCTGGACCTTCTGCATGGCCGATCGCACCGATGCCCCAGTCCTGAATTCCAGAACACAGACAAGCATGTTAATGAGCGGACCAACAATCCTATCGACCCCTGGGACAGGGACATCGCGCCCGGACGTAAGATAGCCGAAACACACTGTGTCTAAGCCAGTGTAGGCGCGAAGAAGAAGCCCCCAAGCCAGGTAGAACACGTTCGAGGGTGTAACTGCGTGCTGCTGGCAGAAGACACGCAGGGCTTGATGAGTGGCCGCGTCCAACGAGATGGATAGCGCCCGGCGGGCGTTCGAGCCGTCTGTGACATCCGGCTGGCCGAGGGCCGGAAAGTGACAGGGCTGAGCGTTGTCAAGATATGTCTGCCAGAAGCGTTGTCCTTCAACAAGGGACAGCCCCTGCAGGTGCTCAATATACGCTTGGTAGGCCGGCGCGGGTGTGGCAGGCAGTGAGCCAGTATATGCCGCACAGATCTCCTGCCTCAAAAGGGCTAGAGAATACGCATCGACCATCGCATGGTTGAGCTCCAAGTCGCAGAACACGACTCCAGACGCTGTTTGCGTCAGCACCAGGGAATGCTGCGGGGTGTCTCTTCTGCTCGACAGATCGGTGTGCCATTGACGCCCAGTGACTGGCTCTGCGAGCTGATGCAGCTCGGCATGGAGGACCTCGACGTCCACCGGAAAGTCCTTGAGGACCACCTGGTCCTTCACCTGGCCGGATCCGATACCGTCAATAAATATCGTGCGTAAAATCGAGTGACGGTTCACGACCATCTGCCAGGCCCGCCTCAACCGATCGAGATCGACTGGCGACGTGCCTGTTGACTGCACCGTCCACCGCACTCGAGTCCAATAGAGCTCAGGGCTCTTGGCCTGGCTCATGATGATGCCCTCCTGAATCGGCGCACAGGGGTAGATGTCTTCGATCTGGCCGTAGGAAAGACCCACAGCCGGGAGGACCCTATTGAGAAGCTCGTCGAGACCCTGGTCGGTGAGAGAGAGCAGGGGAAAGTCGCAGATGGTATAGCTTGGGCTCTGCAACAGAAGTTCTTCCGCTGCCGCTTTGAGTGAGGATTCTGTCTTGCTGATCCATTCAAGTATCCTGTCTTGTCCTTTCATCTCCCTGTTGTATAGGAACTCGAACTTCAGCTGACCCTGCACAACAGATGCTGCGACGTCGATCAGGGCAAACCGCGAGAGAGTCGCCGCAGCAGCAGGGGGCGCTGTGACCGCAATATCACACTGCTGGAACAGGGAATCGGGCCGCTCCAGCTGCTGATATAAGCCCATGTAATTAAAAATAATCTCCACAGGGCCCTTGATCTGGAAGGCCTGCCGTCCATCAGTATTCAGGTACCGCGAGGTGAAATAGGACCACCCGTTGCGTGGTGTCTGCCGGCGTGTATCCTTCACACGGCGCACCACCTCTGGAAGACTGTGGTTTTGCGTAATCGAAGCTGCCACAGGGAAGATGGTGGTAAACCAGCCAACAGTTCTGGACAGGTCAATGCCCGAGTCCCAGGCTTCTCGACCATGCCCCTCGGTGAAGAGAGGCGGTGCTTCGCGGTCCTGGAATGTCTGTGCAAACGCATACAGCAGGGCTGCGTGGAGGATCTCAACCGGCTGCGTATCAAAGGCCGAGTTGGCCGTGCCCATGAGAATGTCGGTCAGGCGCTTGTTCATCGTGAAGCTGCCTCGACCGGAATCGCTCAGGGTGTTTGCATCGTGCCCAGGGACCAGTCCCCAGTACTCATGCCGGGGCGGACTGACCTTAAAAGGCAGCGCGATCTTTGGAGGCAAATGGTCTCGCGCATAGTTCGCCTGCAGTTGACTCCATGATTGGAATGAGAATGGAGGGAATCCGGTGATTGTGCCCGAGCGGATGAACTCCTCCAGATCGCCCAGCAGAATTCTCCATGAGACAAGGTCCACCACGAGATGATGGGCTGTCATGAAGAGATACTGCCCATCGTGGCTCGAATCAATCAGTTCCACGGCCAGGATGGGACCCTGGACAATATCCAGCAACTCCTGGCTGCTATGGAGGAGGGGCTCCATATCTTGCAGCGTGGTGATGTGGTGGCTGCGGAATGTATAGCAGCCAGCTGAATCGTTTACAATCTTCTGCTGCCAGACGCCGTCCGCGCTTTGCACGAACCGAGCCCGGAGCATGGAATGGCGTGCTGCCAAAACTCCAATCGCCTTCTGGAGCTCGTTGGGATTCAGGGAGCGGGAAACGCGGACCAGGAAGGACTGGTTAAACAGGTTCTTGCCCTTGTCCTGCGAGGCAAAGAATAGCTGCTGGATCGGGGACAGCTCGAACAAGCTGTTGGGGACTTCCGGGAGCTGCACGGAGGTGCTCGCTGTCTGCCTTGCATTGCTTGCCAGTTGTGCGACGGTCTTGTGCTTGAATATATCGCCCACCGTGATATAGAGAAGGCTGGATTGGGACTTGGCCGACAGCTGCATCGCGGTAATGGAATCACCGCCGAGCGAGAAGAAGCTGTCGTCCATGCCTACTAGGCTCTGGTCCATATTCAGCACTTCAGCAAACAGTCTCTGCAGCCCCAGCTCCCCCGGAGACGATACAGGGCGCCATTTGCCCTCAGAGGTCTGAAGGCCAGCCCATTCAGCCAGAGTGCGACTGGATGCCATGGTTGCGAGTTTGCTGCGGTCAGCCTTTCCATTGGTAGTCGTGGGGATCTCCGCCACGGGGATGTAGATGCTCGGCCTCATATAGGTCGGCAGGCTCTCTTCCAAGGCCGGGTTGATGATCCCAGTGTACCTGCTGAGAGATTTGCGCACAATTTCCACAGAGCCCGTGGCCGGCTCACCCAGAGCCAGATAAGCTGCCAGAATTGCCTTCTTGCTTCCTTGAGGGGTGACGACCGCTGCTACCACAGGGACTGCTGGTGCTGCGGCGCTGTTTAGCATGGCTTGCTCAATATATTTCTCTACCTCTTCCAACTCCACCCTTTGACCGTGGATCTTGATCTGGTTATCCTTTCTCCCAATATAAACAATCGAACCGTCGGGTGTATACCGGGCCAAGTCTCCAGTCCGATAAAGCCGTCCCTGTCGGCCAGGGCCATGGGCCCCTCCTGCTCCTTGGAGCAACCATCGCGGGTTCTCGATGAACGCGGCTGCTGTTCGTTCGGGGTCGTGAAGATAGCCACGTCCCACTAGTGGACCTTCCAGCCAGAGCTCACCCGTGCAGCCCACTGGGGCTAATTGGTCGGGTCGACTAGGGTCAACAATCCACGTGGTGCAGCCACCCCCCTTTCCGATGGAGGGCATGGACAATGCTGAGTCGAGGTGTGCGAATATCACCCATACGGCGGCCTCAGCAGGGCCGTACGCGTTGATCAGATGGACGTGCCGGCTCCACTGCTCCATATCCGCTCGCGATACGGCTTCTCCACTCAAGACGAGGGTTTGGAGGAGCGGCACATTGGAAGGGTTCAGAAGACGCGCAACAGATGGAGTAAGATGCGCGTAGTTTACCTCCATCCGACGCATTGCGGCACTGATATCTCCGCGGCGTTCCGACTCTTCAGGCACGCAGACGCAGCCACCAGCCGCAAGGGTGTGAAGGATTGTACCCCAGGAGACATCGAATGCATATGAAGCGAATTCAAGTACCCTCGACGCGACAGAAAGTTTCAAGATGCGCTTTTGGTGAGTAATCGCGGTGCTGAGGTTCGAATGGCTGATGGCCACACCCTTTGGCACGCCTGTACTCCCAGAGGTGAATACCAGGTATAGGCTGCTGGCAGGGTCAACCGGGGGTAACAGAGCATTGCACGGCGTGGCCAGCTGGGCCAAACTGGCGTCATCCACCCGGACAACATGGCAGGATGCAAAAGCTGCCGCGCTGTTGCTATTTCCGGCCGAAGTCAAAATGAGACAAGGCTGGACTTGATCGATGATACTTCGTAGTCTCCCTGCAGGCTGACCAGGATCCAAGCCCACCATGGTTCCACCAGCCTTCATGACCGCCAGACTGGCAACCGACATCCACCGCGACTTCTCAAAGAGCAACGGGACATTAACCCCTGGCCCAACACCCAGTTGTCGGATGTGGCATGCCAGCTGCGTGGACAGATCGTTGAGTTGCTTATACGTGAGATTACCATCCCACGCGCAGATGGCAGCCGCCGCTGGTTGTTTCTCTGCCTGCTCTATGATAAGTTCATGAACACACCAGTCCAGAGGCGTTGCTACGGCGGCATTCCACTGCCAGATCGATTGCAGGTCTTGCTTGCTGATGAAATTGGCTTCCTGGGCCGTCTGGTCCGCGTGCTGAACAATATGTGAGACGGCGTGCAAGAACAGGTCGATGGCACTCTTTGCATAGCGGTCAGATATCACCGATTCGTTAAAGGTAAAGTTGCATCCGGTGTCCTCGTCTCCGACGCCAATGTTTATCATGATATCATACTGAGTCTCGCATTAGCGCAGTCACACAAAGGAAAAAGTCTTCTTATCTTTCTTACCTCGGTGGGATCATCTCCTCCTTCATCTACAAGCGATATAGCCGATTGGCAGTCCTTGGGACCAGAGTCACTAGCTTGGACTGACATGGCGGTGTTGAAAAGCCCCTTCTCGGGCGTATCAATCAAGTGGAAGATCTTGGCCAGCGGGTAATGCTGAAACTCCAAACTGTTGAGATACTGCTCCTGGTCCCTCTGTACCAGGGTCATCAGCGAGTCCTTACTGCCCAGGTCCACGCGGCTGGCAAGCATATTGATAAATGGACCAACGGTTCCGTCAGCCCCTTGCAGAGGAATATCTCGGCCTGATGTGAGATAGCCAAAGCAGACAGTATCCAAACCAGTATAAGCCCGCAGGACCAGGGCCCAAGCGACATGGAAGATATTAGACACCGTCAGTCCATGCTCCATGCAAAAGATGCGCAATGCCAGGTGTAGCTCTCGCTCGAAGGTAATAGGGATGTGAGCTTGCGACCGCCGGCCTTCCGTATTTAGACCGCCCAAGGATGGAAATAGACAGGGCTTGACCTCCTGGAGATGCTCCTGCCAGTATGCCGCGGCTGACCCAGCGGGCAGGGACTGGATGAAGTGGATGTAGTCGCTATACAGGGGTGCCAGGGAAGAGGAAAGGAGGCCAGTATATGCGGCACACAGCTCCTGCTTGAGGATTCCCAAGGTAAAGGCGTCGATGAGCGCATGGCTGATCGATAGCTCGCACAGGACGCCCGAGTTCGTCGTCGACAGAGTGAGCACTGAGCTGGTTTTGCCTTTTGTTGGGGACATGTCCTCGATACTTGCTTCGTCCGCGGACTGGACGATGTGGACGTCTGCCCGGAGATTCCTCACCACCACTTGATCCTTCAGTCCCCTGCCCGAGATGCTGTCGACGAAGATGGTGCGCAGGGCTGGATGGCGGTCTACCACCTGCTGCCACGCGTGCTTGAGCCGGTTGGTATCAACTGCTGTTGATCCCTGTGCAGACTGTGCCATCCACCGGATGCGTGTCCTGTAGAGGTCTGGGTTCTTGATCTGGCTCATGAGGATTCCATCCTGGAGCGGCGAGCAGGGGTAGATATCTTCGACCTGCCCGTATGCGAGGTCCAGCTCCGTCAGCCTCTGCTGCAGGATTGCCAATGCCGGGTCTGTCATGCGCAGCAGCGGGAAGCTGCAGAGGGTATAACTTGGCTGTATCAGAGGAAGCTCCTGCGCTGCGGCGTGGAGGGACTGCCTGCATTCCTTGATCCACGCGCGGATGGAGGCCTGGTGTTGCATGTGCCGATTGTACATGAAGTCAACATGCAAACAGCCATCCGTCACCGATGCCGAGATATCCACCAGAGCAAATCGGAACAGGCTCCCCGAGATATCAGCCATGTCATCCACCCCGTCCGGCATCTCGCGCATGTGGAAGAGGGCGTCCGACCGCTCGAGTTGCTGGTACAGCCCGAGGTAGTTGAAAATCACCTCGACAGGGCCATTGACCTGGAACGCCCGCTTGCCAGCCGGAGTGAGGAAGCGGCTTGCAAAGTATGGCCGGCCATTATCGGGTATCTGGCGTCGACGGTCCTTGACATGGCGCACAATGCTGGCAATACTATCTCCCTTCTTGGCTGTGGCGACCACAGGGAACATCGTGGTAAACCACCCGACCGTGCGTGAAATATCGATTGCAGACCTCCAGGGCTCCCGACCATGGCCTTCGCTGAATACCGTCGGAGGTGCCCGGTCGTGGAAGACATTGGCAAAGGAATGTAGGATGGCCGCATGGAGGAGCTCCACCATTTGTGTGTCAAATGCCGCATTCGCAGGCCCTAGCAAGGTCTCTGTGTCCTGCCTGCCGAGAACCACGCCATCCTTGATCATGTTATCGAATGTGTTTAAGCTGCGGACCTGACCCCAGTAGTCTAGCTGTGGCAGCAGCGGAGGCGGAGCCCCGTTTGGCAGGACAGCCTCCAGCTCGAAGGGGCTCTCGGCGTGGTGGTCAGCCTGCAACTGGCACCAGGTCTGGAAGGACATCGAGGTGAACCCGGAGAGGGATGCGGTGGTCAAGTGCTCTTCCAGATCAGCCAGGATGATTCTCCAAGACACCAGGTCGACGACCATGTGGTGGACCACCAAGAAAAGGTATTGGCCCTCGTCTGCATTGATCAGATCGACCGCCATGAGCCGACCGTTCTGGATGTCTAGCGACTCCTGGCTGTGATTGATCACCGCCGAGGCTGCCTGAAGACCCGCAACCTCATGCTGGCAAACGCGATAGCTTCCTGTGGTCCCCGGGGGCAGAATCCACTGGCTCCAGATATTCTCCCTGCTGCACTTGAAACGCGCGCGCAACATGCCATGATGGGCGACCAGGGCATCCACAGCGGCCTGGATCTGAGGCAGGGTGACCGGTCGACGTACCTGCACGAAAAAGCTTTGGTTGAAATGGTTGCTAACCCCCTGCTGCATGTCAGCGAACATCTGCTGGATAGGAGACAGGGCAAAGGAGGCACCCTGGCCCTCTGGGGCATGTAACACGGCCGATTCCACTGCTGGGGAGATGCTGAGAGCCAGTCGAGCGATTGTCTTGTACTTGAAAATGTCCCCTACAGTCATCTGGAGGTCGATGGAGCGGCCCTTTGCCGAGAGCTGCATGGCGGAGATTGAGTCCCCGCCAAGGGCGAAGAAGCTATCGTGAATGCTGATCTTCGATGCGCTGATATTCAAGCACTCGGCCCACAGTTGCAGAATCCGCCGTTCGACGTCTGTCGTCGGTGCTTGGTGGTTGCCCTTGGTCGGCTGCAGCTCGGCCAGTTCCTCCAGGGACTTGGAGGCCCACATCTCACGCAGCCGCCGTCGATCTCTTTTGCCCGTGGCCGTCGTGGGAATTTCAACCGCCGGAAGAAGCAGACTGGGCACCATGTAGACGGGCAGCTGGTCTGCCATGCGCTCCCTGGCCCCCTGGCTGTAAAGAGCCAGCTTTGCTCGGACAGTCTCCCGCGGGCCCAGGGCCGCCTCCCCCATCGCCACAAAGGCGACTAGCAGTGGATTGGCACTGCCCTGCAGGGTGATGACCTCGACTGCCACAGAGACGTCCACGGCGGCCGAAGGTAAGGCCTGGTGCAGATGATGCTCGACCTCGGCCAGCTCCACGCGCTGTCCGCGGATCTTGACCTGGGCATCTTTGCGGCCAATACAGACCAGGGTGCCGTCCAGATTATACCGCACCAGGTCACCGGTGCGGTAAAGCCGGCCATGTCGACCTGGGAACCCCTGGGGTCCCCCGCGCAGCAGCCATGGGGGGTTGTCGACGAAGCTTGCAGCACTGAGATCCGGACGGCCGAGATACCCTAATCCAACCAGAGGACCTTCCACCCACAGCTCGCCCACAGCCCCGTACGGCGACAAATGTCGGCTTTCGGTCGGCTCAACCACCCAGGTCACCATTCCTCTGCCGGCGCCGATGGTTGCCGGGTCGTGGTCACTTTGCCCGAGATCGAACGTGGTGGAGATGGCGCTGCATTCCGCAGGGCCATAACCGTTCTTCAGCTGGACGTGGGCTTTCCACTGAGTGATGTCCTGCTGTGCCACCGGCTCTCCGACCAGAACGAGGGTCTGGAGGCTGGGGACGGACGTCGGATCGATCAGACGTGCGGTGGATGGCGTGAGGTTCGCATAAGTCACGGCCAGGCGGCGCATGCAGCCAGTGATGTCGCTCTTGCGCTCCTCTTCGGAGGGGATGCAGAGACAGGCACCCGCCGCCATCGTATGGAGAAAGTTCAGCCAGCAAGCATCGAACGCGTAGGACGAAAAGTCAAACACCCTGGCCGACGCAGTAAACTCGAGCGCGGTTTGGTGGTGCACGGCACTGGTGAAGTTCTGGTGGGACATGACCGCGCCTTTCGGGACCCCCGTACTACCTGAGGTGAAGGCAATATACAGCCTGTCTGTCGGCTGAACTGGGGGCAATTGGCCGCCCTGGCCGCTGCCCAGCGACGTCGTCTGCAGTCTGTCTTGAGAGACAACGTGCACCGGCCTATCGCTCAGACGCCGTGCCAGGTCCTCTGCCTCCAGGGAGCTCAGGACCAGAGGAGGCTGTACCTGCTGCACTACCGTGCGAAGCCGGTCCTCTGGCTGCGTGATATCCATGGCCACCGATGCACCGCCGGCTTTCATGACTCCAAGCATTGCCACGGGCATCCACATTGATTTCTCAAAGCACAGAGCGACCACCGCATGGGGGCCGACCCCCAAGTTGACGAGGCCATATGCCAACTGGGTGGAGAGCTCGTCCAGCTCGCGATACGTGAGCTCTCCATCCCATGCAGCGACGGCCTGTGAGACTGGCCGCCGCTGGGCCTGCTCGGTGATCAAGTCGTGCATGCAGGCGTCCACTCTGGCCGGGGGCGGGGAGTTCAGCGCCCAGATCCTTCGCAGATCATCCTCGCAGACCGCATCTATGTGAGCAACAGAGGATGAGTGCTGAGACTCATCGCAAAGGAGTCGTACTAGATGCTCGAACTGCCGGGCCAGCCGTTGCACCTGCGGTTGTGCCATGACATGCGAGTCGTAGCTCATCTGCATGGACACCCCCGTGGCCGTCAGCTGGCATTGCAGCAAGAGAGCGTATGAATTGAAGCTGCTGAGAGCCGCCTGGCTGAGAGTGTCATCTTCTGCATGGAACAGTGCAGAGGGTCCATCTGTGGCGCTCGGTTCCGGGGCTGGCTGCACCACCAGGAGCGTCTGGAACTGACAAGCTCGCTCGGTGTCGGCGCTGAGCCTCCGGATTCGCTGCAACCCGACCTGTTCGTAGGGAATCATATCGACAGACTGCTCTTGGACCTGGTCGAGTAGGCCTGCCAGGGTAGCCTTTTCCTGGATGGCAATGCGGACCGGCACAGTTGCAATTGTCGGCCCTTCGACCAGTCCCACGCGGTGAATGGGAGCCTGCCGTCCAGTCACGGTCGATCCAAAAAGGACATCCGCAGATTGGGTGTAGTGGGTTGTGAGAATGGCCCAGGCCGCGCGAAGAGTGGTTGCCGGTGTGATGTGGTGGTTTTGCAACCACCGTAGCCCTAATACGTTGTGCTCCAGGATGTCTTGCGCGCGTGGCTGGTACATGGGAGAGGGCAGGGCAGGGAATGGCTCGGCCACCAGACCATCCAGGCTGCCTTGCCAGTAGGAGTCCGCCTCGGCACCCAGCTCTGTCACATACTTGATCATTGTCTTGAAGGAGACAAGGCCGTCGCTCGCGGTCCCGTGGTAGGCCTTGCTGACCTCGTCCAGCAGCAGCGACAGAGACCATCCGTCATAGAGCGCATGATGAAGCGTTAGCAGGAAGTACCGTTGCCGATCCCCACCAACGTCACCGGCGTCCACCAAGCCAAATGTGGCCAAGGGGGTACCAAGGGTTACCGGACGTTGCAGATCGTCTTGCACGAGTGCGTCGAGGCTACGGCCATGGTTCCACCGTGGCACCTCGCTGGTAACGACTTGCACCAACCCTTGCCCCGGAAGGTCCACGATGCGGGTTCGCAGGATCGACGTGGCCATGGCGACTTGATTCCAGGCGGTTTGGAAGCGTCCAAGGTCTACCTCGTCTCGAAGTTGCAGGACCTGGCGGTTCACATAGGCGCCCTGATTCTTGACCGTCAGAGAAAGCAGACCTTCCTGGAGAGGTGTACACGGAAGGATATCCTCGACAGCAGACGGGCTGAGCTCACACCACGCCGCCACCTGCAATCGCGCCTGCGAGATATCCACGTCTTGCTTGAGCAGTGAAAATGGGGGGATGTCATGAGGTCCGGAAGTCGATCCCAGTGTCGCCACCTGCGCCATGTCACACAGAATGGGAGATTTGAAGATGGCTGCCACCGTGAGCAGAATGTCTTGCTCTGCAGCCAGTCGCACGAGTCGAATGGCTCCGATTGAGTCACCTCCAATCCGCAGGAAGCTGTCGGTGGCCGCGATGGTCACTGCATCGATATCCAGGATAGTAGCCCACATCCCTTGCAGACGCCGCTCCATCGCCGTTGTGGGCGCACGACGAGTGTCCCGCGAGGGCTGAAGCGCTGCCAGCTGCTCCAGGGTATACGAAGACGCGACCCGTTGCAGGCTGCGCCGGTCTGTCTTCCCCGTCGTCGTGAATGGGATCGCTGGCACGGGGATGTACATGCGAGGGACCATATAGCTGGGCAGTCGGGCCATCAGGCGGTCCTCCACCCCGTGCGTATAGCGGTCCAGGACTGCACGCATTGACTCGGATGACCCAGCAGCTTCCTTTCCCACGGGCAAAAAGGCCACCAGCACCGGATTCGCACTTGCATGGGGGTGGACCAGTTCCACAACCACCGGCACATCCACGCCGGCTGGCAGCGTCTGGCGGATGTGATGCTCAACCTCGCCCAACTCCACCCGCTGGCCCCGGATCTTCACTTGAGTATCCTTGCGCCCGACATACAGGAGCGATCCATCGGGACGAAATCGGACGAGATCTCCTGTTTTATACACCCGGCCCCGACGTCCAGGGAAGTCTGGCCCTCCACCACGGAGAAGCCAGCTGGGATCTTCCACAAAGCTGGCCGCAGTCTTCTGGGGCTCATCGATATACCCTTGTCCGACAAGCGGACCCTCGACACAGAGCTCTCCTGTCGCACCAAGCGGTGCCAGGCGTCTCCCCTGCAACGGGTCCACCACCCAGGCTGTCAGCCCAGAAGAATAACCGAGCATTCTGGGTTCCTCTGTTTTGCTCTCGAACTGGTGGATGGTTGAGACGACAGTGCACTCCGAGGGACCATAATACCCCATCAGCTTGACCTCGTGCCATCGACTGATATCCTCCGCGCGTATAGCCTCCCCGCCGAATGCAAGTGTCTCCAGGCCAGGCACCGCTGCAGGGTCCAGGACTCTGGCAATCGAGGGCGTAAGAAGCGCGTAGTTGGCCTTGAGGCTCTCGATACAGCCCGCCAGATTGTCCTTCCGCTGTTGATCGGACGGAACACACAGACAACCGCCTGAGCTAAAGGCATGCAAAAAGTTGAACCAGGGAGCGTCGAACGCGTATGAGAGGCAATCGATCATTCGGGCTGCGGGCGGCAGCCCAAGACGTGCCTGCTGGTGGTGAACTGCCGAGCATGCGTTCTGATGGCTCATCACAGACCCTTTGGGGGTCCCTGTGGTGCCGGAGGAAAACACCAGAAAGAGCCTGTCCGTGGGATGGATCGTGGGCAGAGACAGCGGGTCTGGTTGAGGCATCCTCTCAAGCGATCGCCCATCCACGACGACAGCCTCAGGACGTAGCTGGGATGCTAGGCCCTGACAGGCTGGCGATGTCAGAATCACCCCTTGAGTCTTCTGCACCACGAGCTGTAGGCGCTCCACGGGCTGTTCCGGATCCATCGTGACTACCGCGCAGCCTGCCTTGAGCACCCCCAGCATGGCCACGGGCACCCACCGGGATTTCTCGAAGCACAGGGGCAGTATTGACTGCGGGCGGACACCCCGAGCCAGCAGATGGTGAGCCAGCCGGGACGACCCCTCGTCGAGTTGACGATAGGTCAAGTCTCCATCCCAGGCACAGACGGCCTGCGCATCAGGCTGTTGCTTCACCCATCGGGAGAACAGCTCGGGCACCGAGCTGGACAAGGTCGCGGGAACCTTGGCATTCCAGTCCCAGATGGTGGCGAGATCCTGGGGACTGATCGTCGTCTCCAGATCGCAGAGGTTTCTGTCCGGATGGCGGACGATATTGGCCAGGGCTTCCACAAACGTCGCCCCGACGGCACTGGCCTGTCGCTCCGAAAGCAGATGGCGGGAGTAGTTCAGCGTGATTCTGGGATTGTCGTCCAGCAGCAGGACCGATGCGGCAATGTCGTATTCGTTCGGATCGTGCCACGTCTCGTTCTCGAGGGTGATGGTGGGTGTGTCTGGGGGCTGGGCTGAGTCGGCCCTGCCGCCACTCTGCACCGACAGAACCGTATTGAAGAAGGGCTGCCCCTCGGTGCTGAGGTCATGCAGGATCTCGGCCAGCGGATATTGGTTGTACTTCAGACTTCCTAGGTACCCTGCCTGAACCTCTTGCAGCATTGCTAGGAGGGTTCGGTTGCTGTCTATCTCGACATGGTTGACCACCATGTTAATGAACGGTCCAACCGCTCGATCTACCTGGTGTATGGGCACATCCCGGCCAGAGATCAGATAGCCGTAGCAGACGGACTCGCTGCTGGTGTAGCTGCGTAGGACCAACATCCACGCGAGACTGAACACGTTGGCCGGGGTCAGGGCATGGCTTCGGCAGAACTGGCGCAAGGCCTGGTCCGTCTCCGGGCTGATCGGCAGAGATGTAACGGCGGCCGCGTCCTTGGGTTCGGCGATGGGCTCATTCAGGGTAGGGAAGATGCATGGCTGAGCGCCAGCCAACTGCGTCTGCCAGTATTCTTTCGCCTCCGTCGTCGGCAAGGACTGGAGATGGCTGATATAGTCACTGTACCGGGGCCCTGGGTCCGCAGGGAGGGCGTCGTCGTACGCGGCACACAGCTCGCGTTTCAGAACCCGGATGGATATGGCATCGATGATGGCGTGGTTGATCTGCAGGTCACACACGAGGTCTCCGCTGGCCATAGGGCAAAGGACCAGAGAGTGCACTGGCCGGACCTGCGACCCGCTGGCTGCTCGATACTCGACAACGGCGTCCATCGGGTCCGCAGCCTGGATGGTGTGAATAGTGGGGGGAGGGTCTTTCAAGACTATCTGGTAACTATATCCATCTGAGAAGGGGCTGTCAGAGAATCTAGTCCTGAGTGCAGCATGGCGTGCGACGACCTTCCGCCAGGCACGTTCCAGTCGGTCTGCATCAACCGGAGATGATGCCCCCGTACTGGACCGGACAACCCAACGCACTCGGGTCCAATACATCTCCGGGCTTTTTGCCTGACTCAACAGAATCCCCTGCTGCAAGGGCGAGCATGGATAGATATCCTCCACGTCACCGTAGGCAAGGCCAAGCCGTGGGAGCGTCTCCAGCTGCTTCCACGTTGCATCTGTAGGGGGCAGCAATGGGAAGTCGGCCAACGTGTAGCTGGGTTGCATATCTAGCAGCTGCACGGCTGTGGCTTCTAACAAACGCTCGCACGCCGCAATCCACCGAGCCAGGGCGTCCTGCTTCTGCATGCGCTGGCTGGAAAGAAACCGGAACTGCAGGCAGTCTTGCGTGACCTCGGCAGAAACATCAATCAGGGCAAACCGGGCCATGCGGTCTGCAACATCCAGCACTCGGTCCTGCAGACTGGGACACGATTGGAAGAGCGCGTCGCTCCTCTCCAGTTGCTGATAGAGGCCAAAGTAGTTGAACGTAACCTCAGGGCAGGCATGGCGGCTAAAGACCGTCTTCCCCTCGGTGTTCAAGTACCGTGAGGTGAAGTACGACCACCCATTGTGAGGAATCTGTCGCCGGCGATCCTTGATGTAACGGACGAACTGGGGGATGCTAAGGTGATGGGAGCCCGCTTCCACTGAGATTGGCGCCAGGGTGGTAAACCAGCCAACCGTCCGGGATAGGTCGATTGCTGAGTTCCATGGCTCTCTACCGTGCCCCTCGTTGAAGATGGTAGGAGGATCCCGGTCAGTGAAGCTGTCCATGAAAGAGTGCAGCAGCGCGGCTAGGAACAGTTCGATGGGCTGAGTTTGGAACGCATGGTTCGCTGGTCCCAGGAGTATGCTGGTCGTTTTCTTGCTGAGGGTAAACCCGGCCTCTTGGATAGCATCGTGCGTATTGAGCTCCGGCGATAGTCCCCAGTACGCCTCACACGGGGGCTGAATATCGAACGGGAAGGCAGTACCGGGGGTCAGATGGTCCTGCGCGTGTCTCTCCTGAAGCCGGCACCAGGTCTGGAATGAGAGTGGCGCAGAGGAACCAGCAACAGTGCCAGTCAACAGGTACTCCTCCAGCTCCTCCAGGATAATCCGCCAGGAGACAAGGTCGACAACGAGATGGTGCGCCGTGAGAAACAGGTACTGACAGTCTGGAGGAGTGTCGATCAGATCAACCGCAAATATGGGGCCAGCCTGGACGTCCAAGGACCGCTGGCTGCTATTCAGCACCGGAACGGCGTCCTCCACCGAAGCCAGGCGATGATGACGGCAAGCATAGGATTCATCAGCACGCGAGGTGATCTGTTGCGTCCACACCCCATCGGTGCCCCGGTGGAAGCGAGCACGCAGCATCGAGTGTCGGGCAACAATGAATTGCACGGCGCGCAGTACAGCGTCGGGCTGTTGGGGCTTGGTAGTGCGCACGAGGAAGCTTTGATTGAAGTGACCCTGCTTGTCTTTCTGGGCGTCGAAGAAAAACTGTTGGATGGGAGATAGGGCAAAGGGGGTGTCGAGCATCTCTCGGTCGTCAATGGCCAGGTCATCGATCTGGATCTCGCGTCGTGCTAGACGCGCAATTGTCTTGAATTTGAAGATATCTGGCACTGTGACGCGAACCCCCCTCGCGCGAGATTTGGCAGAGACCTGCATGGCCGAGATAGAGTCCCCCCCGAGCAGGAAAAAGCTCTCATCCATGCCGATCTGAGAGGGATTGATGTTCAACACCTCCGCCCAGAGCTGCTGCAGGCTCCGCTCCATCTCACTCTGGGGCAGGGTGCGCTTCTGGCCTCCAGAGGGCTGCAGCTCTGCCAGCTGGTCGATGGCGAAGGAGGATCCGGTATTGCGTAATGCCCGTCGGTCGGTCTTGCCCGTGGCTGTTAATGGGATATCGACCACGGGGATATAGAAACTCGGCACCATATACCGGGGCAGGTGCTTGCTCAGATGATCTTCAACCCCCTGGATGCAGCGCCGAAGTGCCGTCCTCACTGCCTCGGGGGAGCCCACGGCTGCAACTTGCCCTAAAGCCACATAGGCCACCAGCACGGGGCCTCTGCTGCCCTGGGGCCTGGCCATATCCACCACGACGGAAGCTCTGGTGGCCTCTTTGATATAATGCTCGATCTCGGCCAGTTCGACCCGCTGGCCGCGGATCTTGACCTGCGTGTCCTTTCTCCCCACGCAAACCAGCTTGCCATCGGAGGTATATCGAACAAGATCGCCGGTCTTGTAGAGTCGACCTGGCCGCCCAGGATAGCCCAGTGTTCCCTGGAGCAGCCAGACGGGGTCATGGACAAAACTCATGGCTGTCTTCTCTGGATCCCCATGATACCCCTTTCCCACCAACGGCCCTTCCACCCACAGCTCCCCCACCGCTCCGAGGGGGCTGAGGCTGGCGCCGTCCGATGGTTCAACCACCCAAGCCACGAGGCCCACCGCGTGGCCAACGATACTGGGCTGGTCATTTGGACCCTGAAATTTATAGGCTGCGGTTATTGCGGAGCATTCTGCAGGGCCGTACCCATTCCTCAAATCAACGTTGCCGGTCCATCTGGCCAGGTCATCGCTCGTGACGGGCTCCCCGATCAGGACCAGGGTTTTCAGGCTGGGGACTGCCTCTGCGTCGAGAAGCCGGGCCGTGGACGGGGTCAGGAGAGCAAGGTCCACTCGCAACCCTTCCATGCAGCCTGCAAGATCACCACTGTTTCTCTGCGCGTCCGAAGGGATACACAGACAGCCCCCGACGGCCATCGCATAGAGAAACTCCACCCACACCGCGTCAAATGCATAGGAGGAAAATCCAAGCACCCGGGTGGTAGGCGTAAAGCCCAAGGCGCCCGTACTGTGGTGGATTGCGCTGCGAATGTTCTGATGGGACATGACTGCCCCCTTGGGGTTTCCAGTGCTCCCCGAGGTGAACGCGATGTAGAGTCCGTCCGTCGGGTGGATGGTTGGGAGATCTGGAGTATCAAGGTCATGCTGTGGCAGTGCCTGCAGGGTATCCCGATTCACGCGGATGACCACCCCTGCGAGTCGAGATGCCAGAGGCTTGTATGTGTCGGAGGTGAGGATGAGTGGCGGTTGGGTCTGTTGGATGATTGACTGCAATCGATCCTCCGGCTGGCTGGGGTCCATTGTAACCACAGTACTGCCAGCCTTCATGCCAGCCAGCATGGCCACGGGCGTCCACATTGTCTTCTCGAAGCATAAGGGAATCACCGAGCCACGGCCTGCCCCCTGTTGCACGAGCGATAGGGCCAGCTGCGTGGAGAGGGTATCGAGTTCCTGGTAGCTCAGCTGTCCATCCCACGCGCAGATCGCCAGGGCATCGGGCTGTTGCTGAACGCGTTGCGCAATGAGGTCGTTGACAGAGCCCTGGACGGTCTGGGGGACAGTTGCATTCCAGGCCCACACCTGGGCCAGGTCGGCTTCACTGGCAGCTGAGACAGTGCCCACCAGCTCCTGCGCATTCACTTCACTGCAGACCTGGCGCAGCACCCCTTCAAACTGCCTGGCTATCCTCTTAACCTGCTCCGCGTCGATGACCAGGCGATCATAGCTCATGCGCAGGCGCATCCCGTCGGACTCGAGATGGCACTCCAACATAAGCGAATAAGTGTTTATACTGCGAAATTCGTCACCAGCATCCAGATCCACTCGGAACAAGCACTCGTCCGGCCGACGAGAGGTCTTCGAGCTTGGAGGCTGTACAACCAGCAGGGACTGGAACTGGGTTGCCTGGTCTGCATCCGAATTGATCCGCCGGATCTGGTTCAATCCCGTCTGCTCGTACGGAATCATAGCCACGGCCTGTGTCTGAACGCTCTGCATCAAACTGGCCACCGTGGCATCCCCCTGCACATTCACGCGGACTGGAACAGTCGCAATGGTTGGACCGGCCATGCGTTCAACGAACGGGACCGGTGCCTGTCGCCCGGACACTGTGGCCCCAAAGATCACATCCGGAGACTGGGTATAACGGCTTGCGACAATTGCCCATGCTGTTCGCACTGCAGTGGAGGCCGTGATATCATTCCCGGGCCAGGAGACACTCGCGACGTGGTATTGGAGCAGATCCTGACACTTGGGCTGGTAGTCTGGGGAGGGCAAGGCTGGGAAGACTGCGGCCTGGATCCCATTGAACTGGGATTGCCAGTAACCCTGCGCATCTTCCACTGTACCATCCGCCAGATATTTCACAAACCCCGCAAACGAGGGGAGCATATCGCAGCTGCCACCCGCATAAATGGCTTCCACCCGTTCCAGCATCGCCGGCAGCGACCAGCCATCATACAAGGCGTGGTGGATGGTCCAGACGAAAAGCACCTTGCCTTGCGCTTGATCCGACACCAGACCAAACCGCGCCAACGACGTCCCCAGTCCCATGGGCTTTCCTTTCTCTGACTCCAAGAAATGACCGAGATCGCTCCCCGTGGCCCATTCGGGCTGGTCTGCGACTACGACCTGCAGGAGCCCGGCGTTGGGCAGGTCCACAATCCGCGTTCGCAAAATCGCCGCTTCATGAATCACTTGGGCCCAGGCAGCGCGGAAGCGCGCCAGATCCACATCCACTGGAAGCTCTGATACCATCTGGCGGACATATTCCCCGGCCTGCTTGACAGTCAGGGCCAACAGCCCTTCCTGCAGCGGGGTGCAGGGCAGGAGGTCGGCGATGGAGTTTGCCGAAACGCGGCATTCGGCTGCAGCCAACGCGCAGGCATCTCTTACGTCGTGGCCCCTACGCAGCAGGGAGAAGGGAGGGATGGTCGTCACGTCCTGGGCCCGTTCTCGTTGGGCTTCTTGCGCCATATCGCCGAGGCGCGGGTGGTTGAAAATATCGGCCACTGTCAGGATTATGCCCTCTTTCCGGGCGAGCTGCACCAGGCGGATGGCTGCCATCGATTCTCCGCCGATTCGGAGGAAACTGTCGCCTGTCCCTATGCTGCTCGGGCTGATATTCAATGTTGCCGCCCAGAGCTGTTGAAGGCGGTGCTCCATCTCGGTCTCGGGAGCCTTGATCTCCACTGCTCGCGAGGGCTGCAAGGCTGCCAGCTGATCCAGGGTTAAAGAAGACCCGATCTCACGCAGGCGTAGCCGGTCTGTCTTGCCGGTGGCAGTCATGGGGATCTCGGGGACTGCAAGATACAGGCTGGGCACCATGTAGCGAGGCAGTCGGTCGGCCAGGTACTCTTCCACCCCATGCAGGCAACTGGCTAGACTCTCCCGGGTGCTCTCCGCGGCGCCAGTTGCTTCTTCGCCGAGGGCCAGGTATGCGACGAGGATGGTGCTGCTGCTACCCCGCGGGGTGATGGCCTCGGCTGCAACAGATGGAATCTTGTCGGGCAGTGCAAGCTTCAGGTGATATTCCACATCGCCCAGTTCCACCCGCTGGCCCCGGATCTTGATCTGCGTATCCTTGCGAGCCACGTAAACCAGCGAGCCGTCCGGGTTGTAGCGCACCAGATCTCTAGTTTTATATAGTCGGCCTCGCCGGCCGGGGACGACCCCTGGTATTCCCCGGGTCAGCCAGGCAGGGCTATCGATGAAACTCGCCGCGCTCTTCTCCAGGTCTCCTAGATATCCCTGGCCGACCAGCGGTCCTTCCAGCCACAACTCGCCTGTGTGGCCAAGGGGGACCAGTGTCTCCCCATGCTCCTCGTCAACGATCCAGGTACTGCACGCGACGCCTTTCCCCATACTCGAGTCCCAAGGTCGGCCGTGGGGGATTGTCTGGAAGGTCACCGCCACCGTGCATTCCGCTGGGCCGTAGGAATTGATCAGTTTGCAGTATGGCGTCCATTGAGCAACATCGGCCTGGGTCATTGGCTCTCCGATCAGGAGGATCCATCGCACTGCGGGGATATCTCGCGGATCGATGAGGCGAGCAACACTGGGGGTCAGCTGGAGATGGTTCACCCCAAGTCTGCGGATTGCCTCGGCGATGTTTCCACGGCGCTCACTTTCACTGGGGATGCATAGACACCCCCCCGCCGCGAGGGTATGGATGATGTTCCCCCAGGCCAGATCAAAGGCGTATGAAGCGAAGTCGAACACTCGCGCGGTGTTATCCATCCCCAATGCCTCATGCTGGTAGGCGATGGCGCTGCTAAAGTTGGTGTGATTGATCATGACTCCCTTGGGCGTTCCAGTGCTGCCCGACGTGAAAACAATGTACAGGTTACGGGAGGGATCAACGCATGGGAGATGTCTTCCTTCGGAGTCTGGCAGTTGCCGTAGGCGGCCTTCGTCGAGAGCGATGACATTGCTGATCTCCAGGCGTGCGGCCACTTCGATCTGGGCCGGCGATGTCAGAATCCAGCGTGGCTGCAGCTGCTTCACAATGCTTCGCAGGCGATCCTCGGGCTGTGTCGGGTCCAGGGCAGCGATGACAGCCCCTGACTTCATCACGGCCAGAATGGCCACCATCATCCACTTGGACTTCTCGAAGCAGAGGGGGATGATATCATCTGGGCCAGCACCCAGCTGCACCAGGTAATGGGCCAATCGAGTGGAGATCCGATCCAGTTGCTGATAGTCCAGCTCGCCGTCCCAGGCAGAGACTGCTGGCGCGTGTGGCCGCAGTCGCGCCTGCTGGGCGATGATATCGTGAACGCATCTCTGCACTCCCTCAGGAAGCGTGCCATTCCAGCCCCAGATGGCCCTGAGCTCGCTGTCCGACGCGGCAGGCACAGTCTCTACCGGCACGTCTGCGAGACTGCGATTGGAAATGGACTGTCGGATCCGCAAATCCAGGTGCTGCACAAATGCTTGCGCCGCAACAGGAGGAGGCGAGACGATATGGAATTGCAGCTCTTCTGGGCGAGCCTGGCAATGCATCTCTAGGAACGGTGCACACCTCCTTTCCTGGCACCAGCTCTTAGGCGCCTCCTCCGACACCCAGGCTTCCCTCCTTTCCATAAACCGCAAGACCAGCAGCCTCTCTGGGCTGCCATCCAAAATTATGGACGCCGCAAAATTACTGGCTGCTTCGTGGTGCTGGTGCACCAGCTGGCGCACCCATTCCCCTCGCAATTGCGCCAATATATTCTCAGTTCCCCCATCTAGCTCAATCTTCACCTTACGGGCATCGTTCGATCTGTCGCTCACGCTGCCTATCTCGAGCATGCCCTTGCTGGCTTTGAACTCCTCCACAGCCTGCAGGGCCCATGATTCCAAGGTAACCAGCAATATCTCCACAGTATCCTGATCCTGAAGGCCGTCGATCCGGTGCTGGACCTCCCCATTCTCTGTCGGCATTTTTTCCCGGGCTCGGTCGGTTTGTACGGCTCCTATAACTTTAGCTATGCGATCGCAACGGAGACACTCACTTGGCCGTTGTAACTCTTAGCAACAATGTAACTCTGAGGTAGGTTGGTGGCAACCTCGATGTCCATGCACAAACTAATGTCCTACTGATGGACAAAACGACTAAGCGGACTAAGTCTGCACCTGTCGGTCAACGCTATATTGTGTATTACACGTAAGTGGAATTGGTTACACGGAGACAAACCAGGTCCTTCCGGCCTTAATATATACGGGTGACTAACTGAATAGCGAGGTTGGGATGTTCTCTATATGCCTTACTTCGCTGCTTATGCATCTAGTGTTAGAGCCTGGTGCTCCTCACATCATAGACATCCATATACCCTCTGGCAATAGATCTCACAATTCTCCGGACTCCCCTAGTGGCAGGTGTTCGTAGGATCCATACTTTATTGATCTATTGCCTACACAGATAAACCCCCTTGGGCATATCTGTCACGGTAACTTTGTGATTGTTAGGAATCCGGTAAATAGGTTCTTGCAGGGTCTCTATTACCGTAAACAGACAACTTGTATAAGATCCGCTTCCACCGCTGAAGCCTCGGGGATTCGGGGACTCGGGAATTTGTAAAATATGCGGGGAACGCTCTGTACCTTGCGTTGAACAATTGATGGCTGGCTGAAGGTCTGAGCATCCATCAAATGCTTTCTCCTTTAGTCTACTCCAGCTCATGGTCTTCTTCAGGACTCGGACTTCCCAGGGGCATCTGCGAGGGGTGGAGAATATACCACTGGAGGTCGGTCCTATTCAAAATTCCCCGAGGGGTTCGCTAGGTTGGTACTCCCCAACTGGCGATTCTGGCCTCGTGATATACAGAGGACATGACACCATCTCTTTAATAGTGTCCTTGTTCGATTCAATTCTAATTCCAACGGTCCAATTCCGCCCGCTAATCATTGCAGCTATGTAGGCCCTTCTCCAGAGACGCAGGAACTCGATGCCGCACGCCTGATGATCCCCCAATGCCTCCAACCTCGCCTAAATCACGCAAAAGTACTCTGCTTGTGTCTCACCTTATTCACGCCATTCACCCACTACAGTCCAGCAGAAAAGTACATTTGATACCACCCGGTAGCCCTTTGTCTAGAGCCTGGACCGCCATCGCGAGATGAAGTCAATTCTACGTATTTTCCTACGCCCTAATGTTTCTATACTAGTCAGTACTATCATACCAGGACAAAAACCTTCAATCAACATCTATTTTACATGGGAGAGCATATCCGCTATCTTCAATTAGCTGGTGATGGGAACGGAACACCCCCGGGGACTCCCCTAAGGACACAGCACAAGCCAAGCGGACTTGTTATCCGCGAGAACAGCAGAGCAATCCACACTGGTTCGTCATTCTGTATTGCCTGACATCAGGTCTCTTAGTTTGCAGTACAAATACCCGGCATGATTACGACATACAGATCAGGTCACCCCGGTTGCATGCTCGCGTCATCAACCTTAGGCTAACTATTGTTATGCTCCCAGGGTCTTGCATAACGCACTGGGCCAGAAAACATGTTATGTCACTTAATACCTGACAATCCGACTTGTGAAGTACCACCGCTGGGCCGGTACGAGCCGGTGTCTTGCCGCGGTCCTCTGCTTGCGACTACAGCGATTGCTGCTTCTGCTTGACGAGAGTTATATATATTTTTATACCCATAGCTGACTTTGTTTTCTACTTTGTATTAGCGAAACCCTCCTTAGCTCAAATGCTTAGGAACTCTGAAGAATGATACATAACTACAAGGATTGCTTCTATCTCCGTATCGGAGAGAACCGTCCAGAAATCTCTTAGCTTGGTGACTTTATCGGTAAATCTTTAATAAATTACATAAAAGGAAAATAAAACGCAAGGCATCGTCACATGACTCTGTTGGCCCACATTATCCCCACACCAAGATGACGCGAGAGTTCAACCTGCATTCCGCTGCCAGGGGCCCGGGGTTAGAACAAATGTGGTGGTAAATGCATGGTAGAAGACCGTGTGGGTCTGCTGTACGGTTACGGATGGGGAAAGCACCTGTTCCATGAACAGTTTGCTATTGGGTTTCTTATTCTTAGCCCTGCATCCTGACTCGGACAATGTAAGGAAGGAATTGGCCGCTGTTGTTTATGAGTAATGCGCGTTTCGCGTCAGAATACCAGCCTCTTGTTAATAGCCTAGTGGCTATGGCGGCGGCACTGTTTTAGAAGTGTATCCAAAATCAGGTTTATGACAGCCAAGACCTGCATGGCATGACTATGATAGGTAGGGCTTGTACGACCCCTAGCTGTATCCCTTGTTCCTCTGGCTTCATCCCTTGCTGTCCTGCCTGTTTTTCGTCTGCGTGTTGTTAGCCGCTATTCCTTCTTGTCTGCATAGTGTGTATGCTCATCGATACTCATAGACTAGAATACCCAGAGCATGACTGACACAGTTATAGAATTCAACCCAAAGTCTGCTGACATTGTATCTTGTTTGCATACACTGAGCCTCACCCACAAGCAATCTCATGGCAGACATGTGTAATCCATGAGGTTTTAAGCCGCCAGGTACAACCAAGGTCGTGGCAGATTTACGGTGTGGTGAACCTGCGGACAAATATCAAAATTAAACTTGCGGTCCGACGGCCGTGGAACGGCCGGAAGAGCGTCGTAATACTGGACCGGACCGCAGTGTGGGGTCAAGGATCGCATACTGGCAATAAATACTCCGTACTCCGCAAGGGACTAGTTACCAGGTGAGGCAATTAGATAGGTAACCTGCAGAGGGCAGCCCTTCCGATTCCAGCCTCCCTGACCTCCCCGACTTGACTTCGAGTTTAGCCGTGGCCTCCTTGATTACCGACTCTGTGATTTCAAAGCCCGAAGGCTTGCGTTTCAGATTGTCCTTGGCACTCGGGGAACTCCCAGAAGCACATACGGAGCAGGTACTCCATGCACAAGCGCTTAATTGTAAAAGAAAAATGACAACTGTCGGATCAAGTCTATCACATGACCTTGGTATTTCTGTTGCAATTTGGCCTCTAGGCCTGAGGCCAATGTTGCTGCCTGCACGGTGAGAGCATGGATGTCCAGTACAGAGTATATAGAACAGTTTTCTATGTGGCAGGTTTTCGATATAAAAAATGATGGATCAATTCGAGAGGAGCTCATGCTAAGAGCTAGCATTGATTGTCGTCTCCATGGCTCTTACCCGACATCCCGGGCCGATGTAAATATATATCGGTTGTGGCTTCCTCCAAGCATGCTGTGTAAATGACATAAGAGAGATAAAAATAACCGGTTTAAATACAAACACCTGGTCTGACAATCTGATGCATTTGAGGCGCAGTTGTCTATCTATACACACCGACCTCGTAAACATCCCTCTTCCACACCTCCCCAACAACCAGATGCTCAGTCCCGGGTACTCGTACTCGTACTCGTACCGCACCCTATAACTCTAATCTAAGTGAGAATGAGCACATACGACCATAGGGTGTGGAGAACAGGGCTTCCCGTCCGCTCAGCCGTACTTAAGCCACACGCCGGGAGGTTAGTAGTTGGGTGGGTGACCACCAGCGAATCCCTCCTGTTTGTATGTTTTTTCGGTCTTCTTTTTATATCTTTTTTGCATCTTTATCTGCAGTCTTTGGGCGGTGGTGGCCGCACAAAACGAATATGCAGTCTTTCGCGCTTCGACGTGGTGGTTGTGTAACCAGCCAGTCGAGAGGCTCCACTGCGACAGGCACCCGACCGAATAAACAGTGGCATTATCCCCCCGACTCTGTAATTCTCTAAAATTGGGATGAGAACAAGAATTGTTGTTAAAAATATATAGAAGTGTCTTCATATGCGATCGGTTACACTATAGATCTGGTGTGACCTGATCGAACGGCTTTTTAAGAATCCCTGTCTTCCCCCCCGGTCCCTCTGATCAATTCCTATATTTTGCTTACGCCCCTCCCAGGACGCTGCTGGATTATATTTCGAGAGATAGGAATGTAAGATAATCAATGCACTATTTGATCATTAACCTTTCGATCCCTCGACCTTTCAATTACCACCAAAAATCAGTTATAAGTCTCATGTAAACCCGTAGTACATTACCACTGAGTAAGAATCGCTTTTCCTGTGCATGCGGCCAAATCTACTCAAAGTCACTCCTCGTATATCCATACTGAGCGGAAGGCTGCTTATTAGACTGATAGGGGCCAAGAGGTAATCAATGAGGCTTGTTTTATGCTTCTTTGGTCTGATCGTGTAGGGGCTTGTGCTCCTATGTAATCAACATGGAGTAACTAGTGTGATCAATGTTCGGATGTGTCTCATAAGTCGCACCCTTTCTTTCCGATTTCTCACTTCTCTCCAGCAAAGCATCAGTATATGATAACCTGAAAATGGATCGTACGAGTAACTAGCCAGAAGGAAGTGACAAGTTGAGATAAATCAAGGACAAAAAGACCAGCCCATCCACACATATATGTGACCTGCCAGCAGATCGAGAGGCAAGAAGTAGTGACATAACCGTGACATGGAGAGCTATTCACTTGCTGTTTCCCAGACTCGGGCAGGGCAGCATGCTCCCCCCCTGCAGGGGCTGGAAGCTGGATCCTCGATCCTCGACACACAAACCCCGCGACACTTCAGAGAGGTTAATAACCATCAACGCTTACCACCATTCCTCGCGTTTGTCATTTCCCACTCATCCACTTTCATCAGTATTCACAATGGCTAAGGGTCCGTTGTGGATAGCTAGCTGCAATCGACGTCCAGTCCGGATACATCTGCAGATCCATTGTCAGGCCATGCCTGGCGCCATCTCCGCATGCACAGCTCCAGATCATACAGCCCGTGGTAAAGTGAACAATCCTCCGAGCAAGCCACCACTCTTGGGTGGCCCACGCTCTATCCTCCAGCGGGGAAAAAGCGGGATCCACATCATCAGACGGGGGTTCTAAGGCCATCTTCAAGGTACCAACCACGGACCCCTCTGAATAGAATGGAAGAGTAACCTCATCCAAGCTTGGGTGAGGGAGAAAAGCACCCCTTCGCAGGGCTATCTGCCCCAGATGCAGCGATTACAGGATGCGCCCTCTCAGAGTATTGGTAGTATTGGCCCATGAGCTCACATTCGTGCTCCCAATCGCTACCATTCCCTTGAATAATGCATAGGGCGTCAATCCACATATACCGTATTCCAAGGCGGCGTGTGACCTCGATGGCGTGACGATATGTCTTTGCCAGACTTTCCATCGCAATCTCTTCTTTGTGTTGCTGCAGGTTGTTATCTGTGGTGCGAAGAAGCCTCTGATCCGGAGGTCCCCAGCAGTAGCTGAGCGCGTTATAAACAGCTTGGGGCCCTCCACTCTCAACGAGGTGGATGACATCACAGTCTTCACCTGCAATGCCTTTCTTGCATTCCTCGTGGTTAGACAGGCAGTGGTGCAGTTGCTTTTGCAACCATGCCAACGAAGCTACGGACCCTGGGGGAGCAGGTGGGTTTGAGAATACCTGGCCAGAGCGGCCGTCGGCATCTTCTGTCTTTAGATGTCAGATAGGTTCCCCCTGAAACCATGTGATCAGCGCAACATTGTTGATGATGTTTTCGAAGACTGGCGGGTGACCCCTTCTCCTTTCCAGTCCGCAGTCCGTCTGGGGGAGGAAACAGCGACGCAGAGGTCAAACTGCACAGGAAATTCGAACAGAAGACAGAGAGACTTGAACGTTGTTGGATCGAAGTAACAGGAGTGATGAAACATAACTCACCCCAGTTGGTAAACAGCCAACATGTCGCACGAAACCTCTCTTCGTCATCAATCTTGATAAGACAGGAATGAATTCTGAACTGGCCCGGCTGCAACAATCCGCGCCACACCTTGATTTCGATGGGGGCATCGGCTGTGCCCAGTAACCCCTGAGACACCTGAGGAGACAGGGGAGGAAACTGGCTGACATTTCTGAAGATGAAGGCGCATAAAGCACAGCTCACGGCCGAGGAACGAAGCTCAGAAGCTTTGGGAAGAAGAGAGTGGATGTCCGAGGCAAACCTTTGATAATCCCTGGGCGGCGCAGCGTTCACAAGCTCACAGCTTGCTGGAGACAGCGATATAATCCATTTGGCAAACGCCGAGCATGGCTATGGTCCACTCATCGGGGAAAGAAAGACCACCGAGAACATGAGGGATCCTCGCCATTTTGTACCTCCCTGGGGCTGACGTGTCGGACTCGGATTCGCCCGAAATGGTAAGCCAGTAGGCTAGTAGCCCTCCCTGGGTAGCTGCTGTAATCCATGATCCTTGGAACATGTTCTGTCCAGCCAGCAGCGGACTTCTGGGAGGCAGGCCTACTTATCTGCATTCCTGGGTTTTAATACGTGAGTGCGACATGACATCGCGATAGTGTTTAAAATGTGTTGTACCGACAATTATGGTGAATTATACTCAGGGTCTTAAGGAAGGCAAGTAGAGAAGTCTACGCGTCGTGATGAGAGGTCACTGCATGCTACATTCGGGGTTGGGACCATGATCGACCAGTCAGCCATGCTCTGGGACCCACACATGCATCATACCTAGCCACATAAATCAGGTCTTCCAGGACAGACTTGGCAGTCGCGGTGCATAACTCGCATCTGGGGGTTGTAGACACAACCCATAAGTACCTTGAATAACTGTAATAGGAAAAGAACCTATCGTGTTCATTATCTCGTAACAGGTCTTATAGCGCAACTGCGAAACGGCAGGTGATACAAGACACAATTTGCAGCAAAGGCTGGAATATTATATGAATGCCCCTATTTAGTATATACATATGATGTAAGATCTTAAAATTCTATTCATCATGCTTCACTTCCTCGGTCTCCACCTATTCAGGCTTGTCACCTTCTTCCCTCTCGCCCTCTGCAGTCGCATCCTCCGCCTTGGTCTCTTCCGGCGTCTCATCCAGCGGCTTCTGGGCGTACATAACATTGCTGAACAGTGAGTGTTAGAACATGGAATACCATACACCGGATAGAGACTCACAAGTTACTCAGCAAATGAACGCCCTTCTTCATCGTGTCCTGGCGCACCTTGGCCAAGAACACGGTCACCTCCTCGGGCCGCCAGCCCAGAACCTGGGTGAAGAGAATGATGCTGAAAGCCTCCAGTCCGTCCAGGAGGGCGAGCATGTTCATCGCGCCGATCTCTTTCTGCAGGGTATTAGCTTGGGCTGACTGGCTGTGAAGAGGGAGCAGAAAGAAAAGAGTAGGTCAGCAGCCGTACCATGTGTGGATCCTTGGGCCAAGCGCCCATGGGGATGGGGAAGACTTGGTGCTGGATATTGATGAATCCGGCATCAGCGGCGAAGAGCGGCAGCTTGTCGCCAATAGTCGCGGGACGACCCATGAGGTTACAGCCTTCCTCGATCAGGTCGTATAGGCGGCCCACACTGTTGTCCGCAGGCACACTGTTGTCTTGGCTGTAGCCGGGGATGTGGGAAAACTCCTGGAATTCAATCCAGCCGCCGGGAGCCAATTGTCTGCAAAGAATGTCAGCTGTGCGTGCGAGGGAGTTGCCGCGGAAGGAAGATTTACTCGTAAGCCTGCTTAAAAAGGCCGGGCCAGTCGCCAATTGAGCCACCCATGTAGCGGGCATGGATGAAGTCGAAGGGTTTCCGAGGAGGCCACGAGACTTCGACATCGTCGACTTCAAAACAGACATTGGGCGGGACTCTGCAACGACGAACGGATATGGTCAGTGTTGAAATGGTTCAACGCGGGGTTCGAGGCCATACGTGGTGGGCTGAATGGGGCTCAGGTCGTTTCCAACAATCTGGAGGCACGGGGGGGGGGGGAGTATTAGCAAGTCATGCATGATAGAATTGAGCGGAAAGGGAGATTTGCAGCATACCCACTGGAGTCTCGGGAACGCATCGCCTAGATTCACGTCAGATCGATGCCAGACCATGAGGTCGTCCAAGCTCACATACCGACTTCGATGGCCCACATTCCCGTGCCTGTGCCGATATCGAGAACACGAAGCGGCTTTTCCGTGTCAATGGGGGCGAGGAACAGTTTGCCTCCCATCAGAAGCTTGAAGATGTGATGCAGCGTGTTCAAGCGCCCCTGTTCCCGCTCATCGTTGGGGAACTTGTACCCTACAGTTCATGATCAGCCTTTCTTCCCGTCAGGCAAAGTATTCGATCCGTTGGCCGTTGGTGTAAGCGGGGTTTGTTATTTCGCAGCTGCACTTACGTCCTTCCTGGTAGGAGTGGAACCGTCGGCCGTTGACGAAGTTGAAGTTGAAGACACTGGAGCTCAGCGAGGTGGCATAGCTCTCTCTGCATTGGTTCAGCCATGGGCCTCTTCTTCGGAAGATGGTACCTGGACCACCAAAGAGCAAACATACGTGTCAGCGGCATAGTAATCGCCACTGCCCTCCATCATGTCGGCGTCGGAGTCCTGAAGTCAAGAAGGCGATTGTCAGTCATGGGAGACGGGAGACTTGTCCTTGCAGCGCAGAGGAACGAGGTACCACTCACCTCGGGAACAATGATGGCAGGAGGATCGGCAGGCGAAGGCCTGGAGGGTTGATGATCGGCAGCAGTCGACATTCTGGGGCACGGTGCTCAGATCCGATCGTGGGCAGAGGTCGATCAATGTTGGGGAAAATGGATAGAAAGGGGGGGGGGGGGGATGGCCGGTCACAAAGAGCAGGCGGGTCAGTAATAAAAGAAGAAGGCTGAGAAGCACTGTCTGACGGGGGGCCCTGGCCGTGCGCATCCCCCAGGCCAGGCAACATCTCCACATCGAGGGCCCCACGCCGTTGACCTGTCGGCTGGGCTAGACTGCAAGGCGTTCCTGTTCCGGAAGGCTATCGAGAGGCATCGGGCGTGGCTCGAGACGGCGTGCGCGCCGGTCCTCCCGCGTTGCTCCTCCTGGCAGTCCTCCCCGAGCCCCTGATCAGAGGTTCTTACTTCGTGGCTGGGTGGATCTCTTTCTATCTTGGTCTTTGATAGCCAGCTGCAACCATCACACCATCGCCCCCCCGGATCCGAGCCGGAGGGCTAGCCTCACCCGTCAATCGCACTGTCCTTGACTACCTATCCAGTCGATTCCAGTCGATTCCGTGAAGCACATTCGCTAGCTTTCGGGGTGAATTCTTGCGGTTGAGGCAAAGGTGGAGGAAGTGTCGGGTGGTCCTATTGCTGATCATATCTGGCGATGCGACCGAGTGTTCTAGGGCCAAGTCTGCACATGTGACTCGCAACACGACTTCTGCTCAGATAGTGGGAACAACGGAGATTTTAAAGCCAGAAAGAAGGGCAACAGGCAACACAGCTGATGCGATTCCTGTGTATTATTTAAGAATTTCGAAGGGGGCGAACGTATTACTCGACACCACGCAGTGGGGGCCTCAAACTCCAACCAAGCCCATACATAAATCCTCAACCGTCTAGTGAGTGTATAACCCCAATCTCCCGACCTAACACCCATCAAGAAACCCCAAGTCTCGTCCTGACTTATTCGTCCTCCAACCCCGGAATCCCCAACTCCCTCGTCGCGGGATCCATCGACCGACTCCGTCTCCTGTCCCGATCTCTGTCCTCCGCAGCTACATGTCCATGCCCGTAAACATGTCCCAGCGCCGGCACCGACAGGGCAGAATATGCCTGCCCCTGCCCTGTTGTGGAGTCATCCGGACTTCCATTCGTTGGCTTTCTAGTCACAGCTGTGTATGATGTTGATGTCGATGTCGATGTTGATGTTGATGTCGATGTCGGATTCTGACTGCCACTGCCACTGCCACCGGAGGTCGGAACGGGCGCTGTCGGCGGAGACACATTGACATTAATATTCGTGTTCAGGTGCAGCGGTTCCGGCGAGAGGTGTGCCCAGGAGGGTAAACTGTATTGCGCACTTGTGGGTCGGGAGCGGGGGTGAGATTGGGATTGTGTCTGTGTCTGTGGGCTGTTATGGCCCGAGGCTGTCGGTGTACCGGCAGGGGTAGGCTGTCCCGGACTACTAGTAGTACTACTAGTAGTTGACGGGGAAAGATGCCCCGTCCCCGTCGAGGGAGGCGACTGCGAATGCGCAGCCCTGAGCGGTAACGGCAACCCCAACGGTCCAGAAACAGAAACAGGAACACTATGCCGATGGCGATGATGGACATTTCCCATCCTCTCCAACGCCGGAACCTGCAACACCTCCTCGAGGTCCTCACCCGTCCACAACCGCCGAATCTGCACCTCGCTGCACGGCTCCGGCGCGTGCATGTGTCCCAGGATCGAGCGACGACACCACGCGTGCGCGTCGCCGGGGGTGGAGAAGCCGAGTAGCAGTCCGCCGCCGTTGCTTTCGCGGATGTAGGTCATGCTGGGGCTGAGGGGGAGGTAGATGGTTGTGGGCTCGGAGGCGAAGATCCGCGATTCGCGGTTGAGGGTCTGGTAGGCGTGTGCGTGGGTCGGGGAGTTGAAGACGAGTTTGAGTTCGGGGGTTGGGAGGGTGAGGTAGATGTCTAAGGAGGGATGGGGGTGGGACATTTTGTGTGGTGGGTTCTGTCTGGATTGATGATTTAGGGCCCGGGAGGGGAGAGGGGAGTTGGTGTGGTGGTGTGGTGGTGGTGGTGGTGGTGGGGTGGAAAGTAAGAGTTCAGAGCGAGAGGGGAAATGGATGCCTTCTTAAGGGTTCTGGAAGTCATTCTCGTTGGTCGGTTAGTTATTTTTATCGCTGACGCTGACGGGGACTGAAAGTGTACCCTGTCCGGGTGTCCAACATTGAGGCTGGTGCGACTGCGGCCCTATCCGAGTCAGACCAACACGAGCGGGGAGGGACTCGCATGGATGGATGGTTGGTTGGTGTCACCACCTTAGTTCCAACAAATGTCCCCCACCCACTCGGACAAAGCATCATCGCGGGCTGTGTCACTGTCACTGTCACTGTCAGTATCTAACTAACACTACCGTGTTTTCTACCCGCGCTGCACAGCCTCATGCTCCACCAGATCTGGTACCAGTCAATACGATCCCCAACTCGCGGCCGTGACACAAAACGCCACACTCCATTCTTATTCTGATGTCATTCATTCGCTTGACCGCCCTTTGCGAGGATCATGGATCATTTAGTTTGCGTAGTGTCTGGCTAGTACTGGTTAGTGACGGACTAATCCCGTTGGTGGTGGGGATGGACCGTTGGAGTCAGTGTCGGCGGTGGAAATGACAGCCGGCGCCACCGGTCGGTTATCGCTCTTCGGGGTCTGTCTTCCGGGTGAGATGGATCCAGGGACTCGGGGTTAAGGGTTAAGCAGGGTGGCGGGTGGTAGTTAGTCGGGTGGGATCTGAGGGAGACTCACCGGTCGGGAATTGGAGTGCCGGAAGGGCAGGGGGGGGTACGGATTGATGTCGCCCGGGACTGTGAGGCAATGGGAAGATGGCTGGAACGTGCCGGGAAATGATTTCAGAGAGTCATGCCGGATTCAATCGCGTTGGGCTTGGTTTCATCGAAGAATTAGTAGTTGTTTCTCTTCCGGCAAATACAGCGGTAGATTGTCCAGACCGGGAAGATACGATCTCCAATGCTTCATACAGTACTATATTTCCAAAAATCGGTTCAATCATATATTTCCATCATCACTATTACCATTATATACACCCCTCCACAGCGATACAAACATCATGATTATCGGGCCATCCACATTTTACCCCCTTTCCTCTCATTAGACATGACTATTCTTTCCGGCTATACATTACCCGAGCAGCATAACATCTCCTCTCATCTCATCTCATCAATCGTTTAATCGGAAGCGTCACCCTCCTGGCACTTAATCGGCCCGGAGGGGTAGTTCAGGGTGGTGGTGGTGTTGTAGTCCCACCAGAAGCTGAGGTACTGGGGGTACGACGCCGGCACGTCGCAGGTGCTGGTGTAGTCGGGCAGGTTCTTGTTCAGGATGGAGGTGTAGTTGGCCAGGGAGCACGAGTAGCCGGGCCCGTCCGTGCAGTCGTTGAAGGGCACGACGCCCTCGTTCAGCACCAGGCGGACGTAGGGGCCCGCCTTGGAGATGGGGGTCGCCTTGCAGCTGAGGCGCTCGATCACGAAGTGGCCGCCCTGGGGGACGATGTTGCCGGTCGAGTAGGGGTTGCCGAAGGGGATGCGGTCGAGGGGGAGGTCTTCGTCGGGGATGAGGATGCCCAGGGCGGCGAGGATGGGGGTGATGTTCGTGTCGTGGGCGCTGCAGGTGGTTAGTTTTTTTTGGGGGGGGGAAGGGGTGGTTGTGGAGACGTACAAGTTGAAGAAAATAGAGCCGGCTTCCTCCGGACCCTGGTTCAGGAGAGTCAGACTGGCGTTGGCGTAGACGGCGCCGACAGCGGCCATGTTCTTGTCACCGGGACTGTGGGTTGTTAGTGGGGTTCGGGTGGTGTGGAGGAGGGAGCTTACCCCGCGCAGTAGTAGTAGTTCAGGTCCTCGACATAGCCAAAGCTGACCCATTCGTCCTGGGTGAAGGCGTTGATCCAGTGGGAAAAGGGGCGGGCGTTGAGCTCGTAGGAGGCCATCACTGGAGTCTGTTAGTTGGTGTGATCCGCTTGGGTCTGGTTGGAGAGGAAGAAGGCTTACCCATCAGGTTGTAGATATCGCTGGCGGTGAGGTTCATGCCAGGGTTCTGGGAGTTCAAACGAGCAGCGGCCACCTTGAACTCGGGCATGATGTTGGTCAGGGCGTTGCAGGTCGTCTGGTCGTTGTCGACATCGCAGCTGGGGGTCAGACTGTCGGCACCCTGGGTCTCCGACTCGGTGATGATGTTCAGGGCCGCGTTGGTGGAGTAGTTGTATCCGAAGAAGCCCTCACCGAACTTGCGCGCGGTGTTGATGACACGGCTGTAGCCACTGGAGAACAGAGGCACGACGGACTCGCCGTCCCAGAGGTGGCCGTAGCGGGCACGGTACTCGTTACCCATGGCGTAGCCGTCCAGTAGACCGGCGTAAGGGCCGCTGAAGGTCTCGGCGTTGTAGTAGCACGCGTCGGGGACGTAGTAGGTCCAGTCGTTCAGGAAGGCCAGGTCGCCCTTGTAGACGGTGGAGTTGGCCTTGTAGACCTTGGCCAGGGCGCTCTCGATGCCCTCGCCGGCGGAGGGGGAAGGGTAACGCTCGCCGTGGCGCTTGATGGCGATGACCTGGTCGACCTCGCAGCCGGTGGGGGGATCGCGAGCGACACCGTAGGACTGACGCTCGGAGTAGGGGCCATTGCCGCCGTAGTGCTTCAGGATGCTGTAGCTATCGCGGAACTCCTGGGAGAACTGCTTCTCCTGGGAGGCCTGGGGGTTCCCGGCGCCATAGGAGTAGGCAGAGGCCCCAGTCGCGATGCTCAGGGCACAGGCGAGGGTGAGGAGGGCGGGAGAAGGCATTGAGGCGGATGAGGAGGGGGGAGGATGAAGAAGGTTGGAGGTGAGGAGCAAGCTGCATCCGGAGAGAGGGACTTCGATGGGGGGGTTTTATACCCCTCACTCGGACAATTGTTGCCCGGCACGCAGACCGGCCGTCCAGCTGTAGGTCGACGATGTTCCCACCGAGGACGGAGCAGTCGGGAGCCACCAGGACGTGGGCAGGTCGGACGGGAGGTGAAGAGAGCCAGTGACAGAGGGCCTGGACAGCCCACGTGCTCAGCATCCCAAAGCGAGCAGGCGGGAAGTGCCTGGGAAGTGCCTGGGAGGTGCCTGGGAGGTGCCTGGCAATGGCTGCCAGTGCCTGCCAGGCAGGGCTGAGTGGAGCCCCGGTGGATCCCCCCGGGTTCGAATCACACGCCCTGGCCCCGAGGCGTGGCTGCGGGGGGCATCCCCATTGGCCGGGGGGCGGTGGGTCGGGCATAGACCAGCCCTCTGGTTGGCCGCGGAGAACAAGACAATGGGTGCAAAGAGCCGGACTGCTCGTTCTCTCCCCGGGGTTGCGTGGTCGTCTCTCGCGATGCCGAGGATGCAGGGGATCAGGGATTCGTCCTCCGCAAGTCTTCTCCGTATCTGCAACGTCAGTCTTTAATCTTCACTAATGGAATTACTTAACCGTACCTGAAGATACACACACACACACACACACGTGTCCCTCGTGCAGTTGTGCTCGATCAGTATTTTAGGCTTTCCCACGCAAATGTCACCTTCATCTGAGCGCAGTCCAGGATCAAAGCTATCCCTCCAAGCTTTTTGGCCAAAGCTTGGTCCGGAGAGCCAAGGCTCCAGTCCCTCCGCCACGCGGCGACATCACTGGCAGCCATTGAATCCGCGGCACCGGGGTCTTCCACGAAGCTTCTGTCACCCCCCCGATTCGTGGGTGTGACGCGAGGCCTTTGATACATGCAAGGAACAGCGCCATCGCAGAAGCTAGGACGGAGCTCGACCGGGAATACGATTTAGCTTCTACTTCGTGCGGCACAGCTGCTGAGCTGGGGACAGGGATCACAACGAATGATCAGGCAACTGCTGCCAATGAGCTGGCGGCGTGACTCGGGTAGATGGGAGGTGGTTGTACCACTGACTTAGGGCACTTCCACCGCGAACTTTCTTGGAGGTACAAGCCTGTCCTCCGTCGGAAGTCCCGACGGTGGTTCCCTCGTTCTCTATCATTCTCCCACGTGCGTGCCTTGTATCCCTGCTCGTTCGTTGGTGAGCACTGCTTCCAGTCGGCTGTATACGGCGTCAGCAGAAGAAGGCTTTGCAGTTGCCTAGAGTCCAGCAACGCCCTGCTGGCTGGCTGTGAGAAGCGATGATGTTGTGGGATTGTTTCCGGTGTTGGTGAGCTTTGTTGGTGGATTGCTTTTGCGGACAGATAGTGGATCGCCTGCTGGCAGCTCCAGCAGCACTGTTCAATGCCAAGCTTTGATTGGACTCGCTGTATGCGGTACTTCTTTCTCCCTTGGCCTAGGGCATGCGGACAAGCCCACCAGGATAGGCGACTAGTAGACCCTGGTGAGATTTGCCATAGGGCGCAGCGGACACCACTGCACTACAGCCCTGGGCTGTGCAGTAGGAGTAACAGTGGGGCATGATCTCACATTGACAAGTTCCCCTTCTCGTCTATGTTGTATATAGGGAGGACATATTTTTGTTGTCGATTGAGATGTTGATTTGAAGGATGCAGACGAGTCCAGCCATGCCGGTAGCACTGTGTCATTCACAGTTCCCATATTGCAGGCAAACCATACGACGGGGATCACGACCGATGCTTTCAACACTGCCAGTGTTACCGGGCGGTTCCCACAGCTATTGATAAATGTAGTTCTCTCTGTGTTAGATGGTTAATGTGTCAATCAACACCTGCAACTGGCCCCTTGTTACTGCCGTCGCTGGATGCTGCAGGGACAGAGTGGAGGAGATGGCATGAGATCTCATGGGCTCGTCATTGTATCGGATTGCGTGCGTATAACAAGCCCCTGGATCTCCTCTCGGTGATCGGGGTGGTTGCGGCCTTGCGGCCTGGAGGCTGCTGCTGCCTGAGGCAAGCATCCCGGCGTCCCGGCCGGGAATCCAGTCAGTTTGAGCCGAGATTGGGGTTAGCGCGGATTTGGATCCGATGGGAGCCTGACTGACAGGGCACCATTCTCGGTCGGAGTTAACGGAGATAATGCTTCCACGGCCCGACGGTGTTGTGGGCTCGGAGGCAGCTTAACAATCGTGGCGAGAAAGCTTCCGAAGGAGGAGACTGTAGGCAGCAGAGATGGAGTGAGGTATGACTCAGTGGAGCTGGCAGCGGGAGATGAGCGCCCAAGTGTGGCTCCAGCAGGGAGATACTATATATATATCTCACCCCACCTGCCGTGAACCGGCTGGCCAGTGGCCGCACATCTCAAATAACTACTGTAGATCTCGCCCCTTTTAAGACGACATCTATTCGAGATCGCTCAGTATGCTGCTTGGAGGAAGGAGCAGATGGGAGAGAAAGCGTAGATAGTAAATGGGAACAGGAGAGGAGAAGGTGGATACCGATCTCCCGGGTAGGGGCGAGACTGTGGGGAAGACGAAAGGGAGGGGTGTGATTGTTAATCCAGAGCAAACATTGTAGTAGTAGTAGTAGTCTAGTAGTAGTAGTCTAGTAGTAGTAGATAGTAGTAGTGTATAGACCCCGGTCTGCACGTGACCCCCCGACTAGCGAGCGCGCGCGACGAACAACTCGCGATCGACTTTCGCTCACTCCTCTTCCCTCTTCTCTTTCCCTTCACTCCCCTCTCCCATGACCTGCTTCATGGTCGCATCCAGCTCTACAAAACCCCCCCCTCCAATGACGCCATCCTCGACGCCCCATCCCCTCCCTCGCCATGTTCCACCACGTTCAGATGCCCCCTCCCCCCGGCGAGGATGCCCCCCGCTTGATGCGTCGGGGAAGACCAAGGATCGCACCCGACGGGCATGCGAGCGCTGCCGCCAGATGAAGATCAAGTGTAACGGGGCCATCCCGTGCGGCCACTGCCGGACCTCCTTCAACGGTGCGACCCTCCGCCAAGGTGTGGGACACGGCTAACGGGCAGGCACTCGGATAGACTGCGCCTACCCGGAGCCACGGCGCAAGCGGAAAGCCTCCCCGCATTCCGACCGGCTGCACGACCTGGAGAAGAGGATCAAGGCCATGGAGGAGTCCCGCCACCCCAACATGATACCGAAAGACCGCCCACACCCATCCTCCGATTCCCCGAACCCCCCCATTCCGCCGCAGTACGCGCCACCGGTCATGCCCACCGCAGGCCTCACCGGGGCTTCCCACGAGCCCGAACCAACCAGTACCGATCCCATAGTCCAGGGTCGCCTCACGTACGGCGAAGCACGCTCGGGGGGCTCGGCTTCCGACCGTGCGTTCATCGAGCGCCTGAAGGCGGAATTGGGGGACTGGGCAACCGCGGATTTTGACAGTCGGCTGCGGCTTCGGGAGAAACCAGGCGTGCAGCTGTTCCAGTCGAGGAGCCCATCGGCGCATACGGTATCGCTGCCCCCTCGCGACCGCGCAGAGTACCTGATCAACTTAGCCATAGACGCCAGTGTGCTCTACCATGTGCTCCACCAACCGACCTTCGACGCGACCTTCGAACTGTTGTACACGTTGGATCGGAACGACTACGGAGAAGGGGAGATGAGGCATATCCCGCTCGTCTACGCGCTCATGGCCTTCGGCTGTCTTTTCGAGCACATCGGCGAGGGCTCATCGGAGACGGGAGACGAGTTGGCGGCTGAAAGGTAGACCCCGTGCCCTGGATCGCAGGGCAACAGGCTGACAGGAGCAGTACTAAATACTTTACCATCTGTCGCGATCTCGTGGATCTGCAGAATTGCAGTGACCCAGTCACTCTCCAAGCCATCTTTTATATGAACCTCTTCATTTTGAGCACGGAAAGACTCTCTCCGAGTTACACCTGTCTCTCCCACGCGTTCTCGCTGGCGGTGCGCCTCAACCTCCAGCGCCCTAGCGTGCGGGAGATTCCCATCATGGTGGAGGTTAAAAGACGGCTATTCTGGTGTCTCCGACAGCTGTTGACCTTTGTGGCGACGATGGGTGGATACCCGCGGCCAATCGATGGCCGCGAGATCGACGTCGAACACCCCCTGGATATTGATGACTCGATAGCCACGAAGGCACACGGAAGTCCCATCCCATTGAGAACCATGTCGGGATCTGTTGCTCTGCTGAAGCTTTATTGTATATTTGATCGTATTGCTCAACAGCTCTATCCTCCTCCAAGTGCGAGGAGAGCAAAAGACAGCAATGGGTTCGTGAAACAATTGGTATCCAAGGACACCGTTGCGTGCCTCGAACTGGAGTTGCAGGACTGGGCCGCGTCACTGCCCCTTGGTTGCAGGCTTGGGAACAGCAGACACGCCGCCCACCAGGAAAAGTAGGACAATGAATCACACGCCCAATCTTGGCCTAGGCTGACCGATAACAGGGCGAAGTACGAGCTTAGCATGTCCTACGAACACGCTCAGGTTGTTCTCTATCGTTCCTTTCTGCACTACTACACCGAAGACCCGGACAAGAGCAGTCACAACGAATTCCAAACATATGCATCTAGATGTGTCGATGCCAGCCGCAGGCTGATACACTTGGCGGAGGACATGCAACGGGATGGTCTCCTGTATGGTGCTCACTGGAGGATCGCGTACATGATTTGCACGGCCGCTTTAGCCATGATCTATATCATCGTCGGCTTCAAGGAATCGAACGCGGCAAGTAATCTGAGGACTGAAATCAACGCGACGAGAAGAATGTTGATGTCTCTCTGGCCGTACAGCACCCATTCCCGTCGTCTTCACGTGGTCTTAATGGTAATGTCCTGTCTTCGACCCGAAGCCTTAGCTAATTTGTCAGGTCTTGACCACCGCGTTCTCCAAATCCGACCACGGCTCGCAGTCTCAAACGCCAAGCGACACGCCAGGAACGGCGCCCAGTAATCACGATAGATCGTCGACCGCCCTAATACCAGACAACACGTTCAGAGGAAACCCCCAAAGAAAGGATGGCATGGATCGGATCGCCGCGCAGACGGCCGCTCACGATCCAGGTGTAATGCAAGGCAACGTAGAAACGCGGACAACCGGGGCGTTCCCCATGCTTCCCGGCACCCAGCAGATTGCCCATCTCGAGTCTGCGCTCACAAATTCGGGCTATGCGGCCCCCCAGCTCCCGCAAAGCAGTTCGGCTGGGAGTCTGCCCGCAACAGTACTGGAAAATGGGAGAAATAGAATCGCTCAGCCACCCGAACATACCATGGAAGCACTTTCCGGGGCTACCCATGATTATGGACTGCCGCCGCTGATTTCAGAGACAGCGCAATACCTTGAAGGACGGCCATTCAATCTTCACCAGGGGACGGAGAGCGACGGGTTTCTATACCCACGGGAGCTGAGCGACTTTGACGGAATGGCCGGCGAGTTGCTGAGCCTGGACTATTTCTTTTAGATGGCCCAGTGCCCTGTTGGACGCCGAACTTCACCAACTGGACATGTCGGGATGGGAATAGCCGTAACACTTTTGTTGAAGGACTGGGAGCAGCACTTGATCCGGCTGAACAGAGGAAATGGGAGCCCTGGGCCGAGAAACCGGCCACTAACGCCAAAACCGGGCTGGCAGGTCCGAGAGCCGGCTGTCAGGGCCTCAATTACGGACTTCGGCAAGGAACCCGATACAACGTGGCAAACCAATCCTGTGCCATGATAGATGCTAGTCGATTCAATGTTGGAAGACACCGGTTGTTTGATGTAGTGCAAGGCGGCCTTTGCTTTACGATGCCCGGCCCGGGCATGCTCCTGGCACAGATCGTGTCCATATATTTATGGCCAGGGGTACTCAGTTTCTTCACATGGTTCTTCCCATGAATGGGCAACGCAACTGTCTCGTCTACGAGACCCTACCCTGACTACCTCTGCATTGGTATCTCATAAAATAGCCCAATACTCGATTCTTAAGCACCATGGCAAGCACCCAGGTGAGATCATCTTGTAGCACAATAACATTTTCACAGACCCTGTTCTAAAACAATACCTTCAGACATCAGACACATACCCCCTCATTGATCTGGAAAAAGACATAGTGGGATGGGAGAGTGCAGATGATCCGTCAAATCCTAGGTGAGGCAGAACCCTAGCGCATTCAACTCACGCGGCTGACCCCTGAGCAGGAACTATCGTGTTCCTCGGAAGTGGTTTTTGATGCTACTCATCAGCATGATCACGTTCGTCAGGTAAGCTTGAACTGCCCCTTGCTCTGGTCCGAGCATGAAATAACGAGTCGTTCAGTCCGTTTGCCTCTTCCGCTTTCTCCCCCGGAGCGGCCTACGCAGAAGAGGACTTCCATGTCACATCTACCATACTGGGAACTCTGTCCGTGACAGGGTACCTTATCGGCTATGTGGTACGTACCATACCCACCCGTCGAATATACCCCTTGCTCAACACGCAAACAGACCGGCCCACTCGTCTTCTCCCCGATGAGTGAGATGTTTGGCCGACGGATCGTTCTCAGCGGCGCCAATACCTTCTTCGTCGCTTTCCAGATTGGCTGTGCGCTGGCCCCTAACATCTCGGCTTTGATTGTCTTCCGCTTCCTCACTGGCGTTGGTGGCTCTGCCTGCTTGACAACCGGCAGTGGCGTTATTGCCGATCTATTTGTCGCCGAGCAGCGCGGTATCGCCATGGCTTTCTACACCACGGGTGTCCTTATCGGCCCTGTCTGCGGTCCGCTTCTGGGAGGGTTCATCGCCCAGCGGGCAGGTTGGCGATGGGTAGGCGTCCACCCGAGATCCCCTCGGCTCGATACTAACCATGTCAGGTCTTCTGGGTCCTTGTCATCGCGGGCGGCACCTTCTCCGCTCTCGTCATGATCTTCAACAGCGAAACCAACCCCGTGGTGCTGATGCGCTGGAAGACAGAACGTCTCCGGAAGGAGCTCAATCGACCCAACCTCCGCAGCTGCTACGACCAAATCAAACTCGACGACAAGTCAAACAACAACATTTCCCTCAGAAAACGCCTCACCATGCCCTTCTATCTCCTCGTCCATTCCCCCATCGTTGCCCTCGTGGCCCTCTACCTGGCCACCCTCTACGGCTGTCTCTACCTTCTCTTCACCACCGTCTCAACCGTCTTCAAAGACACCTACCACTGGTCCACAGAGATCAGCGGCCTCGCGTACCTCGGCCTCGGAGTCGGGTCCATGTTCGGCCAAGCCATCTTCGCTCTAATGAGCAACCGGATCATCGCGCAACTACGACTGCGCAACAACAATATATTTGAGCCAGAAATGCGTCTCTCCATCACCATCTTCTTCGCCATCTTCATCCCCATCTCCTTCTTCTGGTACGGATGGTCCGCGCAGGAGAAAACCCACTGGATTGTCCCCATCATCGGTCTCGCGCCGTTTGGCTTCGGCATGATCGGTATCTATAATACCCTGCAGACTTATGTCATTGATTGTTATCCCAGGTATGCGGCGTCTGCCATGGCCGCTCTCGTGGTGACGAGGGCGTTGGTGGGGGCGTTCCTGCCGTTGGCGGGACCAAGCATGTATGCTTCCTTGGGCTATGGGTGGGGGAATTCCTTGCTGGGGTTTGTCACGCTCGGGATGATTCCGGTGCCGGTGCTGTTTTACCGCTTTGGGGGGAGGCTGAGGAGGGGGTCGAGGTTGAATTTGGAGTGATTGTTGGATTGTGTGGGGTGAGGGGGTTGGTTGGTACGGTTAGCGTTTCTGTGGATGGTAGATTTGGTTTTGTCTTTTGCGAAGCAGTTTCATGGGAGCAGTATAGACTAATAATATGGGATCATGGGTACACAGTGACGATTGGGTTTACATACGGCTTCATCACACTTACTACATTGCTGCGGGAGAACTCTCGGACGCAATTTGTCCTCCCAGCACTATGGAGAGTGGAAGTTGCTTAGCTCGATTAAATCGATTAGACAATACATCTTGAAAATGATACACCGAGAGAGAGCCCAGGAAGAGTCTGGTCAGGATAGGCGTTGGTTATTTGCATCAATTTGCTACGTACATCACTGCAAGGAGTGTAGAAAGCCGAATAACAAGACATAATCAATCAACAAGCGGATGCGCAGTCAGTGGAAGACTTGAAGGAATGACAGGCCAACCACAGGACATATAATCATCATAAAAACAGAAATTCACATGTCCGAGTGAGAGGAATCGTGTCCGAGAAAGACCCATCACAATACCTACTTTCCAACATCCCACTCGTGGGCCCATTTGGCAATATCAAAATTCCAAGGACCTCCCACGGACTTGGTGCTGGAACAAACGCTTGTATCCTTGGCGTTGAAGGCTTTGCAGTATGGTCTAGCCAACGTCGAAAAGGTAGTGGAAATGTTAGCGCGTCGTGAAGAATCCGATGGTCTTAGCCACAATTTCCAGTAAACCCAGTGATCTCGTATCGAGTGCCAACGTCGCTGCTCTTGCCCCCGGTAAACACGTCGATTTTATATGTCTTGTACATCCCTCCCAATCGGCCACCCTGCGACCTCTGAGCCTGGACGGTCACAGGAAAAAGGATTGCTCTTTTTCAGAGAAGATGGCGAGAGAATGCAGAACACAGGATAGGGCAAGGACTTTAATCTCTTCCTCCCTCCGCAGTTGACGCAAATGGAAACTCCTCCGGCGATGAATAGGGTTTTCTTCTGATTACTCCATTTATTTGCAGCAGGTGGCGGGTGGACGCCAGTCTTTACCGGGTCGAAGGGGTTCTTGCCATACCTTTCGATTGTTGTCCCCCCATCCACTGTCAACGCGCTGCCTGTGATGATTATCTCTCAGATCACGTCGGCGGTCTGGGAGGTGCTTTAGAATACATACAAAACTCGTGGTCTTCCTTTGCACAGCATTGCCCAACAGTCAGCGTCAGAAATCCCCAAGGCTGGCTATCCAGACTGGCGTGCTATCGAGTAGTGCAAACTGGTCCCTTGATTTAGAAGTCCATATCTAATCCTCATTGATCTTTGCGATGACACATGGACGGGAAGTTGTGTCAAATTCGGGTCAAGAAACCCGTTCGGCTTGATCGCTTCGAGGACTCTATGTCGTTCCTTCTGCCTCGATTCTGCCTCCTATCTTTGTATCTTCCATGGATTGCAACAGTAACCCTCCATGTCTTCCCATATCTTCGCTTTTCAATTCAGCTCGGCGTTGGTGGTGGTCAGCTACCGTCGATATGGAAGCTACAGTTCTCGATTTGTCTCTTCCAGCGTGTCACCACGGTTAGCCCATAGGCTGAAGAAGTTGAAGTCTGCCGAACCTGCCATGCATCGCGTGGTAGACGCGTGGTTGGGCTGGTGGAGTAGGCGAATCTGAAATTTCAAGGCAAGGATGCGAGAGAATCGCACTGACGACATGACAGAAAAGCTAGATGAGGCCCGAGGAACCTCGATGACTCGATTCACTTGCGATGCATTCACTGCCTCTTGTTGATGACTGCCTGCTCGACTTCTCTCCCCCATCCCTCTCTTCTTCTACCCTTCCTTTCATCTTTCCTTCACCTTCATCAAACAGTCATTCCCATCCTCTCATCGACCCTCTGCTCCCCCACTCGCGTCCTTCCGCGTCCTCAAACCGCTATCTCCATCTCCCATCTCCCATCCCACCTTCATCCGCCCAGAACCATGTCTCCCCAGCTACACGTCACGACTCACGAGATATGTTACCAGGAGACCGCCCGTCAGTCCCATCCTTACGCCCCCTTCAAAAGCCACACCCCCCACTAACACCACCCCAGATCTCGGCATCACTCCTGTCTCCCATGACCGCCTCCGCGCCTTCTATCGCGGCGCCCTCGCGAAGATCCAAGAGACGCATACTCGCCTTCCCCACGCCATGGAGGTTGTTCTCCGGTTCGAGGAGAACTCGCACAACGCCCGCGACACGATCGAGTTTGTGGTCGGTCATCCTGGTCCTCTCCGTTTCCATTTCTGATGCCATGGTCTGACGGTGACGGTCTGCTGCGTACTAGATCCGAAATACGGAGAGGACTACGATGCAGGATCAATTGTCTGGGTTCGTCCATATGGTGCATGGACTTTGTGCGCACCCGAACGGTCGGGGTCGTGGCGTGGATATCGAGGTCAATTTCTTCTTGTAACTGGGACCGAGGTGGGTTGGAGAAAGTGTCTGTCGGATAAGGGATGTCTGGTGTTCGCTCGCGGGGGTTGTTCGGCTTGCCGAGTGTTTTGAGGCAAGTCGGGAGCATTTATGAGACACTGTCGAGGGATGTTCGGTGCTCTTTGTTTTTGTACGCCGTCCGCACGGAATCAGGGCATTATCTCGGATTTCGTGCGATGCGCCCGTCATATGTTTCCCACTTCCTTTTGAGCGAGCTCTACTCCTGTCTTGCCTTGGATGAGCACCGGACGGTAGCTGGTATCGCCGGTGACTACGAGAAAGTCCTTGATGTGCATCGGGCAGTTTCTTGAGATTATCTTCAACATCTATCCGAAATCATGTAAGCGCGGCTGTCGCATCGTGAAATGACCATGTCGGATAGTCTACCCCGGCGCCATAATAGCTCAAGAGTGTAGCTGTAGATACGGGACAGTCAACTGGGAAAATCTGGAGCGAGGCTGGTGGAGATGGAACGAGATAAATCTCTCGAAGTACGCCGTGACATATCTGCCTAGTTCCGCATCGTGTGATATTCTCGATCTTCTGCGCAAGATCAGCGGCCAGTTTCGTCAATGTCGTGTGCACACTCTCATTCTGAGCGGTGGCTTCCTGGTGGACAAACCCATCGGTCTCGTCACTGACAACCGACTCCTTATAGTAAAAGAGCAGGTCGTTGACACCGTTGGTGAAATCGTTGCGATCGGCCGTTATGTGAAGAAACGTGCTGAGACGGTCGAGAGTATAGAGCTCCTTGGTGAGGATGAAGTATGCTGAGGGATATGCGTTGGACCTTCTTAGGTATTGCCAGCGTGATTGACGAACAGTCCCCCGACCACAGGTGCCATGATATCTAACAGGTCATTATTTTAGAGCCCGTGCCCGACCCCACCGAGCCTCAACCTGCGAAGTTGGGGTTACGGAGCAGGTTTCTTGTGGTCCCCGAGATCCACTGGGCCGACTGCGGAATATCAGGGCATGTCACCCTTGACGACGACCAGAAGACGCGCCATTTGATCTGGAACTATGGTTCACAAGTATCAATCAGGCCATCTTTATAATTTTCTTTCCCTAGACCCGAACGTATCAAGAATGATCGATGGGTGATCAACTCTTCAACCATTCAAGCCTCCGTTGAATCAGCCTTTTCCTCTTCCTGTTGATTCCTGGCCAACCTTCGTCTTCGATGATCTTTGAGCAGAAAGATAAGGGCGAGAACAGTGCCGAATGCCGTCAACCCGACAGAAAACCAGAGCGTCCCCCGGTAACCATGAAGCAATTCGGCCTTGGTGTGTCCGCCATTGTTGATCTGAAGTTCAATGGTCCCCGCGAAACCAAGACCCAGCGATATACTGTAGACAACAATCGTCATGATCACACTGGATCCCATGCCCTGGTACTGACGAGGCACTGCGTTCGAGAACATGATCGTGGCAGCAGGCAACGATGAATCCATTGCAAAGGTGGCGATGAGGGTGGCGAAAAAGAAGTAGGTCCAGTACGTCGAGTGCACGGGTCGCAAGGCCATGAGAAGGGAAGTGAGGAAGTAGCAAAGCATGGCAAACAACATGATGGACGAGGCTGGAACCTTGTTGATTATTTTGCCAACGACCAATGCTGTTGATATGCCGGTGACGAGGATAGGAGAAAGCCAGGCAGCCAGTTGAATGGGAGTCTGGCCACCGATATTGAGGCATATTCGGAGGACGTAGAAAAGCTGGACCTATCGTTAGTTTGACATTCTTTCGGAGGAAAGATCAGTACTTACCCAGATGCCAAATGTCGACCAGCCCGCTGCGGTACAGCCCAAGGCGAAGGCGATGTCGGAAGTAAGGACGTCGACAGGTAGGATTGGATAGCGAGCTAGGCGAAGTTCGATGTAGAAGAACGCCGCCAGGAACACGAAACTGAGGATCAGGCATACGTAGACGTAAGGCTCGTCCCAGGTAGTGACCAGGCTCTGATTCCAGGCGAAGTTGAACAGAACCAGAGCGGTCACACCGCTTGCACCTCCCAGGAGATCAACGCGGTCCAAGGTTTCGCGAATCGTTCGTCGCTGTTGTTGCTCACCCTCGACAGGCATGTTTGGAATTGCCACGATGGCGAGGACGAAGAGAAAGGCAACCCCCAAAGCCTGACTCCAGTAGATCCATGGCCACCACGCCATGGCGAAGAGGGGCCCGAAGAGGAGACCTGCCATCGCACCGACTGGAGCTGATGCAGCAAACCATGCGAACCCCATGTTTCGAGGGCCCTGGGAGAAGCATTTGCCCATGATGGCGAGTGCATTGGGCACAGTTAAGGCGGGACCGAGGCCCTGCAGGACACGAGCAAGGATGTAGACGGGGTAGCTGGCGTAGACAGAGGCTCCTGCCATCATGCTGGTCAAAGCAAGCCAGCCCATCCCGATGATGAAGATTGCCTTGCTGCCAAACTCGTCCCCCAAGCGTCCTCCGATCAAGATGAATGTGCCTAGAGTCAGGCTGTAGCCAGCGATCGTCCACGAGAGTTTACCAGGCTCGGTGACGCCAAAGGAGTCCCCGATTATTTCGAGCGTCGTGAGGCTGTTGCATAGGCCCATTTGATTGGTGAACATGGACGAACACACCGTCATGATGAAGAGGATCCGCCGAATCAAGTGGTAGCCATCGGCAATGTAGACGTATTCATCTTGCGCAGTCTGTGCGGAGCCTAGACCTGAATCCGCATGGGTTAGCCACCGCGTCCAACAGGCCTCCAGCTTCTGCAGGGTATCTTTGGAGAGCTATCTACCATTATCATGCCTCGATGGTGGAATTCCGGAATGATGCGATGCAGGTTCCTGCCCTTCCAGAGATGGGGTGGTCATTGTGAATAGGATTGAATAGTACTTGGCTGTAGCGACGGGCGACGAGGCTTGCGGAGAAAAGAACGAGAATCAAATCCATGGAAGATGAAGGGAGGGAAGTAGAGAAGAGGGCACCGCTAAGCCCATCTGTCCACAAGCACAATGCGGCCTCTTTGGATGCTGTGGGAATGTCGATTTGTCAGAAACCATTTCCGGGGTAATAATCACACCGTCTACAGTATAAAGTCTCCGTGGTTGCAGGCGTGGTAACGTAATCGGACGCTGACCACTCCTCTCAACCAATTCACCTGGTTTACTCAACCTGGCATGATTCAGTCAGAATTAAAGCTATCCAGATAAATAGAAAGTCTACCTTGAGATAAGGGACTAGCTCTTGCTTTGCGATTTAATTTGAAACAGGCGTGTGCGGCTGCTTCTGATATCAAGGGAAATATTCTAAAAGAGTGATGAAAAGAGATTACAATGCAAATCATGGCAAAGGATCTTACGATCAAGAGTTGGTGTTCAAGGGCAAGATTTGTGATATAGATTTCCATGACTATATGATGGACTTACTTGCAGGATAGATTTCCTTACAAGGGTCGTGAACCCAACCTCCTCGCGGGTTTGTACTTGAAAATATATATGGGATTCTACGGGTCAGCAGGTAGCTGCGGGTAATGATGTGGTAGTAGTAACTCCCCTAGATTGCACACTTACACTTAACTCAATTATGAGTATTCAGTCTAAACATCTTATTCATCAAGTCCTATTATTTGAGTCAGCTAGAGAGTATACAAATTATATGACTTGAGTACGGCTGAGCGGACAGGAAGCCTTGTTCTCCACACCCTAGAGTCGTAAGTATTGTCTCTCTCAGAAGTGAGAGTGATATGGAGCTGATATCCGGTATAACGAGTGCGTTCCCAATCGACCTCCACCACTTCCCCCCCCCCAGCGTCCGGCCCCTTTATCGCCAGCGAACAACAAACAACACTCTAGCTACAAAGCCAAGGGTGACACTGTGCCCTTTGCTCCTTATAGCTGACATTTGCTGCCTACAATGATGTTCCCTACAATGGTGCACCCCTGCACCCCTGCTCAAAAAGACAGGAATCCGACCGCAGGGACATGAGTCAGCAGAAAGGCTCGACTCGACATTCTACATCCTCCTTCCTCGCATCGGAGGCTGGCGGGGGCTTTTTTAAGCCCAACTCAGCTTCTCGTACCTGCGTGTGGCGACCATCGGGCTCTCCGACTGGCCTGGCCGGCCGTATTGGTGGGGGGCGTTGATCCGTGCTTTGGCATAGTCCCGACGGGAAGGGAGGGTCGTCGGCACAAATCTCCCCATTTGCATCGGCCACCTCGAAGGTGAACCCAGTTCGGTGATGGACAGCCATCGCCCCTTTCCCCAGGGCGAAACTTGCCGAGCCGTGGTCCAGCTGAAGGTCGGTCTATATATGACAGCCCAGCCCACGCGGTGCGTCGACTTGTTTGGTGGTTTGTCTCGTCGCCTGTTGTTGGTCGTGGTGCGCTCGCTCTTTTATCTGGCTTAGGGTTTCACTCGCTTCATTCTTTCCACCTCACGTTCCTTCTTCGACCCCACCATGTACTATTCGGTCGCTGGAGGTCTCGCCCTCCTGTCAACGCTCGTGCCGACGGGCCTGGCCGCGACGATCCCTCAGCTGGCCGTGCCTGGCAACAATGCTGCCAGCGAGTCGATTGCCACCGTCACCTCGTCCTACGCGACCACCGTGACCAATGTTCTCACCACCACCACGGCCTTCGTGACGAGCACTCAGGCATGCACGGTCGGCACGGTCTCCCTCGCGAACAACGCCGGATGCTCGAACTATGCCTGGTCCAGTGCCGGGGTGTACCGGCGTGAGATGTGCGACGGGGTCTCCATCTCTGGCGCCGTCACCCGCGCCGTCATGAACGTGTACTCCAGGCAAGCCAATATCAACGGCTGTGAACTGTACTGCAGCATCTTCAATGGGATGTGCAATGCGGTCAACTATGCCCCGGCCCAGAGCTCCTGTCAATACCTGTGGGCTTACAATGATGCGACGGTTTCGGTCTCGGGCTACCAGGCCCTCAGCACCTACACCACCAACCCCTGCTACGACACCATCACCACCACCGAGACCGGATATTCGACCCAAGTCCTGACCAGCGAGGCCACCACGACCTACCTGGTCACCGTCACCATCAGCTCGACCCCCTCGGCCACGCCCACTTCGACTTCATCCCCGGTGGTCGTGTCCAGCTCGAGCGCTGCCGTCTTCACCCCTGCCGCCAGCTCCACCGTTGCGCCGTCTTCGGGCTCTGCCTCCCCCTCGTCCTTTGTCACTGCTGTTGCGCCTAGCTCGAGTGCCATCGTGGCTTCGCGATCCAGCTCTGCGGCTGTTCCCCCTTCCGCCAGTTCGATCGGGGTGTCTCCTTCGCTCTCGGCCTCTTCCTCGTCTCTCGTCAGCGTCCGGGTGCCGAGTTCGAGTGCTGCCGTGGCCTCCAGCCCCAGTTCTGCAGCCATCTCTCGTTCCGCCAGCTCTGCTGTTGTCTCTCCTTCGCCGTCTGCCTCTTCCTCGCCCGCTGTCAGTCTTCGCGTGCCGAGCTCGAGTGCTGTGGTGGCCGCCAGCCCCAGCTCTGCAGTGATTTCCCCTCTTCGCAGTTCTGCCATTGCCTCGTCGTCGATCCCTTCTTCTTCTTCTTCTTCTTCTTCTTCTTCTTCCTCTTTTTCTCCTTCTCGCACCCCCTCCACATCCAGCTCGGCTGCTTTCGTCGGTTCTAGCGCCAGGGTCAACACGCCCTCCGCGTCTTCCTCTTCCGTGGCCACTTCCTCGAGGCCTCTGATCCACTCGACCGCCACTGCTGCCGTGAACAGTGTGTCCACTGCTTCATCGCAACCTGCACAGCTGCCTGGCTCCATCCCGGCCTCTTCCCCCATCTCAAGACCTCCTCACTCTTCCGCTATTCTGCCAGGTGCACCAAGCTCGTCTAGTGCCATTGCCACTCGACCCAGCGGCCCCTCTGCAGTGGTTGGGGGACACTCGATCTCCTCCGTGGCGGGTGCTGCGGCCACCACCATCGTGTCAATCGGATCGACCACCTCCACCGTCTTGACCACGCGTACGGCAACCATCACTGCCTGCCCCTCGAGTGTCACCGACTGTCCCGCCAGTGCGAAGACCACATTCCTGACCACCGAGACCGTCGTCGTCTCCACCACCGTGTGTCCCCTGACGGAAACCCTGACTCTTCCCCAGCCCACCGGACCCAACTCCATCGAGACCTCTGGGCCCGAGTTCACCACCTCGACCGTCCTGACGACTCGCACGGCCACCATCACTGCCTGTCCGTCCAGCGTCACCGACTGCCCTGCCAGCGAGAAGACCACCTTCACCACCACCGAGACCCTGGTTGTCTCCACCACCGTCTGCCCCGTCACGGAAACTGCTGGCCTTTCCCAGCCGACCAGAACACACCCTGCTGAGACGTCTGCGCCGGAAGTCATTACTGAGACCGTCCTCACCACTCGCACGGCCACCATCACTGCCTGTCCCTCCAGTATCACCAACTGTCCGGCCGATCAGAAGACTACTCACCTCACCACCGAGACCGTTGTCCTGTCGACGACCGTCTACACAGTCACGGAAACCGCCGGTCATTCTCAACCGACCAGAACCCCCCCTGCTGAGACCTCTGTTCCGGAAGTCACCACCGAGACCATTCTCACCACTCGCACCGCGACCATCACTGCCTGTCCCTCCAGTATCACCAACTGTCCGGCCGATCAGAAGACTACGCACCTGACCACCGAGACTGTCGTCCTCTCCACGACCGTCTACACAGTGACCGAAGCCGCCCATCCCACCGCGACCAAGTCGGTCGATGCCTCCGGTGAGGAATACACCACCTCCACCGTCTTCAGCACGCGCACTGCAACCATCACCGCCTGTCCCAGCAGCGTCACCGACTGCCCGGCCACGCAGAAGAGCACCTATGTCACCACGGAGACCATCGTTGTCTCCGTCACTGCCGTGCCCGTGACTGCGGTCGCTGCCGCCACTCAAACCGGCCACCCTCTGTCGGCGCCTGCGGCCCTTCCTACCGGTGCCGGAGCCCAGGGAGGCTATGAGGATGATGTTGAGATCATTTACGAGACTACTACGGTCTGGATCGAGGCCTGTACGTGAATGATGTCAGCTCGGGGGGTCGATTGCTGTTGAGATCATGAGTAGCGCGGCATCACTTCCAGCCACCTTGAATGTTATGACTTTCATTTCCGTATAATAATATATAAATCTTTCTTTTTGTGCTTTGACTACTCCCTGGAAATCGAGTCATCTGGTCAGAATAGGCGCACCCTTGAGAGTTATAATTCTCATACACCGGCCAGTTTCGTTGTAAAGTTTGTTCATAACTCGTAAACGTCACCAACATGGAAACACACATCAAAGAATTGGATCCCCCGACCCAAACCCTATTACTCTGGCGCGCGGCCCCGCCATGATCCCCCTGCAGGGCATCGACGTGCCCTTTCACTCCGCCCATCTCAGACCGGGCGTCGCCTCGGACCGTAATTCCCTGGAGGAGCGCATCCCGCAGACCGAGGTGGATCCGGTCAGGTTGGTGGGCAACTGGATCTCCAATGTGATGGGGACGCCGTTCGAGTTGAGTCGTGAGTATATTTTGGGCGATGGTCGGGTGCTGTGGGTAGGTTGGGAGCTGGGTGTTTGTGTTGTTCACTCATATGGCTCGACAATCGACGACTTTTGATTGTGTGGTTACATTGTCGCTGGAGGGGGAGGGTTGTGGATCTCTGCTAGGGCTGCGCCTGTCGCTACACGTCAGTAACAGACATCCAGAACGCGTAGATCAATGGTACGATCACTCCACCAGATTATAGTCGCGACGCGTTCGTAGTAGACCAGGTGATGATTCAACAACAGATGGATTGACGAGACCAGTCAATCGCCAGAGAACTTGTCTTCAACCAAGACCGAGTGTGGGTTGGCAGAGGGAGAGCAAGCACCACAAAGAGAAGCCGATGATGCAGTAGGACGATTTGAAAAAAGAAAGAGAGGGAGAAAAGAAAAAAGAAAAGCAAAACAAAACAAGGGAAGAAAGAAAAAAACACTTCCAGTGAATGTTCTCTCCGAGTCTCAAACGGCCCTTTTACCAGGCTGGTATGTTGCTATCGAAGTGTATAACGGGGAATATATATAGCTGCAAACCGAGCGAGTGATCCACCACCGTAGCACCAACACTACGAGATATAATCTTTTGCAAGCATCTGACAGCTTTCCAGAATATATTCCAAAATGTCTGTGTTTCTTTTTCTTACCTCTGCTATTATTTCCTACCGTTGATTACCGACTGTTCGAGTTGTTGACCCTCTGGCCGGGTAATCAGCTTCCAATCTTCCAGGTATTTTCATCGCTGCTACGATCCGTTCGAAACTCTCTGACTTTCTCATATATATCCAAAACACCATACATCTTCAATCCTGGAAGAGATGCGCAACATGGGGGATAGGCCATGTGGATGGGGTCGAGGGCAATCTCAGCGGAGAAGCGTGGCATGAAACCTGCCTTGTTTAACGCAACTCCGCCGCATTCCCCCAGTAGAAGCATCATTGGTCTAGTGGTAGAATTCATCGTTGCCATCGATGAGGCCCGTGTTCGATTCACGGATGATGCAACGCAATTTCTTTTTTCCCCCTTCTATCTCCTCTCTCTTCTCTCTTCTGTCTCCCCTTCCCCATCCATTGTTTCTTTCTTTCTTTCTCGACTGCTGCTAGATCGACTGCAGCCTGCCACGGACCTGCCGATCGCCTTTCCCCCCCCCCGCGCAGCTGCAGACCGCCGGCATTAGCTTGGCTCTCTTCTTGCCCCACTGCCCGCCTTTTTTTTTTTTTCTTTTTCTTTCTTTCTTTCTGCCTGCCTGCCTGCTTGGTAAATGGTTATCGTGTCCACGCCTGGGTGAGGCATGCATCGCCTTTTTCCAGGCATCTCTCAACCTATCAGGCTGCCCACCACCACCACCACCACCACCACGATAAGCCGATCCTGGCTTCTCCTGCCTCCACGACAGCATTCACTAGACTAGACTTTTTGCTATCTACCAGCTAGCCATGTGCACTATACACTCTAAACGATAGATACCGACTTCTTCTGCCCTTCAGCGTGGACCAACCACCACCACTCTCTGATCGACCTCCCATCCCCGAGGCGGACCAGAGATGGACCAGAGATGGACCCGATGACGTCCACGGGGCACCACCGAACGCGAACTCAACAACCGGAGGGGGTCCGAGGGGAAGGATTCATCTAGGACTCATAGAACCACCAGACAACACAACACAACACACCACAGCCAGCCAGCAAACAAGCAAACAAACAAATAGCCGTGCCCCAGGGAGGGGCGGGGAGGATCCAATAGGAGGCCCGGCGGAGAATAGACCCTCGCGGTGCTCCACCGAAGGTGTCAGTTACTCGGGTTTGCTCGACGCGATGATGCTATGGCTGGGGGACGCGGAGGGTCCGGGCTGGTTATCATCCTCCTCGGTGTTTTTTTTTTTTTTTTTTTTTTTTTTAACTCGTTATCTGTCTGCTATCTACAGTATCTATCTATTCTCATCTGCACGGTGTCGATCCTGACCGTTGGACTCACGGTAGGGTTTACCAAACCTAAATCGATGATTAAGTATATATAGTTTTGGGGTTGGGGATGATCCCCGCCAGCACATGAAATCTATCTGAGGCAGAGAGGGGTCATCCCATCACCACACCCATGGATGGATGATGATGGGGGGAGGGGGGGGGATTGCAGGTGCCCTGGGCCGTCCTGGGGATATCATGATCAAGAAAGACCCTCTGGTTTGTTTTGGTTTGTTTTTTTGTTGTGGTTTCTCCGACTCAGGGAGGTGGGGCCGTCTGCCGTCGCGTTGCGCTGCGTTGCGTTGCGTTGCGCTGCGCTGCGGTCGGCAGACAGACAGACTCCGTCCTGCAGGTATCAACTCACCACTGGAGAGACATACTAACTCGATACTAGAAGGATAGCTGGTCGACAGCTTCTTGGTTAGTATCTATTTAGTATCCTCCGTAGTTAGTGTGCACCTGATGACCTCCTCCTTGGCGGATGGTTGACCGCAACACCTAGTTAGATATCTAACTCCCCCCCCCTTTCCCTCGTGAGAAAATCTCTGCGCCTTGCCCCCCCCCCCCCCCCTCTCCATCTTCATCGCCACTCAACCCCCTCTTTCCCAAAAAAACTTATTTTTTTTTTTTCGCCCGACCGGCAAGCAGATGAGAAAGAGAGAGAGAGATAGCAGATGCCCGCGTCATGAAGCGTCCGGGCGAGGCGTGCGTTGGTCCAATGGGTGGGGACGAGAGGAGCGGTGAGGGCGCAAACTCCACCGGGGCGACGAGCAGCTGCGAAAGCCAGACACACTTAGAGTTAGGGCAGCCAAACGGGGCCACGAACTGCTGTAGCCGCAAGACAGACTGCTCCTCCCCTCCAATCAGACCCTCTCTCCGCATTAGCTTGCCTGCCGTGCAGTCGGCAGCTCTTTTGTAACTTCTGTTTCTCTCGGCTTGTCGCCAGGCCACCCCGTGGTCCCTGCCCTGCCCTGCCCTGCCCTCGATAACAGAGAAACAGAGATTTCCCATCGGCCCATGACGAGCTGCCCGATCGCCCCCCAGGAGGGGTCGTCGTCTCATCGTAGCTATATTAAAGAACCCCCCCCCCCCTCGGCGCATCTGTAGCGGGTTTCCTTTCTCCCTCTCTTCATCCATCTTCCAACGTTGTGACTCGGTTGTGTCCGGTCCTTCTCATCCCCCCCTCCACTTCCTCTCCCATCTTGCCAGAGGACCCCTCTCCAATGTTCAAGCAGTATTCGCATATCCTCTCCCACAAGCGGCGTCGCAGCCGGGCCAGCACCGTCCAGGTCCTGTCCACCCCGTCCGAGCCTGCCTCGGACGTGCCCCCGGCCCCGGAGCCCGTCGAGGTATGGACGCACTCGCAGCCCATCGCCGACGACGAGCCCCATCGCGAGGGATGCTTCACCACCCTGTCGCCGCGCATCCACAAGTACGACCATGTCGCCCAGCGCGGCAGTGATCGCTTCGTCGAGGACCTGCAGGCCACCCTCCAGACCTCCGAGCCCCCCGCCAGCTACCTCGCCTCACCCGTCGGCAACTACGCCAGCTTCCTGTATCCCGAATGCCTGCCCGAGCGCCTCGAGGTCGTCGCCTACCTGACCGAGCTGTGCGGGCTTCACGATGGTAGATCTGCCCTGGTTTCTGCGTGCCTCCGATGAGATGGTACTGACGTCTAAGACAAATCCAAAGGCAAACCCCCCACCGAGTCCGCCGACGTCCCCGTCGAGTCCCCCCGCACCGTCGCCCGCAAGGCCCTGCTCGACAAGGCCCTGGCCCAGCTGTCCGAGAAGGAGATCGACGGCCACGAGATCATCGACTGCTACCGCAGCAACTGGCTCGTCACCCCCGATGTGCCGACGGCCGAGAACTGCGCCAACCTGGACGACTACGTGGCCCGGAGACGGTTGAATGCCGGCATTGAGTGCGTCCCCCCGCCCCCCTAACCCTAACCCCCTTCCCTCACGATCCCCCCCTCCCCACAACCCTCATCCCGGACAACGTATCCTGACTTGCCGGCGCAGTGTCTACTGGACCCTGATGGGCTTCGCCCACGGCACCCGCCTGGGCAAAGAAGACCAGGCCGTCGTGCGCGACGCCCTGGACGCCGCCGAGCGCACCATGTTCTTCACCAACGACTACTACAGCTGGCCCAAGGAGAAGCGCCTCGCCAAGAAGCGCCCCATCGCCAACGTCATCCTCTTCCTCATGCAGCACCAGCACATGTCCGAGGACGATGCCACCGCCAAGACCAAGCAGCTCGTGCTCGACAACGAGGCCGAGTTCGTCCGCCGCCGCGACGCCCTCTACCAGGCGACCCCGGACCTGGCCCCCCAGCTGCGCAAGTGGATGGAGGTGCTGGGTGCCGCTCTGGCCGGCATCCACTACTGGTGCAAGAATGCCCCGCGGTATGCCGTGCCCGAGACGGCGGAGGAGAGCGAGGTCGAGGAGGTGGAGGTGGAGGTCGAGGGTGGGTCGTCCTCCTCCGCGGAGGGGGATGATGATGATGATGACGAGGACGAGGAGGAGTCCTCGGACGACGAGACCTCCGCGGATGACGCGGAGGAGGAGTCGCAGGAGGATTCCGAGGCCGAGGACCGTGAACCTGTCGCGGAGAGGGCTGAGCCCGGGGAAGGGGCCGTGTGGACGCCCCTGGCCGGCGAGGACGAAAGCCCTGACAGCCAGCTGGACACATCAGCCCTACTCGCCCCGACCAGCTACGCGCGCGCCATCGCCGCCACGGCCCTGCAGACGGACCTCATCGCCGCCCTGAACGTGTGGACGCAGGTGCCCAGCCGCCCGCTGGCCAGCATCAAGCAGGTCATCACCGCGGTGCAGGACGCGACGCACATGCTGGAGGACCTGCAGGACCAGGCGTCCCTGCGCGAGGGCCGCACGCCCGCGCCCCTGGTCTACGGCCCGGCCCAGTGCCTCAACAGCGCCGCCTACACCTTCGTGCGCGTCGCCCGCATCGTCTCCACCCTCAACTGCCCCGGCATGCTCGACGGCCTGCTGCAGGACCTCGAGGCCCACTTCGTCGGCCAGTCCTGGGAGCTCAACTGGCGCTTCTCCACCCACTGCCCCGCCGAGGGCGAGTACCTGGCCATGGTCGACCAGCGCTCCGGCGCGCTGTTCCGCATGCTGATGCGTCTCATGCAGGCCGCCAGCATGGGCGGCGGCTCGACCCTGGATCTGGAGCCCCTGGCCAAGGCCCTGGGCCGCCTGTCGCAGATCCGCCACGAGTATCTGGGCCTGCTGGCCGACTCGTCGCGCCCCTTCGGCCAGGACCTCGACCACGGCCGCGTCACCTACCCCGTCGTGCGCGCCTGCAACCTCGACCCCGCCAGCAAGGTCGTCATCTTCGGCATCTTCCGCCAGAAGACCGAGGGCGCCGCCCTCCCCGTCGAGAGCAAGCGCCAGATCGTCTCGCTCGTGCATCAGACCGGGGCCCTGCAGGCCACCTATGACCTGCTGCGTCAATTGGGACGTCAGGTCACCCATGCCCTCAGCGACCTCGAGACGGCCGCCGAGGAGCTGAACCCGGCCCTGCGTGCGGTCGTCAAGGCCCTGGCCGATGTGCCGGCCCCGGGTCCCTGAGATGATGTGATGATGCCTGTGATGATATGACCTTGTTCTTTTTCTTTTGTCTGTTTGTGTGTGTGTGTGTGTGTTTTTTTTTTTTTTTTTTAGTGTGTGTTCCATGGCGTTGGGGGCATGATTGTTACGAGACTTTCCTTGATGTACGTTATGAGGCTTAACCATGTGTGATGATAATGACGATGATTTGACACTATGATGGTCTTCGGGAACTTGGCCAGATGGGACAGGTAACTTGGCTGCAGATCTGGGGTAGATGGGAAGTAGATGTAGCTGTAGCTGTGGCTGTAGCCGTCGCTGCAGATGGACATGTGTTGGATATGTGTTGCTGTGGGTACCGCTGTAGGTGTCACTGTAGATGAAAGATGCAGGTTAGATGTCGGTGTCAAACAGGAGTTGCAGAATCCCCTGCAGGGACAAATAGTCCTATTTCCAAACACAATTGATTTAATCAAAAAAATCAGACAACATTCGGGACCAACCCCCCCCCAAAAATCACCCAGTCCGTACAATTTGCCAGCCTACAACGAAATCAACACCGACTTCAACTCGGTCCAATAATCACTCGCATATCGACTATACTCCCGCCCTCGCCGCTCCCCTTCCACCCCCCAAACGGCATGTCGAACGCCAGGGTCGGACTCGTGCAGTTGACCCCCACTGTGCCCGCCTCCAGCCGCTTGGCCGCCCGCAACGCCCGCCCCAGATCGCGCGTGAACACGCTCGCGTACAGCCCGTACTCGGTGTCGTTCGCTTTCTGCATCACCTCGTCCTCGTCGTGGAAGGTGTTCACGATCACCACCGGGCCGAAGATCTCCTCTTTCATGAGCCTCGAGGTCTCCGGGACGTCCGTCAGGATGGTCGGCGCGATGAAGTAGCCCGGTTCCGGGCCGCGGGTGCCGCCCAGGGGCGTGGTGATGTGGCCGTCGCGGGCGAGGGAGAGATACGACATGACCCGCTCGAACTGCTGCTTGTCCGCCTGGGGGCCCCGGGTGGTGTCGCGCGCGAGCGGGTCGCCGCTGGCCCCGTGCGCCGTCATCGCGCTCGTCAGCCGGTCGAGGAAGTCCGGCGCGATGCGTTGGTGCACGTAGATGCGCGAGCTGGCGAAGCAGGCCTGCCCCGTGTTGAGCAGGATGGAGGTCGCCGCGGCGGGCACGGCCTTGGCCAGGTCGGCGTCGTCCCAGATCACCAGCGGCGATTTGCCGCCCAGCTCCAGGGTGACGCTTTTCAGGTTCGATTCCGCGGCCATGCGCTGGATGGCCTTGCCGGTGAGGGTGGACCCCGTGAAGGAGATCTTGCGGATCTCGAGGTGCCGCGCGATGGCTTCGCCGCAGGGCCGGCCGTAGCCGTTGAGCAGGTTGAAGACGCCCGCGGGAAGGCCGGCTTCGCGGGCACATCGGGCGGCCACGAGGCAGCTGAGAGGCGCCTTCTCGGACGATTTCATCACGAGGGTGTTGCCCGTGATCAGCGCCCCCGCGGCCTTCTGCACGAGCATCACGCAGGGCCCGTTCCAGGGGATGATGGCGCCGCACACCCCGAAGGGCTGGCGCAGGCTGATGTTGATGAAGTCGGGGGTGTTGAGCGACGATTCGCCCGTCACGTCGAAGGCTTTCGCGGCGAAGAAGCGCACGATCGTGGGGATGTAGTGGGCAATGGCTGCCGTCGGTCAGTAGGCAGACATTGCACCGGTGTCGACCCTGCGTTGAGGTTCGATGCACGGACATATCACGACACGAGAGGACGAGAGGGAGGGAGGGAGGGAGGGAGGGATGGAGACAGGGAGCTCACCATCGTTATACGCGGGCTTGCCCATACAGATGGCATCCAGATATGAGATCTCCGCCAGGTTCTTCTCCAGCAGGTCTGCCCACCTGTTCAGGTAGACGGCTCGCTGCATTCCGCCCAGCTCGGACCACGCGGGGAAGGCCGCCTTGGCTGCCGCGACGGCCCGGTCGACATCCTCGCCGTCAGCCTCGTAGACGGAGGCGCTCAGAGCCTCCGTGGCCGGGTTGTACAGGTCGAACTTCTTGCCGGAGCGGGAGGGGACGAACTCGCCGTTGATGAAGAGGCGGTTCTCGATGACGGCGGGCTTGCCGGGATGGGTGGATTCAGACATGGTGAAAGACAGGGAGAAAGACGGAAACAGGAGAGGACTGGACTGGGCAGGTGGGAATGAGCAGAGGAGGGCAAAGGAGGCAGCCGGCAGGGGATGCGGCGTTCCTATATGGACGGGACGGTCGTGAGGGGAAGTCCCCGAGGTTGCATTGGGATACGATCCTCATCCATGGGTCGACCTGTCAGAGAGCGCTGTCATCTTCCCCCACCCGTGCGGAGCAGGTGCAGGCAGGGCAGTAGCAACTAGTAGTTAGCAATAGCCAGATGATCAATCAGATTCGAATCATTCTATTATCCGTAGCCAGGCTGAACGGCAATCGATCAGGATCGAGCGGGCCAGGGGCGGATCCCAATCCACCTCCGCCGGGCTCTCCGGGGCCTTGCCTTGTCTGGACGGGACGGCACTCCCTCCGGAGAGCCTAGATACCACGAGGGGTGTGAATGGCCGCGAGCTGCTCCCCCCCCCCCCAATCGAGGTGGAATTGTGGACCACTTTGCTCGGGAGGATGATGGCGATGGTAGGGACCCACCAGCCACACGAAGTGGCCAGTCGGTTCCGTCCCAGAGGCTGACTAGATCCGTGACGATCGGTTCCTCTGAACGGTTGAAGACGGGATAGAGTGGGGGTGCATAGTGAAGGGCCAGGAAGAGGGGGAAGATGGGGAAGATGAAGGTGAAGGTGAAGTGAAGTGAAGTGAAGTGAATTGAAGTGAATTGAACAGTTCATGATGAGAGACAAGGCATCCAGGCACCAAAGTACAGCAAACACCACAAACAACCCCGCCTTCCCGATCAGGACAGAAAAACAAACACGCCAAACACAGCAGATAAAATAAATATAACAAACACAACAAACACGGGTGCTCTTCCGGCGTCTTCCATTGGCTCTCTGCGGTGGTTTGAAGCTATTTATTTGTCTTTCCACTTTGAGTATCATTCAGTATCACGCCTACGTAGGTGTCTGGACACCTTTTGAGTCGAGTGGTCTTTTTGGTCTGTCAGCATCTCTCCCGATCGACGCCGCAATATCACACCCCTTAAATCACGGAAATTCATCCAACAACGCTTGTGAGGCCCAGAGCGTTATAATCAACGACCCTACAACCCACCGATAGCCCACTGGTGTACAACACGGCCTTATAGAGCGGACAGCTATAGATTGGGCACTTCCCAGGAACTGCCCCTGCTTCTCATCCACTAACTACATCGCGGCCGAGGGTTTCACGAACACATCTCCTCAGCCAACCCACTTGTCCACCTCTTCTCCCTCTCCAGCAGCCGACTACCTACTCCTCCGGAACCAGCAGCCGATCGACATCAGGACCTATCGCACATTAGCCCATTAGCACACCCGCAGACTCATTCTCCCCCCCCTTTGCCACGGCAGACATACCATATCCCTCCTCATACGCACTAAACACCACCACATTGCCATCCCCACTCTCCAACCTCGCATTCAGCACCGACGTGGCCGGCGTGTTCCCATTCTCGGACGGCAGGAACGCCAGCACCTGCGACTCGCCGTTGACCGTCACGGTCGCATACCGCTGGGTCGAGTCTCCGTTCTCGAACCGGATCTGGAGGGTCGTCGTCGTCGTCGTCGTCGCGTCGCTCGTCACGTTGCGGATCTCCAGCGTGCCGTTGTCGGGGCCTCCGATCCATCCGACCGACTCGCTGCCCGAACAGCCCGTGCAGGAGATCACTGTCGCGCCTTTGGAGAGGATGTTGTCGGACGCCTCGGCCTCGGGGTCCGTTTCGGCGCCGCCCGAGGACCAGGTCCCGTCGAGGGGGAGGATCCAGCTCGTCGGATTGCTCTGGGGATGCGGTCAGGGTTAGGGAGGGGAGATGACGGCGTGCGAAGGGATGGGTTGGGATGGGGGTGACTGACCAGCGTCGCGTTGGTGCCGTCGACCGTCAAGGGCAGCCAGATGTACGTCGATGCCATCAGGTTCGTCGACACCCACCGGTCGCCCATGTACCTGACTCGGTCAATGGTGGGATTCCACGTTCGAGATGTTCCAGCTGGGGGAAGGGTTCTTACATCACCGTGTCACCGATCTTGATGACATACGAGGTCTGCGAGTCGTACGTGTCGGTGCCCGCCGGCGCAAAGTCAGCCCAGTCGCTCCAGGGGCCGTTGAGGTCGGTGGCAGTCGTGTATGCGTTGTCGTTGGCAGCTGTGCGAGAGAATATCAGTTCGGTCCCATGACCATGCGTCTTCATCGGTACGTACACCATCCTGTGGCTGTCAGTCCGAGTGCGGTAGGTAGAGGATGCCAGACATACCAGTCAGCTGCGATCCGAACATGAAGTACACCCCATCCTGCTTGTAGAGAGCGGGGGCCTCATAGTGCTCGGGGAAGAGGTGCGTGGTATACGTGACATTGAGGTAGTCGTCCGTCAGCCGGTCGATCCGCAGGCCGTTCGGGCGCTGCCATCATCAGTGCCCTTCTTCTGGAAATGACACTTCTGACTCACGTCTTCGGACAGCAGATACGCCGTGCCATTGTCATCCTTGAACAGTCCGATGTCTCGCGACTGCTCCCCCAGCGGCTGGAACGAACCTCTAGGCAACATCAGAAAGACCTCTCTACCCCCTCCCCCCCCCAAAACAAGAGCCAGGACTTACAGATAGTCATACTCCCCACAGACACTCGACGATGTGGCCACCCCGGTCTTTGCCTCGGCATAGGAGCTGTCGTCGATGTGCAGCCACATGACATACGTGGAGGTGTCGTCGTTGTACAGGATCTTCGGTCGCTCGACGACTCGGTCGGGGCCCAGGTCTCCACTGCTCTGCAGGGAGAGCAGCTCACCGACGAAGGTCCATTCCACCAGATCCTGAATACTCAGCGTGGGTGATGGTACAGAGTGGGGGCATATGTACTTACGGTGCTGGAGTAGCAGTTGATCGACTGGAACGCGCTTCCGTTGAAGTGGTTTTCACCGACCCAGTAGTAGGTGGAGTCGACTTCGATGAGGCCTGCAGTCTGGTGTCACTCTTCTATTCACATGGTCATTTGTGTGGCTGGAGGGCATACCGGCGCCATGGGCCTGGATGTGCTGGTTGGTTCCGGTCGCGGTCCATGTCGCGCCAGGCACCTGGAAAGGTCAGCATGTTGCCCCGACAAGCCAGGTGAATCAGACAAACAATCTGCAGCGAGGCAGCGGCCGTACCAGCCAGCGCCAGGGAAGCGAGGGGGGAAATCGCCCGCATGATGCCACGAGGGAGTCGAGAGATAAGACGTCTCGGAATCGAGAGATCGCATTCAGTTACAGTGCAAGCAGTTCGGGGGGACTATATATACCCTTCCAACAAGAAAAGGAGAGGAAGGATTGTCCGCAGAATTGCAGGTCGAGCCATGATTGGGGGAGAAATGTCTCGTCCGTTAATTGACGCGGACGGGGATTCTTCAGGGTTTGTTGCAGACACGCGCAGACGGACCTGCCGCTCCTTTTCCGATGCAGCCAAACCCCCGCAGGCACAATCGAACAGCTCGGGTCATGTCCATCCGATGACGTGCCTTGGACCTACTCTTCCACCTCGGCAGAATGTGAAAGGCCTGGAATTCTCCGGTGGGCCCGAAGAAGTATCCAGGTCTCGAGGTCTTTATATCGACTTGCATGTGCTGTCACGTTACATACGCATCAATGACTTCGTCATGGGAGGTGGAAAGGTCAAAGGTACGTCATACGCAGGAGACAGGAAGAAGTGAGCTAAAAGCCTTCTGCCAAGTCAGGGCGCTAAAACTGTATCTCAAATAGTACGCCAACGCTCTCAGGGACACCAGTCCACCTGCCTTCAAAGAGGAAGCCCTCGATGGGTAGCCGGCCAGTCCACTTCACACTCGATCAAATTCTCCGACCACTGGTCCGCCGTCCAGATGCGCAGGATCCGGAATCCAGCACCCTCGAGCAGCCCGCGCCAGCGAAGTCGCTCAGCAGGATGAAGTCCAATGCAGTGGCCTGTCTGCGACCACATTCTCATTGATCAACAATCGGCTATACCCCGGGGTCATCTCCTGAGATTGCCATGCCCAGGATAAAGGACCGGTGCTGCTGGCGGTGATGTGGTCCCTGACGGGCTTTGCGGCCCTGAGGGTCGCCACGCGGCTATACATCCGAGCTCGGATCGTTTCGAATCTAGGGTTGGATGACTGGTGGATCCCGGTTTCGATGGTGTGTAACTCGCATTCGGTCTGGATTTTCTTCCATGTAACATTGTATCGTTTCGTTCCCTCGTGGCTCTCACGGAACAGCGCCCTACTCTCCTTTTGCGAAGCCCTCTCCTCCGCATCTGGGTTATCGGCACGGTCGCATCATAATGCAGCATGGGTCTTCTCCTATCGATGTCAGATTATGTGAATGTAGAATGCATGGCTTGGGCAGGCTCGGGTGCGGAAAATAGTCGGATAGCCTTGCGGTCGGCCAAACACAAAACAACGAGATCAACGGTCCGGGGGGCCTTCGAGCCACCGGGGATCATCACTTGTACGACGTCAGGGAGCCTCGAAGCCAAGGATTTTGATGATAAAACCATCTTGACCAAACAACCGAGGTCGACCACTGGAAAAGGTGAGCATCGCGGCGCCTGATTGCATAATACATTTGCTTACCAAGAAGAATATCAGGTTATATAGGTATCCATCACGTAGATGTCTAACATTTCAAAGCCCAAGGATACTAGCCGGGGTATAGTGCGTGGGTGGGTCTTGAAAGAAAAGCAGGGGGGGGATCTGAAATTGGATGGATCATCATGGACTGTCTATCTTTTTCTCCTTCTCCACGGAACCCGGAATGGATGCATCACTCACCGACCAAGGAGCTTGAAAAGATTCTCAGGGATCCATCCCTGTCTGATGTCCACTAGCGCAGCTTGACGCCAGTAAGAAGACCCCGAATACAGGCAATATCAGGCAGGACCATTCCAGGGCCCAGGCGTCTTGGGCGTGATGACCCCGAGCTGAACAGCGATCAATGCCTTCATCACGACACTTCTACCACGCGCCGTCAAACCCACATCTGCCGTGACGGGCGAATAGCTTGGAGGAAGGGACCAGGGCCATCCTATAAGAGGTCCTGCCAATCCTTATAGTGACTGCTATCCCGGGTCTATCATCGCCATGGCGTCCCGCTAATTGCCCTCGAACAAAGAAACTCCTGGGAGGCGTGCCGCCACCCCAGACCTTTTGGGTGACTCGTCGAGTTGGGACTCAACCTCCAGCGAGTTCCCCGGCTATACTTAAACATCGGGTCGCGCCGCTGCCCTCCCTGCAGCCTCTTGTGTCACCCCCTTCATCCCGGCTCTGATCATACCAAGACAGTGCCATTGCACGTCTCCATAATGGCCACCCCCGCTGCATCCGACGCGCCGGACAAGGGCCCGACCATGCTCGCGGTGCTGTGGCCTCTGACCGCATTTGCAGCCCTGGTCGTGGCCGTCCGCCTGTACATCCGAGCCAAAATCCTCCGCAAGCTGTGGATTGATGACTGGTTGATCACCGCTTCGAGCGTATGTATCCCATGCACCCCCCACCCCCATCTCCTCTCCTGTCCGCTGGTGGATTTCGCCTCATCCCGACGGTCTCTTTCCAGGCTATAGTCATCGCCCAAGTGATCGCCGTTACAGCGGCCGTTCGGCAGGGACTCGGCAGGCACATCGCGACGCTGATGCCCGCAGCGGCCGAGCAAGCCATGCTGGCCGATGATATCGGGTGGATTTTCGGCGTCCTCTCGTTCTCTCTCCCGAAGCTCGCGGTGGCCGCCCTGCTGGACCGGATCCTGATCCCCGGCCCCCGGATCCGCGTGGCGCTGTGGGGGTTGACGGCACTCATGGCCGTCATGGCGGTGGTCAACATCTTGGTCTTTATCACCAGCTGTAACCCCCCACGGGCGATGTGGACGTCCGTGCCGGGCGCGACCTGTCGCAGCATAAACGTGATCATTTCAGTTTCCGCGGCGTGTGGCAGTGAGTATCCCATACGTGCTTCGGGGGGGGGGAACGGGGATCGCTGATTGACCGGGTCTCTCTATCCTAGGCCTGTCCGCGTTTACCGATCTGGCCATGGCGATTTATCCCACCATCCGGCTCTGGCATCTGCGCATGTCCCGGCGGAAGAAGATCGCCCTGTGTGCGGTCTTGGGATGCGGAGTCTTGTACGCCGCCTCGTGGCCCTCCGACAATGGCAGCCCGATTGCTGACCTCGCATAGCTCGGCCTGTGCCGCCTGCGTCAAGTTGTCCTACCTGAAAGCCATGGAGACCGAGAGCGATCCAACCTGTCAGTCGCCTGGCCGCCCATCCGCCTCCCCGCTTGCTAATCGGTTCCAGATGGCCCTTGGTTATACGTGGTGTTGAACGGGTGGGTCATGTCGCTCGAGGAGACGCCTCGATGGATCGGGATTCGCTGACCGCGTCTCTAGTGTCGAAGCCAACCTGGTTGTTCTGGGATCGTGCATCCCAACCCTCCAGCCCCTGATCGAACCCCTGTCGGGCATGCGCCGCCGCCAGGTGCCCTCCGGCCAGCCCTTGTCCTCCTCCTATCCCGAGACGATCGGGCGCTGGAAGAAAACGAAAGTCGCAGTTCGAGCGGATGATAGTCTGTGGAAGGACAGCCAGGACGGGATTCTCCCTGAGGAATGCTCCCCGACCACAACCACGCGGATGGAGATCTATGGCACAGACCAAGTCAGGGTCGAACATCATGCGGTGACGCCCGTTCCGTCCAGGGTTACTGCGGACCCTCCATCGCCGTAAGCTCGTTCATGGGACAAGAAGAACCAAAAACCGATTACCACCAATCTCATAGCATCCGCAGCAATAGCGGACTCCATTGACTGGACTGTACTTGTGTGTGTCCAATTTCACCCCTAGACTACCCTGGGTGATGTAGAGAGCGGTAGTTCGGGGTGGATTACTGTCCATGCATGAGTGTTGGTGGGGATATCCCCGGGGTCCTATAGGGCTTGTCCGCCACGAGGGCGGTTACCACCAGCGAACGTGAACAATTGTGTTTCGACCGACTGACTCACTTGAAGTCACGCAAGTGGGGCGATGCTGTCGTTCCGCGGGCGCGCCCTTCGGAGGGCCGTCGCCGAACCAAACCCCGACGACACGACCGTATTTAAAGACCCGACAGCGCCTCCCCTGCCACGTCCCTTCGACGTCCCCTCCACCCCCTCCACCCCCTTTATTTTGTAGATCCGTCGTGAAAGGACCACACCCTTTCCCCCACAGTGCGACATGCCTCAAAACCTCACCCTCACCGTCGCCGTGGCGCAGGCCAGCACCCAGCCGACCCTGTCCGCCACCCTCGAGGCCCTCGGCCGGACGACCCGCCACGCCGCGGCCAAGGGCGTCCATCTCATCCTCTTCCCCGAGGCCTATCTCGGGGGGTACCCGCGCACCTGCGACTTCGGCATGGTCATCGGGGCCCGCCTCCCGCATGGCCGCGACCAGTTCCTCGAGTACTTCAACGCCGCCGTCGATCTCGGGGACACGCCGGCTGGGGCGGGCGACGACTGGGTCGACCGCAAGTTGCCCCTGCCGCGGGCCAAGGAGTACCGCGGCGATGGCACCCGCGAGTATCTCGAGAAGCTGTCGCGGGAGACGGGGGTGTTCATCGTGTGCGGCGTGATTGAGCGCGCCGGGAGCAGTCTGTACTGCTCCGTGATCTACGTGGATCCCCGTGATGGGGCGCTGGGCAAGCGGCGGAAGGTGATGCCGGTGAGTGACTGCAGGATGGGCGGCGAGCAAGGGCGAGGCTGACCATCGATAGACTGCCTCCGAACGCATGATCTGGGCGCAGGGCTCTCCGTCCACCCTCAAGGCCGTCGCCACCGAGTTGAACGGCGTCCGCGTCACCCTCGCGGCTGCCATCTGCTGGGAGAACTACATGCCCCTACTGCGTCAGAGTCTGTACAGCCAGAACGTCAATCTGTATCTCGCCCCGACGGCCGACAGCCGCGACACCTGGCTCCCACTCATGCGCGCCGTGGCCACGGAAGGTCGGACGTTCGTGCTCTCCGCCAACCAGTGTGTGCGACGCCGCGAGCTGCCCGGCTGGATTACCGCCCCGCAAGGGGGGGTCGCCGAGGCAGACGGAGACGAGTATGTGTCGCGGGGCGGATCCTGCATCGTCGGCCCGCTGGGGGATGTCCTCTGTGAGCCGATCTGGGAGGTCAGCACGGATCGCGGGGCCGATGCCAGCGATGTGAATGATCCGGCCATCGCGGCTGCCCTCTCGATTGCGGAGATTGACCTCGACGATTGCCAGCGAGGCAAGCTCGACATAGACGTCACGGGGGGCTCGTCACGGAGCGATGCCTTCAAGCTGACGGTGGAGGGCTTGGATCTGAACCCTCCCCCGCAATAGGGGAGGACCGGTTTTATGGAGGCATGAACTGTTGGTTAATTGCATTATATAATTTTTCACGCGACGCATCATTATAAATCCTATCCTGGCGTTTGGACACCTTTGAATTCGAGTGGTTCTGCTTCACGGTAACTAAAGTGAGGGGGTGGCCTGTTTGAAGGCATGCTGGGAGTGGGACAGAAGAAGAGGGGCAAAAGGTGAGACAACAACAAGCAAACACCCCTGTTGCACCGAAAACTATGCCCAACTGCCCCACCACATAGAGAACGGAGGATGCGGGGCGATTTATGTCGGGCGGATGGGATTCACAACAAAGAAGCCGAAGAAAGAAAGCGGCGGGGAGGGCTGAGGGACCCACAGCCCTGACTGGCGCCCTCTTCCTTGTACCCCGACAAGGAAGCCTTCTTCTCCTTCTTCTTCTTCCCCCCTCTTTTTGCATTCTCTCTTATGCCATTTCTCTCTCGATCTGATCTCTCTTCCAGTCCCGTCGAGAGAAAAGACAGCAATCATGGAACGTACCACCAAGGGCTGGAAACTAACCACGGACAACCGTCTCGGCACGAATGGGCTCCTGCAGGTCTACAAGGTCGACTCCAAGACGGTCGTCAAACTGACCGACCCCCCTCGCCTGGCCGAAGCCGAGGCCCTGCGCTTCGTGCGCAAATGGACCTCCCTCCCCGTCCCGGAGGTCTACGAGGCCTACGTCGATGAGACACTCAACCGCGGCGTGCTGGTCATGGAATACTGCGAAGGCGACGTGCTGAGGGATGTCTGGGACGACCTCGCAGAGGAAGTCAAGACGGGCATCATCTCCCAACTGCGCGACTATCTGGACGAATTACGGTCCATTGGATCCGAGTTCGTCGGTTCTGTCGACGGCAGCCCCTGCGAGGACCCCATCTTCTCCGCCGAGCTGGGAGGCTTCGGACCGTATGACAACGAGGAGGAGTTCCACCGCGGCATCATTCGGGCTCTTGACCTGGCCGAAGACGGTCCCTGGGCCCGCCAGGCGGCCGGGTTTGTGTCCGCTCTCCCATCCCATGAGCTGGTACTGACCCACGCGGACCTCACCCCGCGGAACATCATCATCCGGGACGGGAAGGTCGTCGGCATCATCGACTGGGAGATGGCGGGTTTTTACCCGGCCTACTGGGAGTATGTCAAGGCGTTATACCACCCCGATTGGACCATGGGGTGGTTTAACGAGGCGGTGGTCAATAAGATCCTTACCCCTTACCCCCTGGAGCATGCCGTCATGATGCATGTCCATCATCTTCTCTAGTAGTTGAATCATTGGGAAAGTACACCTGATACCCGAAAGAAGTATTGTACTGGGCGAGAATATTGGACTGTACAGACGAAATATGCAAAGGGAGATACTACGCAGGTACCACGTGCCCCTTCCTCCCAGTTGGTAACCATCCTCCACCATGTCTTTTCTGACAGATACTAAGGCCCTTTTCTACACATTGGCTGGCAAGATATCCGATCCAGGAACAGAAAATGACACGTGATTTATGGGGTGTGGCTGGCCCAGTCTGAGGGTTGATCTATATTCTGCACCGGGTGATGATTCCAATCGCCTGTTATGCCGACGGTATTTGGCGGTCCACCAGGCCCCAGGAATAATTAAACTGCAAGAAGGGTAGGCCTCCAGACTCTGCTGATTCCGGAGACTGAGCGACTATCTAGAGTTGTCTATTCGCGAGACTTGCGAGAGATGGATCCGTGCGCCGCCCATGTGGACCCGGGCCGAGACCCTGCCTGAAGTCTGCCCTAGCTGGATGGATGGATAGATAGCCCCTGGAGGCTCGGTCGGTCGGTCAGACGGTCAGACGGTCAGACGGTCAGACTGGCGCTGTCACTGGTGCCATCCTGCGGCTGGATGGCGATTGTGCTCTCGTCATCTTGAATCCAGGCTGTTGTTATCTTGGAGCCTCCAGCCCATCAGCATCAGGCACCCGCCAATCCACCCTCCAGGCCAACATATTTAACCGCCCCGGAAGCCCTCATTCTCTGCCTTTCGACGACCAGTTTCGTTTCTTCCTGCCATTCCCCCCCCCCCACCCCCCACCCTACACATGGATGATCTACTCCGATTTTTCGGTCCCCGCTGGGACCATCCCACCTGGCTGCAGGAGATCGTCTTCGCCATTGCACCAGCCAGCCTCTTCCTGATCGCATCAGGGGTTCGAATCGCTCTTTTGAAGGGTCGATCGGTCAAGGTCAGCCCGACCCACCGATCCCCCGTCAGGGTGGCCCTCCTGGCCCTCCTGGTGGTCCTACGACTTGCCATTCTGGTACTTGCGGCCATCGATTCGGCGGCGAAGGCCTCTGTGCTCGCGGCAGCCTTCGACTTCCTGGCCGCCAATGCCCTCCTGGCCCTATCCAGCTACGAACACACCCGGTCGGTCGCCCCGTCTGCTATCATTGCCCTCTACCTCGTGGTGACCACTCCCCTCGATCTGTTTCGCGCTCAGATGCCCCTTTTTCGGGACACCCCAGCAGAAGTCATCGCGACCGTTGGTCTCGTGGCGGTGGCTCTCAAGGTCGGCCTCATCTTCTCGGAGGCCTCGTCCAAACGGCACCTTCTGCTCGCAGAATACCGCCATCTGTCCCCCGAGGCCACCAGTGGTCCATACAGCAGAGCTACACTCTGGTGGATCAATCCACTTCTCGGGAGAGGCTACTCGAACGACCTGGGGGTGGACGACCTCGATCCCCTGGAGGATTCCCTATCATCCGCACGGCTGGGCAGCAATTCCAGCAGAGCTGGCTCCGCCACGACGAGCCCCACGCGTATAGCCTCCTGCAGGTCGTCTTCTCCGTTCTGAGATGGCGTTTCGTCGCGGCGGGTCTCCCCCAGGTCCTCCTCGTCGGATTCAAGTTCGTGCAACCGGTCCTGATCCGACAGACCATCGACTATGTCACCGACCAGGATACGGACTTTGGGACGCGGGGATCTCGCCTGGTCGCCGCGTATGCCCTCGTGTATGCCGGACTGGCCCTCCTCGGGGCATCCTCGGGGTATCGCATGACCCGCTTCATCGTCAGTCTGCGCGGGGGCCTGGTGTCCCTGATCTATCGGAAGACCCTCGCCTTGAGCAGCACCGCCGGGCAGGAGAGGGCCGCCCTGACCCTGATGTCGACCGACGTCGAGCGCATCACCGTCGCGTTTCGCTCCCTGCACACTGCCTGGACCGCCGTCATCGAGGTCTCCGTCGCCCTCTATCTGCTGTACACCCAACTCGGCGCCGGCTTCATCGCCCCGGGCGTCTGCTTCGCGTGCGCCGTCGCCGCCATGACGGTGTGCACCCGGCTCTTCCCCCGGTTCCAGACCGTCTGGGTGGAGGCCATCGGGGCGCGCATCGCCTCCACCGCGGCGATGCTGGGCGCCATCCGCAGCATCCGCCTGCTGGGACTGTCCGACGTCGTGGGCGATCTGACCCACGGCCTGCGCGTGCGCGAGAATGTCGTCGCCCGCAAGATCCGATCGCTCATCGTCTTCCAGGTCGTCTTCCAGAATATCACCAGCATCGCCGCCCCCCTCGCGACCTTGGCCGTCTACATCATCCACGCCACCGCGGGGGCCACGCGCCTGCGGGTGTCGACGGCCTTCTCGATCCTCTCCATCCTGCAGCTCCTCGAACCGCCGTTGATGCTGTTGTTCCAGGAGCTGCCAGGCCTAGCGGCATCTCTGGCGTGCTTTACGCGCATCCAAACCTTCCTCCTCACCCCCTCGCGTGAGGATCGTCGGGCTCTGCGGGTGCCCGAAGAAGGGCAGTCCTCCGACATCCTGACCCTGCAGGACTGCTCGTTCGGGTGGACCGTCGACGAGCCTGTCCTGCGCAACGTGAACCTGTCCGTCCCACGCGGGTCGGTGGTGATGGTCATCGGGCCCACGGGCGGTGGCAAGAGCACGCTGCTCAAGGGCATCCTGGGCGAGACTCCATACGCCACCGGATCCGTCACCCTGTCGACCCCGTCGATGGGCTTCGCCGACCAAGAGCCGTGGATGCTCAATACGACCATCAGAGCTGGGATCTGCGGCGAGTCCCCTGCCGATGAAGCGCTCTACCAGGCCGTCATCGACGCCTGTGGCCTGCGCGAGGACTTGGACAGCTTGCCCAGGCGCGACCAGACGGTGGTGGGATCCAAGGGTATCGCGCTCAGCGGCGGCCAGAAGCTGCGACTCGCCCTCGCGAGGGCGGTCTTTGCCCGGAAAGAACTGCTGCTCCTGGACGATGTGTTCAGTGGGCTCGATGCCGACACTGAGGAGCAGATCTTCCGCGCCCTCTTCAGTCAAGCGGGCCCCTGGCGACGTCAGGGCACCAGCGTTGTGCTCGTCACCCATGCCGTGGCGCGCCTGGCCTATGCCGATTGGATCGTGGTGCTGTCGGAGGATGGACGCATTTCCGAGCAGGGAACATATGAAAGCCTCCGGGCAAACACTGGCTATGTTTCCGGTCTGGCAGTCAACTTCAAAGACACAGTGGGCAGTGACGATCTTCCCACCCCGGGAGACGAAGCCACCAAACAGTCCACTACCGAGGTCACCGAGATCGAGGAGGATCCCAAGAAGTCTGCCATCAAACAGGGAGGGGACTGGCACACCTTTCAGCACTATTTCTCCACGGCCGGCTGGGGTCCCATGGGGCTGGCTGCTCTATGGAGTCTCGTGTATGTCACATCCATCAAGGCCCCCGGGCTGCTGATAGAATACTTCACGGACCCGGACGGGACCACCATCTCCTCGAACACCCGATTCATCATCGCCCTGAGCATCACCAGTGTCGTCTCATTGATCTCCCTCATGGCGCTCGTCTGGGGATTGTTCCTGGACATCATCCCCCGGGTATCGAACGGGATGCACCGCCAGCTTCTCGACACGGTCCTGCGAGCCCCCCTGGCCTTCTTCACCGTCACGGACTCGGGGACCACCCTGAACCGGTTCAGCGAGGACCTCACGGTGATCGACAACGAGTTGCCAGGCGTGCTGATCGGGACAATGCTGCAACTCGCCCTGTTTTTCATCGGGGGTGCCATCATGGCCGCGACCAGCTCGTACCTGATCACCACCATCCCCTTCGTCATCGCGGCCCTCATCGCTGTCCAGCGGTTCTATCTCCAGACCTCCCGCCAGATCCGCCAGCTCAACCTCGCCTACAAAGCCCCTCTGTACACCCACTTCCAGGAAACCCTGTCCGGGCTGGTCAGCGTCCGAGCCTTTGGGTGGGAGGAGCCGTTCGGTGCGCGGAACGCATCTCTGCTGGACCAGAGCCAGCGGCCCCTGTATCTTCTGCGCTGCATCCAGACCTGGTTGGGGCTGGTGCTCAATCTCCTTGTGGCCGCCCTGGGCACGATCCTGATGATGACGATCGCGGACCTGCCCGACCTCGTGGACCCGGCCCTCGTCGGGCTGGGCTTGCTGAACGTCATGAGCTTCAACGAGAACCTGTCCGAGCTGATCCAGGTCTGGAGCTTGACTGAAACCTCCATCGGGGCCATCGCCCGCGTGCGAGACTTCGTCGCCCACACCGACAGCGAAAACAAGCCCCGAGAAGTCGTCGAGCCATCGACCGACTGGCCCGCCGAGGGTGCCGTCGAGATCAGCCATGTAACGGCAAGCTATAGCGGGTCCTCCGACCCCGTGCTGCAAGACATCACGCTCAACATTCGCCCTGGGGAGAAGATCGGCATCTGCGGCCGCTCGGGCAGTGGCAAATCGTCCCTTCTGGCCTCGTTGTTCCACCTGTTGGAATACCGGGGCGGTTCGATCACAATCGATGGCCAGGACCTGGCCCAGGTCCCACGCAACGTGCTCCGACAGCGACTCAACGCCATCTCCCAGGAGACCTACTGGGTGTCCACCGAGACCGTGCGGTTCAATCTCGATCCGTGGGGCGCGACCACGCAGGACGACGCGGCCCTGATCGAGGCGTTGCGGAAATGCCAGATCTGGCCCGTCATCGAAGAAAAGGGCGGCCTGAATATGCGGATGGATGCCGAGTTCCTGAGCCACGGCCAACGGCAGCTGTTCTGTCTGGCCCGGAGTCTGCTGCGAAAGAGCCGGATTGTGGTCCTGGACGAGGTGTCCGCGAGGTAAGTTAGTTGGATGGATGGGCCCAGAAGGGACAGAGGAATGCCTCGATGACTGACTGGTTGGTTTAGTGTCGACGTCAAAACGGACGAGCTGCTACAGGCCGTAATCCGCGAGGAGTTCCACGGCTGCACCATCATTGCGGTGGCCCATCGCCTCAACACCATCGTCGACTTCGACCGGGTGGTGGTGCTTCATGGCGGACAGGTGGTGGAGTCGGGGGCTCCGCAGGACTTGTTGGCCCAAGATGGGAGTCGGTTCAAGGAGCTCTATGAGATGTGAAGGAGAATGGGGGGGGTTCCAAACAAAGACGGCCAGTGCTGAGGCATATTCACAATGTCTCTCTACAGCCAGAGTCACTGAGTGCCCTGATATCTCTTTCACCTGTGGGCTGCGAGTGACAGCAAACCAGCCCTGAGGTCAGAGGGCAGTGATAGCAGGGCTGGGGGTATTTAACCAACTAGACACACCCACCTCGGTCCCCAAAGCATCTTCCTTCCATCCACCTCACAAGCAACAGACTTCATCCCCCTCATGTCGACCTCTTCTGCGCGCCCCAGCTCCCCCATCAACTCAGAGATGACTCACGCCGTTGGAAGCCCATTCCCCCACTCAGACGAGGAAGTTCTATCCCTCGACATCTATGATGACTTCAGCTACCGCATTCGGCGACAGAGACGGGTCGTGTACGTCTGCGTGCTGGACAGAGAGCTTCTCCCCCCTGACGTCCGCCACGACGAACTGCGAGTGCTCTAAATAAAACCCAAGTGGGACGAGCAATGGGATACCCTCACCGTTCGTCGAGGCCCCTCCGGGATCGAATGTACCCCCGACGAGTTTGTCCCGCATGGCCTGGACCTCGAGCGTCCGGACCTTCCTGTTGCGCCGTTCTACAACCTACTCGATCTGACCTGGGTGAATCGGATCGGCGAAACCCTGTGGGAGGTCGAGTACGGCCAGAAGTCGTGGATCATGAAGGTGGCACGCTTCGATTACGAACTTCGCTTTATCCAGCCAGAGGTGTCGGTCTATGCTGCCCTGGCTGCATCGCGGTTTCCGATGGCCCCCAAGTTCGTCGGGTTTGTCTACGAGGAGTCCAAGGCTCGCACAATCGGCTTTCTGCTGGAGAAGCTGGACGGGGTCACGCCGGGCATCCAGAACCTCGCGGAATGCCGGGAGACGGTTCAGCTGCTGCATCGCCATGGCATTGTGCATGGAGCTCTCCTCAAATACAATTTCCTCATCACCGACAATGGTGCTATGTTGTTTGACTATGGGGTTTCGACCGTAGTGGGCGAGGTTGATCCGGTGGTGGGCGAGCAGGAGCTGACGTCTCTGGAAACCCAGCTCAAGAGCACTTCCACCCTGGGCAGGAAATAGGTTCTCGCATTGTCTGGTCATGAGAATCTCGGCGACAGGTTTATTGAGCATTTCGTATTTCTCGGGCTTGCCCACTCACGCACTCCGCAGGCAATCCTTACACGGATGGTCGCAGAAGATCGTGTCTTTGTATTGTATCTTCTTACTGCAGCATCTTCAATCTCCGTTGCCTGCATGCTTTGCGTATCTTACAAATTGGCCGCCTTTTTAAGTAGCCACAGGTGTGCGACACCTGCTCCTGAGTCCACACGCTGTATGTCGGTCGAGGGTTCTGGCTGGTCTTGGGGTCCATGTTGAGTATCGAAAGGTGTCACCTCATCCCCGGTTCTTGTCGTATAATCTATCATGGAGACATCCGATATTCCCCGCCGCCCGCAGACAACCGACCTGGTAGCCTCAGGCATGAACAACACCGGGTGGAGACGGGACCACGTGATCATACATGCACCGGGCCAATCAGACCCCGGGGGCTCTTTTTCAATAAAGCACCCGATTGGCCGCGGGACAAACCCTGTCTCCATCGCGTCGCCTCCAACATCGATCCTGCAACACCATCCGGGATAGATCGGGATAGATCGAGATAGATCGAGATAGATGGCCTCAGCATGAACACCCCGTCCCGTCTCGCCTGTCGCCGCTGTCGCGTCCGTAAGCAGCGAGTACGTCCTGACCCCCTCTCAGGAAACGGAAACAAACACCACGCGACAAACTGACCCCCCACGCAGTGCAGCCATCCTCGGCCGTGCACCAACTGTGTCCAGGCCCAGGCCACCTGCGTGCCGAGCCAGCGGTCCTCCCGCAAGAGCAGCGTCAATCCCGAGTCCGCCGCCCTCCCTATCTGGCAACCTCACCGCTGACCCGTCCAGGTACGCCCGCGCCCTGGAGGAGCGCATCCAGGAGCTGGAAGCCCGGCAGGGGTCTGATCCGGTCATTGAGACGATACACTCGTCTCCCCCAGCCCCGTTCCCGAGGACTCCCTCTCTCGGGATCCTCCCATCCCTTCCTCTGCCGTCCCCGGATGCCTCCTCCGGGGGCGACGTGCCCGACATCCCCCCCCACACCCAGGATCATCTGGTCCAGATCTTTCTCCAGCGGGTCAATCCCCGATACCCCTTCCTGCACGAGGAGACCTTCGTCGCCTGGTACGGCGCGTGGAAGGCATCCCGCGCGGAGGGGGTGCCCTTGCCGGCCGGAGACCGATGGAAGGCATTTTTCGTCAAGATGGTACGTCTCCGTCCTCGGAAACGACTGGACAGATCACGGACGACGGACTCCGGACTCACGGTTCCATCCAGGCCTTTGCCGTCAGTCTTCTCATCGCCCCCCGGGTCTCGCCGGATGATATGAAGACCTCCCAGGTAGGAGCGCGCTTCGAGACGCGTTGGAACCCCGGCTCACGCTCGCAGGCCCTGTATGCGTCGTCTCTGTCGTCCCTGGACACCGTCTTCGCCTGCCTGGATCCCGTCCGCCATGCCCAGGCATACCTCCTGTGCACTCTGCACGCGCTGCACTCGCCCTCCTCCCAGACCGTCCTGACCATGATCTCCGCCGCCATGCGCTGCTGCGTCATCGCACAGTTGCACCGCGCCATGCCCGAACGCACCGCCTGCTCCCTCCTGGAGATGCAGATTCGCCGTCGGGTCTTCTGGTCCGCCTATGCCATCGATCGTTTGGTCAGCTGGGTCTACCATGTTCCCTGTAGTCTGGTGGATGACGATATTCAAGTCGAGGTAGGGCTCCCCTCCCGGGTAGTGATCTGGAGCTGATCCGTGAACTACCAGCCATTCGCCAACATGAACGACGAGGAACTGACGGCCTGGACGACACGGAGCGATCGCTTCGAACCGGACGCATCGACGCCGCGACGGACCCAAGTGTCCTCCGCCCTGCATCTGATCCGCGGGCGACGAATCCAGTCTCGCATCCTCCGCGTCATGATGCGGGCCGACTACGATCAGCGCTTCGCCGGATGCCACGCCTGGCGTCTCCACATGGTGGAGGTTCTCGACCAGTGGAAGGCCCAGCTCCAGCCGCATAGTGATCCCCGGTCGGCGGGATACACCAGCGAGGGGTGGGTGGGGATGCTGTACAACTACACCATTCTCCTCCTGTACCGACCCACCCAGGCGAACATGTGTGACTTGGTGGCGCACCGCTGCCTGCAAGCCTGCACCGACATCGTGTTGACGTTCTGGGGGTACCTCAAAAGCCGCCAGACAGCCCAACTGTGGCCGGGGGTAAGATCCCCCGCTGCTCGAACATGCCCTACAGTATATGCTGACCCGACGACACGGTAGTTGTTAAGCCAGTTTGGTATCGGCATCACGCTGCTGTATTGCCTCTGGGTGACGCCCCCATCGCACCGGTCCACGGCCTTCCCACCGCTCAAGGTGGGCACTGCCATACGCACCTGTTCAGTGATCCTGGCTGTCCTGTCGGAACGATGGACTCCAGCCGAACCGCTTCGGGACATGTTCGATCATTTGGCGGATGCCATCCCCGTCCATTCCCCCCCTTCCGACCGTCCCCAACACCGGAGACCGATCGGCGACGGGGATCCGATCCTGTCCCAAATGCCGAGAATCCACGCCATCGTCGTCAACAAAGACATCCTGCGCATGCTGACCGAGATGATCACGGAGGAATGTCCCTGGGAAACCGATCGGGTCACCCATCTGTCGGGATGGTCGGAGGACGACCGACACGACCCTTCCGAGTGCTCGCTGTGTTGGGGCCACCCGTCGGCCGTGGGGAATCTCCCCTCGGAAGCCTTGTTGTCGGGAGATCTGTGGCCAGCGTTTGATCCCAGCCCAGGGAGCCAGTCGTGGACGATGGCGGGCGGGGAGTCCCCTTTCTTCCCGGGGTTGTTGGGATCCATCGAGTTCTGAGGTCTGAGGTCTGATGTCTGATGTCTGATATCTGATATCTGATATTGGACTCCAGCATCTCTGCGAGGCCACTATGCTGTTCCGGGGCTAGCGGATCCTTCGATCTCCCCCGTCCGTCCCAAAAAAATCTCTCTGTTTCACCACTCTTTAGTCTCCACCACCACCGCATTCCCCAGCAGGAATGCCCCCCTCATCCTCACCCCCCGAGGAAGATGGCCTCGTCTTCGTCAACATCGCCCACCCCAAGGACATCAAGTCCGTCGCCACGCAGCGCACCATCCGCCGCCGCGTCATGCGGGAGATCGGCCGGTCGCGGCGGACTCAACCGCGGCCACGTACCTGGGCCCTGGCCCTGACATCCCCAGCCCATCATCCCACGATGGACACTCGTAGACCACCCGGCATCCCGGCCTCTCTGGATCCCTCCAACACCACCTTCTATCCCACCCAGCTCGACCATCGCGCCCTGCAGCTCCTGCATTTCAGTACGTCCACCACCCCGTATGTGCGGACCCGCAAACTGACTCCCATGACCCCCCCAGTGGCCAGCGACACCGACTACGTCTTCCGCCCCTTCCGCACCGTCTGGTTCTCCATGGCCCTGACGGATGCCAGTGCCGTGCTGGTGGCCCTGGCCAACGCCGCCATGTTCCAGGATCAGACCCGGCGGGCGCACGCCTACCGCTACGAGACGAGCACCGAGTGCCTGGCCTACTACGCCACATGTGTCCAGCAGGTGTCGCGGCGGCTGACTGACGTCCGAGATAGCCTGAGTGAGGGCGTCATCACCACCATCCTGGGGTTGGTCTGTCACGATGTGGGTTCCTCCGTCCTTCTTCTGAACTGCGTCAGCTAAGCGCCCGGGCAGCTGTACGTGGGCACGGTGGATCGCTGGAACACCCACATCCGCGGCCTGGAGCGGGTCATCCGGCTGCGTGGGGGATACCAGGGTCTCAGCGCGCACGTCGTAATGTTCGCAGTTTGGTACGTTCTTCCTCCCAGTACCCGTCTATATATATATGTGGCTAATCAGGGATCCACCAGGCTGGACATCACCGGAAGTGTGGTGGACGACTCCTGCCCGCGGCTATCCAGACCGACAGACATCGGTCTCTCCTCCTCCTCCTCTAGCTCGATGACACCCACCTTGAAATCCCTGCTGGAGGACATCACCCCGCGTGAGCAAGCATTTGATGATATAGTCACGGTCTTCGAGCATGCGTCTTGTATCGGCACATCCGTCAACGAGATCTACGTATCCGAGCCAATCTGGAGACACGAGAACAACACCACCGTCATCGAACTCTTCGGTCCGGCCACTCATTTCCTCTTGTCCATGTCCCGTCCGTCCGAGCCGATCTGTGACGCCAGCAGCATCCAGCTTCTGCGGGAAGCGATCCGCCTCGCCCTGCTTCTCCTCCTGGCGGCCCTCAAACGGGACATCTTCCTCTTCCTGTCCCACGAATGGGACTGCCTGCACCACAAATTCTCGACTCTTGTCTCCCATATATACCCGGCGGAGTACGATGTCTCCTGTCTGAAACTCTACCTGTGGGCGCTTGTCACAGTATCAGCCCTCTCGGACTCCACACCCACGGCGGGCCATTATGCTACGGAGACCCAAGACGTGATGGGCAGGCTAGACATCGATGGTGTCCAAGCCATGGACCTAGTCCAGAACATTCTGTGGGTGGAAGCACTTGGCGCTCAAAGACAACGCGATTTCCAGCTCTTCGCAGACCTATGTACATAATCAAATCATGCCAAACCCTTTCTCCGAACCAGAGTCTTGCTCAACCACCCACGATCCCCCCACTGACCGAGATCACCTGTCCGGAGATCCACCGACTCTGCTCCGCGCACAGCAGCAGCACTACGTCCGCGACATCCTCCACCGTGCCCGTGCGCTCCTCGACGCGGGTCATGGGGATCATCGCCCGGTGCACCTTCTCCGCCACCTGCGGGGGCAGGCCATCCGTGTCTACCGGACCGGGGGAAACGGTGTTGATGGTGATGCCGCCGTGGTTGCGACCCAGCTAGACCTGTCAGCATCCTCTCATAAGCTCTATCCGGCAGGACATATCATACCTCCATCGCCATGGCGAAGGTCAATGCGTCCATCGCCGCCTTGGAGGCGCCGTAGAGGGGCGACCCTGAGATCCCCAGCTTGGACGCCACCGACCCGATATTGACGACGCGACTGTGCGGCGGCATGTGCGGCACGGCCGCCTGCATCAGGTACACGGGTCCGAAGACGTTGACGGCGAACGTGGTGGCCATGGATTCCGGGCTGGCGCTGAGCACGGGGCCGGGGGAGCCGGTGCCGGCATTGTTGACTGCACGGTTAGCCTGACGTCTGTCAGGAGGGCGAGGAACCGTCTCAGCCTACCGAGGATGTCGACCTTGCCAAACGCCGCAACGGTCTGGTCCACGAGGCTGCGTGCCTCGTCCGGACGGGAGATGTCCGCTTGCACGACCAGGGCTTTCCCGCCTGCCGTGGTGATGCGTTCCGCCACGCCGGCGGCGGAGACGGCCGTCGACGGCGAGACGTAGCTGATGACCACGGAGACACCGTGCTGGGCCAGAAGACTGGCAATGGCAGCGCCGATGCCTCTTGTCTTGCCGGATCCGGTGACAATGGCGACTTTGCCTTGCAGGCCGAGGGGGGACTTTGGTTCTGTCATGATGAAGGCCGGAAAATCCGGTTGTGATGCTGGAAAGGAGTAGATTTGACGGGGGGCTCAGCACGCCTTTTATGTCTGAATCCTCGACACCCACGGTCCCCGAGGGAGCCTTTGGTGAGCCATGTCGGAGGAGCGGCGATAGATACTAACGATGGCCCGTGGGGAGGGCGAGGCTATCCCGCCTTTCCTCTTGGGGCAAACGGTCCCCGGCCCCTGCAGCTGCAGCAACCGCTAGCCTTATCCCGTCAGCGCCGTCACTGGGGTAATCTATCTCTTTTCTGTGACTCCATTGGCGGGGTTGGCTTGGGTGGGGCGCTAATCAGCCAGTCAGGTGTGATTGTGTCTTCTTGTCTTGGTCTTGTGGTCTCGAACCAATTGCCCGTGATGTGGTGTAGGACACCTCCTCATCCATCCATCCTAAGAGATCGTGCAGTCCCGGCTGTCGGCATGATAAAGTACTTCCACTTTGGTGACAAATTCAAGTGTTCCTCAAGTGGCACATGTGATACTCGTGATGTATTTCCGAGTGCACGTGTCCAAAGATATATATCGGCCCAAAGTCCATTTTGACACACAGTAGAGTAAACTAATATCATGAGTGTTATTTCCTGCAGGAAACAATGTTTCTAGAAGTTGGCAGGTCTATGTATTCGCTTACAGTCGGGGCTTTTGACTCTTTACGCTCAAATAGATATTTCATGACACGCGATGACTCACGGTTTCCCCGTCGTCCGAAGGCAACTGATGTCGAAACAGGTGCATTGGTCTGGGGGATGAAGATCTGTCGCATTGGCTGCCATTGACTGCCGGGATGGTCGCTTAGGGCTCCTTCGTCGTCCGATCACGATCCGGATCCGCAACACAGCACACGGTCTATAGCTCTATAGCCAAATTCTCAAGGGATGAAAGTATTACAACGATATAGGTTTTAGCCTTCACATGTCTGGACGATGCCAAAAAAAAAAAAAAAAAAAAAAAAAAAAGGTCGGCACGCCCTCAGGGAGTGGCCGTGGTCACCACGGTCTTGGACTGGTGGGAGGGGAACCCGGACGGGTCGTACTCCAGGCTGGCCCTGCTGCCGTCGCTGAGACTGTGGGTCGGCCGCAGCTCCGGCTCGGGCTCGTTGGTGACGTGGAACTGACGATGCTCCCAGATCTCCAGCGGCTGCTCCGGGGCGATGTGCTCGCCGGACTCGGTGCGGTCGATGGTGGAACGCAGCTGCGACTGGTCCCCGCCGCGGAAGCGCGACAGATGCATCGTCGAGCTGTCCAGCCGGCTGGTGTACTTGCCCCCGTAGCTGCGGTCGTGCGACGAGTGGGCCAGGAAGGCCCGCCAGTTGAACACGCGCCGGAAGAGGGTCCACGTCTGCGGGATGTTGGCCACGATCACCGCCGTCGCCGCCTCGCGCACGTACCAGTCGACCCACTGCTCGCCGTAGGGCTCGGACAGCGAGTAGTACTTGGACAGGATGGAGCACAGGATGACGAAGGCCCCCAGCGAGAAGACCCCCAGCAGGGTGACCTTCTTCAGCAGGGTCAGCCTCGCCTTGAAGAGCAAAGGCAGCGGGATGGCCATAATCAGCACGTCGGTGAGGATGTTCAGGGACAGCACCAGGATGAGGTGGTCGCGGTAGACGGAGCACTGCAGGTTCTTGGGGGGCACCGACCAGTAGGCCGAAAAGGGGCGGCACCAGGCGGCGAAGAAGAGGACCTCGATGAGGACGAAGCTGAAGGCGCAGAAGGCCCCGATGATGCGGACGGCGCGATGCTGGGAGAGACCCGACCTGGCGGCGGGTTAGCGGCATATAGGGCAGACACAGGATGGATGGATGGATCCCTCACGTCATGGTCGAGTAGAGCAGCAGCAGGCACGCCTTGCACCCCCAGATGGTCGCCAGCCACATTTGTTCCACCACGATGACCAGCTTGCTGCCCGTGATGCGGTCCGGGATGGAGGACGGGTCAATGTCGCCGAACTGGTCGGGGGGGATCTCGTTGGTGCCGTGCTTGGCCACCTCGATGAGGAAAACGGTGAGCAGGATGTAGAAGATCTGGCGTCGTTGATCAGTCCAAGGGAGCGTTCGCCCGCACAGCACCAAAGGAGGATGCGTACCACCGTCCCTGCCATGACCATGTCCTCGATCTGCAGGGTTCGGGAGACGCCCATCTGCATCGCGCGCGAGACATAGCGCAGGATGGCTGCGCGCCCAAGGGTTGTTAGCATCCGATCCCCGTTGCGGTCCGGGCGATGATCACCTACTGATCAGCAGCACCACCGCCAACCACACCCACGTGTTCACATTGGACGACATGTTCGCCAAGAAGCGCCGGCCTGCTGCAGGTCGGGCGAAGAGCTGGTCCGATTGCAGCACGAGGGACCGAGGGTGCGAGGAAGAAAAGCAGGCCGAGCGCCTCCTTTTCTTACACCACCTGCGCTCGCAGGGGATGCTGGGTCGAGATGGAGATGGAGATAACGGGCCAGGAGCCCAACGCCACCCCGGCGGGGTGGACCAAAATATAACACGGCACTATGGAGGCTGACCGGCCGGCCATGGGCCCCTGTAAGAGCTGCCCAGTAGCAGTGGCCTCGGCGCCGAATGCAATGGCGCAGGCCCGCGGATTCCCAGAGCCAGGGTATCTATCTCCTCCGTAGTCTAGTAGGAGATAGACTGTGGTCCGCGGCGCACCGGGCCCACTCGGCGCTGAAACAGGAGATTTCGCACATGCGCTCGAGCGTCTGGGGAGGAGAGGAGAGGGGGGGGGGGGGGTTATTGTGAAGCCATGTCCCCATCTCACACGTGGCTGCTGGGCCGATCACGGCGATCCATCCAAAAGCAGACCGGGTCCGCTGCTTCGCGAAAGCTTCGACTGCTTTAGGCTACTTCTACGCCTCGACGTCAAGGTATAGGGCAGACAGGCAGAGAGAGTCGGAGAGACCATGGAGGCTGGCAGTGGTGGCCACCAACGAGGAAAGGGGTGGTGATGATGGCAGAGATAGCGATGGCTCGAGCGGTGGCTGCCTGACGAGCGGGATCTGCTTGCTAGTTGGTTATCTCTCTAACAATTAGTTATCTAAGGAGATTGGCCAACAAAGAGACCAGCCAGGGGGGAAGGAAGAACAAAGCAACAGGACAACGGGTCTGACGCATGCCTGCGCGATTAATTCCGGTGCAACCGCGGCTAGACTGGATGGACTCTAGGGCTGCTGCTAGCATCGGAGCGCCAAACCTTAACCACGGCGAACGGAAAACTCTGCCCGGCCGGCCTGAGCCTGGAGAGTGGACTGGGAGCCAGATCGGAGTCCCAAGGCTGACTCGATGCAGGGGACGGACTCGTCGCGGTACAGAACTGGAGGGGATTTTGAGTCAAGAGATCCATCCCATCGCATCGGACTGGCTGGGGGCAGAACAGGATGGGACAGGATGGCCTCGCCGGCTCGGGCGTCGTCCGCGCGACTAGTCCAGGCCTGTATAGCGGCCGGGAGCACACCAGACGGGCAAGCCTAGGCGACCCAGGGTTTCACCCCTCCCCAAATCTTATCTCCCACCGCTAGTGACCAGTCAAGCACGGCCCGTCGAAGCCAAGAGATTATTATCTATTATGCGCAGGACCGTGGTTCGAGAATCCCATGGAACACGGCTGTCGAGACCAGGTGTGTCTCCCGATCCAGATCCCCCTTGACCCGGCCCGGTGGAGTTTGACCGCCTGTATCATGAATCATCATGAATCACCCGGGGTTTGCAGGGGTTTGCAGGGGTTTGCAGGGGCTGGGAAGACGAGACCCGAAACTTGAGGGGAAACAACAGAGGATGCAGGGCCCATTCGCTTGTGAGGGACAATCTCTCGAAGGAGAGCCGGGCTACCGGGAGGGTTGCTGTGTGCCCTCGGACATCGAGTGAAAGGCTGTAGCAGTGCCATCCATGGGCGATGGGCATATGATCGATAGCTGCATGGATGACAGACCTGATGCAGCAGCCCGGAGGAGCATTCCGGGCGGGTCGAGCACCCACGCCGGCTCAGCACCATGAGAGAGGCGACCATGGTTCGAACCAGGTCTGGTCGTTCGTTGTGCTATTTGAGGAATCCAGGGGGACATTCCGGACTGTCCGGGCTTCATCTGCTCGATCTTGAATCCGCGAGGAGCACGAGCATGAGGGAAGAAGAAGAAGAAGAAGAAGAAGAAGAAGGGATCGAAGCGAAGAAAAAAAGACTGCGACATCGGCAGCCAGGCCCGTCAATCTATCTATCTGTGGCAACTTGTGATCCTTCGGGGCCGGTGGTGTCGTGTCGCGTGGGCAGCGGATCCGACGAGAGATTGCTGCCATTGCCACTTCCGATCCGACAACCACTTCGCATCCCAGGAGAATGGAAATTGGGAGAGTCATGAATCGTATCCCATGCATGACAGACAAGGCTGCGAGTAGTGAGTAGAAAAGGCAGCACAGCCAGGGTTCGTGTGCTCTCTTGTCCTCTACACCCACGAACTATCCGGAGAAGGGCAAGTACGCGCGAACCCCCACTTCCCACTTCCAGGGATTGAGCCTCTGTCTGCCGTCGACACAGTCGATGGTCCGTGGAGACAGGCTTGTGCACAGGGTGATTACTATGATTTGCGCGGCTTGGAATACCAGAAAGACTCCAATCCCGAGACGGGGTGGGGCCAGTCACTGCGATTGATTCCCTGATTATTCACTCTCAGATGCCTCGGTCCTGGATGCTCCTCCCTCCTCCCGGTCACCAAGCCTCCAGAGCCTCCAGTCTCAACCGATTCTCTACCGGATGGTGAACCCCCTGTCCACCCGGAGATCCGCTCCGTTGATCATCCTGCTGGAATCCTGTTTTGTCGGGTCGGGGGTCAGAACTGTCCAACAGCATCCAGCCATGCACGGTGCGTGCGGCGTACCTGACAGAGAAACAGCACCGCATCGGCCACCTCTTCCGGGAGGGCAGGATGGCCAGGCGGGCGCCCGGTTGCCGCAGCTTCAGGCCGATGTGGGACCCCAGCCCACCGAGACCACCGGGGAGGATTGCCAACCGCCGAGCAAATGCCATGGTCTTGTATCCAGATTGAAGTGAGATTGTTGGGGCGATCCAGGCAAAGGGATTCAGGGGAGTGATGGGAATGTCAGCCCCCTCACGTGTGGTGTCATTCCGCGTGCTCCTGTTTTGCCCTACAATCCGACAACAATCCTACACCGGAGGATGCGACTGCCTGAGAGGATACTGACTACCGCATACGATTGTCAGCATTTCGGGAAGAATATCAGTTGAGGAGACATAACTATACAACCAGTTACACTCGACACCCCCAGAACACTCACCGGATTGACGGGGTTCCGCTTCTTCACAATCATCGGATCCGTCGTGGTCAAGGGAAAGAACGGCAGGTTCGTCGGCGCCATGCCAGTGAGACTCTCGGATGGCACCCGGAGCCAGTTGCAGGCGTTTGACGGGCAGTTGCTCGGCAGTGACTGCTTGGATGGATCCCAGTTCGGATTCATAGTGTGGCGGTGTGTGGCGGACAGACGTCCGGTACGGGGAATCCTGAACGGGGGGCAGACATCCTGGATGACAGAAACAGACTTCGGGACAGTAGATGAATGATCGTTCGGGATATCGTCCGTGGAGGAGTGGTCTCGTTAGCCATTGATGGGGCTCAAATCCTCACTCACCAATATATAGGCATCCTTGGTCCAGTTGCTGTGGTCCAAAAGCCGGAGTGGGAGTTTGTTTGCGCTCACTTCTGCATCATAAATTGCTGCAGGGCAACCATTCACGGAGGCACCATCTCATCTCTATTGGCCTGAGATAGGGTCCTGCTCACAGGTGGCAAGGACCAAGTTTCGTCCCCCCCCCCCCCCCGGTCGCACGAGAGAAGGTCTGGATGGTGGTGATCTGCTCCATCACGGTCAACCAAGGGACCCCCCCTCAGCCCTGTAGGGCTGACCGACGGGGATGCGCGATGACCGGCGACCTCCGAAAATCCCTCAGTTGGACCCACTGCGGTCCAGCGACAGCTCCCAGTCAAGCTTTGGCTGGGGGGGAGGCCCGCTGCAGCCTGTCATCATCCATCACATCCGCCAGAAATGTTCAGATAGACAGGGGGAGACGGGGTGCGTGGCCAACGTTGCCTGGGCAGTCATCGCCCGGATGGCGAGGGGCCCCTAGCTAGGGTCCTTGCTCCAACGAGCCCTTGCACTGAGCGGCCCCCTGGACAATCCTCCCTCCGGTCTTTCTCACTTGAGCCGACCGTGCAGGGTTCGATTCCGTGTTTTCCATCTCCCATGCACCTTCCAGGCAGAAGTCATTGGCTGCCGGGGATGCATCCCACATCACCGCAGGCGGGGGTGCAGGGGACCCTCTACGCACCAGACCTCCTGTGATGGATCTCCCCCTTACGAATCGGTCCCCTGCAGCCCCTGATGAAGGTCGACTTTGATCTTTTTGGCAGAATCACGCATTCTTGTTTCCAGTGGATCTGAAGACTTTCATCCAACTGATCACTAGCTGTCTATCTCGCTATAGTATACGGGTCATGGTGTCTAGCGTGCGAACGGATGAGGGAAGGGTCTCAGCATTGAGGAGATACTGCACTGAGTTCTATCCAAAGGTGTATCCGACGCCAGTTATGCAGATAGCGGCGATGGCGGTGTTGTGCACCGCGGGGGAATCCGCCGTGGCTTTCGGGGTAGGGCCATTGGACTCTCGGATCTCTTCAACGTACTCCGATGACAATTCCGATATATTCGGAGGATGCGTAGATGTTGACCAACAGCCCGCGCCTGGTCCAGGTGATTTATGTCTTTGTTGAACAGGAAGGCGAGCAACGCGCCGGGCAGGCTCCCAATGTGAACCATGGAGGTGATGTTGGACAGTCGGTTGGCCCGGTCGGCCGCGCTGAGGTGGCTGGCATCGAGCTGGTACTCGCGGACGAAGGAGGGCAGGACAGTGTCACGGTGGTGGCGATCAGGCCCTCGTCCAGCCCTTTGGCAGCCCCCAGCAGGCCGAAGGCGATGGCGGCATAAATGATGGGAATGGTGAGCTTCTTCTCTATTGTCGCGGTCGATATCTTGTCTTTGTCATCCCGCTGGCATGACCGGCACTGTCAGGTCTTATTAATGGGCGGGTGATCAATCCTTATAGAGCTGAGGCGATGGATGTGCCTGCTGCCTGGTGGGCTATCCCGAAGACCCATTCGCAGTGGGGGGTCTTTATATATTAATCCACTCACGAATTGGAGGTTGCTATGTTATATTTGCAAAGCATAAGAAACCGCTACGAGGATCTGGGGTCCCGGGAGATTGATTGGGCAGATTCGGGGCAAGTCTTTGTTCCCACTGGTGTGTATTGGGGGGAACATCATTCCGGATACTGTGCTTCTACGGGGTACGCGATGGCACGCTACGATCCAGTGAAAGCCAAGGGCGGGCCTTTCCTCAATAACAAACCCTAATCCTCTCCATACAAGACCAGTAGACTCCCAGCGACGCCAGTGGCTGCCAAAAATGTGAGTACATTGGATAGGGTGCGGGTTGGTGGCCGCGAGCGCTGATGGGAAGAGAGATCTTCGAGGAGCAGGTGTCCACAGCACGGGCTGTGGGATGCATGCGCGTGAGCGTCTAGAAGCCAATGGTCAGCACGCTGCTGGGCAGACGGCCTGGAGTCCAGGCGACGGCATCACCGCCGCAGACCTCAGGTCTGCGGGCTACATCGACGGGGGGGGAACAACCCTCCCATCGATCCCCTCCCTGCCAGCCCAGCTCTATAGGGGAAGTCTACGTAGCATCCCTCGATCCCATCCGTCAACTAGTGGTCCCGGATGTGGCGGGGATCCCGGGCCTTCACGGGGCCTGTCCCTTCACCAGCGCGAGCACCTCCTCCAAGGCATCAATGATATAATCCGGCTGCAGGGCCTCACACGCCTCCTGATCGCCTTGACCGTAGCGGCACCAGCACACCTGGGCCCCGATGTTGCGGGCGTAGTGGATATCCGTCAGGGTGTCTCCAACCATCAGCACGCGCCCCTCAGCGGTCCAGTCCGCCCCGACGTGTGCCTTCAGACGGGGCAACAGGATGTCGGTGAAGCTCGAGGGATCGGGTTTGCGCTCCACACCGGGCACCCCATAACCGAGGATCAAGTCCTCGGGGATGTAATCCAGCAGGTCCGATTTCTCCAGGGCCGCCGTCACGGCAGCTGCCGCCTTGTTGCTGATAATAGCGACGGGCTGGTTCTGGGCGCGCAGGGCGTGCAGGACCTGGCGGGCGGCGGGGTAGGGGCGGGTGCGCGCCTGGCTGTGAATGGCATAGATCTCGCGGTACCGGGGCACCCAGCGGGTCTCGTCGAAGGCGCCGGGGTCGGGATGCAGGGCGCGGAAGGTGTCGCCGGGGGGCGCCCCCGTGGAGACCAGCGGGCGGATGGCGGCCGGGGACGGGGGGGGATGGATGGGCAGCAGCTCCTGGAAGGTCAGGCGGATGGAGTGCTCGATGGCCTCGTAGGTGTCGAAGAGGGTGCCATCGAAGTCGAAGATGACGAGTTGGGACATGGTGGAAGGGGATGCGAGGGGGGATTGATTGTTGCTGGGGACAAAACCCACACGACAGGAAGGGTTCCCGCAGTCACAGGGACCGCCGGACTTTCTTCCCTCCGCTCCGGTACCTCACCAGCCACAGTGGCTGTGACAACGGTCATGTGATAGGTATCACGTGTAAATGTGGCTGGGTCAAGCAAATGCGAAGTCAAAATAACAAACAGAGAGAAAGAGACGAAAATGTTGACTGGCTGCTGCATCCTGTTGGGATTTGGATTCTTTCTGACTCGGTGGCGGTGGGTGGCTGTCAGGTGAATCCGATATATATTTCCGTCCGGAACATTATCACGCGAAGGTGAATGGCAGCGGAAGGTGTTCCGGAGGATAAAGTATGCTATACAAGCAAGTGAATCCTTGTGAGGTCTCTCTCTCTTCCAAGCTTTGGCGATCACTCGAGTAGGTGTGGAAGGGACCCAGCGGACCATTTACAATGAGCGCGTGGCGGGGCAAGCTATATCAACCCTGGTAACTAATCTAGGTAGCGACTAGTAAGATGATGCAATGAAGATCTGATTCTACAATACTGCTGCGCAAGCAGTTGGGCTATATAGATATAGAATGAGGCAGAAATAATACATATATAAAGTCATACAGGAATAACCGAGGGATAGGGTTAATCAGGCCGAGGTCAAGTCAATGGAACAAATGGAACGGCCAAATCCTAGGCCACCATCAGGCCAAGCCCTTGTTCCAACCAATACAAGCGGTAGGCTTCATTCTCTACGTCTTGAGCTTCTAAATATTTTCCCCAAGGTGACTGTTCAGACTGCTACGTGTGGAAGCAGGACCCGCTATATTCTTTACTGAACTCGATACGCGGCTGTCAAGAAGCATCGGGTCTCTTTCCCAACAGACAAGAAAGATGCGCTGGAGATTGTGTGTGTACAACTTATCTGAGTTGTAACTCGACCGACGAGAGTAAAGACCCCCAGAGCTAACAGAATATTATACTATACCAAAACAAGAATTTTCAACGGAGCATGTTGAATACTTGGAGTGCGCAGCTCTCCCTTCCCAATCGAGTCTCCACCCCGCTGCCGATGTTGGACCAGCAGCCCTGATTGCCTCTGCTCAGTCTCCTCCTCGCTCCGGCCCTTCCCCAAATCTGCCATTCATGTGTGCCTGGTTCGTGTAATTCTGGTTCTGGTTAGCGTCGGGCTCGCAGGGAAGTTCCGGGACCCATCACACATACCAGCCCTCGATGACCTTGACCTGCAGGATGTAGTCGTCGTTGGTGTTGAAGCTCACGCTGTGGTCGCCCCTTGTCCAGACCGTCAGGCGGTACTCGTCCGTCGTCTCGTAGAAGACGTAGGTACTACCGAAGGTGCCCTGGACCTCGTTCACGTGGATGGTGATGGTGTACTCGTAAGGCCAGCCGCCGCTCGTGTAGAGGTACCTGTCAATGCCGGTCTCGCTGGCAAAGTTTGCGTCGGTCTCGACCCATTCGTTGGTGGGTGACCAACCTGCATGGTAGGTGCCGGACCGGGCCGCGGACACAATCTGCAGGAGGCCGAGGAAGAGAACGAGAAGGAAGTTCATCGTGGCGGTGAGTGAGTCTGGAGTCTGGTGGGTTGCTGGAAAGTCCAGGGGGTTGATGCGGGATGGGCTGAGGAGGGAAGAGAACGACGGGCACAAACTGGCCCTTTAATAGCTCTTCTGTCAAGACCAGGAAGGCTCCTGTCTCCCCGCCTCGAGAGATGCAATATCACCCGGCTGAATGCAATGAGTAATGACGATTGCGTGATCTGCATAGCTTCAGCTTGGACCCAACAATAGCGCACATCACTGCCACTCGCAGGCGACTTTTTGCCTCTTCTGCAAGCCACGTCACGTCACAAATATTAGTTCGAAGACGAGGTGATAGACAGCGATGTTCCCCAGTGGCTGGCACAGCGGTCATCGCTGTTCACCATCCAGTCACAGCGATCTGGGTCTTCGGATGAATGGGTCGGCTGTTGTCCGTGGACTGCTGCCAGAGCCCTGCGACATCTTCCATAACTGTTGAAAGTCGCCCGGTACCCCCCCCCTTTAGACTGAAAAGATGTCTCGATATTCTTCTAGTTATAAAGAAACACTAGGTTCAACAATATGGAAGAGGGACAGATATGGCAAGGGCACCGAGGAAGAGCAAGGATCCCCAGCCATGTGCGGCTGAGATGCGGGGGTATCTGCCAAAAACAATTCCAATCTATTTTCCAGTCCTCGGAGTTTGGCTGAGTCCGTCATGGCCTCGATTAGGCCACCCTGCCTGGCGATCTGGACGGATCGCCCCGAGTTCCCCGCTCCGATCGACGATCAGTCAAGTGCATTCCGGTCCGACGCTGATCCTGGGCGTGGGGATGGACGCCTCGGTGGGACATGGCGGGTACTGATTGGACGGGCCCATGGTATATGCCATCTTAGCTGCATGCAAGGTGCCTCAAGGGATGATGATTTCCGCTGCACGCAGAGTCAGATGCCCGCGGATTGCGTATAACTGAAGCTTATATTCACATGCTTGCCTGGTTAGCCCGGACTGTCCGGGTATACAGAGTATACAGCTCAGGAAATCTGACCAGTTCTAAGCATCCCGAGAGAGAAGGGCACGGCTTTGTATTTCCCATTGCCATGGCTTCCCTAGTGTTTGCCGTGCAACCAACCGGCTCTACTAACTTGCCATGCATTGACAGACACTAGGGTTTAGGGTTTAGGGTTTAGGGTTTATTAGGGTTTAGGGTTTAGGGTTAGGGTTAGGGTTTAGGGTTTAGGGTTTAGGGTTTA